CTGATCTGCTTTGAAGGCACGGTGTGCTTAAGCCTTTATTTTGCGGAACCTAGTGATTGTATTTTTCATCGCACTAAGTCCACGTGTTCGATTGCGTAAGTAGGTCTAATACTGACACGTAATGCGCAAAAAGTAGCCACAGGACCCGCCAACGTTCCTGCAGAAAGTTAGGTATGGAAGAAGATCTTGCCATTTTTTCGTTGATTTCTGTATGCGGTGTAGAAATTTCACAATGTGCGTCATTTTACGATTAATCGGTTGGAAATTTCCTCATTCTTAACTCAAAATTTTAATTAAAAACCGAGCAAAAAATGATTTGCCTGCAATGCAATAAGACAAAACTGCAAAAAGCGAACGGTGGCATCCACCTTTCTGCCGAACCGGTGGCGGCATCCATTCATTAAGTTTTTGCGCTATTGCAAACATTTTCTGTCACAGTTCCTTCCATCTCTATCGCTTATCAGTAATCAGTTAATTCGCTTATCTATGATCAAACATGCAGACGCAAGGTACGAACATAGTCGACAATTCTACATAATACGTCTTACCGAGTGGCGAAATAGTTGTGTTGCACAATGAACTACAGCACAATGAGCAGAATAATATCAAAGGACACCGCCGGCAGAAAGGTCGATGACCTTTGCGAAAAGGTTGATGACCTTTACAGAAAGGTTGACGACCTTTGGAGAAAGGTTGATGGCCTTTAGAGAAAGTTTGATGACTATACTGAGTTGTTAATGATCTTTAAAAAAGGGATTATGACTTTCGACAGACAGGTGGACTACCATAACAACCCTCACTAAAACAAGGAGTTGCAATGACGCTATTTGAATGCAAAACGCGATGCTGTTCATAATGTTCTTGTCCTAAAGCACAAAGGTCGGAAAATAGTTACAGATAAAGTGCACAAATGGCGCGAACGTGACAATCAAAGAAAGACATCTGCGCCTTTCGTCTTAAGTTTGAAGTGTTGCGCTCCTATGTGGCAATACCTAATTCGGATAATTTTTCCAGTAATTGTAACCGAGCATTAAGCAAAGGAAAGTCCCTGCAGTAAGGTTTCGGCTACTCTGAGCGCATAATCTTAGGGAGCAAAGTGATTTCATATGGCCGTAATGTTTCCAAATGCAGTTTTTAAATTAATGGATGCCGAGAAAAAAATGTTAAGAAACAAAAAGTTAATGCCAAAAGAGATTAGACAGATAAACAATGAGCAGAAAGATAAATATGTTGGGCGGCTATTAGAATAACCGGCAAAAAGGTGAAAAGCTTCTGCAGAAAGGTGGATGACCTTTTAAAAAGGTTGATCAGAAAGGTTGATGACCTTTAGAAAAGGTTGATGAGAAAGGTTGATGACCTTTAGAAAAGGTTGATGAGAAAGGTTAATGACCAATAGAAAAGGTTGATGACCTTTAGAGAAAGGTTGATGACCTCCATTGAGCGTCAACCATCAACCCGTCAACCTTCCTGCCGGCTACAGGCGCTCACAGCGCCGTATTCCATGCCATGTTCTACAGCAGTCTGCCAGAAAGTGACACAGCTCTTGTCGATATTCCCGACATTCGTCCCGAGGCCTTCGCCAACATGCTCAGGTATGTCTCGACCGTTACGGTATTTCTTATCACGTGGCGAGGAATATTCGGTGTGACAACGAAGCCATTTTGTCCAGCTTTATCTACACGGGTGCTGTGGCGGATTTCGATACGGATAACGTTTTCCCCACATTGATCTACGCGGACAAGTACGATTTGCCACTGCTGGTCGGCCTGTGCGCTGACTTTGTCTCGGCACAGCTGGACAGTCGCAACTGCCTGGATATGTGGGATACCGTATGTCGTTCTTTCTACCGCGCTTGTATTAAGTAACAGCGCCGGTTCGGTTAGAAGGTTGTTGTATTGCGTAGGCGGTTCAATTTGGAAGTATATATATGGCGCCGAGCATCCTGGAGAAGTGTTTATCCCTGATTGATGAATCAGCAGAAACTTTCTGGGAATCGGAACAGTTCGGCGCGATTGGACATGATAGGCTCTGCATCATTCTTCAACGGGATACGTTGACTGCCAATGAAGATACCATTTGTTCGGCGGTTGACAAGTAAGCCCCTTTTGAAAATCTCCATTTAATATTGTCATTATTAAAACAGATATGTTATCAGCCTACGGGAAAACTGTTCGATAAATTATATGAAAATGCAAAGGTTCAAAGATACTGCTGTCCGGCTAGTGGCGAATTAATTTTATGATAACACAGGAAATTTCAGCCCGCGAATTCTTGTTGCGCTGACGCTTATCACGCTTCTGACAGGTGGGCTGCCAACATGTGCACCCGACGGAACATGGAACCTTCTACCGAAAATCGACGCGAAGTACTGATTTGGTGGTTCATTAGGATTACCCAGACAGTAATCCTAATGAACATGGGCGCCTGCGACGACGCTGAGGCTATGATCCGTTGCGCCGGCGGCCGGCCCGGGACGCTTGTGTTTTACCGATGTGCGCCGCACATCGGCTCGTGGGAGAGAAGTATGGCGAAGACCATAAACGGCCTGGTGCAGGTATGCCGCATTGCGGAACGGGTGGTGTGGAGGGAGTGTCGCGTGGCTGAACAGCGTTTGACCGCTGTCGTGACGCAACACTTTCTTACCCGCCCACCGATAAGACAGCTGCCCGCGGCGTTATGGGAACTGTTTGAGGTGAATCTTGTTGTGGAGACACCGGTCGATCTTACGGTATTGTCGGAGTGGATTGCCGAGTTGATTCAGACGGAGCAGTTCTATGAGCTTCGACGGGTATTAGTTTTATTTAGTTTATTCAGAGAACAGACAAACTCTCGAGCCTGCTGGTCATCAATTATAAAGAGATTAAAGGAGTATTTTCTTAGATCCATAAGATATAAGACTCAATTATTCTTTAACAGAGCCAACAGCCAAAGCATTCAATGCCATCAATTTTTTCCGCCACCGTTTTTTAAACAGGGCTTGGTGATGCATGGATATCTGATTATTTATCAATATTTTATAGACTCTCGGCGATTACCAGAGCGTGGATCCGCGCTGTTCAACGCACTATCGCGACTGTCAATGGACACCGTCGGACGTCCGCGATTTGGATGTAAACAAACTGACCAAAATCACCATAGCGGCCTTGTACAATGCAATGAAGCGGGCCCAGATGCAGGCCGAATTTGCGGCCAGGCGTGCTTCCTATTCGGAGGTGGTTGCTATCCCGCGTGAAGTCCAAGATACCGGTGACCATGGCTATTCGGTCTACGGTCGAGGTGCGGCTGGACGCAGGCGTGGCCGATACCGGCACTGGGGCAGGTGACATTTGTGGCACGGAAGGCTGCGTCAGTCCTACTGACTTCGCGTTGCAACTGCAAAATTCACCTGAGCGCTGGGCGCTCACATGCCTATTAGATCTTCAAAATGCAGTACGCGCATATGGAAGACTTCTCAAATACAATAAGGAGCCAGGCAAACGTTGCATACGTGTACCCGCGCATCCTTCAGTGGCATAAATTTTCCTGATGGTTGTCATACCAGTGTACTGTATTTTATTTTTTCCATTCAGATTCTTTGGAGATTTCAGACAGGAAATAAATTAATTTAATCACTCCGTTCCTGAATAAATCAGGAAATAAACATATTTAGTCCCTCCGTTCCTGAATAAGTTTCGGAGTTTTATATTCATTCTTCCTAAACGCGCATGCGAAAACTCAAACTGTCTCAAAGTATGTTCCGTTAAGTACAGAGTACTACTTACGCATCACTGCAAAGTAAATGAATTTTATGTACAGATAAGACTCGTAGAAGCGATTTCGAGAAAACGCCAACCAAACAGCTGTTATTAACAAATTATCATGTTGATCATGTTTTACAAATTAAAGATCGGACAGAGTCTGGAAGCAGGTGGAAGATCGGGCTGTACAGTCACAAAAGAAATCCCATAAACATCACGCGGCAAATTCACACCGTATGGCAGCAGGGTGACCGAAGTTGCTACACAGCAGCTACCGGTATCTTATCAACTGCCGGTCGGTGGCGCTAGCGCACACCGTTGAGAAATTTACCTGCTTTCTTTTTTCCAGACATTCTGTTGTTTGTTGTTTGCAGAGCTAAAAAACGTCCTCGTAGTCTCTCATATCCTTACATGTTCCGAGGACAGACACTGCACTTCCCACGTTGTATCTCGATACTGATTTTCTGGCGCAAAAATTCTCCCGATCGAGGGTTATACCGCTACATTCGCAGACCTTGATTGACAAATCCTTGAAGTAATTTCTTTGTTAGCGGTCCAAGTGTTCCCGTAGTTTCAAAAGCCAAAGGTTGCACTACTTACATATGGATCCGCGAGTCCGGCCATTGTACTTCCGCAACTTCTGTTTTTCTCTTACTTCTGCCGCGCTTCCTGGAGCACGTGATGTCTGGCCTATGTAGGTTTGGGCAATTGTATCGAATGTACATAATCTTACAAGTTTTTGTATATAGATATAAGCTTTCGAAAAAATAGCGGATTTAATGTCTTTGGGTACGTCCGTACCAATTCTCGTTTTCAGTTAATTATGGATTCTGAAATTCATAGTTCTCAAATTTTCAAGGCGGCGTCACGGCAGCCAAAGACACAGTCAAGCTGAATAGAGGATACAGGATAGAGAGAAGGCAGGGAGTTCAGCTAGACAGACGGTTTGGTGGGCGGATCTTAGAATGCATCCCCTATCATTTCTTCCTACGAGATTTGTGGAATTCCATACCTGAGATTCCTTTCCTCAGTTGCTGCGTAAAGCATTTATAGCGCAACGGGACTACTCGGGCGCAATAAATACATCAAGAAGTACTGTACTGGTGGAAATCCGTAATATAAATGTATCAAACTTTTTCTCATTATTGAGCTATCACTCGCGCTCGTGCCGTGGTGTGGTATCAACCACCGCTAGAAATAGTGATATATGTTGATCTGATCCAAATCAAATCAGATCCAAAGCAACTGCATTACATGCGTTTGGCTTGCGCTGCAGAATACAATTGTTGAGTGCTAACCACGAATTGTGTCACATCATACCAGCGATGTAGCGATTTTAATCCGCAGATTCAGAATCCCTGCAGCTATGTCCCGAAATTCCTCACAAAACACGGACGCGGAGCGGCGTACCGGGATGGCAAAGATGAGTGATTGTGTAAAGCAGTTGCTGTGCTGTGAAGACATGAGCGATGTTCAGTTCGCGGTGGGACGTGATTATGGCCCCGTCAAGATCTTCTCAGCTCACCGGTAAGCGCTAAATTTGTGGCATCTTGTAGTGTAATTGGTTCTATCAATAAAATAAGAATACCAATAAAACGTTTGAGTCTGGTTGTTGTTAAAGGAAATGCGGTCGCTGTTTTTGGTACATTAAGAGCGCGACCAAAATTGGTAGGGTAAGCGTAGATTTTGGTAATGTTTTCAATGCACGGACGTATAAATTCGAACTTTTATTTAGTGTCTATCAGCGCTGGCTTGTTGTTATGTTAATTGGCTATTGCATGAACAACGAAAAAGGATACCCTAATGATATTTTATAATAAAATATCTACTTCAAGAGAGCTCGAGCTGTTTTATTTGCTCTAGCTATTGGCTTTTTTGAGTTTTAAATGTAAATGGCATTTGCTTGGACATATACAAGTTTGAAATAAAAATTAATACAAAAATTTTTAAAAAATACCTACGTTACACTTTATGATAAATATAGTACCAGAAATTAACGAACCGAGTTGTGCAGGACGAAGTTATCATGAACGTATACTGATGATAAAAATTATCATAACAATAGTGCATGAAAAAGAAAGCTGAAAGATAGTGCTGTTTACTGTGATTTTTGGATGTTTGTTAATGGTTTTGTTATGTTTGAATATGCGACTGTCTTATGCTAATAAAACTAAAGAGAGTATCGTTCATATGCGATTAAAAGAGGTGAAGGTAAGACAGGACGCTATGTAGATCAGACTGTGGATGTACAGATATTAAACAGATACATATTCGCAGTAATTACTACACAATGCAGTCGATTTTTCCTTCGCCATAATGAATTAGTTAATTAATTTCATCTTCTCAGTGATCGGTTTTATGATAAAGGTTGATAATGGGTGCGCGCAGCACGGTGTTCCATGCCATGTTCTTTGGCAGTTTGGCCGATAACTGCTCAGCTCCCATCGGTATTCCCGACATTCTTCCCGACGCCTTCGCTAATATGCTCAGGTATGTTGTCCGCTTTTTTATCGCCCTCTGCAGTGAATGCAGTGCATTACACTACGCCGTCCATTGTACAGCTTTATCTACACCGACGCCGTGACGGATTTCACCCTGGATAACGTCTTCTCCACACTGGGTTGCGCGGACAAGTACGACTTACCACTCTTGGTCGGCATGTGCACTGACTTTGTCCTGGATACGCTCAACACCAGCAACTGCCTGGATATTCTGGACAACGTAGGTCTCGGCGGCTTATCACGTTTTCCTGGCAGTTTACAGTCGCAGATATTAAGGAAAATGGCCCGGTACATCATGCCAAAAATGGGATACATACACTAAAACTTTCGCTTTCGCGCCCTCCGAATCACTTTATGTTACACTATGTACCGGGCCATTTTCCCTTAATCTGCTTGTGTTGCCTAGGCGATTCTGTACGAAACTTCGGCGCCGAGCATCCTGGTGCGGTGTTTATGTTTGATTGATACATCAGCGGTGTCGGTCTGGTTTTCGCCGCACTTCGGCGCGATTGGACAGGAAGCATTACGCATTATTCTCCAACGGGATACGTTGACCGCCAATGAAGACACCATTTGTGGGGCAGTTGACAGGTACAACTGGTAGAGCCGTACAGGCGCTCATTTGTCCAGAACATACGATCGAGATTGTTGTTGCGAGATCGAGACTGTTTTTGTCAGGTGGGCGGCTAACGTGTGCGCGCTAAGGAACATGGAGCCTTCTTCTGCCAATCGGCGGGAAGTACTGGGCCAGGAGCTGTATCTCCTGCGCTTCCCGCTCTTGAGCCATGCCGAGCTGCTGGATGGTCCCGTCAAGGTGCGGTCTTCTAGTCGGTTTACAAGTCTTGAGCTAAGGCAAAAGCGTTCAAAAAGGGCTGCCTTATTTTTCTTTAGAGTGGTTTATTGCTACAATCGGAGGGATGGGACATTTTCCACTACAAGAACGCTCGAAACAAACCGCCGCTGCCGTTCCCGACAAAGCCCCGACAAAGTTGGCGCATTCTCATGTTGACTATCGTCAGTGTTAAGAATTTCTAGTTGTATGGTGCGACTTTTCCTAGATGTGCGCGCAGAGGGTGTCATCACTTGTACGATTCCGGACGTCAGAACGCTCGAGAATACAAACGGGTATAGAAATACGTTCTGCAGTGAACCCATCGTCGTCCGGAAGCTGCTGTGGTAAGGTAGCGCAAAGAACAAATATCAACCAAGTCGTAGATAGGCTGGATGAAGTGTATTATATGCTGAAATAATGTGCTGCGTGATTTAGCGTTTGACCAATGTTCATAATTCTGTGTAACCCAATGAAAATATTTGCCGTACGAGTACGGTTTAAAAAAAGGTAGATCAACGCCATTACTACATATCATTGTGCAGGAGAATGCAGTTGGTTAAGAGCTTCTTCGGTGGAGTTCGTTCTTTGGGCATGTACCTGCAGTGCCGTGGCAATCCAGAAGCGGATTCGTGGGCGTGTCAGGCCACGGCGGAATTTCGTGTAATCCCGTGGAAAGCTGAAACTATAGCGGTTGCGAGCGGTGCGTTGTTTGCACGGTTATTCATAGCATACAATCTGCGCAAATGTTGGCTTAACATGTTGCAGTGACATCCCATCTGTTCCGCAAAGGCGAATATGATTCCCGATGCGTCGGTACTGTGCCTATGGAGGTAAAAGCATCTGTAAAACCTTTCGTTGCACTGGTTTAACGTAAGTTGTGTTCAAAGGTCTTACTGCAGCCGGGGAAAGGGTACGTCAATCCTAATGATTTCTCGTTGAAAGTGCGAATCCACGTTAATGCTGACCTGCCTAATGGAATTGAATAAACACAGTGTCAGCCGACGTTAATTATTACGTCTGCAATTTCTTACCAAAGTTGAGAAATTAGTCGTGTTCGTTGCTATCTTTGCAAGTGGATATTTTACGTCCTGTGCTTTCCTGTATCAATTCCTTTGAGATTCTGATATTGAATTATGTCTCTTTGCAGCTATGCAAAATAAAATAGTTAACTGCTGTGCAAAACTTGCAGAAAACAAAAGCAGGAACTACGTGTACCGGTGGTCCGGTGTACGTGCCAACTGCCAATAGAAAAATATCCACACCGCAGATATTAGATAATCCTTTTTTGTATGTTATTACTGTACTGTAAATGCGCCTGTGGTTTCGATTGCGAGCGAGAGGATAAGAAAAGACGAAGTGGTCTACGAGCCGTGCGATCTGAACCAAAAAAGAAATGCGGCGAGACAGCACGAGCGAGCGGAGAACAATTTCATGAGCGAGCGAAGAAGATTTTAGCGAGGGTTAAAATGACGGTATATCGTAATATCGGTGATTTTGATCGGATAAAATATCGGTGATTTAATTGATTTTGATTTCCTATTGCGAGTACAAGATTACAGCTGTTCACTGGAAACCACCGTAGTTGCAGTTGGCTGAACGGAAGTGGCTGTATCTGCATGGCACCATGTGGCAGTTACGTGAACGGAAGTAGCTGAATCTCAGCGTATCTGCATTGCGTTTTGCTGTTACTTAATTTTCAGGAGTCTGATTATTACTGATTTGCCAGCTGTGGGATGCAGCAACACACAGATTTGTTGTTTACAGTAACAGTGGATCATTGATTATCAGTGTTATCACTGTTGTTTAACGTCCGTTGCTTGTCTCGTTTCGTTTTGGAGTTACCGTTCCCAAACGCTTTTAGTGATTAATCCAGAGGCAAGCTGCAGATTGCGGACGTTCCGTTTGTGATTATTTTTTCACGCGAATTCGTTCTCGCAGCAGGTCTTTTTTAAAATTGGTCGATCTGTCGAGGTTTTATCGCATGTGCGCAGTACATGTGGGTACTGTGTCTACGTTCAGCTCGATTATATGTAATCAATGCGAATTTTGTGAAACTCCGAGGACCGTGAAGATGCTTATTCCCTGCCTTTATTTCCTTCGAAAGCTGTGAATTATGGACGAATTAATGGTCGTTCCACAAGAACACATCCAGGACAGCCCAGCTGCCCAGGTACGTCACATCTACTGTTCTCCGTCTCCTGTTGTTTCGCGACTGTTTACGCGCTATGACGGGATACTTGATAACTGTCGAGAAGAATTCTATGCGAAGTTGTTAGTTGCTGACTGTCTGGTTTCTTGTAGCCGTAGAAGCGCAGCTTCACGCCATTTGGTCCACCTCCACCAAGGACAGCTGCACACTGTACGACCGGAAACTGCGATGCAAAGCCAGAACAGTCTCAACGTCTCTCCTCTGAGCGATGATAATCATTTGTTTATCATTCCCGCACGAAACCGACGCCATGCTGCTCCCCCATCCGCACTCTCCCACCAGCTAAGGGACCACTATCCAGCTCTTCGGGGCAGCTTAAATTCAGATGGAAAAAGCGGCAACTACGCCAGTACATGTAAGAGTATCATTATTATTATTATTATTATTATTATTACGGCGCAAGAGCAGACAACCCAAAAGGGACTTCAAGTCTGGTCGAACAAAAACAATTTTCATGCTATAAAAAAAGCATCTAGGAAGATCAACTGATTTTTTGAGTAGAAATTCGAAAGCAGGTATGGAACTGGCTTCAAGAATTTTAGGGTTAACAGTAAGACGTTTATCAAGAAGACGATTAACCCTCCAGCGGGCGGTACCCGAAGGAGTGCGAATTTCCTTTTGAAAATCGGGATTTCCCGATGAAAAAAATCAATTAAGACAGGGAATTTTTTGTGAGCTTGTGCTGACCATAGGTCAGTGGTGGTGAGCATGTCGTTTGCCAACGCCAATGCCCATGGACAGTCTACGGCAGAAAAACGTTTAATTCTGTAATAATTAAGCAAATAGGCATTATGTCAGCGCAATAACTTCGTTATACAATACAAAAAAAGCACTTTAAAACAGGAATACAGAAGTGGTCAACAAATTGACCACTGGTCAGCAAAAAACTAAAAACGCCCAAAACTCGTTCTCAAGCATTTTGAACAATAATACAGGTATAAAAACCCAAAATAAACGATACTAGCAATAGTAGTTTTAAAACTTCCGTTACTCTGGCATATGGTACTTCACAAAGCAGTCCTTGTGTAATTTAACATTGCACTTGCTGCATTTCTGACACGCTGAGTTGCGTTTACACTGCCTGCATCGTCCGGGCTTGCATTTTTCCTGGATGTGGCTACAACTGTCGTAGCGGGCGGCATCAGAAATTGGAGTCGACGGTCCAGTTGCAGTAGTGATCGGCGGCGCATCACACATCAGCAGTTCTTCAACCAGCTGCGAAAGAAACTCAATTTGTGTGAGTTTGCCTCCTACTTCACCATGAACTCGCCATGCCGCAACCGCGATCATGGCAATGGAGTTTGAAAAAAGTGGCCACCACCACTTTTTGAAACGCAGCATCGGCCGGAAGTTACTAATAAACCGGTCACAAAGGTCAACACCACCCATATGTTTATTATAGTTGGCAATCATCCGCGGCTGGTCAATTAAAACCTTCTTCTTCGCGGCGCGACTTTATCGCTTTGCCTTTCCAAGAGGTGTAACGGTATCGTAGTTGGACGCGAGGCATACTGCGGTATTGTCATGCCACTTCACAGCAATCACATTGGCCGTGCAACAGGCAGCGTGGCTACCACGTTCAGTTTTTTTAAATTTTTTGTTGTCCGGAAACGGACATTTCTTCAGACGATTTTCACGCGCTGTGCCGGTGGCTCTAAAACCGAGCGCTCGCAATTCCTCCAAAAGCGCATAAGACGTAAAGAAATTATCGAAGAACACACAGTGTGCATCTGGACACTTGACCACAGACAACAATTTCAAAACAACTCGAGATCCAAGTGGCTTCAATAGTTCGGCAACATCCTTGCCCGTAGCATCTTTTCCAGTATACGCGAAAAATGTGTACGGATATCCCCGTGATCCACACAACACCCAGAGCTTGTACCCGAACCGGCATGGTTTGCCTCTCATGAACATTTTGCAAGAATGGTGCCCGAAATAAGGAATCATTTCTTCATCAACGCTAAAAAACGGATCAAAAATCCCGAACTGAAGAAGTTTTTCCTTCAGAAGAGTGAAGAAGGGGTTAACTTTGGCCATTTTATCCTCCGGATCCAAGTGATCGTTGTCGGCCAAATGGAAATATTTTTTAATTTTCTAGAAAAAATAAAATTAAATTATTACTGCCAACCACCCAGGGTGTCGATGAACAAATGCGTTTTTTGATGGGTTCCTGCAACCGGAAGTACGTGCCGTATGTTTTATGTCCGAAGCGACAAGACCTTATCCTGATTCCACAATAAAAAAATACTGCTTATATTGCACCCGCCCCAGGTGACGGCAAAACTGCACCAACAAAATTTATTTGCCTTTGCTCACCTCGAATCGTTTACATGACATCCTCGAAGAAACGGCCGGAAAGCTGAACAATGCGGAGCGCATCCAGAAGTGTCTCGTAGTAGGCAGCTGCACAATTCCGCTGTACAAGAGTATCCCGATGAACAAAAAAGATCACGCATGGGAAGCTGGAAATCAGCGTTGTTCTGTCTGGCATATCGTTCGGATTCCGTAATAATATGAGTCGCTACAATATCATCAAAATACATCTTAAAAGTTCCAAAGGTGTCTTGCTGATCAGCTCTGGATGTTCGTTTGCAAGCTTCCTCGGCATTTCTCCCGTGTGCTCTGGAAATGGCACGACAGCGCTCTCGTCAGGCTTCCAGTCTACTTCCGGCCGGAGAATGACGCCTTTCTTTCGCTTTGGAGCTGGACCGTCTTCGGCCTCTGAATCAGTCTCGTAGCAAACATCGAGATCTCCAGCCACATCTTTGGGCATTTGCGGTCTCAGATCATTTTCATCAATATCCTCTGTATCCGAGCACACACCAGCTTCCGGTGGAAGACAAACGATGTCAATCTCTCGGTGTGGTCTGTTTGTCAATTCCTCAAAAATATCCTTTGCCTCTTTAAGCGTTTTTGCCCGTGTTTGAGGCATTTTTAAAAAGTACGCAACGAATAAAGAAATTATTATTTTGCAAAATTTTCACGCGGGAAGAAGCAAATAAAAAAGTGGGAAATCGTAGTAGTGGATGGTACACTAAGCAGTCACAGCTGTGCATGCGTTACCGGCTTTGTTGCTGCACGCTGGTTTTTTTCAAGCGCCAAATTATTAGTTGTCAAACCACCACTGCAGTTGCTCAACAAAGACATTGCAAAGAGCTCTTCTGCTTCACGGCGGAGGTGATTTTTTAATTTTCGAGTGTTTTTAATAGATTTACTTTGTTCGCACGCGTTTTTACTTTGTTCGCACGTTAAATTTAACAATTATGGAGATTATGGAATTATTATTTATGGAACGTGATTTAGTTATACCGCAATGGTTGAAAGCCATTGTACAGAAGCAGATTGATTGTGGGAATACTGGCAAGAAAGCGCGGAGCGAGATTTATCGTGCTGTGTACTGGAAACTGAAGGTGCGTGTTTCCCTCAAGCTGGATACAAATTTGAGAGAGATTTATTTATGAGTACTTTTGAGGTTCTGTGATTGTGATGATTGTATCTGGTGTTTTTTACAACGGTTTTGCAGCAACCTTTAGTAGTTTTTTTCGTGATAACAAAATGGCAAAAAGCTGGAAGACATCAAAACTGCTGTTTATCCCGCTTGTCTGGTGGATGCATTGTGTGAAATGTTCCCAGATGAGAACAAGCACCAAGATGTAAGCGCGGTGTACACTAATTATTTAAAATTTTTAATTAGCAGTTAGAATAAAAGCTATTTGACTGCTCGTTTTTTAACATTCGCAGTACGGCCCGTCGAACGTGACGTTAAAAGACATTGCAAGTTTACGATGAATGGATTACAGCGCACGTGGCCAATTCCATGTTCTTTTAGACCCTTCATGGGCAATGGCGTTAGCAAGTAACACGTGTGTTTGACGGACAATGGCCTTGCAGTGTTTGACTTTTGGATGCCATGGTGGACATTTCTGAATAAAGCATTATCACTTGTACCTTGCTGATTTATCTCGAATTTATTGAATCATCGACTAGAAAGTTGTTGACCAAGGCACGCAGAGAGCTCAGACAAGTCGAAATTAGCGATTTTCGCGCACCTGTAGTTTTTAATTAACTTGAGACATAAGGTTGAATAATGTTTTTATTGTTGCTTTGAAGTCCCTTATTGCTTATTTCGTTATGGGTTATCGATTAACTATTGCCGCTCGCTGGGGAAAAATTCTCAAACACCTTGTCGTTTCCTAACACCAATGCCCGTCAACGGGTTAAGCCGCATTTCCATAATCGACTCTCCGATAACTTTCCTTGCTTCTATCAGAGACCCGCATCAGAACAGTATTTCCAGCAGCGGTGTATTAGAAGTGTCTTTTCTGTAGTGCTATGGAGGTGCGAGAGCTGCGTCCTCATGCAGTCGAGTGATGAACCTTGCGTGCTGCATTCACCACTAATGAAGGACACGCCAACGGTGGCCAAAGCGTACGGCACTCTACCGGCGCAGCTGTACATCGCGCAGAAAGACGGGATGCTTGGTAAGGTTTAATCAATTTAATTTAATTCGCATCAGAGCGGGCAGCCCATTCCCGCTACGGTGACAGTCTAGCACGGGATTTTAACCTGGCAGGATAAAATAATATGTAGTAACAGGTATCATCCAACTGAAAAAAATGAGGAAATTCGTACAGTCGCACACCAGTAAGTAGCTAAAAAATCCAAGACACCTGTCATTCATTATAAAAACCAGCTATGCGCAGAGCTGTATTAAAACAGCCAAGGGAAAGTAACTCCAGCGCAGTACTTGCGGTACGGTTCATTGATGTTTGTGGCGAAAATCATAATAATTTATTTTATTTGCAGTACATGTATACTGTACTCGTGCCAGTCGTACGAGTGTATTCGTACGTACAAGTGCGAGTACTAGGTTCTGCACTGATCGAGGCCTCTGTGATAAACCGCGCAACCGGTTATAGCTCGTTCAGTTGCGCAACCGGCTATTTCTCCATTCAACCGCTAAATCCGCTTCGTACGACTGCCGGTTCAGTGTACGCGCGGTTGCGCTGTGTAAAATGAATGGGCAGTGCAGCGTACTGTATGAGTGGGTTGATAACTTGATATGATGACATTGTGATTTCTTTACTTTACCGGCAGATCAAGGTGTCTTTGCCAGAACGGCCATCCCGCATCCGACCGTATTCGGCCCGCTGGTCGCTCCCCTGACACGGCAGGCTAGCGTCACCTTCACCGTTGATCAGCGTTTTGGCCTGCGTGACCAGAACAGCCGCATCCACGGTGTGCAAGTGTTTGATCTGGACTGCGATGATCGGTGTAACTGGGTGAAATTTGTGCGGGAAGCGGTGCGTGCCGATCGGCAGAATCTCGTGGCCTTCTGCCACAATGATGCGGTTTATCTGGCCACTACAAAAGATATCCCGGCGGATACGGAGCTCTCCTTCTGGTACTCCGAACGCTATGGCCAACTTCTCAATAAAGAAAATCTGGCCTTGGAAAATCTGCCGTCACAAGGTATGGTTGGAACTTGGAACCTCTTAGCTGTTTATTAATTTCGAAAATAACTGTAATCTTTAATTCTGGTGTGTTTAATAAGTATCCTTTTTTGTAATATTATTACTTTAATTTTTTTTGTCCGTTGATTATTGTGGATAGTTCTTTTAAGGTTATTTACCGGAGAATGACGAGAACGAAATCGAAGCAGCGAACGGCGATCAGAACGAATATTTGCCAACATCGGAGCATTTGTGTGACGTTGCGGAGAGTGTACAACATAGTTTGGCGGATTTCGTGGCAACTGGAGATTGTCCAAACAACGGTGATGCCGACGACAGAAAGGTCAAGAAAAATCTGGGCAGCAACAACACACTAACAGCCGGTAAGAAAAGCGACGATACCATTTGACATTATGACTTTTTCAATGGCTAGAATTAAATTGAAAATTAATTATTAAATATAAATTTCTGATTTATTTCATTGAAAATTTATGACAAACTTACATGTGTTAATCACAACGTTTTTCTAATTTCTGTCATTTAAAAGAGATTTAATTTTAGTTAGCGGAAAGTAAGGCAACTTTATCAAACACTAAATTCTGTAATCATTGAAAAATTAATTCGGTTTATTGGACAGTTTCCATACGTTTCCAATGGAAACGTATGGTATGGCATAGAACTGCAGCTTCATGAAATTCAGTACTTTTGTCGTTTTTACAGTTATGGATATTTTCACAAATCTGCTGTTTTTAATATAATTAAAAACATTCAAATTTCGCAGCTGTATTCATTTTCCGTTACCCTTGCTTTCCGCATGAAAATTTTGATTTATTTTTGCAGAACGTCGTCGCTTGCGTTCGGATGGCGGGCGTCCACCCGCGACGCCGGTTGCCGCCAAAAAACCGAAACGCGGCTACTTTTATGGCGACCGAAGGAAGAACGCTGGCTAATCGACTGGTTCGAGGATCCGGAGAATTTCAAGCAGTGGCGACTGGCGCATGCCAAAACATCGAACTATCCCATGACGTTAAACAAGATCGAAGTCGCCGGTCTGATCGCCGCCCTGCTGGCGGACAAGGGCGGACCCGGCACCCGGCAGCGTACCGCGCAGAATATTCTGGATAAGATCTTCCAATTACAGTTGAAAGGCATCCTGCCGAAAGTTGTCGTCACCGTGGAGGAGAACGCGGAACAACCGGCGGAAAATAACGCCGACAGCTGTGTGCCTTTGGAGGGCGACGCAGATTCGCCGGGCTTGGATTCCGTGGATGATATGGCGAAAGACAGTACTGATTCTCCACAAAGTGCGCCAACTAATGTAAGGGTTGAAATAAGATTTTCAAACATTTCACGCTTCAGGCTTCAAAATTACGATCAACATTTCGCACTTCAGGCATCACAATTACGAGTAATTCAGAATCAAACCGGACATTTGCAACGGCATGAAATACAATAAAAATTACCTTTTTTTAATGTATACTTTTATTTGCTCACGGTGTACAGACCGATACGTTTGCACAAGTTTACCCCAATAAAAATTAATAGATTCTAAACTTTGAAAAAATATCCAAAATTGTAAATAAGAAATGTTATAATTTTTAAATATACGTCTTAGGTGGAGAAATTGATAAAATTTATTGACTATGTAAGGAAAATGGCCCGGTACATGGTGTCAAAAATGGGATACATACACTAAAACTTTCGCTTTCGTGGACTTCGAATCACTTTTTTGTGATACTTTATGTCATTCTAAAGCTAAATGATTTGTATACATTGTTTTGAAAACCGTTTGCGCGCGCAGCATCCGGTTGCCGAGATATGGTGTACTAAAATCGGCGAAAGGTTTAAATGCTGCTAATCGTTTTTTTTTAAATTTTTGTTTTTATAACAGAAAAGCAACAAGCTTGTTTTATTTTCTGAATTTGTTTTTAGATGAAAAAATCATGGCTCAAAACTCTTTGAATTTCCACCCTAGGCTGATAAACCCCGAATCAAACGGCGCTATCACAAATGGTTGGTGGAGGAGGAGAATCTGCTTATCGAGTGGTTGAACACAGCGGATAACTACGCCAAATGGACTGGATCGGTCGGGCACGACGGACATCTTAATTCCCGCAAACAGTTCAATGCCCGGCAACATGTCTTAAAAGAGATTGCGGCATTTCTCGTCAACCGGGGAGACGAGCGTTCCAGCCAGCCACGCCAACTCAAATCCATCGAGGACAAGATTTTCCAGATGGAGCGCAAACATTTCGGGAAAATCAGCGCCAAGAAAGGTACAAAACGGAAATCACCTACAGCGACACCAGACGACAATGAAGCATCCGCTGGATTACAAAAGAAGTCGAAAAGGTCGCGTAGTTTTCGAGGCTACCATAAATGGTCGGAGCGGGAAGAGGAGCTCTTAGCCCAATGGTTTGATGAGCCAAAAAACTCTGCGCAATGGAAGCGCGCAGGACCGAACGAAGATCAGACGAAGACGGATGTATCCGGGGTTATCGCGGAGTATCTACGGATAAGATGCCAGTCGGACGCGTCAGCCAAATCTGTGATGGACAAGGTACCGTTTCTGGAGGATGACTGGCGCGCTGCGAATGAATATATGCAGCTGATGGGAAAGCCGTGTTTGTCGTGGCGCGAAGCGTGGCAGTTGAAGCGAAAGCTCGCCGGACGACACGATACCGATGAGATGGAAAAGGTTCGGTTAAAAATTAAAAAAAAATTATCGACATTTTTTGATTCGACCCGAATGAAACTGTTAGAGCGGCAGCCGCTCTCTGTAGGATCGTTTGATAAAACATTTCGATAATAATTTGTATGCTTTGCCGATAGCCTAGTGGTGCCTCTCTCGGCCTTAGAGTATGGAAGTTGTGGGTTCGATTCCCTCAATCGGCAGATTTTGTCCGAAGTTCTATACGATCCTAGCACATCCCTTGCAAAACTAATGTTAATTTAAGGTGAATTTTCAAGAAAGCAGCAGCTTCCTAGCAGTTTGCTGTTCTGAAGTGTATTATGTGTTGAAACGATGAACTGCGTAATTTTTCCTTTAACTTATGTTAATGTGAATAACCCAGTAAATTCCTACTTTATACACGTATAATGATTCGAACATTTTAATTTTTCTTTACAAACCGTGTTTCAAATTACAGTTACATGGAGACCCGTTGTAAATTTGAAATGAATTTATTTGTAACTTGAAATTTAAAACATGTAAAACTGTGTGTTCAACCGTAGGAAAAGGATGCTGTTCCGATCGACCCAGATGACGAAGGAGGATGTCAAAATAATAATAGTAATAATAATAATAATAATAACGGCGTGGAGGGAATCCAGCAAGAACGCTTGGACTATCTATCCCGCAAAGCGTTATATGACCGCATCTGGCCGAAAGATGCAGTAGAACGAAGAAAACGCCGGAAGAAAGTCCAGGGTAGGCCGGATTGTCATTACGGGTGGTGCGCGGACTGCCAGCTGGAATTTAAATCCCGCGCCGCGCGAAAAATTCATTTTCTCCAACATGATGCGGATGCCATGCAAAACGATGATGAGGAGATTCGGCAGTGCCCGGAATGCGCGTTTGCCGGGACCTGTTTGCAGGAGCTCATAGCGCACGTGGATGAGCGGCACACCCGGAAAGATCTACATACTTGTGCGCGCTGCAACAGGTCGTTTATTTCCTTTAAAAGACTGGAACGGCATATTCAACAGGTGCATTTGCTGTCGGATGCCGAGAAGCCGTACGAGTGTCCGACATGCCACAAGCGGTTCGCCATTAATAACACTTTCGCGCGCCACGTCATGGTAAAATTGATATTAATTTATTGTCATTTATCGTGTTTAGTTTTTGAATGGTCTGTATATTATTTTGTTAATTATTCGTTTTCTCCCTTATTTATTGATAAATTCTTTTTTGATTTTAATTGATTTTTTTTCCAACAAAAAATTTATTTTTCAATAAGCACATCAATGAGCACCACTCAGTAAATGCAATCAAGTGAAGAATTCGTCCCAATTAACACGAGAAAACTTTACCACGCATAATTTAACTAAATTCTACAAAGTATATACAGTACGGTTTTAATAGGCAATGAACATATAATATTTTCATTGCCTATTAAAACCGTACTGGACATAAAATTTCGTTAAATTGAATTTTAGCTACTGAGTAGCTAAAATAGATTGTAATAACTATGTATAAAAAGTTGCATGTTTTTTGTCTCCGAATGCAGTCTCACGATGGACCGGTCAACATAAAATGTCCGCTGTGTGACGAGAAATTCCGCACCACCACCCTCCTCTCCGACCATCTCCTGGCGTCCCACTCCGTCGACGGAGACCTCCTGTGCTCCATCTGCAACAGCCAGTTCCCGGTGAAATGCCCCACCAGCTTCCGGGACTTCCGGCGGCATGTCCGCAAGCACACCAGCAGCGGGGAGTTTGCCTGCACCCTGTGCGACAAAGTTTTTAGCCGTCGTGAAGGATTACAGGTACATACGAAAGGGGTGCACAGTGTGGCGCGGGAACATGTCTGTGAATGCGGCAAATCGTTCGCAACGGCGCGGCATCTCGTGAATCATCGCCGGTGGGTGCACACGGAAGGGAAGGTGGACGGGCGGAAGACGGCCGGTAAAAAAATGGCGACCGGTAAAAAGGTCACGCGGATGGAAGGGAATCGCAGGGATTACGTTCCCCGCAGAAGTGTAAACACTACACGGAATTCCCGTTCTCCTGTGAGGAGTGTCAGCAGGGTTTTGTGCGCCGCGGGATGTTCGCCTACCATTTAACGGTGCGCCATCCGGAGCGGTCGCTGGACGCCGAGCCGCAGTTGACACTGTCCAGCACCCTCATGCAGGGCAGTGCGTCATCATAAGGATACTTCTGATCGCTTTCCCATTTGGAGCTTTTTCACTCGAACTTACTGGAGTGATTGTGGTGCGCACTGTGCTTGTTGTACTACCGCTGCACACTGATTTTACACCTGAATGGATTGAATGTGGATGCACAGAGCCGAAGCATTCTTATTCTCTGTAAGGCTGTGTGTGAGCCCCTTATTTTCCTCTTGCGTGAAATTTGGAAATGAATTGTGCTTAGAGTTGAAAATCTTTTTTTTGCTGTACTCTGTACTTACAATATTGAGGATTTGTTGGTCTGTGGCAGTTTATGATACCTTGTTTTCGGTTGGGGCTTTGGTTTGTTTGCACTCTGACCTTTGCTATCGGTGATTTCTAGTTGAACTTTTTATCTTTTGTAAAACACGCTTCGGCGTTGTTGTTGTTCCTGTTGTACTGCTAATGTTATTGGCATTGAAGATGACGAGCACAAGTACAGTCAGTACTCAGTCCGGTTGTCCTTGCGTGCCACGCCGTTTAGCAGGTCTTAGAATGGATAGCTTCGCTCGGTCTATTATAACTCATAAACATAAGGCTTTGCCGCATAAGCATAAACAAAAAGCTTAAGTTAATGAAAACTGTACTACAAAGTACATAAACATAGAGATAAAGATGGATGAACATTAGACTTCCGTCGCAACAGTGACCGGTGCTCAATGAACCGGAAACATGGACTGCTGCTGGTCGGGCGACAGCCGCCGCTGTACGTCGTTCGTCTGAACGCTTGCTTTTTTGCTTTGGCTAAATTGCTATGACAAGTTTTGCATTTTAATATTAAATTAATCAGTTGCAGCTGCTGATTTTATTTAGATTTTCATTACTTTGAAAATGGCGAAAATGAGATGTTTTGTTTATACGTGCGAAAATCGTCGAGGGGCTGATAAGAAGTTGAGTTGGCATTCTTTTCCTTGTAAAGAGAAAGAGCTGAGTCGTTGGGAAGAATGGTATAGTTTTTGTGAGCAGGCTAAAGAACCATCTTCACAAGCAGTAATTTGTTCGGAGCATTTTAATGCTTCTGATTTCAATTTTGCTTATCAGTTGGCATTATGTGGAGAAAGTGGCAGACGTCGATTATTAGTACGTGATGCTGTGCCGTCGAAGAAGAGTCCAAGGGTTGTGGATACGCAAGAATGTTCTAATGCAGCGGTTACAACAGTGAACGCTCCTTCCTATCTGCTGATGTTTGTTGCACAAGAACCCGATGCACAGCTGCATGGTGCAGCATCTTCGGAAGGTTCTGCTGCCGTTGCAGCCCAAGCATTTTCCAGCATGCCTGCTGCCACATGCCCGTCGCCAGCAGCATTATCGTTGGATTTCGGAACGAAATCGAGGAAAGGTAGGCATCGTGCTTGCGAGGGGGGGTCCTTGATGCCATTTTTCCAGTTCTAGGTTACTGCAAATTTAACTTTAAAAGCAGTACTTGGGACGTTTACCGCATTCCGAACACTCTCACAGAGTACGGATTCGCGTACAGCACACCAGAGACAGGGCATCCTCTGCGTTGCTTTCCACATTAAAGAAAGCTTGTGGTTTTTTTTTATTACGAGCTTGTACAACAACGCAAATTATCACATAATGAATTTTCCCAAAATTTCTTCCTGTGCTGCTGTGCAACAACGCGGAGAATATCGTGTCTCGAGTCTGCAGTGCGGCGAATCCATATTGCTGAATGTTCGGAATGCGAAAGTACTGCAATCGAAGTATTGAAAGTTATCTGTATGTTTTAGGGTGCAGATCAGAAAATAACGGAACTACGCAATCCAACGGTGGCTGCGTTTACTGCTCCCGGAATGTCCCGGATGAGCCGTGCCCGGTGCATTCGCGGCGGATCCCCGATACCAAGGTGCTGCCCTTGGCGCTGGCCACGCTCCCCTCATCCCTCTCCTTCATTCGAAAGCAGGCTGATGGTAAGAAAGACTGCAAAAAGAACGTTACTGTATCGTGCTTTTGATTTATATTACAAATTTTACTATGTTGTTTTACATTTTTATTTGTTTTATTACCTGTGCGCTATCTTGGACCTTGGTGCTCCTTGCTTGTACTATGGCACCGTATATGTCAGTTATGATATCCTTTGCAGCTGTTCCGAGCGGCGTTCGCGCGCGGTGTCGCATTGCCGCCCGCACCGTCATGGGCCCGATGCGTGGCGTAACCTGTTCCCACGCGAAGCTGCAGCGGACCCTTTCCACCCTTGATGACCGTTCCACGCTGCACAGGGATGCAGGCTGCCACACGGAGTCTCTGCACGGCTGCAACTGGATGCAGTTCGTTCGCTTGGCCCGCAACACGGCCGAGCGGAATTTGAGTGTGTACGATATGGGCGGACAAGTGTATTTTATGGCGATGAGAGAGATCATCGGTGGGGAAGAACTGAGGGTCTGGTACTCGGCCCGTTATGCCCAGGAGATGAAGGTCACGAAGCGGCTTAAAAAAGCTGATAATCAGTCGGGTGAGTTGTTACACCTGGTGATAATATTATTTTGGTGAAAACGGAGATCATAATGATCAAAATAAATATTTGGTAAAAAAATTCGATGGAAATATTCACTGAAATTTAGCTTGCGTTAGCCATATCAGGGTAAAAGCTACGGCTGTGTTAAGTGTTTCGCCTGTTACCCATGGGAGGATAGCGATTTTGGACGTCTTTTTAATATCTAAATTTTAACTGCAAAGTGGTGTGCCTGGGACTGGATCTTTCGTTATTTTGATGGCTTTTGCCTAATAAATCAGAAAATAAATTGCCTAATAAAATTGCCTAATAAATTTTTGCCTAATAATTTTAATAGGCGACTTAATAAACTAAATTGCCTATTAAAGTTTGTATTTTTTTAGCCATGCACCAGCTGAACGCTGGTGACGATGTCCTGCCGCAATTGCACGGTGATGATCTCGTTGGCGAGTCTGCTTTGCCCAGTTCGCCGGATGAAAATGTCATGTTGAGCGGCGCCGATGATCTCCTTCCACCGGAAACGCAGGATTCAATTTTTCCCGAAAGAAACATAACGGATGATGACAACGAAGATCTGAACCATGTGAATGTCGTTACGGACCCGGAAATGGACATAGAGCACGGTAATTTATCGCTCGGTTGATTTATCGACCATCGCAGCGAAGCGAAGGTCCTTTACTCTGAAGAAATAGGACTTTTATCGATCACGCAGTTAAAATTTTTGCAGCAAATAATCCTGAGAGAATCGACACGTTCATTATAACAAAATCGAATATGGAACAATCAAATTCTTATAAATGTGGTAAAAGAAATTCGGTATCCTGCTTGGCTTGGGTCTTTTAGTGCCAGCCAGCAGCGGTGCACTTCCCCAGTGAGTTTTTCTAATATTTATTTTGAACAGAAGAGGAAGATGCGGATACACTGCTGGATGCTGGCGCAGAGGATAGTGACGCGAGTTACGAGCCAAAAGATCATCGAAAACGTAAGTACTCGTAACTTTGGGTCGCGACGCAAGCACCGGAGGTTTGCCCGGTTTACTGGCATTAATTTTCGCCTCGTCCGGAATTTTTCGGCCGGTTTCATGCTGCCGGCGTTTATTTCGAATTTACATTCTGTAAATTTTAATGTTGCTCGCAGAATGGTTGCTTGTATTTGTGATGACCAGAGGGTGACCTTCTAGTTTGTGCAGAATTGCATTATGGTGATAATAACTATTCTTTTATCATTGCTATATCAAGCAACAGTGCGAGGAGCGAAACCCCGTAACCGGAGATATTGTTACGAGGCTGTGAAAACATGCGTTTCCCAGTTCAGAAAATTTTCATACGTTTTTTGGTTTGATTACCTCGGATAACACTTCTCCGATGCCTTTCTTGTCATTGAGGCATAGATTTATTATGCCATTAGGTTACCTAACTTACGTAGTGTTTTCTTGGACAATATGCCATCTGTTGGTATTTTTTTTATTTTACCGTGAAAAAAAATTTTACCGTGAAAAGTTATCGAAATGTCACATTTTCGACATGTTTTGAGATCTCGATAACTGCGTGGTGAAATGGCTTGAAACCCGTTTCTTAGGGGTTATTTGATGCGCTGAGCACGAATCTGAAGTCGGTTTTCGGTGTTACTTGACAATGTTATTTGTTTGCAGTCATGCGCCGCCGCGTGACCCGTTTCCGTCACGATAATCCCGAGATGGTGGCCCGCCTGGAAGCCGTCCTTACCGTTAACCCGTTTCAGTACGCCCAGGGTAGTAAGGAACAACTCGACGCCTGGGACGCCGCGGTGCGCCTCCTGGACCCGGCCATCGTCACCACACGTAACCTTCTTCGGTTTACCGTTGGCGAGTGCCTGCGGATGGCGCCCAAAGCCGCTCAGCAGTTTGACAGCGATGCGGGACCGGTGTTCCAGCGCACAAGTATACAGGCTCAGCATCCCTTCGCCCGATTATCTTTCCTAACATTGTGGCTCTGTAGGTATATCGTCAGCATTCGCAGCACGGTGTTCTATAGGATGTTCTACGGCAGTGTGCCCGAGAAAGGCTCGCAGATTGACATTTCCGACTGCATGCCCGATGCGTTTGAGAACATGCTGAGGTACAGAGGATGGGTACTTATCTGTACACTGCGTGGCAGCACGTACACCGTCGTGAAGGCATGCAGAGTGGCTCACACTCATTGTGTTATGTTTGTACTCGTACAGCTACATGTACACCGATAAAGTGAAGAAACTCACCGTGGATAACGTTTTCCCGACGATGCGCTGTGCCGACAAGTACGATTTGCCGCAGCTGGATCTCATCTGCGCGGAATACGTTGCCACCCAGTTGAATGCCGAGAACTGTATGGCCTTGCTGGAGCTGGTAATATTCTTCTACCGCGTGGATTTTTACCGTGCAATGTTTTCGGTTATTATGACTTTTGCAGGCCATTCAGTGGAAAGTTGACGACATTGTGGAGAAATGCTTGCAGCTGGTGGAATTACAGAGCGATGTCATTTTGAAGTCGGAGCAGTTCACGGCCATCGCGCAGGACACGTTGAAGATGGTACTGGAGCGCAGCGCCATCTCCGCGGAAGAGAACGCCATCTATTTGGCCGTTGAACGGTACTTGTATACAGCGGACACAAAATGTTTGTTTTCTGAGACATATATTTCTTTATACGGCAAATGTTTTCGGTGTGATAATCGAAGCATTTGTTTATTGTAGGGTGATGATGCAGTAGTTTATTTCTTGTAGTTCGGCAATTTTTGCCTCAAAGAGTGAGGCAAAAATTGCATTCACTACTCGTACAGTAAATTTGAGGCTTAAACTTACTGTACGAATGCGTGGTTGTGGTTGTATGCGTACTGTACCTGTTGGCTGCTGTACTTACTGCTGCACTTTGATTTTTCTCCTGTATAGATGAATGTATGGGTAGAATAGATGTAGGGGATGCACAGAGCCAAAACATTCTCGTTTTTTGTTTGGCTGTGAAAGCCACACCCTCTGTTTACGCCTCTGAGGCCAAAATTCCCTGATGAACTGTAGTAAGTTCCTCGCACGCAGAAATCATGTGCTCTGTCATCATGTTGCAGATGGGCCGTGGAGGCGTGTAAACGGAGCGATCTGGAGCCCTCCGGGACTAATCGTCGGAAGATGCTGGGCAGGGCGCTATTCCTGGTCCGCTTTCCGCTCTTGAACGGCGCGCAACTGGCCGAAGGTCCCGCCAAGGTGAGCCCGTCGCAGCATATTTCGATGCGCTTTTCATACGGGAAACGCTCTTGCTGCATGACTGAACTCGAGCCAAGTGGCCCACAAATCGTTCATACGAAAATCAAATATTACTTAGAAGTTACCTTCCTGCATATTTTGGCAATGGTTGTTGGTTGAATTCAGAACCAAACACATGCGCTTATTTGGAGTGCTGCGTATTTTGAAGAAGCGCGAAAATATTTCAAAGCCCGGATTGCATGGTCTTAAAAAATCTCATAAGGTCAAGAAAGTATGACCACACAGTCATTGCCAGTGGGGACTGTACTGTCACCATTTTTCTGACGCTCATTAGAGCTGATGCAGTTGAGTGTTCAGTGTTGCTTATTATGTGCTCGGGCTGCGCTATTTTGGGAGAACTTGGATGATCTTCTACGTTTGTCCACAACCTCGTGCAGGTTTCTGATCGTTGTAGACATTAAGGTGATTAAACAAATAAACGAACAAGTAATCTGAATATTTTTTAATTTATTGAGCTCTATGCACAATCCGTTTGGGACAGTCCTACAGTGTAAGCATCCTGCTTGCACTACACATGGGACGGTGAGAGTATGGCAGTTTAATTCCTGACGCTTTCTCTTCCCTTGACAGACTGGTCTACTGCTGGAAAGCGAGTTGTTGAGTATCTTCATACACCAGAACGGCGGCGTTCAGCCGCCGCTGCCCTTCCCTACGGAATGGCGCGGCTGTGCGGCCCTGCGCATCGGCCAGCTGGAGTTCAAGCCGGGGGAGGAGGTGTTCGCTGAAAGCCCGTCCGGCAGGTGGTGGCAGTCGGCCAAGATTGTCGGGACGCGGCAGGCGCGCGTGGTGGTGAAGTGGTGCGCCAGCGGCCAGGAGGATAGTTTGGCGGCCGAGAAGGTGGTGCGGGCGACGGATATCCTGAAAAGCGGCCAACCGATGTATACTGACGTGGGACAGGGGCCGCGCAACGGCACCTACATGACACTGCACCGCGAGACCCATCATCGTATCCGCTACAACGAGCGTGATGAGGGGTACTGTACCTTCTCCGAACTGCTGCTCCACGCAACCCAGGTCGCGACCTGGAAAGCCAATAAAGCGAACTGGATCCCTGGGCTCGGTTAGATGCAGCGGAGGCTAGCTTGTGTATCTTGGTTTAATCTGCTTGATGTCTACAACCATCTGGACAACCGTGCACCAGGAAGTGTGTTTTTAGGATGACTCTTTCGCAGTTAGATGGGTAACCAATGTTTGCGTGATAAATATGTTATATGCTAAGTCTGCGCGTGCTTCAATATGTTTTTGTGTACTTTACGAGAATGCCATTAAATTTAAGACATGCACCTTAGATGTCGCTGTTGTTTTGGCCATGTGAAAGTTTTGAGGAGCTGCTCACGCTGACAAACGTTGTGAGTTCATTGTGCGAAGTGGTTACTGCAGTGCGCGATTACTTTAACCCTTTGTGTTCGCTTAAGACTCGTCTTTTGAAACCCTACTTATTACTCCTGGCGCTGTCGGTAATAATTATTTCAGCAAAGGGGCCTGGTTTATCTGTTGGTTGTTTCATCACCTTGGTACAAGAGATTTTTAATTAAAGTTGACTTGCGGCAGCTTGCTAAAGTCAGTACTTTTAGACAAAAACGCAAGCCACACCGCCCAAGTGTCAGTAAATCGGATTTTCGGATGACAGCCGCCACAGTACGACATTGGGATGAACGTTGGTTTGTCTCCGCATGGCGACTCTGTCATAATCGACTTGTACATAGCACTTTCTGAAATATTCTCCACTAAACTGACTAAAATGTAAAAAGACACTAATTTCTAAACATTCTACACTAAATACGGTACTGTACATTCTCCCTTGTTCCTATCACCTTATCCTGCAGAGTGGACCGCATTCCTACTTCAGCCTGCAAGATTATTTCTACTTCGCTTGAGCTTACTGATCATTGCAGGGTTGTTGTTGACTTGTGGCGTTAGTGGTCGTTGTGTGTATTCGTAGCCTGTTGCCAGATTCTGGCATGATCAACACGCAAATGACGTCCCAGAATCTTTCTGAATCGACACCACATGAGCGACGCGATCCTTTCTCGGGACTGTATAGCTGCACCAAGGAAACGCTAGTCAGTGGAGATCTGAGCGATGTGCAGTTCTCCGTCGGTGGAGATTTTGGCGCTGCAAGGGTCTTTAAAGCTCACAAGTATGCATGTCCACCTGCAGTTCTTTGTTATGACGTTATCTTCGCTAATTCTCTGGCTCTGCAGGTACATTGTGAGTATTCGCAGCCCGGTGTTCTATAGGATGTTCTACGGCAGCGTGCCCGAAAAGGGTCCGCAGGTTGACATTCCCGACTGCATTCCCGACGCTTTTGCCAATATGCTCAGGTGCGTAAATAATGTTACTAACCATAAACAACAATTATATGATCCTGTAATTCCTGTTGTAATTTGTATTGATGCATTACACATCACTTGCCTGGGGAGGCATGGAGGAAAGGCGCCTTAGGATATGGTGGGGGGGGGGTGGGGCATTATTGTGAATTGTTACATTAATTTAATTTTAGCAAATGGCTAGAGGCACTCCCTTTCGTCCCCGTTATCTATAGGCACCCCCTTTCGCACCCACTTAGACTATAGGCACTTTTCGATTAATTAAGTCTAATAGAAAAGGGGTACCTATAGTAAAACAGGGTGCAAGAGGGGTGTTTATAAAGATCGGGGGTGAAAGGGGTGCCTGTAGTCTAACCCTGATTTAATTCCTTTTAGACCTACTTTAAGTCTTTAACTCATTTATACATTACCGTAAATTTGATTTATATATTACCGTCGAATTTCATTAATAATATGAAAATTTCATAGTTTAATAATAATTTCATAGTTTAATATGAACGGAGTATGTTATTTAAGTTATGTGTATCTTACAGCTGCATGTACACTGATGCCGTGGATAAAGACAATCTCACCATGGACAACGTCTTCCCGACTATTCGCTGTGCGGACAAGTACGATTTACCTCAGCTAACCGCCATTTGCTCGGATTTCGTGGCTGCCCAGTTGAATGCCCAAAACTGTATAGCCATCTTGGAGCAGGTAAAGCAGGCCCTTCTTTGCCGCGCTGATTGGCACACGACAGTTATAAATCGTTCTGCGAAACCGCGTATTGCAGGCTGTCCAGTGGCAGGCGGACCATGTAGTGGAAGAGTGTTTGCAGCTGGTGGAAATGGAGACCGACCTCATTCTGCGGTCAGAGTCGTTCACGACCATCACGCACGACATTCTGAAGATGATTCTGCAGCGCCGCGTTCTATCCGCGGAAGAGAATGTCGTCTACATGGCCGTTGACAGGTAACAATCAGGCCGGAGATATTTTTCTAAAATTGTGTGTGGTTATTTGGAATTTGTTATTACCGGTATTTTTATGTTGTTAGGGATTTGTTAATAGAGTTCGGATGCCAATTGAAATACTTGCTTTCAGATGGGCAGTGGAGGCATGTAAACGGAACGGTCTGGAGCCGTCGGGGGGCAATTGTCGGCAGGTACTGAGTGACGCATTGTTCCTCGTCCGTTTTCCGCTGCTGAGTGGTCCACAACTGGCCACAGGTCCAGGCAAGGTAGGCTTGTTTTTAGTTGGAAAAATTGAAGGAAGTTTTCGTCGACCGGCACAAAGTCGAATACGGCGATGCCAAAATTTCACGAAGTCGAGCTAGGGTTTTGGTAAACCAATTTAATTTCTAATGTGTCTTGCGTTCTTGAGTTTCTTAAGGGTATGACGTTTCTTAAGGGCACATGCGGATAATTATATTTGTTTTAGGTTAATTACACAAAGTCTGGTACGTCTGTTTTTAAGATTGTACTGTATGTCCTGGGTTCGATTCCTACTAGGTTGGGTAACTTTAATTCTTTATCATCCTCATTAAACCAAACCAAAAAAAGGCTAAAATTGTGTAAACTAACCAAAAAAATTTCCATTTGCCTGGTATTTATATTAATGTAATTATATTATATTTAATTATATTAACCCTCCAGCGGGCGGTACCCGAAGGAGTGCGAATTTCCTTTTGAAAATCGGGATTTCCCGATGAAAAAAATCAATTAAGACAGGGAATTTTTTGTGAGCTTGTGCTGACCATAGGTCAGTGGTGGTGAGCATGTCGTTTGCCAACGCCAATGCCCATGGACAGTCTACGGCAGAAAAACGTTTAATTCTGTAATAATTAAGCAAATAGGCATTATGTCAGCGCAATAACTTCGTTATACAATACAAAAAAAGCACTTTAAAACAGGAATACAGAAGTGGTCAACAAATTGACCACTGGTCAGCAAAAAACTAAAAACGCCCAAAACTCGTTCTCAAGCATTTTGAACAATAATACAGGTATAAAACCCAAAATAAACGATACTAGCAATAGTAGTTTTAAAACTTCCGTTACTCTGGCATATGGTACTTCACAAAGCAGTCCTTGTGTAATTTAACATTGCACTTGCTGCATTTCTGACACGCTGAGTTGCGTTTACACTGCCTGCATCGTCCGGGCTTGCATTTTTCCTGGATGTGGCTACAACTGTCGTAGCGGGCGGCATCAGAAATTGGAGTCGACGGTCCAGTTGCAGTAGTGATCGGCGGCGCATCACACATCAGCAGTTCTTCAACCAGCTGCGAAAGAAACTCAATTTGTGTGAGTTTGCCTCCTACTTCACCATGAACTCGCCATGCCGCAACCGCGATCATGGCAATGGAGTTTGAAAAAAGTGGCCACCACCACTTTTTGAAACGCAGCATCGGCCGGAAGTTACTAATAAACCGGTCACAAAGGTCAACACCACCCATATGTTTATTATAGTTGGCAATCATCCGCGGCTGGTCAATTAAAACCTTCTTCTTCGCGGCGCGACTTTATCGCTTTGCCTTTCCAAGAGGTGTAACGGTATCGTAGTTGGACGCGAGGCATACTGCGGTATTGTCATGCCACTTCACAGCAATCACATTGGCCGTGCAACAGGCAGCGTGGCTACCACGTTCAGTTTTTTTAAATTTTTTGTTGTCCGGAAACGGACATTTCTTCAGACGATTTTCACGCGCTGTGCCGGTGGCTCTAAAACCGAGCGCTCGCAATTCCTCCAAAAGCGCATAAGACGTAAAGAAATTATCGAAGAACACACAGTGTGCATCTGGACACTTGACCACAGACAACAATTTCAAAACAACTCGAGATCCAAGTGGCTTCAATAGTTCGGCAACATCCTTGCCCGTAGCATCTTTTCCAGTATACGCGAAAAATGTGTACGGATATCCCCGTGATCCACACAACACCCAGAGCTTGTACCCGAACCGGCATGGTTTGCCTCTCATGAACATTTTGCAAGAATGGTGCCCGAAATAAGGAATCATTTCTTCATCAACGCTAAAAAACGGATCAAAAATCCCGAACTGAAGAAGTTTTTCCTTCAGAAGAGTGAAGAAGGGGTTAACTTTGGCCATTTTATCCTCCGGATCCAAGTGATCGTTGTCGGCCAAATGGAAATATTTTTTAATTTTCTAGAAAAAATAAAATTAAATTATTACTGCCAACCACCCAGGGTGTCGATGAACAAATGCGTTTTTTGATGGGTTCCTGCAACCGGAAGTACGTGCCGTATGTTTTATGTCCGAAGCGACAAGACCTTATCCTGATTCCACAATAAAAAAATACTGCTTATATTGCACCCGCCCCAGGTGACGGCAAAACTGCACCAACAAAATTTATTTGCCTTTGCTCACCTCGAATCGTTTACATGACATCCTCGAAGAAACGGCCGGAAAGCTGAACAATGCGGAGCGCATCCAGAAGTGTCTCGTAGTAGGCAGCTGCACAATTCCGCTGTACAAGAGTATCCCGATGAACAAAAAAAGATCACGCATGGGAAGCTGGAAATCAGCGTTGTTCTGTCTGGCATATCGTTCGGATTCCGTAATAATATGAGTCGCTACAATATCATCAAAATACATCTTAAAAAGTTCCAAAGGTGTCTTGCTGATCAGCTCTGGATGTTCGTTTGCAAGCTTCCTCGGCATTTCTCCCGTGTGCTCTGGAAATGGCACGACAGCGCTCTCGTCAGGCTTCCAGTCTACTTCCGGCCGGAGAATGACGCCTTTCTTTCGCTTTGGAGCTGGACCGTCTTCGGCCTCTGAATCAGTCTCGTAGCAAACATCGAGATCTCCAGCCACATCTTTGGGCATTTGCGGTCTCAGATCATTTTCATCAATATCCTCTGTATCCGAGCACACACCAGCTTCCGGTGGAAGACAAACGATGTCAATCTCTCGGTGTGGTCTGTTTGTCAATTCCTCAAAAATATCCTTTGCCTCTTTAAGCGTTTTTGCCCGTGTTTGAGGCATTTTTAAAAAGTACGCAACGAATAAAGAAATTATTATTTTGCAAAATTTTCACGCGGGAAGAAGCAAATAAAAAAGTGGGAAATCGTAGTAGTGGATGGTACACTAAGCAGTCACAGCTGTGCATGCGTTACCGGCTTTGTTGCTGCACGCTGGTTTTTTTCAAGCGCCAAATTATTAGTTGTCAAACCACCACTGCAGTTGCTCAACAAAGACATTGCAAAGAGCTCTTCTGCTTCACGGCGGAGGTGATTTTTTAATTTTCGAGTGTTTTTAATAGATTTACTTTGTTCGCACGCGTTTTTACTTTGTTCGCACGTTAAATTTAACAATTATGGAGATTATGGAATTATTATTTATGGAACGTGATTTAGTTATACCGCAATGGTTGAAAGCCATTGTACAGAAGCAGATTGATTGTGGGAATACTGGCAAGAAAGCGCGGAGCGAGATTTATCGTGCTGTGTACTGGAAACTGAAGGTGCGTGTTTCCCTCAAGCTGGATACAAATTTGAGAGAGATTTATTTATGAGTACTTTTGAGGTTCTGTGATTGTGATGATTGTATCTGGTGTTTTTTACAACGGTTTTGCAGCAACCTTTAGTAGTTTTTTCGTGATAACAAAATGGCAAAAAGCTGGAAGACATCAAAACTGCTGTTTATCCCGCTTGTCTGGTGGATGCATTGTGTGAAATGTTCCCAGATGAGAACAAGCACCAAGATGTAAGCGCGGTGTACACTAATTATTTAAAATTTTTAATTAGCAGTTAGAATAAAAGCTATTTGACTGCTCGTTTTTAACATTCGCAGTACGGCCCGTCGAACGTGACGTTAAAAGACATTGCAAGTTTACGATGAATGGATTACAGCGCACGTGGCCAATTCCATGTTCTTTTAGACCCTTCATGGGCAATGGCGTTAGCAAGTAACACGTGTGTTTGACGGACAATGGCCTTGCAGTGTTTGACTTTTGGATGCCATGGTGGACATTTCTGAATAAAGCATTATCACTTGTACCTTGCTGATTTATCTCGAATTTATTGAATCATCGACTAGAAAGTTGTTGACCAAGGCACGCAGAGAGCTCAGACAAGTCGAAATTAGCGATTTTCGCGCACCTGTAGTTTTTAATTAACTTGAGACATAAGGTTGAATAATGTTTTTATTGTTGCTTTGAAGTCCCTTATTGCTTATTTCGTTATGGGTTATCGATTAACTATTGCCGCTCGCTGGGGAAAAATTCTCAAACACCTTGTCGTTTCCTAACACCAATGCCCGTCAACGGGTTAAAAGGTTATTTATATATTAAATGTTTAGTATACAAGAGTAACAAGATATATTTATAATAAAAGGAGTTGGCTACTGCAGCGTGATAATAATAATATCGATAATAAAAGGGGTGTTTGGAAATCAGATACATAGTATTTAGCAAAACCGTTACCATAAGGAAATGTCGAAGACATATCGGCCGTTATTAGCGATTATCTTGTTCTTGGCAGAATGGTCTACTGCTGGACAGTGAACTGCTGAGTATCTTTATGCACCAAAACGGCGCCGTCCAGCCAGACCTGCCCTTCCCCACGGAAAGGCGCCGCGGTGCGGTCTCGCACACCTACCAACCGGTGTTTGAACTATAGGACGAGGTGTTCGCTCAGAGAAGAACGGACTGCTGGTGGGAGCCGGCCAAGATTGTCGGGACGCGGCAGGACGAGGTGCTGGTGGCGTGGTGTAGCGACGGAGACGAGGGCAGTGTGGCGACGGAGAAGGTGGTGCAGGCGGCGGATATCCTGCAGAGCTACCAACCGGTATACGGGATGACGGTAAGGGGACCGTGCGCTGCTACCTACCTGCAGGCGCAGTTTGGACGGGTAGACTTGCATCACCGCATCCGCTACACTGACAATAACGAGGCCTTCCATCCCTTCTCCGAGCTCCGACTGCGCGACAGCCAGGTTGAGGCCTGGAAAGCTAAAGGCGGCGCCGTGGCAGGCAGCCAGAATAAGAGGGGATCAGATTCCTGCGAGCGGTTTCGGGCGAAACGGAGGAATGTGCTGATGCGGCTGTGATGGTTTGGCCCGTCGCTGCGACTAACGAAACCAACTAGGATCTGCAAAATATTATCATTCATTCGGAGACTCTGACTGATTTATGCCCGCTGCGACGAAAGATGTCGATGTGTTCGGTACTTAGTGCTAACCATACTATGCGTGTTAACAACTTAACTGTCTTAACACATACTTAAGTACTGCGCGAGTAAGCGTTTCTCTGTTCAGTCTAGTGCGGGCGATTTGTGCGCACTGGATGTGTTCTCGTTGCATAATTAAGTTATAAATTCTGCAATGACGAATTCTGGAAATTATAGTTATGGCGGTACCAGTTACGAAGGCTTTGTTCGTTGAATGAGAACGGCCTAAATGGCTGTTAGCGCTGACGCCGCTGAGTTTAATAAAGATCAACAGCAATAAGTTAACACAGAAGATTACTAGTATACAGAATTCCGCTCAGACCTTGGCCAACAGATTGGAACGAAAGGACATCTCCAGATACGTACTCTCACTGGAATTATAAAAAATATATTCGTACAAGTAGTTGCGCAGAATACAATCGCCTGCATATTTAATACTTATATAAATAACCTTTTAATATAATTAAATATTATATAATTACATTAATATAAATACCAGGCAAATGGAAATTTTTTTGGTTAATTTACAGAATTTTAGCCTTTTTTTGGTTTGGTTTAATGAGGATGATAAAGAATTAAAGTTACCCAACCTAGTAGGAATCGAACCCAGGACATACAATGTAGGACTAAATGGTCGCATAGCCCCATACCCAGCATTCTGTACGCAAGCGGTGCAGTGCACTTGTACGAAGCGGATATTTTGAACTCAGTCGTACAGTGCACTGCGCTGCATTCGTACTGAATGTGGAGATGTTGGGTATGCGACCATTTTGTAATTAACCTAAAACACGCACATGTACTGTACGCGATTTATGGACATTCTCAAGCAAACGTAATACAATTTGTGCATAATCAGAAATCTGGTGTAATTAAGGGAATTCGGTAGAATGATCGCGCTTAATTTAATGGTGGCTCTGTTGCAACACTGATTACGTGGTCCAGAAGTCATAATCTAGACTTTTTAAGTTATAACTTCTGGATGATAAGAAAACCAATAAATTTTTATACGTCTTCTGGTAGGTACAGTATATCCGATTGCGCGTATAAGGCGCGACCTGATGTGGGTTCACGCCGCAGAACAAGACAAGGCAACTTTATTCCCCCAGATTTCTTCTGGCAGGGGCACACCATGCGTTGTGCCGTATGATTAACTTAATTAACATTCAAATATCAAAACAGCAATCAAAGTTAAGCACATCCATAGCAAAGGTAAAAACAGACATAATAATAGTAAAATAGACGAAAGATAAACAAGATTTACGCAGACTTGTACAAGAAAATGGGCTATATATATTCGGCTGCGTCAATCAGTATTGACATTCAGGCTGTGAGGAGGCAACAGTAACATCTCACCGCTAAATACTTTGCGGCTGTCTTTCAGGATCTGCTTAAAAAAATTACTTAACAAAAGAACTTCGTTTTCTCGTTCTCCGTCGGTGGATCCTTTCTTTGTAATAACTTCTGCATCGTTTCCACTATCCCGCCACCGGGTATGGCTAGCTCCATGACGGCTAGGCGCTCCTTCAGTTTTTCTCTGTGTGGGGAATATGCCGGGCATTCGTTCAGAGCATGCAGTTTGTCCTCCACTATCTCACAGAACTTGCATAACCAAGAACAGCAGAACAGAATTTACGGAATTCTGCCTGCCAAAGAATTCTGGCAATGCTAAATAGCGTCTACGCTGTGGAAAGCGAGAAACGACGCGATTGCGAAAACTTTATCAACAGACAATGCTAGAAATCTCACACTGGCCAAGTGCCATAGACGGTCATGCTAAAGTGCGCGCCATATGCGTACTGCGCAGCACGTACGACGTGAAGACAAGGAACAATATCGGATCTACCCACACACAGAACAGACAGAGACGCGCATCCAATCACAAGCGAGGTGTACGTTCGTACTTCGTAAGTAATGTACGTTCGTACTTCGTAATGCACGTTCGTACGTTCGTAAGGTGTACTACCTGCGCTCATACGCGGCTGACCAAAAGATGGCCGATTACAGAACGAGACACCCCGCTCACTTACCGGCGTACAACTGAGTGCCCGTTAAGGCTTTTTTGAGGGACAGTCCGGTTCTCGAAATCAGGAGTCCGGATTGCGAGAAACTTCTAAGTATGCTTTCATTCAGTTTCAACATAATCAGTTATATTCGCTCCTTTTACGTCTTCACTGTAGAGTGAAGACAACTACAGTTTTATTACGCGTATATTTGTAAGATTCTACCTGCTTAGCTTATCTGTACTGGCGAGTGGCGATGTTGTGTCAATTGTAATAGTTTGATCGCGTGCTGTCAAATACTGTATGTTTAAACATACCAGTACTGGAATGGCGATCCCAAATCCTAATCTATCGACATCCCACCAGCGTCCACGAGCCCACCGCGCCTCGGGACTTTATAGCTACGCCATGAAAACGTTGACCAGTGGAGATCTGAGCGATATGCAGTTCTCCGTCGGCGGTGATTTCGGTGCTGCCAAAAAGTTCAAAGCTCACAAGTATCCTCGTCAGTCACCCCCAAGAGGCCGCCATTTCTCCCAGTATTCTTTCTCTGCAGGTACATTCTTAGCATTCGCAGTCCAGTGTTCTACACGATGTTCTACGGAAGCCTGGTCGAAACGGGTCCCCAGGTCGACATTCCCGACTGCATGCCCGACGCGTTTGCCAACATGCTCCCGGTACGTAAAAGAAACACGGTTCGTCATGTTCTCTAGATGCATGGCGTTGTAGTCCGCTCAATGAATAAAGTCACGTTACGCACGCAGCTGGTTATTCGATATTCGTACAGCTACATGTACTCGGATGCCGTGGAGAATCTCACCGCAGGCAACGTCGTCCCGACCATGCGATGCGCTGACAAGTACGACCTCCCGGAGCTGGCCAGCATGTGCTTGGAGTTTGTGGACACGAAGTTTGTGGAGATGAATATCGGTGAATGTGTGGTCATGTTGGAGCAGGTAAGGAAGCTTGTCAGTCAGCGAATTATTAATATTTTGCAAGTCAATACGCCGATTGTATTGCAGGCCGTTCAGTGGCATGTTGAGGATGTCGTGGAGAAATGTCTGCAGCTGGTGAAACGGCAGAGCGACACAGTACTGCAGACGGAACAGTTTACGACCATTTCACAGGAAACGCTAAAGATGATTCTGCAGTCCAGCGCTCTCACGTCGGAGGAGAATATCGTCTATTCGGCTGTTGAGAGGTACCGATCTCAGCCGAAGTTTTTTTTCCTCAGTGAAATTATCCATGAAGACTTACAAGTTGCATTTGCACTCATCGCGCTCCAGATGGGCAATGGCAGCTTGCAAACGGGACAATCTGGAGCCCACCGCAGTGAACCGTCGATCGAAGTTGGGCGACGCGCTGTTCCTGGTCCGCTTTCCGCTTCTGACTGGCGCGCAGCTTGTCGCTGGTCCCGGCAAGGTTAGCCTATCGTTGCAGCTGTTCGTTCCATGCTGGTCGCACAGAAACGCCTGTTCGTGCTCCTTAATGTCGTACCTATTTTCATTATGACAGAGTGGTCTGCTGCTGGATAGCGAACTGTTGAGTATCTTCATGCACCAGAACGGCGCTGTGGAGACAAAACTGGCCTTTTCCACGGAGCGGCGCAGCAGCGCGGCCGGTCAGGCGTTCGTCCAGGATGAGGTGTTCGCGCAGGACGGTGGTTGGTGGCAGCCGGCGAAAGTGGTAGGCACGCTGCAGGACGAGGTGGTGCTGACCTGGTGCGCCAGCAGTAACGAAGCCCGGGTGGCGGCTGCGAAGGTGGTGCGGGCCGCGGATATTTTGAAAAGCGGTCAACTGCTGTGTTGTAAGGTGAGACAGCCGTCCCGCGTCGGCACATATGTCCAGCGAAACGCGGAACACCATCACGTCCGCTTCAGCGATGGCGAAGACGCCTACCCTTGCTTCTCCCAGCTGTTTTTTAAAGCAGACCAGGTCTCGGCCTGGAAAGCCGGTAGAGCCAGCGGCTTGTGAAACGTTGCAGGCATCATCGTGTTGCGCGATAAATCTGGCAAGGTATATAAATCTTTGTGCAGTTTCTTTCAGAAATCGAAATTGTGGTATGTCAAGTTAATTTTATTATGGTAAAGGTAATAACTTTCTGTCACCTTTCTGATAGCGAACTGCATTTGTGTCTGTCGTGTAATGCGAGCGAGTTTCGAAATTTGTCCAACAATTATGCAGCCGCATTTTTTTGTACTGTGGACGTATATTTCGCTGCTTTTGGTTTTGGCTGTTTTGGAGGATAAAAGTTTTCAAAAATAGTGTTGTTTGTGCAGTTTGTTGCTCCTATATCGAGGGTGTTGTAATGAGAATGCATGATAAAGAACGTACGGTAACACCAATGAGTTGAAACACCTTCAAATGCAAAAAGAAAACTAGATCCAAAATATTTTTCCTCTTATCCAAAAATGAAAATCTAGAGATCACAACAGTATCGAATGGTGTCGCCGAATCTTAACTTATTGACACCAAATAAACGGGGGTATCCTGCCTCGGACTCAACAGCTACACTAGAGACACGCTCGTCAGTGGATGTACAATTCTGGCGAACCGTCTAGTCACTGTAATATGCACACTGCAACTACGACATAGCCACGATCTACAGACTGCACGTACAACTGGTGAGCACAGCTGATAGTAGCTGCGAGCAGTCGCTTGTAAAGCTGCCAATTTAGAGGATTACGGCTTTCCGGAGAATGCCTCTCTGATGCCCGGCTACACTAGTCCCCTCCAATGGTCTACTTCATTGCCAAAGGAGTAGCCTTGGGCATTAAAGGTGCGCTGGCGTCCCTTACAGTATGACATGTTTTTCTGCATTAAACCAGCGGCCAGCCCGTGACTCACGACGAATGATATAGCGCCCCTAGAGTAATTTGCTTAGCGAATGGAGACTAAAATCGTATTTACACTGATCATAGTGGGGGGCTACCTAAGTAAACAAAAGGACTGTGTTTGGCATGGGATGGGGATGCAACCAGCTGCGTCGACTCTGTCGCTTGATCTTACCTGGATCCCACTAGCGTAAGGGCCGGTGCGGCAACCGACCAGGCTGAAGCCGATAAAAAAATACAGCTTCCTGGTAGGAGGCTACGCCGGTCGACGCGTTTGCGCGTTATATAGTACTGTAGTATTCTGTATTAGAATGAAACGCCTACTCCTGGTGATCCGTGAACAAACCTTGCTAGCCGATTTCCACTTTTTTTAACTTGTATATCCATTATTGCAACTATGCATTGTAGAAGCCCGGTTTTCAGTAGACCATTTGAAAGCGGGCTTGTAGCTCACTTGCTGCAGTGCTTGAACTACAGTACAATCTAATGCGCAAACGCGTCGACCGGCGTAACCTCCTGCCAGGAAGCTGTATTTTTTATCTGCTTCAGCCTGGTCGGCTTTCGCTCCGGCCCTTACGCTAGGGGGATCCAGGCAAGATCGAGCGACGGTGTCGACGCAGGCGACAGTGTCGATGTTGACCTCCTGTTAAAAGGAGGCTGACCACAACACACCAGCTGACCACAACTGACCTACAGCTACGGCTACAGCTGACCACAACTTCACAAGGGCACGCATCACGTGTGCTTCAGCATGCGCGAGGAAGCGTATCCCAGCTTGGCGAAGCTACTGTGCCCAACGGCTGCGTTGTGGCATGGAAGACCATCAAATCCAGCTACTTCGGCATTTCAGTGAAACCAACGACCGGTCGTTAACTTTTGCGAGATACGTTACTTCATTCACCATGGTCAGATACGTACCCAACTGGTGATCTGTATCAAATTCAGCTCTATCAACAAAATAATCAGCTGGAACATAAAAGAATTTAGTTACGCGGAGAAAACGAGGCAGTGCTTGGTTAACAACGACGCATATTTTGGTCGCAATCGCCCACATCAAATTGTTTCTGAGTGGAAACTGAAGAACTGTCCTAACCATCCGATGCATCTGCAGCGCAGCGCAAGAAAGCAGCTCAGCTGGTCCGTGATTTTGAAACTGAAAAATTAAATAAAAAAACAGTAAGGCAAACGTATCCGGTGCGCGTTAATCAAACTGGATTCAAACAGATAAACGCTTGCCTGAACAAACGTGCGTTTTAAGAACATATTGTTACAGTAGCGTTGTCCTACATGCAGAAACAGTCGACATCTCTGCCGAATCTCAAGAACATTCATGGTTGCTACCGTTAGTCGCAGCGGGCCTAACCATCACAGTCGCGTCATTCGTCACGTTCCTCGGCTTCACCTGAAACCACTTGTAGGAATCGACACCCCGCTTATTCTGACTGGCTAACGCGGCGCAGGCTGTAGCTTTCCAGGCCTCCACCTGGCTGTCGCTGAGTAGGAGGTCCGAGAGAGACAGCTACGCCTGGTCGCCCGCCGCAAAACGGACCAGGTGCTGGTCGCCCACCCGCCCGCTCTGCACGCGCAAGTACATGCCGGCGCGCCTCACCGGTTCCATCTGACAGAACACCGGTTGGCCGCTCTTCAGGATATCCGCCGCCCGCACCACCTTCTCGGCCGCCACGCTACCTTGCTCGCCCGTGGCACACCACCGCACCACCACGGTCGTTGGCCGCCTCCCGATGATCCTAGCCGCAAGCCGGGCTGTGGGCGAACACGTCTTCCGGAGGTGACGCCGGTTGGTAGGGAGGCGCGGTTCCACCGCCGCGCCATTCCGTGGGCAAGGGCAGGTGGGGCTGGACGGCGCCGTTCTGGTGAAGGAAGATACTCAGCAGTTCGCTGTCCAGCAGCAGACCACTCTGCCAAGAACAAAATAATCCGCTAGCCACAACTAATTTCAAACTTGGACGTTTTCCTATTGGAAACTGTGGTGTACTTAACGTACGTACTCTGCATCGTAGCTAATAAAATTTATCAGCTACGAAGTATCTCATTATTGAAGTTAATATTTAATATTAACTTCGATAACGAGATACTTCACATAAACGTCTTTGCTACGTATCTGATTTCGCATTAAAAAACACTAAACATCTTAACCCCCTTAGCCCTCCACTAAGGGCCATTATAGAAACCTAAGAAAATATAAGAAAACAAAAAAAATCGAAGGAGATAGAAGAAAACGAACGTAAGATACTTCGAATACTGCCTTATATGGGCTCCCCTTATATTACTTTCCCTTATCTGGGCTCCCGAGCAATATGAGCAACCCTCTACATGGGCAGTTACGTTATTACTCACACTTTCGCAACCGTTATCAGTGTTATGCCTTAGTGACTGAGTCAGCCTGACTGAAAATTTTGATTTATTCAAAATACTTATTTTGCCAGTACTTTGTAGCATTTAGTTTGTTTCAAAGTATTCTGGTAGCATCAACGAAAGATTCAAAATCTTTCTAAAATTTACGGTTTCTTAAAAATTTATGGTTGAAAGAAGTAGAAGAGGGTTCTGCTATAAATCCGATAAATTTAATTTGACGGGCATTGCGGACTAGCCGGGAGCTCAGATAAGGGAGAGTAATATAAGGGTAGCCCATATAAGGCAGCATTCGAAGTACCTAAAGAGACGAAGGCGGTTGGCAAAACACTAGCTCGACTGCGTGACAGCTTGGCACCGATCTGTCCGACTTAGTGGCGGTTCATGAAATATTCCGTCGACAAAATGGTGGTTACCAACTACAGAGAAACCTACCTTGCCGGGGCCGGCGTCATAAATGCCAATCATAAATGCCAAATAACAAAATACTACTATACAATATCAGAAAACTCTCTGGGCTGATGGGTATACCTTTCAACGGCCATGTAGATGACGTTCTCTTCCGCGGAGAGAACGCAGCGCTGCAGAATCATCTTCAGGATGTCGTGCGTGATGGTCGAGAACGAGTCTGACGACAGAATGATATCGCTATTCAGTTCCACCAGCTGCAAGCAAGCTTCCACGATATGGTCAGCATGCCAGTGGATAGCCTGCAAAACGGGCCGGGTTCCGAGAACAAATCACAACTTTCGGGCGCCAGTCAGCGCGGCCTGAAATGTTCGTGTATTACCTGTTCCAACGTGACTATAAAGTTCTCGACATTCAACTGGGCAAACACGAATTCCGAGCAGATGGCGGTCAGCTGGGGTAAGTCGTACTAGTCCGCACAGCGCATCGTCGGGAAGACGTTTTCCATGGTGAGATTTTCTTTATCCACGGCATCAGTGTACATGTAGCTGTAGGGTACGGTATAAAGTACAAACCACATACTTCGTAATTTCTGAACCACAGTTAACTATCTACAGTACATACTATTTTTATTATACAAGAACCAAAAATTTCTAAATATTTAAAAACATAAATAGACTTTGATAGTGCACCGCTCGCTGTTGGCTAGCACTGAAAGACCGAAGCGAGGGGGAAACAAAATTAAATAAACACTTTATTTGTATTTTTTTGTGTTTAATAAATATAGTTTTCAACATTGTTTCCCTCTTATGAATTTTATAATACCAAGACGTGACCGACGCGACCGACAAAAGCCCCGGTTTCTTGAACACAGGAGACCTTCGCTTCGCGGATTCAGTATTTAAAAGCTTGGGGGTCTTCCACAACGGCTTTGCCCATACCGCCCTACGCCTCTGACGCAGTGTACTACTGTAGTGGATCCATTATTCACTTTAAAATCCTTATTCACGAACCTGAGCATGTTCTCGAATGCATCGGGCATGCAGTCGGGAATGTCGACTTGCGGACCGTTTTCGGGCACGCTGCCGTAGAACATCCTATAGAACACCGTGCTGCGAATACTCACAATGTACCTGCAGAGCCAGAAAATTAGGGAAGACCACAGAGAACTGAAGGTGGAATTGCATACTTGTGGCCTTTGAAGGCCTTTGCAGCACCAAAATCATTGCCAACGGAGAATTGCACATCGCTCAGATCTCCACTGACGAGCGTCTCTTTGGTGCAGCTTAACAGTCCCGCACCAGGATCTCGTCGTTCATGCGGTGTCGTTGCAGCACGATTTTGGGACGCCATTGGGATGCTGACACCATTTGATAACGGTCTATGACAATGGTTTACTCCTGACGCAACCAGACAATCTCTGCAATATTCTTAGCCCAAGCGGACGAAACGTCGGAATGCGGTTTACTCTGAAGCTAAAAAATGACAGTAAAAGGAAAGAATATAGATAGGATTGGGAAAACAAACGCTATAACTACTGCAACAGGAATAATAAATTCAGTCATCACACTGCATCTATTCTGGCCGCGCCGCATGTGCTGACCAGCGTCCATCCGAACGCCGCGACATGGCGGCTGTCGTCCGACCGCCAGCCAGAGTACTTCCGCTTGACTCGCACCGAGGCGGTCAGTGGTGCAGCAGAAGTTGCAATTGCTTGCATGCTGCGCCGAATGTAACCATGGCCAATCATTTTGTTATTTTTAAATTATTTTGTTCCCGGAAATCTAACTGTTGCATATTCGTCTACGGAAGCACGGTAGATGATCTGTAGAGTAAAATAATGAGAACATAAATAGTACGTACGCTTTAGCTTGCAAACCAAAAAGATACGCATAGAACCAAAAACCTAAAAGATACGCATACAGAGTAGAAGTATTTTCTTCGAGATCAGATTTCGATCTTAAACCCGATGCCAATTCCACATTAGATTTCTGTAGCTGAGAATAGTGGGACCGGCTGGCATCCAGCCCGGCATTGAAACCACCGCGGATCAGTAACTTGGTACACTTCCACTGTCTGCACACATAAACAAAACACACAAACATCCGTCGACCAGATACATACACCAGACTTGCTGCAACACGCCTTACGCAATGGTATTCTACAAGGATGAAAATGTGCAGTCATCCATCGAGCGCAGCGAGATGCTGCGATTAACTGATCGTCAAGAGCATAAATTTGTCTGACGCCACAACAGCGTCACGGCACACTTTTCCAATTCTACAAATCAAATACCATTATTACCCAGTAGTCTATGTTAAGTGTATCATCATTATTGTACAATATGGGTTCTGTAACATTCTGTAACTCTGTTGGTCAAGACCTGATCTGTTTGTAGCTAATATCCACTCTCCTGTCATCCCTTTTTCTACTTGCTTGCTTGACTTGCTTTTGGCGATCTTCATTAAAATCGGCGATGCCCTTTATTAGTCTCTTGGAAATAATGTAGAAATAATCACATTGATACTCATTAAAACAGTCCACAAAATCGCAGGACATCCGAGCCGAATCCGAATAAGGCAAATGCCCCATGAGAACGGCAAAATAAAAGTCGCAAACCCCGAACAAATGTTTATACAGTAAACTTACAGTACATATACCAGCACAAGCCAGTCAAAACAGAATTATTGTGGTAAAACCAAAACTTCAGTAAAAGCGGCAGAACGCACAAAGAATGCTGTCGTCGGCTTCTCAGACTACTAGCCGATTTTGCTGGCCTTCCATGCCACCACATGGCTGTTGTGCAGCATCAGCTCGGAGAAATCACACTCGGCCTCCTCCGACGCATTAAACCGAATAAGGTGCTTGCTGCGGTTCAGACGCTTCACGTAGGTGGCGGCACGCTGCCGCCCCGCCACCTTCATACAGTACAGCTTCTGGCCGCTCTGCAGGATATCCGCCGACCGCACCGTCTCCCCTTCCAACACCTTTCCGTGATTTCCGCTGGCGCACCACATCACCTCATTGACCCACGCATTACCCTTCCAGAGGAACGTGGCCGGATGCCACCAGCCACCGGCCGAACTCAACACGAACATCTCCTCGCCCTTATAGAACTCCGCCTGGCCGGTGCGCTGTGTTGTGTCGGTGCCGCGTTTCTCCGCGGTAAAGGGTAGCTTGGACGGGAGGACTCCGTTCTGGTACAGGAAGACACTCAGTAGCTCGCTCTCCAGGAGCACACCACTCTGCCGAAATTGAAAAGCATCGCGTTAAACCTGCGTGAACGCCATACCGAACAGCCGCACCGTGATCGTGGGACATTGCGCCACAGCGACAATTCGAGGGGCGACAACATATTTCGCGAGTTCTGGGCGACCCATAATCCGCACGGCCAACTATGTGTAACGAATTGCCCCACGACCCAGTTGTACCAATGGTGCAGCCGAGACACAGCCTACCTTGCCAGGACCGTTAGCTAGTTGCGTGGCGTTCATCAGCGGAAAACGGACGAGATATAACGCATCGCCCAGGATTGTGCGTCGGTTTGCCGCCGACGGCTCCAGATCCTTCCGCTTACAGGCCTCCACGGCCCATCTGCAAAAAAATATGACTGCAAAGACAGTGATTAAGAAATCAACGGAGAATTTATCGAAAACCGTGAAGATTGTTGACAACTTTTTTACGAAATTTAATTATTTTTTTTATTTTGAAACGGTTGGCTTCAAGACAAGAAATGTTGATGGGTTGAAAGAGAGACGCAGAAGAATGCGGAAAATATGCAGCATGCGAACGGCAGCAAATTATTCTCGTTTCACATGATTTGAATGTAATTTGAATGTACCTTTCAACAGCCAAGTAGATGTCATGCTCATCCGCGCGTAGAGCATTGCGCTGCAGAATCATCTTCAGCGTGTCCTGCGCGATGGCCTTGAACTGCTCCGTCTGCAGAATGACGCCGCTCTGCCGTTCCACCAGCTGCAGGCATTTCTCCACCATATCATCGGCGCGCCACTGGATGGCCTGCAACAAGCGATGTCCCGGCACATAGTCGCTCGTGCAAAATCCGCTACCACACTGCCAACCTTACCCGCTCCAGAGTGACCAAGCAGTCACCGATGTTCATCCGGGTCTCCACAAACTTCAAGCCCAGGCTGGTCAGCTCCGGAAAATCGTTCTTATCAGCGCAGCGCAATGTCGGGACGACGTTGTCCGCGCTGAGATTCTCCACGGTATCCGTGTACATGCAGCTGTCAATACAACCAAATCACAGCTGAAGCGAAGTACACGAACCAGGTATTCCCGTACCTGAGCATGTTGGCAAACGCGTCAGGTACGCAGTCAGGAACGTCGATCTGCGGATCTTTTTCGGCCAGGCTTCCATAGAACATGGCACAGAACACTGGACTGCGAATGCTGATAATGTTCCTGCACAGCCAGACGATTAGGGACACCGTACTGAAGAAAATGATGTCTGAGCGCGCATACTGACTTGTGGGCCTTGAAGACCTTTACCGCACCGAAATCACGGCCAACGCAGAACTGGACATCGCTCCGATCACCACTGGCGAGCATCTCCTTGGTGCGAGTGCGGAGTTCCCAAGGAAGGGTCTTCTGGTTTGTGTTTACGGGATGCCGACAAATCAGGACTGGGGGACGCCATACTTGAAGTCACAACACAAGTTACGCTTGACAAAGCAGAACCAGTGAAATCCCACAAAACTGAAAAAAGTCTCGGCTCAAGCGTTTCAGTAGAAATACTGCCACCTGAAATAGGAATGCAGTTCACTTAATGGCAAAAAAGAATATAAAAGTGAAAATGCAGAAAACTGGAAGAGTGTGTAGCAAAGATGAATGATTAAACTTAAAGCCAAGCTTTCCAACGCGAAATAAAACTTTTCGCATATGGCATATACGGTACGAGATCCGACCAATCCGGTGCAATCGGCAAAATTTGATACGTTTCGATTGGTTTTCCTATCAACTTGGTGTGAGTGTGTGAGTCCAGGCACCCCAGTTTAACTTGGCCAAGCCTACAAAAGTAAATTTCGAATCACTCGTAGTACCCTACTTAATTTATCTGCTATGCAATAAGTACGCATGCTTCTAGATTTTCTATATTTTCAGTTCAATGTTATCTTGTTTTCCGGTGGAGTGAGGTGCACTTTCACTTTCACCTGCAGCACTGCGAGTACCTCGTTGGTTGTGATTCTGTAAATTTTCGGTTAACCATCATTTGTACTGTGTTGTCAATATGGCGTCCGTGGATCCTAATTCATCGATATCCCGTAAGCGTAAACGACCAGATCCTGACTCGGGACTCCAGATCTACACCAAAGAGACGTTGGTCAGTGGCGATCTGAGCGATGTGCAGTTCTCCGTTGGCGGGGACTTCGGTGAAGCGAAGCTCTTCAAAGCCCATAAGTACGCCGGATTACTCGTCAGTCGTTTCGTCATCATCGGTTGTCCGCCATTTTTGCTATGCTTGTGTCTCTGCAGGTATATTCTTAGCATTCGCAGTCCAGTGTTCTACGCGATGTTCCATGGAAGCATGGCCGAATCCGGTCCGCAGGTCGACATTCCCGATTGCATGCCCGACGCGTTTGCCAACATGCTCAGGTACGTAAACAAGCATGTACTGTAGCATGATCGGAAGCATTGCGCTGTAGCCGGTGTCAATGGAGCGTGACAATGAACGAAACCGCCGCCGCCGCCGGCATGTGTATATACCGCCGTATCCTCATGTTGCAGTGTATCTTGTTTGTTATTCGTTACAGCTACCTGTACACGGATACCGTGGAGAATCTCACGGCGGACAACGTCGTCCCGACCCTTCGCTGCGCTGATAAGTACGATCTGCCGCAGTTGGCCACCGTTTGCTTGGAATTTGTGGAGACGCGAATGAATATCGGGGAATGCTTGGTCACTCTGGAGCGGGTAAGGTTGGCAGTATGCTAGCGGATTTTGCACGAGCGACTATGTGACGGGACGTCGCTTGTTGCAGGCAGTTCAGTGGAACGCAGATGATATCGTGGAGAAATGCCTGCGGTTGGTGGAACGCCACTGTGACGTCATCGTGCAGACGGAGCAGTTTACGGCCATCGCGCAGGACACCCTGAAGATGATTCTGCAGCGCAGTGCTCTAGCCGCGGATGAGCATGACATCTACTTGGCTGTTGAAAGGTACTTCCATGGCCGAAAGAAAGAACTTTCGGGTGTGCTTACTGTCGCGCTCGTATAGCTTTTTGGATTGTTTAATCATTCGAAATCAATATGTTTGACGTAAATAATAAGCTTTAGTGGAATCGTTTTTCTAGATGGGCTGTGGAGGCTTGTAAACGGAGCAATCTGGAACCGTCCGGGATCAACCGGCGCGCCATGCTGGGCGACGCATTGTGCCTGGTCCGCTTTCCGCTGCTGAACGGCGTGCAACTGACCGCTGGTCCCGCCAAGGTAGACCTGGTATCAGCGTACGCCGTTCACGCTGGTTAACGTGGTCCCTTCAACAGAGTGGGCTCCTACTGGATAGTGAACTGCTCAACATCTTCCTGCACCAGAACGGCGGTGTCCCGAACCAGCTGCCCTTTTCTCAGGAGCGACGCAGCCGCAGCACGGCCCAGCGCGCCGATCAGTTTAAACAGGTGGAAGAGGTTTTCGCGCTGAGCCCGGCCGGTAGCTGGTGGCAACCGGCCATATTGCAGTGGGCAGGTGAGCGCGGGAGCCTGATGTGGAACGCCACCGGCATGGACGGCACGGTGGTGGCCGAGCAGGCGGTGCGGGTGAAGGACTTCCTGAAGGGCGGACAGCCGCTGTATCATATGACGACACTGGGGCCGCGTGCCGCCACCTACGTGAAGCAGCATCGGACTAAGCATATCGTGCGTTTCGACACGCAGGAGGAGACCGAATGTGGGCTGTACCAGCTGCTGCTGCACAACAGCCAGGTGGTGGCCTGGAAGGCCAGCAAAGTCGGCTAGCGGGTCCTCGAGCCGGAGAACATTTACGGTTTTTACTGGCATTTTCTTTTTATTACAGTAGTTCTTCTGACGTATGCTGACATAAAAGTATGTATAGAGACAGCTTTGCTGTCTGGCGAATGGATCCTGCATTCCCATTCCTGCTTTTATTTCACCTGAACGTGCACGTTATTTGTCCCTACATGTTTTTGGTCGCTTTTGACATTAGTTTTAGCTTTATCTTTGCGACGTTTGCCTTGTCGTTCGCTCGGATTGTCTGCAATTGTGACAGTTGTCATAATAGATATTAGTGTGATACTGTGATGTGACGATTTTGTTCTACCTCGTTTCCAAGCGAATCATGATTAAGAGGATGATAATTAATGGCTGATGAATGGTCATTTGCAGAATGTTATGTAAATATTGGCTGGTTTTATAGTAAAGATAAAAAAGTCATACGTAAAAGCTGTCAATTATCACACATCAGATCGTGTAAATCGCTGCACCACCGTCCACCGGGAAGACGCCTGCTCATGCTTGCCGTCTGAAGACGTCTGCTCATGCCTACTGTTTCACGGAAGCCTGGTCAAGATCCTCTTCATCTCGTCGCGGTAATTCTTCCACCAACTGAAACTCTGTCGAAGGTAGTGTTTATTTATTATTATTATTCTGAATGCAAACTGAATGTTCTGTCTATGGCCTGGTTAAAGAATTCCTGAGTACAGTGGAACCTCCCGACCCTGAACACCCTCGGTACGCAGTTTCTTGTTCAGGGTTCAGAGGTGTTCATGGTTCAGAGGTACTGCCCCCAGGGCGGAGACTTTCTTAGGGATTTATATAATATACGTGGCTTTATATAATTTATATGTAGCTGGCTAATAAGCAAATGTATGATTGTATTGTGTTGGGCAAGACAACAGGTAAACAGAGCAATTGCAATTAAAAAATAATAATTTTAATATTCGCCGGCCGAAAAATTATCGAGAATAGATTATTTCTTATCAGAATAAGCAGCGGTCAACTTGTCCGGGGCATATTCCTTGCCTTGATGTTCATTAAAAAACTAAAAATTTGTTCACGAAATAAAATACTAAAGGGCGGACGAATGTTTGCGAATGATCTACTGTAAGTGAACACCTTGAGCACTTGATCTTCCCCTGTGTTTTGCTAAACTGCTCTGTTCATGTCTGGAGGTCTAATTATCTAAGAAAACATACTGCGGTACATTGCAGAGTGTTCACGGTTCAGAGGTGTTAACAGTTCAGAGGTCCCCCCTAATGCTATACATTACGAGAAGCGCCGGTACGAAAAAAGTTGTTCAAAATTCAGAGATGTTCAGCATTCGGAGGTGTTCAAAGTAGGAGGTTCCACTGTAGTAAGTAAACCGGTTTCGAAAGAACTAAGAAACTGTAGTGTAGAAAGAACGAAAGAACTTAACCGAATAACTCATTGCTGTTTGCTCATCGCATGTGGGGCGCTAGACTCCTCAGGGGCGACACTTCTGATTTCAAGGGGGGATAGTTTTTTTAGATTAAAAAAATTCGCTGATTCCGAATCTGCAGTCGGTTTATTCAAAAACTCCCGGGCACTGGGGGCTGTGTTCTAAAAAAGTCCCTGATTAAAACCAATCGCAGAATTGGTCGAATTTTGATTGGTCACCGGCTTACCGTTGCCCAGTCAACTGCGTGTCGGGTCTGTCGGCTCTACCACACCTCCATTTGCTTTGTTTTATTCTTCAACGTTTTCAACAACGTTTTATCGTTGGCAATATTGTGATTTACTTGCTACACATTCCTCCGGTTTTTCCACAGTCCCACTTTTGTATTTTTTTTTCCCCAGTAAGCGAACCGCATTCTTATTTCAGCCTGCAGCATTTCTACTACGTACAGATAGTTCGCTTGAGCCGAGACTTTAGTCAGTTTCGTGGGATTTCACTGGTTCTGACTCTGGTAACCAATACTAGTTCTCGCGTTGACAGTATGGCGTCCGCAAACCCTGATTTGTCGGCATCCCGTAAGCGTAAACGAGAAGGCCTTGCTTCGGGACTCCATAGTCGCATCAAGGTGATGCTGGCCTCTGGCGATCTGAGCGATGTACAATTCTCCGTTGGCCGGGATTTCGGTGCTGCGAAGATCTTCAAAGCTCACAAGTCAGTATGGATGCAGTCATCGTTTCCTCAGTACGCTGTCACTAATCTTCTGGCTGCAGGAACATTATCAGCATTCGCAGTCCAGTGTTCTACACAATTTTCTATGGAAGTTTGGCCGAATCCGGTCCGCAGATCGACGTTCCCGACTGCATGCCCGACGCGTTCGCCAACATGCTCAGGTACGGGAATACCTGGTGCGTGAACTGTGCTTCAGTTGATACTTGTTTGTATGGTACAGCTGCATGTACACGGATACCGTGGAGAATCTCACCGTGGACAACGTGATCTCCACACTGCGCTGCGCTGATAAGTACGATTTGCCAGAGTTGACCAATCTGTGCCTGGAGTGTGTGGAGACGCGGATGAATATCGGTGAATGCTTGGTCACTCTGGAGCGGGTAAGGTTGGCAGTATGCTAGCGGATTTTGCCTGTGCGACAACTCTATATATATGTGTGAGGGTATCGCGTGTTGCAGGCAGTCCAGTGGACCGCTGATGATATCGTGGAGAAATGCCTGCGGTTGGTGGAACGCCGCTGCGATGTCATCGTGCAGACGGAGCAGTTCACGGCCATCACGCAGGACACGCTGAAGATGATTCTGCAGCGCAATGCTCTATGCGCGGATGAGCATGCCATCTATTTGGCTGTTGAAAGGTACTTACATTTAATTTGCGTAACGAGAACGGTATCATTGCCGTTCGCCTGTGATGTATTTGTCCGCCTTATTTTGCTTCTTCCTTTCGAACCTTCACCCTTTACTGGCATGAAGCCCAACAGCTTCTAAATAAAAACAACAATAATTAGATTTCATAAGGACAGATGGTCCACCAGTTGGTTTTAAGCCGCTTTTCAGTCACTATTTTTACAGATGGGCCGTGGAGGCTTGTAAACGGGAGAATCGTGAGCTGTCAGCGGCCAACCGACGCGGGATGCTGGGCGATGCGTTGTTCCTCGTCCGTTTTCCGCTGCTGAATGCCACACAGCTAGCTAACGGTCCCGGCAAGGTATGTGCAATTGGATTCGTTACACCAACCGTTACTTAATTCGTTACGCAAACCTTGCCGATTGTGTGTTGCTCCGAAGTCGCGTAACAAATCGGTTGCGCTGTGAGTTGTCCGCATCGAATTGTCGCTGTGACGAAAAAACTATGGCGAAATGCCCTGCGACCACGATGCGGCTGTTCGGTTCGGTATGGCCTTCACGCAGGTGTAAAGCGATGTTTTAAAATTCGGCAGAGTGGTCTGCTCCTGGAGAGTGAGCTGTTGAGTCTCTTCCTGTACCAGAACGGCGCCGTTCCCCTCCAGCCGCCCTTTACCGCGGCCCCTACGCAACTCGGCGTACCAACCCGGCGGAGTTCAAGAAAGGCCAGGAGGTGTTGGCGTTGAGTCGGGCCGGCGGCTGGTGGCATCCGGCCAAGTTTCTGAGGAAGGGCACCGTGTCGGGCATGGAGTTAATGTGGTGCACCAGCCGAAGAGAAGATGTCGTGAAGGAAGAGGCCATGCTGCGGCCGGCGGATATCCTGCAGAGCGGCCAGCCGCTGTACTGTATGACGGCAGCGGGGCTGCCGCGTGCCGCCACCTACGGCAAGTACCTGGATCGTGGTAGCATCGCTAGCAAGCACCTTGTTCGGTTTAATGCGTCGGAGGAGGCCGAGTGTGATTTCTCCGAGCTGCTGCTGCACAACAGCCAGGTGGTGGCCTGGAAAGCCAGCAAAATTGGCCAGTAGACAAGGGAAGCCGACAACAGCAATTTCTTTGTGCGTCTGTAGCTTTTACTGACGACGCTTTCTGCCTTGACGGGTTTGCGCTGTTATCGGTAAGTATACTGTGTTAACATTTTCTAGGGGTTTGTAACTTTCATTTTGCGCTTTTTTGTGGCTTTTGCCGTATTCGGCTCGGATGTACTGCGATTTTGTGCGTTGTTATAATGAACATCGGTGTGATTATTCTTACATTATTTTCAAGAGACGGATAGGACATCACCGAATTTACGAATAATAAAGATCGCCAAAATCAAAGGAAGCAAGAAAGTAGTAAAAGGGATGAGTGGATATCAGTTATACATAACAGTCAACAGATCAGGTCTTGACGCCTACACTTAAGTACAGCATCTGGTCAGTGGCTACTACTGTACGCTCAATTTCATCCAATATTAAGTACAAGATCTATACTACGCGCGGCGCCCCATAGTTTTGAGATCTCTATAACCATAAAACTTCTGGAAAAACGGACAACGCCATTAGATCCGGGATAGTTCAGAAGTGGTCGGCATGTGTTTTTTTTATGAAATATCGAGCCGGTATCAAGCCGGCATCAAGACCAGATTGATCCAACCCATCTTAAAGGTCACCTTGAAACTTAGAAATATTTGCCTAGATACAATACAAAATACCAATTGACATAATTATCACGCTAATTAAACCGAAAAGTAAATAAATTATTGCACTTATTCAAACACTCGCGTTATTCAAACATTGCTGCCGGTGTTGCCGAGCTCGAAACACGTTTAAAATCAACCGATATAAAATGTAAAAATATAAAATCAATACGAAAAATCACTGGACGAGTGAGTGACCGAAACACTATCACCGACCACTGAGCGGAATCTCCAGATGAGTGGGTGACCGAGCTACTACCACTGACCAGTAAGAAAAATCACTAGACAAGTGAGTGGCCGAAACACCATTACTGCCCACTGAGCGGAATTTCTAGGTGAGTGAGTCATCGAGCGGGCTTTGCTCTTGCTCACCTAACGGGCTCTGTGCACTGGACAGTAGTTGTAGCAGGGTCACATCCTCACCTAGCGATTTTTCTCCTTACCTAGCGATATTTCTTACTGGACAGGTTGAGCTCGGTCAGTCACTCACCTAGTGATTGAGTGCGTCAAAAAATCGCTAGGTGAGTACGTAACCGAGCTACCACCACTGTCCAGTGCCCAGAACCCGTTAGGTGAAAGAGTACCGAGATACCACTACTGTCCAGTGCACAAACTCCGTTAAGTGATTTAGTGACCGAGCTACCACTACTGTCCAGTGCATAGATCCCGTTAGGTAGATGGGTGACCAAGCTACCAATAATGTCCAGTGCATAGATTCCGTTAGGAAGATGGGTGACCGAGCTACCAATACTGCCCAGCACACAGAGCCCGTTAGGTGAACGCGTGACCGAGCTAACACTACTGTCCAGTGCACGAACTCCGTTAAGTGATCTAGTGACCGAGCTACCACTACTGTCTAGTGCATAGATCCCGTTAGGTAGATGGGTGACCGAGCTAGCACTACTGTCCAGCGCATAAACTCCGTTAAGTGATCTAGTGACCGAGTTACCAGTACTGTCCTTTGCATAGATCCCGTTAGGTAGGTGGGTGACCGAGCTACCAAAGCTATCCAGTGCACAGAGCCCGTTAGGTGAACGTATGACCAAACTGCAATATTACTGAGCAAAACAGAGCAGGGCCTGCTAAGTTCTTAATGGGTGACCTATCTAGCACCACTGTCCAGTCTTAGCGTCCTTTTAGTTTGTAATGTGACACTCTCGTGGGTGATTAGATTCGGATGGTTTTCGCTAAGAAAATTTAACAAAAAATGATCTGTAAAGTCAAAGTAATTGCGTTCGACTGCACGAAACCAAAACATCCATTTTTTTATAAAATTTTTGTTATCGGGCTCTTCAGATTTATCCGTTCTAAGTTAGCAATCCGTAAACCGGCCAAGGAGTTTAGATCCCAAGAAACGCGGAGGCGAAGCCGAGGCTGTTTCTTGTATAGATTATTATGGCGCCGATTAAATACGAAACTAAAATCGCATATTCTCTTTGCAATAACTGATATCGTCACCGCCGCTTTAATCTAAGATGTTGACGCAATCTGTCGCTTTTGCAAAAAGACTAAGGTATTTCATCTCCACACGTGACAGTATAAAATAGAGCTCAGTACAAAGACGCGTATTATAAAATAAAGCTACATTTCTTGCATTCACACAGGATATCGTTTCAGCTAGCAAACGAACCATTAACGGCATGTCGATCTCCGGGCTTCTTCGTAGTTATGCACATTCTCCGTGTACAGTATTACAATTCCGCCCATCTGACAGGAAAGGCGCTAAAGATTTCAGGGATATCACAGAACGATCGCCGCATTCATTCCGGCAACGCGCGCCCCCTGTGGTTTCACGGCCGTCCAGCTGATCGCTGTTAATGTGCGGTCAGTTTCTTCCATAATCACTGCGCCCGGCGTCCTCGTGGGATCCGTACAATTTTGCGGAAGCGAGGAGTCGTCGACGGGCGGGGTGTGCTGGGCGGTAGGGATGGCTCGTCATCCTCGGTCTCGACGAAGAACTCAATTCGGTTCTCCCCCGTGGCCGGTGTAGTGGTGCTGTTGCCCAGTACTTCAAGCCAGCGGGAGTTGCAGTACCACTCCTTCCGCCAGTGATCACAGCAGTGATCGTTGATGATCCTGTCCAACCATAGAACAATGTTTACCCCGTACTCGTTTTTTGTGAATTTTAAAACCGCTTTAATCGCAGTCATATATACTAACTAAATAATAATAACGATACGTTATAAAGATGGTAAGTTTGTACATAATGTACTTTACATTGGTAGACGGCATATGAACGTTAATACCGCTTGCATCAATGTTTAAACTCGTTGACTCAATATTATTCAGAATGAGTTGTCAATGCTGTCGGCATTAACTGGCTCTGTTATTAATTTTACAGTACAGCCATGCAGATTTTCTAAGAAGAAGACAATTTCACAATATGTTACTGTTTAAAGTGCAATGTCCAAGCCGGAGACCAGTGATTGGGCTTCGAAAAACATGCGATTCAGACAAAGTTTGTTAAAATTCCAGGATTACAACCAACACTTCTGACAAACCGTTCCTGAAGAGCTTTCATCAGAACGAGCGCACTTACCCACTATGCACGACACAGTAATCGTATGTATCCTGAAACGCGTGCGGATAGCACATGCAGACATGCCGCGCCCGCGAACATCGCTCCCCGGCGCCGGCACGGTACGGGCAGTAGATATCCTTCCCGTCTACGCTCACAATCCCTCCGTGGCGGATGTGGACGGTGGTGGGGCAGGCGGACAGGAGCGCGGCGTAGTTGACCAGCATGGTGACCTCCACAAACCTGGGCAACATCGTGGCACGATCCTCTCCTCGGTAATGAGCTTGTGAGTTGTATAGTGTGATACAAGGCGGTGTTACTCTGGCAACAGAGGAAGAGATGCACGGGAATCACGGAGCAGGCGACAAGGGAAATTAAAGACGATCGAACATGATGAATGGCTGTGCAATTATGCAGCCATAAAAGCCGTGTTGATTGCTCCGTAATTGCTTCGCCACTGCGCCGTGTACTGGTTGTACGTACTTACAGCTTTATTTAAACGGATGTCAGCTGTATTGTACACAGCTAATCAGTGACTGAGTGTAGCGCGCATCCGTTAAACTGTACGAAAAATCGGCAATACAGCGCACATTTGTTAAGCTATACGAAAGATCGTACGTGCGCGCACCGTCTACCGCTCATTCAACATAAAAAGGGTGTGGCTTATACTCATTGTCCAATCAGCGCGTTCTCTTTTTATTCGGCTGCTTCGCGGTGCGATTAAAACGAACAAGAGAAACTTTATCCATTTTAAAAGTTGGATGATAAAGCGTTTAATGTGTCCGTTGTAAGTTGTAGCGCTGGTATAATGTATGCAAGCGCGGGTTTTAACGTCCGGCTAATTAGCGAGTCGGTCGGTGTTAAGTATCGGCTAATGAGTGGTAGCCGTAGCCGGCGACACTGCTGACACGAGTGAGTTGTGCGGCTACTGTCTTGTCTGCCTGCGCCTGCGCGCTGTATATGCACGTTAACGGCCCAGTGTCCAATGAACGCCGTGCGTCTCAGTGCTGATGGGTGAGAATGGAAGAAAAAGTTGCCTGCCACAGATAATAAAATAAGCAATAAAGCCACCTTAATTTTCCTCATTATTACCCATTAGCCAGCGACATACTACTGTGTACGGAGACGACAGCGGAATAACAGCCGTCGAACACAAGAAGAGAATGGTGTATTTCATTCCGTCGTGTCCTTCTCTGTTTACTTTACTTTACACCGACACTCACATCTTCACCATTGTCATGTTTCTCCAGTTCTCTGTCTGCTTAGACACTTCTCAAACAATATGTCCATCAGAGAAATTATTTTATTTACTGATGCTTGTAGGCGATTGTCAGTGTAGATGCAGCTGTTTGTGGTAAAACTAAAATAAATTGTTTGTTACTGTACCGTTTGGCCATCCTATGGCATAATAATGTGCCAGCAGTTTCGAGATACACTGCTAATGAAAATGCATGTGAACCGGGAGATATCCCCGCCTCGGATTATGACAGAGGATTACATTTACGGCTGTGTATGGATTTGCTGGTTTACTCTAATGGAGATTGCTTTGATCATACTGCACGAAACCGGGAATTACTGGGATCGATTAGGGGAATAACAATGGATGCACGCTGCAGGAAGCGGCCTGCAGATGATTTCCGGTAGGTATCCTGTTTGCGCAACAGGTATTGGACTGCGATATCCAGCAGATATGGATTACTATAATTATAATGGATCAATTAATCGTGGAACTGAAACCGCTCATCTAAAGCGCGAAATGTACATTTGCATTTGTTATATTAGCAAAAAGCTAGCCAGCGCGTGCGTTTGTAATAAAACTTAAGGAAACACGTGGACCGTAAGAAACAGTATATTTTATAACCGCGCAAAACAATGTGCAATGGAAGTTTATTTTAATTTTTGGACTGGGATGATATTGTACCGTTCGCTTGCTATCGCTGCGATAAAATAAGTTGCAATGTACGCTCTATTAGCTTGTCAATCTGCTGTCGAGGAAGGCTAATACGCATCTGTACCGGCAAGATGCAAGCGTGGCGGAAGTTGCGCAATGTATCTACAGCTTCTGCCGAATGTGCAACCGTGTTTTCGTGTTCCGCATGGCTGCGACTGGAGATGTGTCGAGAAGAAACGTTTCCCGCGTTTCGTTTTTCGCTTAATTTACTTCGGAATGTAAACAAAAATTTTAAATGGAATATGTACCAATTCCGGACTGCAGTAGTGTATCAGTTTATCACTCAAACTGAGCCGGAAAAACACCTGACCATATTAGAATTTTTAAGGACGATTAATGAGACCGGCACTTTTCCGGCGTTTGCCCCGTGTTTTAAAAATTTTAATCGGTGACCGTAATATTATTTTTCTCGCAATTTTTTCACCAATATACATGTACCCCAGTATAGGGCAAAAATGCGCAACTATTAGCTGCTGGCGCATGTTAAGTTTTGAGGAAATGCCGGCGTTATACGAATGTTCGGTATATATGGCGTCCATGCACCAGCCGTAAATTTCGTTGCTCCTGAGTTTTATTTCCGGCGGAAACAGCAGCAATAAACCTCGTGTGCGTGTGCGCCGCGGAGAGAGTCTTCCCGCTATCGCACGGCAATGTACTTACATAAGTTACATACCGTTAGTTAAAACGCACACTGTTTTATGGATGCACATGATCGTCTTGTATTATCCAATCTATGTATAGTATACAAAATTCCGTGATGTTGTCATGGCAGAACATGAGCGACTAATCTGTTACAAAATCCGGTGCCGAAAAGATTACAGTATATGAATTTGCTTTAATATAAAAATTAGGGTTTTTTTTAAGTAATAATTTTCCGTGTGCATTAAATCTAAAGTTAGGTTCATGTTACTATAAATTTATAGCTTGCGTGTGCCAGAATGGTTTGACCTTTTACTAATGCAGACTATGCAGTAAATTTTAAGCACCTTAACTCAGCAAATACGTATTTTAAATCTTTTTTTTTCCGTAAAATAAGTAGATTGTCCCGATGAAGATGTCATGGTAGAATTGCACAGCACAACGGTGACAGCGTTATCCACCGGCCAACAATAGCCAGCTATCACGGCATGTTTTGGCCGGCGCAGCAGGCCGCGGCGTGGGCCGGTCCACGGGGCCATAATTCTTGTTGGACTTTGTATGAAGATGTCTCCGCCGCTGACAGTTATGGCCGCTCGGCCATACCAATTACACACTGCGCCGGTGCTGACCGCTCGCCAAATGGCTACTTTGTCCAGTCATGCAGCTGTATGCATGTTATCCAGGATGAGCGCTATTCCGCTCCTAGCAACATGTATACAATCTTATAAAGCATTATAACATTCCCCGAATGCAATTGTGCAGGTAACACAACAGACTGGTAATTATCGACCGCGGCGTTTTATTAGCCGGCATGACCGGTTCTTCCGGCCAGTAGATTGGAAACATGGGACGTGATAAGTGCATTAGGCCATTCGCGGTCTTAATCGCACCGTCTAAATGGCCGTTTCTTAATGCAAGCAGTAACGTCAAACGGCAAATTAAATCGCGAAACGCGTAAAGAATTTACAGAATGATAAGGGTTCGTTCAAGAAGGCGCAGTTTGTCACTGTAGCACACTTAATGTGTATGCGATCTTAAGTTATCAGGCTGCTATAAACTGATCCTAGTATAAGCATATGCATTATGCATATCTTCATATGCTATTGGTTACCCAGTTCCTAGATATGGCTTCCGAGTTCCCAAATTCACTGTTAAAACCTCTCTTTTTTGACGCGCTGTTACCTGTCACCACTGATAATCCGGTGTCGTATTTCCTGTGCTTTGAGTGACGCCAGTGATAGAGCTGCTTTTTTTTACCTAGAGTGTTTAAAATGTTATTGATCGATCACGCTTGTCATTGTTTATCTTTCGCTGGAAATGGCCGGCCAGCTCTTTGCTATTGTAGCTCGGAGGTGCGGTAAAGGCGCTTTACACCTGCCGACATGCATGAGCGCCCGCGGAACCGGCTACCTGCAGGTAACTGCCGTCATGGCGAACGCGAGGACTGTATAGTACCGTATCGAGCCCAAGACCACAGACAGGATGTCCAACAGAAGAGGGGTATGCTCTCACGGGTAATAGCTGCTACCGCGCCTCCCGTTCGTTGCAAGGATAACTAACAGTGTTTTAGTCTTGCTGTTATCAAAGGAGACGCTACATTTGTTATACTTCAAATTTCCCGTTTTTTAATGTGGAAGTTTAAATTATGAAGTTATAGGCGTTTGTAAATTTGTAATTAGCGCAATCTCGTGTTTTTTACCTATATACAGTACATAAAGGTGGGGGACAATCTCCACTTGACGCCTGTATGCGCTTCCTGCAATAGTTAACAGCTTACGGAAGTTCTAGGGCACATTTGGCGCACCCATGATGACCCAACCTTCGGTGTCTGGATAGTGTAGAATGTATTGTCGTTTATTTCTGAAAACTGAATCAGCCAGCCAAACCTTAGCAGGACGCAATCGTTAATTGCAATAGCAATCGCTTAAACATTCATTCGTGATTCGGATACGTGACTTATTCTGACATCAGCGACGCGGTTGGTTGTTGCACTTTAAACTATGCAGTATGTATACCGAATATGACTAACAACTGATTGTGTGTTATCAAAATATTAAGTCAGCTCAGCAGTCAGCACACTGGTGTAATAAGACGAAATTGCATAGTAGAGCTCATTTGCAGCTTGATATTAGGTAATGGATTCCTGTACATTATTTCCTTTACTGTAATGATATTTCGTAGCTTGCGTAAACATGTTTTACGTACAACGTAGAGCTGATGCTTTGTTTCAACATATATAATGCGCAAATAAACACTTCCCTGTTCGCCGGCGATTTATGCGCACTGGGAGTGTTCCTGCACACTGTTTGTTGATTTAATTTAAGTTTCAACCCGCGAACCGGTGGAACGATTTCCGCGTATTTTGTCCGGCATTGTACGTACTTGATCGGCCAAAATGGGGAACGAACTGTCGGCTCATATGGCGAACGTTGCCGCCGCCCTGGCCGAACAAAACCCCAGCGCGAACAGCGGGAACGCGACGCCGCTGAGCACCAACGGCGCCTGGACGAGGCCAACCAGGCGGCGGCCGCCGAACGGCTGCGTCTTCAAGAAGAACTCCAACGTCAACAGCAGCAGCGGGACGAGGAAGCCGCTGCCGAACGGCTGCGCAACGAGGCTCGGATCAATGCGCTGGCTGACAGTACGAAGACGGCGCAGGAGCGGCTGCGCAGTATACAGGAGCAGCTCGACGAGCCGGTTAGGGACCGTCAAGCTAGAGTGGAGTGGATTAACGGATTGCAGCTGCAGATTCATCAGTCGGAATCCCTGCTGCTCGTGGGACCCAAAGGAACCGGAAAGAGCACCTTCCTCTGGCTCCTCAAACGAGGTAATAAGACCAATTCGAACTAGTTCTTTCTAGACACCGGTGACCCGCCAGGTAAATTATAGCGTTTTGCTAAACTGTCTCAGTTTTTTCAAGTTTTCTCATGGTTTCTTACGTTGGTGACACTTTGGTTCGTTAGATCATTTTGCCTTCTCAATTTAAGTTTTCAAAAAGGTTTCTTAGGCTTCTTTTTTTACATGACTTCTTAGGTTTCTTAATTATGTACTAAGAACTCTTAGCTACTTTTTAATTTTCTGATGTTTCTTGGGTTGTGTTAGGCTCTTGGGTATTTTAGCAGTTAGGGTTTCCTTATTTTGTTAGACTTCCCATATTCGGTAGGTTTTAACAAAGATGGTTTTCTTCAGTACACTTTTTTATGCTTTCTTTGGTTTTCTTTAATGTTAAATTTGATTAGGATCGCCTGGTTTTCTATCCGACCTTCTTGAAAACTTTGCTTATAAAATTGCCGCTGTATGTCCAACTTCGAATCGAATTTAGGTGAGAAACCCCAACGGACAACCCGCGATGGCACCGTCAGCATTCTCCACATCGACGGCTTCATCGACTCCATCGGTTTGCGCGGCTGGACACCGGAAGAACTGTGGAAACTCGTGGTGCTCCTAATCTACGATGGCATCCCGCAGGATCTCATCGTCTTCACCAACGACCGCGTCGATCTGCCGATAACCACGCTGGGCCTCTTGGGCATCAACAATCCCATGCTGGCCATTATGTCCAGCGACTTTTGGCGGAACCTCGAGGGCCAGGATCCCCGGATCCACATCACCGAGGAGGAGAGAGTGCGCCGCGTGGATGCGCTGGATTTGGTGTACGATCTGCGGATGTACGAAGAAATCCGGGAGTTCAATTTGGGTATACCGGTAACACACCGACGATCTCCTGGAGCTGGTTAGGAAGCGGGAGGCCGCGGAGGTGCGGCCGTTCCGCGGGCTGTTGCAGGAGCTGGGCGGGCAGTTCACGGTGGGCATGGAGAATTCGCCGAATATGGAGACGCTGTTTCGGTTTATTTACATTTATGAGAAAGTTTATCAACGGGACCGGCTAAGGTTCATGAATCATGCAACGCTGCAAGAGTTTGACCAATAAAATTTCTATAAAAGTTCCGCTTTCCACGCTCTTTCTCTTCCTGATTGCATTGATGATTTAACATAAGCGGCTGCAGTTAAAACAAGTACAAATCAAATATATAGTGCGTAAATATAATTAATTAGTTATAAGATATATTGGTATTCATTTTTATTTATTTTAATTTCATTATTGTTAAACTTAATTTCATTTATATTTAATTTAATTTAAGAAATTGCAATGCGCTCGAAAAATGGGAGCGCATAAAAGTGACCTTTAATTTAAACACATCCCACATATTGAACTAGTAATTACGTGGATTTGTAAAACCGAAAACGTTCGTGCTTTAGTTTGCTAGAAGTCTATTTAAAGATCTTTTATTATTCGGATCGAATTATTATGTATACGTTTGAAGCACATCTTGAAGCCATTAGCCAGCTTAGCATCGCTGTCTAAAAGCGCTCAAATGAAAGCCTGAGAGACTATTCAGAGTTATTCCGGGTGCTGTGTATACGCTATTTAAATGAGAACATGCTGCGAAAGAGAATGGGATCGTTTGAACGCGGGGCCGTAAAAAGTTTTACGATTCCCAGCACTTAAATGATTTTCCTCCGTTCTCGGTACTGCCATGGCTTAACTGGATCCCGGTGTCCACTGGGCCAGGCAGGCAACAACGGCATGGCATCCGGCTGCGCCCGGCATCAGCCGGATGTCGACGTGCCGGGTCGGGGCGTGCGTGCGGGAAACTAATTGCGTTGCGCTCGCATCCACACACATTAGGCTTCGCTACATCGCGCAGATGTTATGCTTTTAAGCGGGTAATGCTGACCTCCTCAGCATCTTTATGCGATTGCACAAAACTTCGGCAAAATTTTATATATACTCGTACAACATTCTGCATATATGTACGAACTGTCGTACACTGACAATCCTGAGTACTGTATATATTTGAGGACTAATTACAGGCACACCACAATTGTTACTTACATAATATTATATTATTATGGATTCTTTCGTACTTACGTTAGTAGTTGCTACTATTAATAATAATTATTTTCGTAATTTATTATATAATATTTATTATTTCTTTGAAAAATCGCCTTTGAAAAATCGCAATATGAATTCGCGAAAGCCAGGGGAGTCGATAAATCAATAAGGTAAAGTGTAAAACAATCTCTGAATTTAAAATCATTCATTTCAAAACAGTGTTGACAGCGGTGACCCAGGCCTGGTAGTCAGTAGTTAGTTAGTTTACTGCATTGGCTTTTGCCGAATAAAATTAAAATTTATCGGCTTTCAGTTTTTGTGATTTCCGTTAATCATATAAAGTATTCTTTCAGAAGCGATTAAAATTTGGTTGCGCTATACAAGTTTAGCTTGTACGTCATAGCTGTTAATGCCGTTGTTGTACTATTTAAAAATTTGAATTATAATTCAAATTGTCGCATTTAAAGTATTGTCGAAATCGCTACTATTTCAGCAATTTCCAGCTCTGGACCACAATCAAAAATAACGACGTATGAGCAGGAAACGATAAAGCGGCATGTTTTGTGCATAAATTGCAGTCAATATTGCACCTGAAACGATATACAGCTGATTATGTTATCGTCGGTGCTGTCCGATAATTGGCGGCCGGTGGTCAATGGCAGTGTGTATGTTCCTGTGTTGTGCATAGTGCACGGCGAGAAATGTTGATGCCTTTATTGGCCGGTGTGTGTCATTAATAAAACCGTTGAACAACGTCATGTTTGTACAGTGCCCTAATGGCAGTTTGCGCCTCTATCTAGCTAAATGATCCAATAAAGCCCCGACGACAATTAAGTTACGTATCCTCTGTACATGCAGTAAAGACCGGTCCAGTCGCTGTAATGCGGCCGGCCAATGGCTGCAGCCGGTCAAATGAACCATTAGCGGCATTTCAGGCACAATTAGGCGCTGACAAATTGCACACATCCTTTTATTCCTGCCGACTTGTTTTCCTGTGCATTTCTTCAGCGCTGGTTCAACAAACGCTACCAGTTATTTTAACTAAAAATAACTTCAACTTATAAATCATTATCAGAAACTTACGCAGCTAGTTGGCAAAATACCGAGAAAATAATTACAGTAAATTCAGATAAATAGGGAAAATAATCGAAATAAACTCTAAATAAGTATATATGGAGATTAATTTATAAATTCAGTCATCAATATTAAAAATTTTCAAATAATATTTATCATTTATCAAGACCAGTGTGCTTATAATTTCACTGAATAAATATTTATGTATAGTACCAACTACTAAGTATTCGTTAAGAACGTCCCCTATCGTGAACGATAATGCTTATTTATTTTTCAAAATAAAAATACTTAATAATTTAATTCTTATTTAATAAATCTACCATGAAATTCTTTACTAATGTAAGAAGTTTCAATAAATAAATTTGATAAAAAACCCTAATTTTGCCGGTTTTCTGTTCTAATTTGTAGCTGTTGCTCAATGAAATGACCTCATTTCTGGGCGAAGAAATGAATGCCTCAGTAGTGCATAGGTCGGTGTGTTTGCGCCATGAAGCGCATGTGATGGGCTATAAAAAAAGGAGCTGTCTGTGTGACTGTGTTGTATGAGCCAGGTTGGGGAAAATATTTGCCAGCTCGCGGAAGACGATGGTCTGGCTTATCGCTAATGACCGCTCGTAAAACAATATATAGACTGACTGTAGCTCATTAATATATACGTATATACTGGCCTGCGCAGTCCCCATTCGGCACAATCTTTTTGTCGGCATCAGCCGCCCCGATGCTGTACACAAACACCTCCGATAATCAGCGCCAGCGCCGCGCGTTCCTGTACCGCATTAAACTGTTTGTTTGCAAGTCGCCCCAAAGGAATGCGGCCACTGCACTGAGCAATTGCACCGTTAAAACCTCGGAATAAAAAATTTTGTAAAGGTCACCTACTCAAATAGAAAAACCTGCTATTTTCATGCTTATGATTTTGTCAATTAATAAAAACAATAATTAAGTACTACAGGAAATTATACCAGCATGACGTTAAATATTTTTAACCAACACGGTCACGTATTAATCAAGGTCACGAACAAGTTGGAACCCTTATAGTTAATTTCGGCAGTAAAAATATAACATAAACTTAAATGAGTATGACGAAGAACTAAAATGATCCAAAATAAAAAAGTAATATTTAGTGAAGAGACAATAAAATAAATAATAATAAATAATTTACACAAAACAAATTAATTACAAATTTATTTTCGGTGTCCCGAAAAGATAAAAATTGCAAAATGCTTCACGAAGTTTGACGCGTTTGATCAGTAATGCATCGGTGTACGGTGAATATCTGTACGATATTCGTAGCTAAATTATAAGCATTTTTCTCATGAAACCGGCTATTACAAATAACTTCGTCAGGCGTCATGCCTTGAATAATTAAGATCCAGGCGAGAGTTGTAAAACATTCTATTGGCAAATGTGCGTTTGTCAATTTAACTGTAAATTGCTGTGCTTACAGCGTAACAGACAAAGTGAATTTCGCTTGGAGTGAGGCCTAGTAAGGAAATTCGTCATTAAGCAGCAAAAACACTCAACATGAGCCGGTGTTTCTCGATCCTTATGACAAACTGGCGATCCGCTTAACTTTAATTGAATGTATAGACAATATCGTAAATTAATGGCAAGTGACAGATCGCAATTAATTTCCAGCGGACAACGCTGAATGATTGGCTCTCTGTATAATATATGCCGTGCTGACGTAAGCCGGTTAATTGATGTTTTTTGGATGTTTTCCGTATAGCGAAGATCCCCGACTGCGAGGCGCAATTGCTGATTCCCCTACGAAATGAGCCAGACGCGGAGGGGTGTCGTTGGAAACGCCGAAAGGATACATTGATCTATCGATGACAGTCATGCATGTTGCCGGTTGCAAGATACATGCGTTTTCCTTATGGAACGCCGGGTTGTACAAGCTTGTCCCGTAACTTCTATTGTATAAAGGAAAGTTCCATATTTTACCATGCAGATCGATACTTCGGTTTTTCTCGTATATCGGTCATTTCAAGTACTTTTTTTCATATTTTCATCATAAATTGTTTTTGTTCGACCAGACTTGAAGTCTCTTTGGGGTTGTCTGCTCTTGTGCCGTAATAATAATAGTAATAATAACGTTTTCACATTTTGGTCACCTGGTGGCAAAATTTCCTGAGTAACAAAAATACCAGAAATGAATAGTTCTATAGTAAAATCATAGTAACACTTCGCTCATGAATTTCATAGCATAACCTTTAAAAAATTTCCATAAAAAAACGAAGAATAGGAACTGGACCGGGTGCAGTATACATGAACCGCTCTTCCACGTTTGCAAATTTTAGAAGTTTCGTTTGCCAACAATTTTAATTTTTGGAGTAACCCGGGAATTTGTGTTTGTCACTGCGTTGATGCGATAGAAATTACGGGACATGCTGGTACACAAGTTGCGTGCGGATGGAATTGATTAGCCGGTTCTGTATACACTGTTGTGTATATATTCGGTGGCCCGGCGGGCGTCGTAAAAACCCCGGCACTGCATTCCGGGATCAGATGCAGACGCGAAGGAAAAGGACAGCTGACAATTAACGGGCGGCGGCTTTGATCTCTCTCTTAGAGAAAGGAGCGATGCGAAGATCGGGGCGCAGTGTGGAGCTTGCGCTTTCCCAGCCCAGCGGACGTTGGACTGCTTTAGAATTGCAATGCGGGTTGAGACGCACATGCGGACCATAAAGCCGGGTGAGATTACTCGAGCGGGGCTGTAAATTCCCGGCGTAATACAAATGAGAACACAGCGCAGTCATGCACGGACGTTGTTTGCTTGCCGGTCTGAGCGGCACGCAGCGCTACACACCCACTTTCTCAATAATATCGCAGCGGTGACCTTAAACGGATTTTCGAATGGGTAATTATTTTTCTTGCAAAAATAATTTAAACATGTGGTACATCTATTTGATATATGTATAAGCAGCTATCTCCAAGTTTTAAAAGGGTTTTAAAAGCGCATTTTCGATTCAAATGTAATTTTTTTTATCGTGGAATATTTTATACTCTGTACAATAAATAAATCTACCAATTACTGTATAGATTTACTTTTTCAACAGAACTCGCAGAGAATAAAAGCGGTATGTCCATTTTGCTGAGAAGTCACCTAAAAGTTACTTAAAAACCATGTACGTATTTATCTTTTTCTAAATTCTTTTCTATCTTTTCTATATTGGACTCAACATTTTCTCTTACTTGATATACAATTATACATGAGCCATCGCGAACTTTCGAACGGTGGTTTTCAGTTTATTAATTAACAATCTCAAACCGTATTTTCTAACTACTCTCTCTGGCTTAAAATTTAATCATTTTAAATATAATATGCATTTATTGTTGATATAATTCGGTTGGTGCTCAATTTTATACTATTGAAAGTGACCGAACCTTCCGGTTTTCTCTAGCTAATTACAAAGTGACCTTTACGGAATTTGTCCCGCTTGTCGGGAACAAAGAGTTGTCCGTAATTTTTTACCTTTACCTAAAAATTCTCCATGCGTGCAAACCTTAGAAATTTCCTCAACAAGATTGACGTAAACCGGTTCTGATTGCGACAGCGTGTGTAAAGCACAGAGTGTACATTGTGGAGTACTTGCCAATCTGTGGTGTGTACACTAGATATGCCTGCACCGCGATCTCACTCGTTCTTCGAGTGAATCGCGGTGTTTTTCCTACCGTTCACCGTTGCAAAAACCTGTTTGGCCGGGCTACACGCATTTCTGTAGTGCAGTGCATACAGACTGATAAAAAGACCGGCCGGTCGGTGCATGTGTTTCAACGTGGATGGGCCGTGTAATTGGCCGGCTGTGCGATAAGGCCGTTTATCTGGACGTGTTGTGTGAAGAAGAGCCATAATTCATTCGCCGGCACTCTCTTGCCAGTTGCCATTGCGCTCTCCGCCATCTTTGTCCATGTATAGCGTGTATAGCAGAACGTTATCTGCCGCTTGTATTCAAGCCTTGACAGACACACCACTGTTCGTCTACCTTTTGCACAATCTGCCGAACTGTGATTTATACGCGTCCAACATCTTTTGTCAATATCAATACCAGACACCAACATTAGGCGATTTTATGAAGCCCCCTTCAATCATGTAATACACCGCCTTCTTATCCCATTTAAAATACAATTTTTGTCCAAACATTAAAATGATTAATTTAGATTAATCTTATTTGTTTTCCAGTAATATATTTTAAAAATTATCGTGCGGTTTTTTTGCCGGTTTTGTATGAAGAATGTTAGACTGTTACAGGTGGATAATTTACGAGACGACCTTGAGAAATATTTCGACAATATTAGCTTTGCGATAATGGCCATCTGCGTTTTATGGTTCTCTGCTAAGATTGCGCGTTGTACAGGTTTCAAGCGCGGATAATATATGACTACAACAAATGCTTGCCTCGTTGTCCGACAATTTACTCGCTAATTTCCCAACAGCCGACCAAACCGTCATAAAATACAATCAAATCAGCATACACATGTGTGCAAACACCGTCATCCACGCAAGTGCACCTCTATAAATCGTTTTTTTCTCACTTGCATTAATACGCAAAATGTTTTCCTTGTTACGTTATAAAGAAAATATTGCTTATCATTTTCCGCCGCAGTTGCAATTTTTTAAAAATACCGATATTTAAACGAATGCTAGTAAAAGCTGTATTAATAACTAGAATTTGAAAAGCATGGTATGTTTTATTAACCTAAGCCATTGCCGAAACTGGCTTCATTTAAGTGAGTAATGCGAAGTAAACTGGCAAGCTTGATGAACGATAAGAAGCAGCATTAAAAGCGATTTATTTTCTATGGGCAGCGTCGTTCTGCTGTTAAAATGTAGTCGTAAATTTTTTACGGCTCCGGCTTCAGCTAGATAAGTTGTAAAGATTTTACCTATTTAGATTAGCTCAGCTCCTCTCGAGCGGAAAAAGTCAGTTTGTCTTGAACAAAGGCCAAATGCTGAACGGTTTACGACGGCCCATTTTACCGTGTATTTAACTTCTTACCGGCGAAGATGTATTTTTAACATTAAGTCTATCTAAAGAATTATTAACTTGATGCGAGTTGTACATGAACTGTGTCGCACAAATGGAACATATAAAAATTGTTAGTACATTTTTGCTGCATATTTCTTTGACAAAAGAGCCTGGAAAATTATTTTTATAATAAACTAAAAGAAACCAAAATTCTTTTGATGAATAATCATCCTGTTCTTTGTCCATATTTGTCCTGATAGGTGATAATAATAAATAATATTTCTATTTGGTTAATCTTTAACCCTTTTTTTATATACTGCAAGCATACCAGAATAATTATGTAATAAGAATTACTGCTTTTTATTCGAAAGATTAATAGTTACTATTTAATAATCTAAAACAAACTACAGATATATGTATTATTGCACGAAGCACGAATAAAGACGATGTACAGAACGGCCCGTGTCGCCATGTACGCGTCGCCTCTCTGGGATTCGTCGTTGGTGGGATTAACAGTAAAGCTGCCCCTGTCGCATCATATCCGCATATGCATATGCAATACACAGCGTCGACAGCGGCTGTACGCAGCCCGCACAGCGCGACACGTACAAGACTAAAGCCGTATTGTACACGACACACAGAACGAGAGAGAGGCAGCTTGGTTTTCTTTATATACACACAGCCGTCCAATGAAGCGCCATAATACCGTCTGTAACGATCTTTTTACGTCGCTAGCAGCCGACTGTACCGAATCCAGGCTGAGACACATACAGTTAACTATACAATAAACATCCTTACTCGTTCTCTTGTGTTTTATTGCGAGATGTTACGGCCCCATATACCCGACTCATCGCCGCCATTTGCCAGCCGCTCCGAATGGACACACTGAAAACATTTTCCTCCTTTTAAACGACCGCACTATCCTTTTATAATATTATTCGCCGTTTTATACCCCAGCAGCAGCAGCAACGCTCAACGCTACCGGATCACGGGCGCTTTCTTGATTATTGCGACAGTTAAACGACAGATTACGGCCGGGGTTATAATCGTCCCCGGTATTATAACGTGCCGTTAGTGGCGACGTTTCAGGGCCCTATTATATTTAATATGGCATTTTATACTTGACCATCAATTACCATTCTGTCTTGAGTGCGTTATATTCCTTATACCGTGGAATATATTATTGCTCGTTTGTCATTATATTGGGCACCGTAATTAGCCCGTTAATGCGCCATCATCCGGCCCCATAATCCATAATCCGTTGTATTTATGACGTCGGACCCTAGAATGACCCTGGGCTCGACAAACTTCTCCCTGCCGCACCATCCGCACGCCTACAGCCACCACCACGGTGTGGGCGTCGGAGCCGGTGATCTGGCGGCCATGTCGGCCTTCAGCGCCACGGCGGGCGGGGCCCACCACACCTGGGGGTACCCGGGAGGGTACGGGACGGCTGGGACCACGACCGGCACGACGGCCGACCCCTTCCCCAACTATTTAACCGGGAATCCCTATCTGGAGGAAAGGTCACGGCATTTTGCGGCCAGTGCCGCCGCCGCGGCTGGCTCGGCGTGTAACAGCTTCGCCGACCCCTTCCGCGACTTCCACCAGTCGGCGGCGCTGGCGCAGGCGGTCAACGCGGTGAATGCGGCGTCCGTGGGCGCCATGAACGCGTCCAATGCGTTCTATCCTTCCCCGACAGGTAAAACCACACAAACCGTAATTTTTTTATAATACTGTAATTATTTAAAAATAAATCGTGAGTAAATTTTAAAGAATTCGGGTGCATGGGAAGGTTAGAGAGCACAGTCGGTCCGACACATAATTACTCTCGGCGTAATTATTGGCCTCCGCGAGACCGGCCAAGCGCGGCCACTACCAGCAGCGCACCGGTGTGCTTTTTTAATTCAGCACTTGGTTGCTCTATTTTCCAAACAAAACACCAGACAATCATTTTATGGGTGGTGCGCGCGTCGTAGCCGTTTCCCACGACTCGATAGACATATAATGGTATGCACTCTGCTTGACGAAATACATATTGCAAAAAATTTATGGTTCTCTGGCTCGGCCCAGCTGTTTAAATATACGGTGGCGCGTAGTACTCTGATTGCATGTAAAATTAATGTTGACCATTGCGGACTGGTGACCGCAGCTGGGGAAAGTGTTCCGACCAGTTTTTCTCATTACCCGACGACAGAGCGGGAAAAGCGAAGACTTGTAATTGAAAATTCCACAGTTTGCCTTAAGGAAACAGTTAAGGTCGTATATCTTTCAACTCGCTGGCTAACACTTCATAAAAAGCCTTGCTTACTTTTACCGCTACACCAATTAGCCGGGAAATTACGATGGCGGGGTTTTATTTACAAAGGTCACCGTCGCTATATCTCAGAACAAGTTTGGTAAAAATTCCGCGTACGTCTAAACGTTCGGCGTGTTTTGCAAAAGATGACAGTTGGAAAAGTTTGGCTGGTTGCGTTATTTCCTGGCAGATTGTGGCCAGCGGCGGAATTTGCAGCAAATTTGTTGCTGCGCAGAGAAAAAAAGAAATACAGCCGTGTTCAACGTGGCCGTATAGTCTGCGGCCGCGGTGTGTACAGCGCGAGCAATTACTTTTATCGGTATTTCTTACATTTTTGTGGCCCATAAAACTAGAACAATAACTCGTCAATGCTAATGCGACCGTCAGTGCAGCTCATAGTGATGCTTATTCATAAATCATCAGCGGCAAAATATTAATACACCTTAATGTCGCGGGTATGGAGTATAATCTATAGTGTAAAAATAACTGCATAAAACGCTGTACATTACTATAGCGGCAATGGTTAGCCATAAATCTGCCTAAATGTCTCCGCTGTAGTGTAAACAATGGGCCGCGTTTTATCACAGAGTCGCGGACGCTTTCGAGGTTAAGTATGCCGCGGCAGAATAAAAGATGCCCGTTAATAGTAATATAAATACAAACCGTACCCTTAACGATCTGCACACGTTTACCGAAGATAAGGGAAATTTCTAATCGTTTACGTTTTAGAAATAAATCATTGCAAAAGGTTAAATTTGATTTTGTCAAAACATTAAAAAAAAATATTTTCTGCGATGCACTGTGTTTTTTTTTCTTTATTTTTTGACAGGGAGTAACCTATCATCGCTACTAGGAGTAACCTATTACATGTGTGCCCGCAGATTAAATTTTTAATTTTGCTAGTAAAACGTGTTTGCATTTATGACGCAGAAAAAAATTTCTTTCGGTTTTTTTTATAGCATTTAACTTTCTGGATCGTCATACGATTACTTGCTAACACCAAATACCGGTTATTCTGCAGCTTGTAAAATAAATTAATGCGAGGACGAAATCGACTGGTAAATTGCGTGTATTACCCAATAAACCGCTTCATTATGGGCCTCCATCGAAGCCGGCCTAATTAGCCTGCGCATAGCGCACGGCGGCAGCCGTTGCGGCTTCCTCCAATCGCTTGTATCCCAGCTAATTGGACACCTTGCGGTAATTAACACCCGGTCTCTTGTCGCCTCTATCCCCTAACCCATTGTCGGCTGGCCGGGCAAATGGACTTGTTTATCCACCAAACAGAAAAGCCATTACTATACACTCTTCACGGATGTGCAATCGGGTAGTTTTATAGCGCTGGCAGTTCGAATGGCGCAGAAAGGGGGACAGGTTGATGAAGGGGGCATAAAACAGCTGCACACGGATGGGTCCGAGCACTTCATGAATCCTCCGTTAAGGGCGGTCATGTGTGGCATGAGTGCGGCTTGGCTGGTCAAGCCGGTGTGTTGATGCGGCGACGGCAGACCCGGGGATCTCCTCGCGGTGCTTATATGCCGGTTATGACGGCCATCCGCCACGGATGAACGCCGGTTGCCAGTGTGTTCAACCGGGTTGTTGTTGGGGCCGTTTCCAATTAGATTGCGGGCCAACGCTTTGACGGTTTCGTGTCCGCGGGGCTTCCAGCGACGAGAAGCATTCCTTATGGGATGTTTACAAGACCGATACTTAATGGCCTCTTAAACAGACACTTTTACTGTCCTTAGACAAAATCTAAATGAACCTTATTTCCTACAGAATACTTTTATTATCTAAATATCAAATTCATTTACTGTAAATATATATTTTAAATACAAACACCGTTTGAAATTTTAAAACTTCAGTAATAAAATATATCTTAAAACTACACCCACCCTTTTAATTTTTTTTAGTTTAAAAAATAAGATAACTATTTTATTAATTTATATAAAAATAATTATTAATAATATAATAGTACTAATACAAATATTTTTACCACCTTAAAAAAAAGTTTGTGAATTTATAAATCACAAAGGTCACTACTATATTATTAGAATACAGCGCAAAGTTTACTGCTACGTTAGCGGCCGCTCTAGACATTCAGGTGACCTTTTGTGTTCTTATCGCGCCCGCGCTCGCTAGACGGACCACAATAGCTGATTGTGGATACGATAGCAACCGGGGTAATTGTGATTATGGAAATGAGCGCAATCAGCTCGATGTAGTTGGAGATCTGTCCGCTGATTTATGGGTGCGAGCCACAATGGCGCGCCGTCATCGACCTGACAAGCGGGTATGGAGCGCTGCGTGAGCGCGGCTCGCTGTTACGCCACGCTGCCTACACGAAACAGCATTCTGCTGAATTTTGCAGTCTTCTCTAGCTTACTTAATGCTGGCCATCGGGGTCAGCTATTTGCAAATCAATAGCGCCACGGCTGAGAGTGTAGCGAAATAATATCTATTAGCATCCGCATAATCACTAGGTTTATCGTACACTAGAACCGTTTTCGTGATAGCCAGGGTAATCATATAACGTTAGATAATAATTTCCTGTCTCAAGGACAAACAACAACGTGGCGGCTTAATCAACCGGAAAACGAAACTACTGAATTATCATAACGAAATTATTTTGATGGTAAATATAAGATAAATATAAACGAATTAAGGAAGTTAATTATTTAATAAGTTTTAAATCTTTTTATTAATGTTGTAACTTGTATGCGTGCTATTTAAAAATCTTCTCTATTTTTGATTAATAATTGGACTTGACAGTTTATTCAAACGGCGAAAACGTCACCAAATATCTAAACAAAATTTGTAATAGCAAAAATGCCAAAGAATATAACGAATTTTCGATAACGAGATATTAATGTTATAAAATTAATGATTTTTTCATTAAGACAATTTCCAGAAGAATGCTTAGTTTTTCTTATACAAAAATTTTGTGAAATTGAGGCTTCTTGTAAAAGCAAAAAGCAGACGGCGTGGGAAGAGCGCAAGCTAATTTTCCTTCGCCATTGTGCGACGCTAATCCGGCCTCTGCGTGCCGCACACACACACATGTGCCGAATGCAGATGCGGGTCCGCTGCGCCGCGTTTTACGATGGCCATATAAAAACCCCACTTTTCGGCCATGCTTCCTGCGCCGTCGTCTGTGCGTGTCAGAATGCATTTCGCTGGGAAAATCGACGCACGAGAAATGTATCAAGAACGTATTGGCAATTTGCATGCACGGCACTATAATGCGTACAGTGTGAATGGATTGCAAATGAGCGCGCGGTTGCTGTGTGTGAATTTGTGCGCCGGTTATTTATGACCGCAATATTGCTTGTTGGACTGCAGTGTTTAAGGTAATTTACGACGATTAATGCACTTGCCCGGCAATGCTGCTACTCACCGTCTAATGGCGCGACTAATGCGACCCGCAAATGCTTAAACTACACAGAAAATGTATTTAACATTGTAAGCATAAAACACCTTCGTCCATCCCATTAATGCACTTCGGTCATAACATTTATCGTAAATATCTGCTAAAATGCGCAATAAAATTTGTCAGTAACCGGCAGTTTTAATTTGTTTACGATACCTCTTTCCATAAACGTGAATTATGTTCTCTATTAACGCTTAATTTAAATGCGGAGAATTCAACAGAGTTTTCGTCGATGTCGGTAACGTTGTATTTTCATCAGCGGAAGGGCATTTTTTCTGAGCTCTCGTTGTCGTTCGTTACCAAGGTAATTTATGCGCCGGAAGCGCCGTCAGTGTGTTATTCGGCTTCTTTGTTTGCCGTTCTCGCATTTGTCGGACTTGTGTGGGGCGAAATTGAGCAAGAACATGATACACAGGTTTTGCTGTAGTTGAAAGTTTTCTGTAGGGTAAAATCAGCGTTGTACAAAACCAACAATTCGGCGTATTTGGTATCAACCAAGAAAGCGGTGCATTCGATTTCAGCATGATTTTTGAGTACAGTAAAGCATTATAGTGACATGCGCTGTCAAAGTGTGGCGGGAATTCGGATGGAGGTCAGGTCAGCGAAGGGGCGGGACGGGAGTAGAGTGCGCGAGTAAAGCTGCCAATTTCCCTGACTTTCCCTTGATCGTCACAATATTTTGTACACGAAGCAATCATGCATTTTGCCTTTTACGGGCAAATGTAATTAATATTAACATCAACAGCATAACAATAATTCTAATAACTAACAGCATTCGAACTTGGTAAATATTGAAACAATATTAATAAATTTAATTAATAATTAATTGAAATTGAACTATGGATTGCGCCAGCGAAATACCACTACTTTCTACTTTCATCGCTTTTTTAATAAATCAGTAAAGCGGAGTTTGGTTGCTTTGGCAATCGCTATTCTGGCTCTTTGAGCCGTGGATCCCTTCTATAACAACATTGTCTACATTAATGCGTTTAATACTATATTATGATATAAGAAAGGTCACTCGTTGTTGCGCGTTGATTGCGGGGATTACTCTAACCAAGTAGTCAGCGAGGCATCCAGCGGAACAGCCATAATCGGCAATTCGGCGTAATCAAGCGCCCGGATGTGCAGAGGCAATAGTCGTAAATTGGTGTTTGGATGCGGTGGGGGCACGAGTAGCGAATGCGATATACCGTAGCGCTGCTGTCAATCCGCAGTAGTAATATGGCTAATTTGCGCATACCGCGGGTCTAATCGTGTTGTATGTTGCAGACAGCTTCTCCTCGCTGGACTGGACCAGTCAGGTGACGATGCGCAAGAAGCGCAAACCCTACAGCAAATACCAGACCCTGGAGCTGGAGAAGGAGTACCTCTACAATACCTACATCACCAAACAGAAACGCTGGGAGCTCTCGCGCAACCTCAATCTCACCGAACGCCAAGTCAAAATCTGGTACGAGGAAAATCACAAATAAAATAACCATCTGTTAATTATTTTGAATACTTTCAAGAATGAATTACTGATTTAAAAAAAATCTAAAATCTTAAATTTAAAAATATTCTAAAATCAAATCTAATAAAATTAGGTAGCCCTACCACGTACGAGTAAACGGCGTAAAAATAATATTTAATAGGCATACGAATTAAAATAATTTTTAAATAAATCAAGGCGCTGGAACTGAAATCAAGAAATTGAAAATACTCGTAATAAGGACTGTAGTCGTAACGTACATTTATTTTCCTGCAGGTTCCAGAACCGGCGCATGAAGGCCAAAAAACAGACCCAACGCACCAACCCTCACAAATCCTCCAGCAGTTCCACATCCGCGTCGCAGCACGTCTCCACTTCCTCCAGTCATAAGCAAGAAGCGTAGCATTGTATCACTGCCAAAACCCGCCGCACGCCGGTCTCGTTGTGACGTATTATATACAGGCGCCCTCGCGTTGGCGTCTCCACCAGCAGTTGCAGCAGTTGCCAAAATTCCCCTGCACCCGTTTGTCTTCGTGTGTTCTTTTTTTGTAGGTAGTGTTTTGCGTGCACCTTTAACTGTTTGTTGCGTTGGCTTGTGTAGCTTCGAGAGTGTCCAGTATTTGCATGCATATAATCTGCCGGGATCGTCGAGCGATGGTCCCTTATATTATTACGATGATTTATTTATGTGGCTTCTTGGAGGAGTGTTCCTTGGCGGTTGTTGATATGATGTTGTGCGGTCACACGCTTGTATCTGCTTGTATATCCGTTAATCCAATTGGCGTATCTTTGATATGTTAAGATATGTTAATGCGTCCCAATCTGTTGGTCAAGATCTGATCTGTCTATAATTTATATCCTGTCATCCCTGTATGTTTGACTTATTCCTGGCGATCAATACTAATGTCAGTGGTATATGGTATCCCCCATTGAGGAATTTGAGGTTACTCATAAAAGCGAAGTAGTACCATAATATAAACATTAATTTTCATGGTCATACGAAATTACAAGATACTTTATGCCTAGAAGGCTTACGATGCATTAGTGAAGACCGTCAGTAAACATGCTCAGTGCCTTTATTTCCTATATAAATTTATGGGTATCAGGTAACGCTTAGGATTTCTTATTTCTTGTTGTATTAAACTCGTATACTTCGACATTTTCTTCATTCGGAATTTTTACGCTATGAATTAGCGTACTGGACACCAGAAACAGGCAGGGTACTGTATTCTCCGCGTAGTTCCACAAGACCCAAACTTTCCAAAAACTAATTCCGTGATAAGTATGGCTTTTATACTCGTACACAAAATTAAAAACGCATATAAGGTTTTTTAATGTGCAACAATGCTGAGAAAAACCGGTCCGCGAATTTGTACGTATTGTAAAAGTGTCGGGAATGAGATAGCGCACAAGTATGTCGTCAGTCGTAGTACTGAAAGGAACAACAGAAATCATTACATATTCTGGACTGGGTTATAATACTCGCACATTTGGCCGTCGTGTATTAATATTGATGATATTTGCACATTCTTCTCCAATAAAACAAAAATTTAATGATGAATCCGTCATCCGGTATAATTTCCGGTAGCACGCGTAGCAATACCTACGTACGTGCTACGAATTACGATATGGATGTGGTGCCAGATAATTATGCGTATACATACCTACATCTAAAAGCAATTTCGCTTTCGGGCACTCCCAGACATTACATATTTTCACTTTTCCAAAAGATCAAGAAAATTTAAAATTTAGTTCAGAATTTCAAGAACACGCTGTGAACCTGAAGAAACTGCTTCAACTTCGCTGCTGCAGTTATGTGCCCCCACTACCGTGTTACACAGTAGTGGTGGCATATCAGAATTATATGTGCTCACGTAAATTTTGAAGATTTTAGTGTCTGGCTGTCCGTGTACATACATGAAAGTTCCAGGGGATCGGATACTAACCATAAGGCTGCGGAGAAATATCGAAATTAAATTAAAATAATTTAGTTACATTAGTACTCGGCAGCAATGACATTTGACAGCCCCTTTCGTGCGCGGGCAAACAGATGTTCAATACCGGACGTTCTATCTGTTTATGCAGTCGTCTGCGGCGAAGATATGAGCTTTGCAGATAAGCAGCGAGCTGTTCAGAATTAAAACTTGACATCCTCTTTAATTTAAACTATTTTTTTAATTTTTTTCCAAGCTGAAACTTGACTTTCGTGCAACAGGAGCTCAGAGAAGAAATGCTGGGACGAGATAGATACGTCAGGAAAGCCGAAGCGGATGTGATGGGGCCGCGTAGAACTTGACTTAAAGTCCATATAAACGCCGAGGCTGGACCCTTCCCTCGTCATACAATAGACTGACCGACCGTACTTTAGGACATCTGCCGCTCGCACCACATTCCCGGCCGCTACACTACTCTCTTCGTTGCTGGCACACCATGCCAGCACAATCCGCCCGTGTCTCATCCCGACAATCTTGGCCGGCTGCCACCAGCCGCCCGCTGGGCTCAGCGCGAACACCTCGTTGCCGGGCTTCAGCTGCAGCTGGCCGATGCAGAATCCCGCGCTTCCGCGCCACTCCGCGGAAAATGGAAGAAGGATCTTCACGGCGCCGTTCTGGTGCAGGAGACTTCTCAGCAGTTCGCTTTCCAACAGCAGCCCACTCTGCAAACGCTTACAAAATCCGTTACAAAACGCTTTCGATATTTAATTTCACAAACGAATTACGCTCATCGGCACCAGCTGACCTTGTAGAACAACGACAGCTGCCGGAAGTCCAGCAGCTGCATTCAACGCTGTTTATTATAATTTTTTTCAAGCATATTAATTTATAACTTATTTTGTTCTAATTTTGTCTTCTCCTTTCGCTGGTTGGTGGCCTTTCCCAGCAGTATGGACCAAAAAGATGGGAAAACGCGTATGGCTCTTAGATTTATGAAGTTTTTGAAACGAGAAAAGCATGCAATTGTATTAAGAGAGGCCGAACCTTGACGGGACCTTCGGCCAGTTGTATGCCACTCAGTAGCGGATAGCGGACAAGGAACAACGCGTCGCCAAGCATCTGCCGACGGTTACCAGCAGTTGGTTCCAGAGTTTCCCGGTTACAAGCCTCCACTGCCCATTTTAAACACAATTACAGAGTGCGTCATAATATGCCAAATTACGATCAATTAATGGGCAGTGGCCAGTAATTATCGAATACTCATAATAAAAATAATAATTCCGAAAACAAAGTTATTTCTCAGCTGATATGCACCTTTCAACCGCCAAGTAGATGGCGTACTCTTCCGCGGATATGGTGCCGCGCTGCAGGATCATCTTCAGCGTGTCCTGTGCGATAGTCGTGAACTGCTCTGAGTTTAGAATGACGTCGCTCTGCAAGTCCACTAGCTGCAGGCACGTCTCCACAATATCCTCAGCGCACCACTGGATGGCCTGCAAAAAAAGCGTTATCCCGAATATTATCCTGCGGTCACCGTTTCAATGTTACCCGCTGTAACGTGTCCAAAGCGTTATCAGCATTCAACTGGGTAGTCACAAAGCCCAAGCACATGACGGCCAGTTGCGGCAGATCGTACTTATCTGCACAGCGCAGTGTAGGGAATACGTTGTCCATTGTGAATTTATCTTTATCCACGGTATCGGTGTACATGTATCTGTATACGAACACAAACAACATAACGAGCGCGAGCACGTTGCGCACTGTAAGCGTATCAGTGCGAGTGAAGATGAATTTCCTCACGATTACATTTAAATGAGCCACAATATATAACCGATAACGTGCGGATACAGTAGATACATAACGCACCTGAGCATGTTCTCAAACGCATCGGGAGTGCAATCGGTAATGTCCACTTGCGGACCTTTTTCCGGTACGCTGCCGTAAAACATCGTATAGAACTCAGTGCTGCGAATACTGACAATGTATCTGCAAAGCGAAGAGGTTTGAGAAGATGACACAGAGAACCGCTAAAAAGTGTACTATATTCTGTCCTTTAATTTCAGTAGCGTGATAACAATATCAAGATCTAATTACGGTTAAACGAAACAACATTCTCTACGGTACCGATTACGGAGGCAGCATTACCACGCTGAATTGCTAGAGAAATGTTTTGTTTCAAAAGTGTACTTACTTGTGAGCTGGGAAGAACTTCACATTACCAAATTCACCGCCGCCAACAGCGAAGCTCACGTCGCTCATATCTCCGCTGAATAGCGTCTCTTGGATGCAGCTGTTGATCCCCGCGGCAGGATCACGTTGTCCACCAGATGCCGATACAATCGAATCTGTGAACGCCATTCGGACAAACGGATACTAACAGAACCGGTCTAACAGATCCTCGATAACACTTTCAGCGCAAGCGTAATATTGGTAAAACTGCAGATTTGTAAGGTGCAGCTGAAGTCACACAATCCTGCGGAAGAAGAACACCTTATAAAGAAAAGAAGAAGAACGAAAAGCAAATCCCTGAAAATAACGAAGAAGCTAAGCTGATTTACATATTTTTGACAACTCGCGACGATCTCTGCCCAAACGCAACGTTAGCGCAAAGAGTTAACCGATAAGCATTCAATATCAGAATGCCGTGCAGCGCGTTCGACAGGCAATAGAACTTCTTCCGATATAGCGGCACCTTTATACGCGGCCAGTGTTGCAGCAAAGTTCTGTCAACAAACGCTGTGTACAGAGTAAGTGCATAAAATTACCGGCTGCCCCCAGTAAATCGAATATTTTTAACTAAGCTTTTAGCAACAGTGCCGAGTTGCAGTCCTGAAAACGATGAAACGAAATTAAATGAGTGATTATATTGGAAATTGTCAGTAATGCTTTATCGTAAACGTTAATGAAAAGAGAAATACAGTATCTGGCGCAGTAATAACCTGGCATTCAAACAACAGCGGTGAAAATCATGAAAAATGGCATGGAATGACATTGAATTCCGTGTGTTTTTGTTGGTTTTATTGTGAACGGTATACGCCAGGCTAAAATCTGAATTGTTTCAGATGTCCAGTCCTCCCTTCCAACAGACTTACTGCTGCAGTAAACTCGGCGCCATGAACTAAAGCCATTATAACATTATACTAGCTGCTTTAGATAGTCTCACGGCATTGTGTCCATCAGTCAGTTCCCACTAAGGGCATTCTCGCAAAAATAAACGACAAAAATTTCAAAGCTTTTATTTGGTCACTAGACTCACCACTCTGCCAGGATAATATGCCAGCCAGTACTTAGCGTGTCGCACGGGTGTCGTATTAATCTGTCCTGCCGGACTGAATAACCACTTCCCAGCCACGCTTAGCGGTATGAGCACTCTTCTCTCTCAAACTGGTACGGCGAAAACAACTTGGAGGATCGATGGCGGTATGCGTACAAAGTCAGGAACCAGGAATCCCTATCAGGAGCCCTGCGAAACACGAACGAATGCCTTACTTCTCGCTTCCGGTCTCGGTGTTTTACGTGGATTAGATAAAGGCGATGGCCTGTGCGGCGCGTGTATACTGCGGTTCCCTAAAGCTATGATTAGACTCGAATCCCGAACTTCTAGGTCACCTTTAGAAAATACAGCCCTTTAATCCAATACACATCGTAATCCTCGACACATGGAAGTCAGAAAAGTAAGAATGTCAGAAATCAAGAGACTAATTCCTGACCGCTACCGATATTAGACAACACTCGAGCTTATATAGACTTCCAGTAGTACACGGCATACATCGCTAGGGATTTAACGTACAACCAATCACAGGTAGAGAGATGACTAGATAATAACACGGCGCTTTGTATTTACAGGTGAAGGCGGACATCATCGTGGCAACCGGGTGGTGTACATCCTCCTCCCCACGTCACGGGACATCCATAGGCAAACTGGGCAAATAGGCTAAATGGGACACTCAGACGAGCATAATACTGTAAATATGGATCTTAAAAGATGGCGATGCTTCGCTTTCTTTTACGGGGACAGCATGTTCGAATGGCGCAGAATGACCACAGGCTTGGAATTTTCCGCGCTGTTCCACATGACAAAAACTGTTCAAATGATTCCCTGATAAATATCCTTCTTAAACAAGCTTAATTAGTAAGTAGATTATCAAGATGTTAATATGGAATAACGCAGAGAATACCGTGTTCCTGATGTCCAGAACGCGTGTTATGAGAATGTCCGCAATACGAAAGAGGGCGAAGTATATGGTAAAAGAAAGGTCGTTTTTTTGTGGCGCGTGGATTGTGGGTACGGTATTACTCCAGCCAGTAGTCAGCAAGGCATCCAGCGGAACGGCCATAATCAGCGTAATCAAGGGCCCGGATGTGCGGTGGCAAATGTCGTGAAGCGAATAGCGAATGCAGTATGCCGTAACGCCGCTGTCATGCTGCAGTAACATCACAGAAAGTACAGTTTGCCTTGTAGACGTATCTTCTTATACCGAAAGCGGTCCCAAAAGCCAACTTCGCGCGGGTAGTATGATGACGTATTCGTGCGTACCTGCGTGTGCGCCAACGTACCGCAGTAAATCATGGGCGGGTGTGAGGTTTTCAAGCCACTTGAAATTAATCCGCCAGCGATTTCGATATAAGCACCGGAGCGTAGCTGACTATACAGAACTAACAGAAGCACTATACAGAAGTGCGGTTTCGGTTTGTGTGCGCTTCACGCTGGGCAACGGGTCCAGGGACCCTTGGAAACTGCAGTTTTGCGGTTTGAGCCGTGTTTGAAGCGCCTGACAATTAAGTTGTAATGGTTTCTGGGATCAAGGTCTGATGCCAGAGGGACGCCACTAGCGGCTTTCGTATTTTTTGTTTCCGTAGTGGAGTGTGTATTTTTCACTGTATTTAAGCGCACGAAATTTGGATAAATTTGCGGTACAATATGATCAGTAACTGCACAATTTTATATCACCGCCACGGTTTACTGTTGTCTGATATTTCCGTTCGGCTTAATTACACTCAGTGGTTCTACTATGGCCATTCTCGTCAGATGCAGTACATCATACCAAGAACTTACTATAGGTAGAAGGACTGGGAAGCGACTCTGCAACGGTCGACTACGTCATCACTGTCGCATACAGAATGCACTGCTGTGCTATTGCTTACCATAGGCCCACAGATTTTCTTCTCCCTTTTTAAAGATATTCTCAGTTCCTTTCTCCTCTAAAGCTTTCTGATATTTTAATAGATCATATTGAATTTAGAAACCCAAACATGAGGGGCTAGAAATACAAGAGAAAAGAAATATGCTGAGAAAACTGACAAAAACCGTAAAAAACGCGCATCTGTCACCATGGCAGCCGCCTCCGTGTATGCGAGAGTGATGACGTCAAACGGTAGGTTACCAGTCCTCCTCACACTATAGTAAGTACTTGATCATACATGTAAAACAAAAGACATAAAGATAATATGAATTCCAAAGATCCAACGACCTTTAAAGCGATGCTTGAAGGTGCCCTGAAGTTTGAAGCAGGAAGAGAAAAGGCTAAAATGGTAACCAAGGAGTTAAATGTATATGCCATTAAAAGGGAAAAATCCAGCAGCAATGGAAAAGCGCAGGCCTGCCAACATTGTGGAAATCGTCACACCGACGACTGCTGGTATAAAGAGGTAAATGTCAAAAGTGTGGACGTAAAGGGCACTTGAAAAGAATTTGTAAAACTGGCAATAACATCAATACTATTTTTGAAAAGAATTGTGATTATTTTGACATATTACCATAATGGGATTTTCACATTTGTTTTATGAGAAGGGAAGGAATGTGATGTACTGACCTAGCAACTGTCATTGTGCTATTATTATCTGTTGATTATTTGCAATATTAATAAATGAGTTGCTCTATGAGCAGTCTGAAAGAAACGTCGTATTTCAATACGTGACAAGCAAACCCGTGCCCAGCCAATGACACAAGATACGGAATACAAAGCTTCGGTCTCCCAAGAACAAGGGAAGTACAACAGTGGTACTTATTTTGGATCGAAGAGAAGTGAACCTTCTGAAAAGTAGTGATTTGTGCCGGAGCGGAGGGCGGACGCCACTGGTTTATTATTAAAACCCGTTTGTAATCCACCGCTTTCTGACTTGTGTGTAGACTGAGAACTAGCCATTGAGTTCGCGTTTGTTTTTTTGTAGCAACGCTGCAGCGGTGCAGCCTTATGACATTGCCACGTTTTCCTTGCTTTATACATTGTGCGTAGGTTGTAATGCGGTGCTGCGTTTTTCTTTGTTTTGCTTCTTGCCACATTTTACCGTAATGGGTTAAGTACTGGAAAACTTCCATGTTTGCTTTTGCTTGCCGTTTGCATATCACGGCTGCACCCGTTTACACATCCGCATCTGCAGGAGTGGTGCGCTGTGCGGCTGTGTACAAGCCAGGTTGCAAATTGAGCATATAACGATACAGGTACTGTACATCGAAACTAGCGCACTATCAGCGTGGGCATACACTGCAGCTTGGCGTGAGCCGTGAGTTTGTATTTTTCGCGGTTACAGTTTGTACCGCCGTCGTTGCACAGCAGAAGCTCACCACATAGCGAAATAAGTTGCGCACCGAAAACTAGAAGTATGGCGGTGGACCGTGATGTAGTGGAAATCGCAGAGGAACACAATGTCAATAATTGAGATCTTCGGTGTTAGTGTTTCTTATCGCACAAATTCATTGCAACATTCTTCTGTCAGTTCGTTTCAGTCGCCGACGTTGAATTGTAGTAAAGCCAAGTAGTATGTAATGTAATGAAGTTTATTGTCCTTGCAACGAAGCGACTGCCCCCACTAAGCTTCAGACAGCGGAGAACAAACCGGTCCGTCAGAAAAGTCGGCCAGTCCGTCAGAAAACCGTATGGAGCGCTCGATCTATCTCCTAGCATGATTCGCTTCACTTCGTTCTTGTTTTTGCTAGCTTAAACCAATGCTTTTCCCTAGAAAAAGTGAATTTGCCAAAACTGGGGTGAGCTCAATGCTAACTTGTCTATGGGGTTTCCTCAAACTTTCTTTCTTCCTCCACAGCATGCTCAGTAAGTAGCGCACCACACCATCTGTAAGCAAAACTAACAAGTCCATTGATTTTTCCAACATATTTCTCTAGGTGAGTCTAATTCCGATAAATTTTGCAGTCAATGATTTTTAAGATGTCTTGAATAAAGATTTGATCAGGTTTCTTGGCTAACACCTCAACGGAATTATCCAGAGAACTTGATAAAATCATAAAAGTACAGATATTGCAGATAAGAAATTTAAATAATGTACAGAGGGTTTTTCAGCCAAGTGTGTCCAGCTTCAGAAAATTTTTTATAAATCGGCTTGTGGGCATAGTGTGGCTATAAGCATCAACTAGTTTCAATGCTTTTTACTACTGGTTAAGCAATACTTGAAGTACCGGTCGATGTAGAAAGCGTTAATACGGCTCAACAATCGCAGGGCGACAACCACCATGTCCCTCTGGTGATCAGCTTCGGGTATGCTTATTCTGCGAAATGTTTCCGGCGTTACCGGTTGTCCAGTTTTTTTCTGCAACGCACAGGCTCACAGCCTGGCTGTCGCCACAGTGGATGTCGTACTGCACCATGACGAAGCGCTGCGTGCGTATATCCGAGAAAAACACTTCTACTTCCGCATAAGCAAACCAGGACCGATTTCTATTTTGTACCGATTTCTATTTTCTCGACCGATTTCTATTTTCTATCGTTATACAACCGAAATGCCAAGATTCCGGATGATTGGCCTCACTGGCGCAGAGGTTCTTCACGTCTTTCCAATCAAATTCCGGCAGGCGACATTCTTTGTATTTGCTGTAGCAAAATTCCGTTTCGCGTAGCCGATGGAACGGTATCAATTGCGGTCTCCGTCTGCTCCCAAACTTTACCAGGGCACCGTTGACGTCGACCGTCGACGTGACAGACATACATATCCACGATACAGAGCTTCAGTCATGGTACAAAAATGGATTATTATTTTGCTTTTACTGGCCACGATTATCATTGGCTGGGCTCGAGAAAGTATGTTAATTTTTATAAACCGTCAAACACAATTATGTGTGGTAACCTAGACCCGGCAATAGGCTGACATGCAAAGTCTGTATGGCAAGTGAATTCGTCGCTCAATCGATACCTTCTTTGTGTCTCCAAGTGTTCTCTCTCATAAATTCGTGATTCTCGCCTGGACTGCAGACTGGCAGTGTGTCATTTTGACGTCACTAATTACAGAAATTTCGCAGTGCGCCAAAAGGGGAAATGCGCATGCGCCATGTACCACGCGAAAACGGTTGCACGTGAGGCGTTCTGTAATACCACGGTTATCGGCACCGCCCCACAATTTACAGAGCACATTACACTTTTTTATCAGGCATGTGTCGCCCAATTGGTAGAGCTTAGTTTTCTATTAATTTCATTTGATTGCCGCATTAGTAAGCAGAATGATGTGCGAACTCGCGCTGTTTAAACAATGCCAGGAAAAGCACGTGTTGCTATGGGCCTACGATGACTTCTGGGCGTAGCGTGGGCGTACGGCTCCCAACCGCCACGGGGCGCCATCCTAGTGAGAATCGTCAATATGCATGAGCACACCACACGGCGTTCATTGGACACTGGAGTCCTGGACCGCTAGCGTGCCGATCGGCACAGCGCAGACACGGAACAGCCGTCCGACCCACTCGTGCAAAGCCATTATCACCGACTCGCCAGTGACACCACAGCGGCGGTCACTGTACCAATCATTTTAAACAAATGGTCATCTGTTTCTCTGTTATGTATCGCCGCTACTTCATTCAGATCAGATGCTCAATCGGATAAGTCTGTAACCTGCGTCGACTTTCGCCAGTTCTTACTTGCGTACTTCAGTGATACCAGCGTAAAGACCAGAGCGGCAGGCGACCAGGCTGAAGCCCAAAAACAAGAAGATACAGTTTCCGGTTAGGACGATACGACTTTGGTCCTGTTGGTTACGAAACATTTGGATTGAATTAGGATTGGATAGAAACATTGAATTGATAAAAAATGGATCAACCATTAAGGAATGAGCATGACGTTCAGGACATGGGATACATCTAACAAGATGCTCATCACATAGATGGGAAAGAGAGATTTTCCAAAAAAACCGGAGAGAGTTGAAGCCATAAACACCGGTATTTGAAACAAAACATCTCTTTAGCGATTTAATTTAATTTAGGTCGGAACAGGTACAGTCACTACACTGTGTATCTCTTATCCGGCTAGGGTGACAATCTAGCATGAAATGTTTAGCCTGTGAGGGGTACGAATGCTTCCGGACGTCAAAATGCACACATTAAAAAGGAAGCCAAACATACCCTTTAGAAATTCAGGAAAAATTAATAGAAGACAATCCACCTTAGAACAATTAAGAGAGTTCACTTCAAGAACGGTACAATCAGGCTCAGCGGGTTCGCGTGTTTGTAGTGGTCTCTGGAAGCACTGCATGAGGAGGACCTTCCTTGATGGTCTGGGCCTCCGTTGCGAATACTATACGGCTTTTCCTGTTTGTCGAAGACGATCATGATCAGTATGTATGGTGGCATGTTAAAGATTCAGCAAGGAAATGCTGTTTATGTTATCGGTACCGTCGAGAATGTTGTTTTCCTTAACCGGAACTAGGATGTTGTCATGCTAACACCTGTTTGAAGACTTCCACTCCACATCATCGACGCTTTTCAGCAGAAACAGGGAGTGCATAATAGGCGCACTGCGTGAAAGGTCACTGATCACAATTCTTAGCAGGTCCGAAATCGTTTCTGGAGCATCCCGATGCCACCTAAAAGAGACGAAACTCGCGAAAGTCCAACTGGCAGACCTCGGGGTGCAACCCAAAACACCACACCAAAAGGCTTTTTGCTGCAGTTATACAGTTTCTTCGCGTACGAGTTATTTTGCTTACATTTCAAATATAATAGGAAAGTAATCCCAAATAAAGCCTGGTCCCTTGACGTTTTCTTCCACTAGAAATTCCAGCCATGTGACGAGGCTCTGAAATTTCTCCTCGTCCAATTCCGGACAGAATTTCAGAATTGCTGACTCAAAAAAGTTCAACTCAAAGTCCTCCGCTACTGGGAAAAATTTGAAAGACCAATATGGAACATTAATGTCGAATGGATGATTGCAGCAGTTTAATGGAGCCCGGGATATTACTTCCTCTCCCCAAAAGGTCTCCGCAAAACAAAGTGATTTGCTGCTGCTGAACCGACAGTTCTTCAGGAGGATATTGCGGCAGATTTCATCGTAGAACGGGGAGACAGCCACACTGTGTGTGAACGCTCTTCATGATCTTCTCGTAGCCGCATCATGCGCCTATTCGGCGGGAACGTCATGAAATCACCAAAGCGCAGCCCGCCGTTATCCGCTATAATCAGCCAGTCCAGTTTAATGTTCAGGAAGTGCAGTATGATACCCAACGAGTAGAAGCACTTTTCCCAGTTTCCGGCCAAACACAGTCTCTTGGTCTGCCTTGGTACCCAGCGTGAGACCATGTGCGCTAGCAAGAAACTGCAGCGAATCAGTGACCTTTGGTCGTGGTAATCATGATCAACGAGGGCACTACTGCATAAGTGTGGCAGGATGATCCATCGTTCCAGGGCACTAAGCGTTAGTAGGCGAGAGAAAAACGTAGACACCCTAAAGAAACCGAGGAAGGCAGCGATCAGCAAACCTTGATTAGCAGCATAGCATGCATTACAAATCTGACCATACCAAAGCATAATAATAAGTAATAAAACAAGACCACAGGAAATTGGTTTTTTTCTCTTGAAGCAAATGCTCCACTGTTGGGCCAGTCGCTATGGCAGCCTACGAGTAGGCAGCCAGCGACAGTCCCGCTTCCGGTGTACTGACTCACACCGAGTCGCACTAGATCGGCCTCGACTCAGGCAGCTATCCGCCCAGCCTTACGTCTCGGCCAATCACCGGCCTCGATTTAGCGGAGCCACGCCCCACTTTCACATCTCGGCCTATCAGCGTTCGTTCGCTCGTGTTGGATTTGCCCAGTGTGCCGCATAGGCTTTTCCCATGCTTTCGGCTCGATGTGCCGTTCATTCTCATTCACTAGCTGACATTCGGTGATTTTCATGTTACAGCTCACATCGAGCCCTTTGTGTTTTGGTTCTCTGTACTTTATTGCTATCCACAATAAAGCCTTCTCTCACTATCGTGAGCCTTTGTTCGCCAGCTGTCACACCACCGACCTTTTAAGACGTTCTCGTTCGTATGCGTCCAGGTCTGTGCAAATATTGATCTGCAGTTCCAATGGCAAATATTCGAATCGCATTGGAGAACAGTTCATGCCAGACCGATCTGAAATTACACAACTCCAGTTTAAAAATTTCTGTACTGTAGTCTGTAGTGGCAGTGCGCAGTTATTGCGCGTAGCAGTATCATAATAGTTATAGCCGGCAAAAAGCCCACCAAATCTTACGCTTCAGGACATGATAACTTTAAGGGAAGCGGAACGGTTTGCAAGGAAGTGGAACGGTAACAAATTAGTGTAAGTACTAGTAAATGCATGCACGAAAACTTGTACAATGTACCGGGCCTGGGCGGGCTATGTATATATGTACCTTAATACGGCGATACGCCGTTAGCATTGTCGTTGGTGTTACTGGTTTAAACATACATTCTTGTTCCACAACAATGTTCAGTAGGTTGTGCACGACGTCACCCACAACCAAACGAACCAGTCCGTTGAATTTTCCAAGATATTTCCACACTTCCGGCAATATTTCGCGCTCCAGGATTCGGGAGATGCGTTGGGGAAGCTGTCTATCAGGTTTTTTAGCTAACACCTGAATCGAATCATCCATATTGCAGCGAAGGAATATTGTACCGGTTCTAAAAAACCAGTTACTGTAAAACGCGCTAGTATGGCTTAACCGGCGCAAACCGACAGCCAGCATTTTCCTGCACCATGCGACCGATTTCGGCATGGAGATCCTTAATTTGCGAAATGTGCGGGGCGCCACTGGTGGTCCAAGATTCTGGATACTCCGCACACTTTGCATCACGCCACCGTCTCTGCACTGCATCGTTATACAACGCTGTGGACGTGTTTTCGCTACAAACACTTCCACTTCCGTATAAGAAAACCACTCATCAACTCCGATTTCTTTCGTAATGCGGCCGGAATGCCATGATTCCAGCTGGCTTGTATCACTGGTAAAGAGGATCTTCACGTCTTTCCAATCGGTTTCCGGGAGACAGCATTCTTCGCCGAACTCCATTTTCACTTCCCGTAGTCGATGGAACGGTACAATTTGCGGTCTCCTTGTTTTGCCGAATTTAACTAAGGCGCCATTGGCGTCGATATCGAAGACACATCCACGATAAACAGCTTCTCCGTTCTCCAGTACGTCAACCGCGAATCGGCAGTGTAAAAATGGATAATAAGGTGCTGGACGAATTAGAGGAGCGATGCAACTCGCCTTCTCCATGATAATTATAATTAGTATCACTAGCCGGTCGATTTAAATCCAGATATGTTTATTGCTGGTCAAGATCACTGCTTGCTTGACTCAACAAAATACAAATAAGTACTTCCAAATACAAAATGCAAAAAGAAGTAATGCACTGCAAAGGATTAAGCAATAATAAGCATTCCTAATAATTATACTGTTATACGAGGTACGTGCCAGACTGTTACTCGTAGTTCATACTGCACTCCATGATCAGCCGGTTGGCAAGCTCATCGCTCGATCGATACATCAAGTGCCGTACACTGCATACGCTATACACTACAGTACTAACCTACAGTTAAAGCGATCACTGATCGCATTCCCACATTTTGGAGGAGGCTCCACTGGGTAATTTTCTGCTGTATGCGTTAAATAAAACCTGTGGAATAGTAAATTGTATGTTCTCTGCACCATTGAATCTCGACAGCCTGTTCGCTAATTTGAATTTCCGACCATCTGATAGAGTACATATTGAGAAATAAAGCATTAACTCTGATAGAGTAGTAAGTATCGTAGTTACTGTGTATTTACTTGCTTTGGGAGCGGAAATGTAATGGTGCTCGGCATTCTCCTAAGACTCATTTGACCACGAATGCTAGCTTGCTAATTATTAGCATTACGCGAAAAATGGTACATTTTTGCACACCGTAGCATGCCTGCAGGCTGTGACATACCTTTTCACTTTGAAATTAAATAAACATAGTACGTGTCTTAATTTTTTTGCTTTTGCCCACGAGCCGAATATTGTAGATTAAACTACAGATACAGTACCACTGGCTTCCTTCCAGCTGTACAGCTCTTGACAAAATGTAAAAGTGCAGGTGGTGAGCTGTTCAAAAATTGTCTTATAACGTTGTGCAACATAAGTACCGACAGTGCCCTCAAACAGTCGTACATAAAGAATGGGGCGTTGTCGGGTCGTGGTAAGAGGTTTAGCGTAACCAGTGAATCTGTATTTATCGCTCTACATAAAAACACAAGAAATAAATCACCTGGCCTATACATAAAAGTATAATTTACAGTACGCTTATTCTATCAAAACGATGCTGTTAGAGCAATTCAACGCGAACTGTTCAATCTACGCTTCCAGGACGATTCTGTCCGCGCGAACTGGAGAATGTCGAAAGGACACCAGGTCAACACAGCAGCAACAAATGCGATTAACTATAACGAAAACACATCTGATCATAGGCATAGTTTAATCAGAAATTTGAACGGCCTCGTGTCTAAGCATGGAAGGAAACGAAAACTTAAGTCAAGTAAGAAGCCAATAACGACCAGTTTCCTATTAAAACGATGCCCTTAAAGCATCTCAACTGGAACTGCTTACTCAGTTCTTCCATGGAGCAAACGACTGTTCTGGTTGGAAAAGGATGCGAGGTGACGAAGAAGTTATGATTACGATTTCCAGAATCGCGAAACACCAGTTTACTGTGCGGCCAGATCGCATGCCTAATTTTATCAGAACGACGTCCCGTACGAACGGAAGAAGAATCACAACTAAAATCAGGTTTAGAAACAGAATGGGCAGCTTCCGATAATGTGTCTAATCATGATATGCTCACGGTAACTGGTTACAACCGGCAATCAAGAAAAAAAAACCAATTCATCAGCATCACTTCCGCTTTGATACCAACGGTAAGTATCTGTAGTTGTTAACCACATCACTGCACGAACGCGAATTCCAATTTTACTGGAAAATGGTATTGGATTTGTAGATTAAAGAAGTATTACATGATGCTCTTCCATAGAGTCAGACAAATTAAATGCTCATGAGTCATGGCGAAGCCTTAGTGCACCATCTCCTTCCGCTAGTCGATCAGCGGACATCGCGTGCGGCCATCCAGGCGTCGACGTCCACCGCGTGGAGGGCCAGCATGGAGAAGGGCGCATAAGCCTCCCGACCGCGCGAGAGAACCTGGTGCAACCCCCGGCCCAGGGGATAGGGCCGAACGTAGGTATCGCAAGAGGGCCCCTGTGGTGTCAGGCAGTACACCGTCCGTCCGCTCGTCAGGATGTCCGCCGCTCGCACCACCTTCTCGGCCTCCACACAGCCGGCCTCCCCCGAATGACACCACCGCACTTCGACGCCGCGCGACGCGCGCCAACGGATAATCGTGGCCGCCTGCCACCAGTAACCGGATGCGCTGAGCGCAAACATTTCCTCACCGGGCTCGAATGTCGTCGGGTTCCGGCGCAAGACCGGCGCCGCGCGGTACTCCATGGGAAACGGCAGCGGTGTGGTCACGGCGCCGTTCTGATACAGAAAGATGCTCAGGAGTTCCTTGTCCAAAAGGAGACTGCCGCTCTGTCACAAGAGAAATACCGGTTAATTACCGCTAAGAAAAAAACAATAATTAGTTGGTAACTGTTTCACTGGGACAGGTCAATTGCTCTGTGTAAGCTTTACGCGGCGCGCAAACACCAGTCGCGATAAAAAACGTGACGTCATGGCACTTAAGCAGGTAACGGTTTGATTGGTAACCCGAAATCCTGGGATGGGTTATCAGCTTACTTTTCCGTGTGACCGTTGCGCTTCGATGTCGAAGCGCAACAATTACTCAACCTGCCTTACCTGCACAGATCTACAAAACTTACATGTGTCTGGAACGAAAACACTTACCGCGGCTCCGATAAATAACTTTTAAAATAAACACCAATCTGTTTGAAAAGGTATTAGACCTACCACAGTCGAGCATTAGTAAAAATTACTTTTGTTAATTTTTCGCTGACTCATGGACCACTTTTTACGCGTTTCTCCGTTACCCGACGCGCATCGGTTTCCAAAATGCAATTGCCCTTTACCACTAGTATAATCAATCTTAAGATCTAGACCAACCTTTCCGGGACCCTCGGCCAGTTGCGCGCCGGTCAGAAGTGGAAAGCGGACAAGGAATAACGCCTCGCCCAGCACAGCACGCCGGTTTGCCGTCGTCGATTCCAGATTCTGCTGATTGCACGCCTCCACAGCCCATCTAAGCAACATTAACGGTATAATACTTCAGATATTCATGTCTCCAAAAATTGTAAAAGTACATTAATAATAACTATTCCAGAAATTTAGTGCTAATGCTTGTTCGACCAGACTTGAAGTCCCCTTGGGGTTGTCTGCTCTTGTGCCGTGATAATAATAATAATAATGCCAGGCACCTCTCAACCGCCATGTAGATGATGTTTTCTTCCGCGGACAGGGCGTTGCGCTGCAGAATCAACTTCAATGTGTCGAGCGCGATGCTCGTGAACTCTTCCGACTGCAGAATGACAGCGCTCTCAACTTCCACCAACTGCAAACACTTCTCCACGACACCGTCCTGCCGCCCATTAATCGCCTGCAACAAAGCTGCGACTTAAGTACATTCAATTACGCAGCAATTAGGCAGTAACTATTCCATATTATTTTGAATGTTTGATATATCCGTTATTATTCTACAATATTTTATACAATATTAAAAGTATTTTATGATTATAACAACCGTTCACCGTCTGCGCTCAATCAGACGTCCAAGCTGCATTAGTTGGCCTTATCAAAATGGAAAAATAAGAAAAGAAACAGGATAAAACTATAAAAGAAAATTGAGAACAGAACATACATACAGTAAAACGAATAATAACGTAATACGTAATGATAATAAAACCAGAAATCAAATTATTACTGATTAAACATAAATTAATTTTGTCATCAGGATACATAAAATCAAAATAATTATTATAAAATGCAGCTGCAGATAAAATAAGTAATTTTTTATCGATATTCTATCAGTACCTCCTCTAGCAGGATCAGACAGTTATCGGGACACAGCTGGGAATCGATAAAATCCAGACACTGGCTGGTCAGCTGCGGCAAATCGTACTTGTCAGCGCAGCGCATGGTCACGATGACATTCTCCATGCCGAGATTCTCCACGGATTCGGTGTACATAAAACTGCGCCAAGAATACCAGGGTACATAGATTGTTATTTACCGTAAATTAAGCGCTCAATTTAAATTCCATTTAATTTTTAATTAATTTAATTTTTTAATTAATTCCATTAATTTTTAGTTTACAACCTGGAATGGTTCCTGCAAAAAAACTTAAAAGAATAAATTCGCATCACGCGGCCACACCGAGCGGTTGCAACTGCTTCAAGCGTCGGAAGTGTTATGTGTAATTCTAAGCTTAGAGGTTTTCGTAAAAAACCCAAAATTTTCTGACAGAAAAAATATTTCCACAGGAACACAGGTTACTAGGATGGAAATCGCTCATGCAATTTAGAAGCAATGCGTCTTGAAGCGGCCAATTGCACAGACCAGGCAGTCAAAATTGCGAGTGTTTATTCACGCACCTGAGCATATTAGCAAAAGCGTCGGGCATGCAGTCGGGAATGTCGACCTGTGGGCCTGTTTCCGGTACGCTGCCGTAGAACATGGCATGGAACACCGTGCTGCGGATACTCACCATGTACCTGCAGATCGTTAAAGAAACAGATATGAAGACATGTAACTCTGTTCAATGTTACAACAAGAAAACAGCATCCCTCGATGCTAAACTTACTTGTGCGCTGGGAAGACCTGCACGTGTTGTGGACCGCAATCCCGACCTACGGAGAATCGCACATCACTCAGTTCACCGGTGGCCAGTGTCTGTTTGATGCGGCTGTTGAGCCTCGCGGCAGGCACCGTCGAGGAAGGAGGATTTGTGGACGCCATTCGCTGGTTTCGCTCGGACTGATTTTACGCACTGATGATGACAATTCCAATATTCACTTCAGTACAGTTCCACTACAAACAACCCTCTCAAGTTAACCGATGCGCACAAAGTTATTTCTAAGAAGAACAAAACTGGAGAGGCGAAAGGAGAAGGAAAAATCACAGAGTTTTAAATTCAGTGAAAAAGAAAAAATTCACTAGTGACTAGCTGTCACTAGCAATTCACAAACACGAGAGGCAGCGCGAATTGTTAGATCAGGAGCCAGCTAAAACCAGCCAGCAAAGGGACAGATGTTCATCATGGCGCCGTACGGCGGCGGGCGCTTGTCCCACCAAACGTGCACAAAACTTCCGTTTGGCTTGCACTTGGGCGGTACGCATTGCGACACAACAGCCTTCTAAAAATTATTTATCTTACCAGTTACCAGTGCCCATTTTCCGGGTCAAAATTCAAAAAAATCTGATCTTTGGTAGAAACGTACAGTAGCACACCATCGTAGTACATATAATTTAAAAAATAATTTGATCTGCGGACAATCAAAGGGCGTGGCCAAACAAAAATTAATAACTAAATAATACCACATGCTGTTTCAATGCGCTAGCGCAATACCCAAACAGGTTTTTTATAAAATAACAGCATATAGATATCAGGAAAGTTTCATCTTTTGGAGAAACGTAGTTTTCGCCACAATATCATTAAAACAAAATCATGTGCAAAAGTTAAGACTAGGAAATCCATTTTGTAGCTGCGATTCAGTACGCCAGTAAGGTTCTGCAACGTTCTGTTTATTGTGCGGGCGGCTCGCCCCATATAAATCTACGTATGTATATACGCTCTAATCAACGGGACTCGGCGCCGGCATTTTATTCCACTGATCAGAGGAGCTCCCTCTGCGCTAGCACAACCGACACCATATATACTGCCACTGCGCAGCGCAGCTGCGCAAAAATCAATAGTCTGACATCACATCTCCAGATCGTTCTGGATACTTCCAGAACGCACGTCAGTCATACTCTGATCATGCGTACAGCGCGTGCACATGCATACAGCCTGTATGTGGGAGATATCCCACATACTTCCCCCTTTCTAAACCGACACGTATAACAGTAGTCACACATTAGAAAAAATCGATGACAGTAAAACATTACATGTTAAGGAAATTGCGATTACGATTGCTCGCACATCCAGGAAACGTAGAGGTTTATTGATTTTTGGAGTGGAAGTAGGTCTTGGAAAGCAGTTTATCGTCACATGGGAATCCGCTCAATAACAGGCAGGCATTTTCTTAGCAGTAGAAGCATTGCAACCGTTATTATTCCATTTCCCCACTGGCCGAACTGGCTACATAAGCTATCAGGCTACGAAAGCAACTCGGGCTACACAGGCTAAATCGAATCAATGGCTTCCATACTTCGTCAATGTCTGTATACGGGCAAATTCATAGGCTTCCTACATGTGGCTGCTTCATGTCCTGGCTTGCGGCAATTGTAACATGAACGTGCGTGAAAGCGATGGTGTTTCTTCGGAGTTTTCTGGGACGTGTTGACGTGCGATTCTTGGTCTGGTAGAACATGTAGTTTGATCGCATTAAAATTATATGGGGTTGGGCTTACAGCATGGATTTGTTGAACAGGAAAGAATAATCTTGGTCGTGAATTAGGTGGGATTGACTTCAGCTCAAAAGTCAGCTGTTGAACAAAGGTGTTGATGGAGTCAGGCAAATTGGCAAAAAATGTTGGTTTCAGCTGTTCTGGCAGATAGTCGAAGAGAAGAGATAATAAATCTTGAAACGTTGGATTGGGTGTGGTTGATTTTAAGTAGCAGTGGATTGCTTGTACGTATTGCTCCGGTGACAAAGATTTGGCATCCATGTTGATGGTCAAATGTTATGAAAGGTCACATTTATTCGTATAAATTTCTCAATTGATTTTAAGGTAATAATGTTAAATAACAGTTCACTAAAATACGTTCAGTACATTTAGTAAAAGGTCAAGAAAAACGATGGAATTTCTGATCAGCATATGCAGGCGATGGAATTAGAATCATGCGTTGGTGAAATCCCGATGAAATATCGCGTTAGGTAGAATAACTAAACACCGCAGAACGTATTCAGGCGGTAATAATCTTGTGTTGGCAAAATTGGGAAAAGATGGTATAGATTCGTAATGGGCTCGTACTGGGGCGAGCCACCACACAAAAAAAATTCAGATGAAAAATATGAAAGGTCAGAGGAAAACTGATGTTAACATAGATCTCAACCACGATCTGCTACCAATTTGCGGGCGGCTCGCCCCATATAAATCTACGTATGTATATACGCTCTAATCAACGGGACTCGGCGCCGGCATTTTATTCCACTGATCAGAGGAGCTCCCTCTGCGCTAGCACAACCGACACCATATATACTGCCACTGCGCAGCGCAGCTGCGCAAAAATCAATAGTCTGACATCACATCTCCAGATCGTTCTGGATACTTCCAGAACGCACGTCAGTCATACTCTGATCATGCGTACAGCGCGTGCACATGCATACAGCCTGTATGTGGGAGATATCCCACATTGCCGCATATAACGGTACAGATAGTTGGGCAAACAGTGGAATATCCAGATTTAATGGTGGTGTTGGCAGAGGCAGCTCCGTTAATGGCGCATTGGATTCCGATAGATTTGACGTATTCAAAAGCGGGATGACGGTCGAAACTGGTGGGAATGCGGTCCGCAACATAAACTTTTCTTCGTACTGTTTTCACGTTTCTCAAAAGACTGTCGAAGATATTCGAAAATATCGTTCACCAGTTTTATGAAACGGCAGTGATGATATCATTAGTTTCTTGAGATGATCGGCAAAATCCAGTTGTAGTTCAACAGTAACGTGGTGACTGACATTTGACGGACATGATTTCAATAAGCCATAAGGTAAGGTCACGGTAACATACGGTAATCGTGTTACTGTGCAGTAAAGCAACGCCAGGTCGGTTCCAATGGTTTACTTTCGTGAGTAAAAGTGCTAAATTTATTGATCGATCTCGACGTGAGCAAAAGTGAAGTAAATGTCCAGAAACCTGGAGCGATGGATCATCCTGCCCCACTTATGCACTAATGTTCTTTTAAACCATGATTATCATCAGCAGGAGACTCTAATTTTCTCTGCAGATTTTCGTTAGCGCACATAGTTTCGCGCTGAGTATAGAGACGAACGAAAAACGTAACTATTTTTGACCGGAAACTGGGAGAAGTGCCTTTACTCCTTGGCCGTTATGCTACACATTCTCAACATCAAACTAGCCTGGCTGGTTATAACGGGCAACAGCGGGCTGCGGTTCGGTTATTTTAGGATGTTTCCGTCGAATGCGCGCATGTTGCGGGACTTACGGCTCAGAGAATCACGAGGAGCGTTCACACACAGTACTGTTCAGGGTAAAAGGGAATATGCAAGATCACGAGCCAGCTATGATTACACAGTCAGTTTGCTTATTTTTATTTGTTTATTTTTATTTATTTATGTTTATTTTTTTATTATTTATTTTTAATTTATTTAATTTTTTATTTTATTTTCCTGAAGTTAGTTTGTTTATTTCAGCCTTCTCTCTACCACGATCAAGAATATCCTGCACGAGGGGGTAGAATACTTCAAAAACAAAAAATACCAGAACCGATAGATTACGATTACCAGAATCGAGAAACACCAGTTCACTCTGCGGCTAGATCGCCAGCGTAATTTAATGAGAACATCCCGTACAAACGAAAGAAGAACCAGGTTGGCCAGCTACCGATAATACAATGTGCGCAGTCATGATGCGCTCATGGGAAGCTGGTCAGAACAGTTAGACACAACCTGGTGAACCGCTTAGACATCAATCCGCTTCAATAATATAAAAAACATTTGCAGGGCGAAAGAGAGCAACGTAATAAAAAGCATTACACATATTTTCCACGTCTGTTCGTGAATCAAATCCACAATCCTACGCGTGGTTTCCCTAGGAAACGCTGCGTATTTGCAATACATTTGCGTGCGTCTACCACCAGGCGACTTGTCGGTTCGGGCGTCGTCTCTTTCTCGGGCGCTTTGCGGCACGCTGCACGGACGGCTGCTGCCACAGGTCGCTGACCGAGATCGGAAAGTTTATTTCTATAATGGGCGGCAGCTTTATATGGCTCAGGTCCACGGGTTCGCGGGGGTCCGTCCGAAAGGGCAGCGGCGTACTGGTGGCGCCGTTCTGGTACAGGAAGATGCTCAATAGTTCACTGTCCAGCAGGAGACGGCCGCCCTCCTACAGAAGAAAACACACGAGGTGAGCAGGAAAGAATTACGGCAGATAATTTTATTCGAGGCCATAAAAACAAGATTTAAAATGCAGTTAATGCAAAAAAAGCATCCTCACCTTGCCGGGACCGGCAGTCAGCTGTGCGCCGGTCAGGAGCGGGAAGCGGACCAGGAACAACGCCTCGCCCAGCACCGCACGCCGGTTAGCCGTCGACGGTTCCAAAACTTGACGATTGCACGCCTCCACCGTCCATCTAAATAACGACAGTTGGGACAGTGATACGCGAAGTTGACTGCATTTAAATGTATATTAGTAAGAAATAGTACAACAATTTCATGTAATTCATGGATGTGCAGTATGTTCTATGTACCGTTCCACGGCCATGTAGATGGCGTTCTCCGGCGTGCATAGACGGTTGCGCTGCAGAATCATCTTCAGAGTGCCCTGTGTGATGGTGGTGAACTGCTCCGACTGCAGGATGGCATTGCTCTCCCACTCCAGCTTCTTCAGGCACGTCTCCACGATATCATCATCCACCCGCCAGTAAATCGCCTGCAACGAAGTGCTACTCATTAACAATACTCATTAACAATAACCACTAATATTCCAATAATATTAATTATTCTCATAAATTTGAGTGCTAGCACCGTCTGCGAGTTCTGTTAGCGCATTTGGTTCTTCAGCTCCATTTTTGGTGTCGGTAGTGATAACGGAAACAATTAAGAGAATAAAATACAGAACGCATACAGCAATAACAATACAATGAATACAAAAAAAAACAAGGTACTTTGATGTAAATGCAGGATATATCAAAAACTGATCTAGCTGTGCCAATGGTAAATTATCGATCACCCTACCTGCTCCAACAAGGTCAGACAGTTGTCGCGATTCAGGTGGGTAGTGATAAACCCCGCGCACTTGCTGGTCAACTGCGGCACATCATACTTGTCAGCGCAGCGCATGGTCGCGATGACATTGTCCACGGTCAGATTCTCCACGGCTTCGGTGTACATGAAACTGCATCAAGAAAACCGCGATACTTACACATAATATTATCATTATATTATGTAGTATTGAGCACTAGCTGTATCCCCATTACATGATGATGCATCAAAACTTAATTTAATACAAAGTACGAGTACCAAACATCAGTGTCAAGGTATGCATCCATACAACAAGTTTATAACGCGCACCCAAATTATGTCGCACTTTTTACCGTGAAAATAGATTGATCGGTTAATTTTATTATTTATATCACCCGATTTCCAAACGACGCATTCAGAATATATAATGCCTCCTTGTAATTTTTCCTTAATGTCTAATTAGCAGTAATGTAGAGAACGTCATTATTTGTAACGAAAACCAAGAAGGAATAAAATGGACATTCTCAAAACTAATAAAAATAAAATTCATATTACGCTGCCGCACGGAGCGGTTGCAAATGCTGCAAGGTTCGGAAGTCTTTGAACTTTGTTCATATATAATTTTTAGCTCCGAGATTTTCGTGAAATATAGATAAGATTAAACAAGAAAGTGATTTTCACACGAATACAGTTCACTTTAAAAAAATCCCTCGTGCGCTTTAGAAGCGACGCGTCTTGTTGCGAACCGCCTCCAAGGCAGTCACAATAATGCGCGGGTCAAACATGTTCATTCACGCACCTGAGCATGTTAGCGAAGGCTTCGGGCATACAATCAGGAATGTCGACCTGCGGGCCTGTTTCCGGTACGCTGCCGTAGAACATGGCCTGGAAGACCGCGCTGCGAATACACACGATGTACCTGCAGAGCGACATGATGAGAAACGAGGAAACGAGGAAGATATTCAGGAAGTAACAACGCTGCACATACTTGTGCGCTGGAAAGACCTGCACGTATCCCAGGCCGAAATCCCGGCCGACAGAAAATTTGACATCACTCAATTCCCCCGTGGCTAGAGTCTGTTTGATGCGGCCGTTGAGTCCGGCGGCAGGAAGCGTCGATGAAGGGGGATGTGTGGACGCCATTCGTTCGGACTGATTTCGCACTGGATGATGACAATTCCAAACCACCACCACTACGAACAACTTAAAGGCCGTCTTGGGTTAATCGATGCACACAAAGTTAGATGGCATACTCCTCAGAGGACCACAACTGGATAGTCGGGAGGAGAATGAAGAATCGAAAAGGTTCTGAATCAAGGAAACTAGAAAGTACTGTACAAAAACCACTGACAAGCCCAAATGATCAAATCACAAGTCACAAGTGCATCTTTCAAATCAGGAGCCAGCTATAGCAAAGGGACGGATGTTCATCATGGCGCCGTAAGGCGGCGGGCGCTTCTCCGACCCAACGTGTACAAAACTTCCGTTTGGCTTGCACTTGGGCGGTACGCACTGCGACAGAATCAGCCTTCCAAAGTTAATTAAATTTTCTAAAAAGTCGAAAATCTGTATGATTTAAGATTTTCTTTTATCAGTGATTCTACATAAGTTCGGTGTTGTACAATTTCTTGCTGAAGTGTGCGCGGTGCTTTAGAAATCGTAATTTATATTATACACCATAAAATGATAATCTTGTCCAGAACTGACGCAGCCATGGATTCTGCTGGCCAGTAGGGATGCTAGATCGCTGGTTGCTGATACGCTACAGTTAACTGTTAACCAGCATGACGAGCTGATCGTCAGGATCGTTCGTTATTTCGCGAGTTTTCTCTACTTCTAATCAACAGATACAATAATCAACAGATACAATTGTATCTGCTGATTATCCCGTGATATTTTGACGGTGGATTATAACGATCATGACGTCTCCGTCTACTGGTGGGCAGAACGACGCGCCCCTGGCCAGCCAGCGCATCCAGCAGCTGACGAGCGATATCCAACGGTGCGTTTAGAAACTGCTGTTTCTGCCTGTCCTCAACAATTACACAAGCTCAATGCCTGTCAGAAATTGCTGCTGTTTATGATGTTTATCATTATTTGACTCTTCACAGAATGGAGGACACCACGCGGAAACTCCTGCGTCAAGTCAAACAGTATACGGACTTTATCCTGGGTACGAACTACACATCTCCCAGATCCGAGCTTTGACTGCAGCACACTGTTGTCCATGTTGTAGCGTTGCAGAAACTGGAGAATAAATGCGCCTCGGATCTCCTGCAAGCCCCGCTGTGCTCCAGCAGTAAGCACGCGGATGCTAAGCTGAAATCCACGGTGAAGAACTGGTCCTCCAGTTTGAACGCTGTCGATGCACACTGCAAATCTCTGGTACACCCCCTACTACCCCTTCTCTTCGCAACCTTCCAGTGCATTTATGGTGTTTTGTTTTGCAGAGTGCCAGCTGCTCGGCGCAACTCTCCAAGCCCATAAAAGAGTAAGACAACGGAACATTTTTCCAAAAATAACTCTAGCAGAGGGGAATCATGATGTTGTGTTGCAGGTTTTTGGATGTGCTGGGGAATTATCACAAGGCGCTGAAACGAAGGGAGGCGCTTTTACAGGTACTTGTATGATGCGCTATTATTTGCGACTGAACTTGCAGGAGACTAGGGATTTTTATTGGAGCACGTGGATTTTTTTAGCATTTTTGAATTTATTTTTTACTGCTAGGAGCACGAACGCGCCGTGGCTCGGTGGAGGAAAGTGGAGAAAGAGGGGAAATTCTCCGTCACCACCGCCAAATATAACGAGGTAGAGCCACGATTACATTAACGTCAGCTTTACCTAATTTTTCTATTCGGGTGTTAAACTTACAATTAAATCCAGTTCAATTTATTTTGAGTTAAATTCACAAGCCATCTTCTTGTGTAAATGGAAAAATATGAAATATATAAAATAAATATATAAAATTATACACGGGGACTTTTTGTGTGAAATATTTGTTTGAAAGTGAATGAAATAATTTGGTTGAATAATTACAGAATTCACTGAAAATAATTTATGAATTATGGGTCTGCAAGACAGAGAAATAACAATTACAAGACAGAGAAATAACAATTAAATGAAGAAGTTTGATAGAAATATACAATAAATTAATAGAAAATCAAGACATTGATAAGAATTTTACGGTGAATCATTTTTCTTTAAATTTTGTGCTTTGTGGCATAGATCCGCAGCCATCTTGTGGAGACGGAAGTGGCACTGGACAGCATGCACAGCCGCATGATCCACGATCTATCCACTCTTTCTGCAAAATCCGGCGATGTCTTCCATCCGCTCCTGGCATCCTTCGCCGACATTCAGGTAAACTGATGATTCCCCCAAGCACAAATAAAAGAACAGTGTGTTGTCGATATACCAAAACAAAAATATTGAATATGTACGCATAATTGCTTGTATGTACTCTGTATGTACGTATGTACAGAAACATTCTGAATGCCGTTGTTTTTACTGAGGAATAATTTTTTTCTTAGGAATTTAAATTAATAAAATGTTTGATAGCTACATTTATGAAGGATTAAGATTAAGACATTATTATTTAATCGCTGTGTTTTTGGTAATCACTGTTTGATAATCAATGCTTAAGATATTTTATAAATAAATTTGCCCTGTACAGTACTGGTGGTAATATTATTACGCCATTAATTTCCTCGCCGTCGTATGATTGAGAATTTTTGCTGTGTTCAATGTAGAAGCAGCACGCGACGGCGTCTTACGACAGTATCAACCAGATGCTATCCCAACGCGCCGTCCCAATCAGCGAACGGCAGTTGGAGGCCGATATGCTGTACTACCGCCGCCAACTGGAGGGTCTCTCCATCGTCAAGGCGCCCTCCGCCACCGGCTGAAATCCACGCTCATTTTTACAAGAAATTACGTGTTTCGTTTCGTCTTTCGTTAGGTCAGATCGTGATGTACAGTTCATATTGAATTCTTGTACTGGTTTTAAATACGCATATAATTCGTTGAAATTGTTTGAATTGTTTCAAGTCTTTTACCATTTTTATGGGTTTATATTTCTGCGTGGGTTGAGCGCGTGGTCGATTTTTTATGGGTTTTCTTATCGATATTCAAAGTGGGGCTCTTGGCGTCAAACGCCAATGAGTCAAAGCGGACGTTATCGCGGAAAGAAGCAATAAATGTGCGGTTATAAGCAGTGTCTTGCGGTGTATTTTTATGAGAATCATTTTACAATTTCTCCGTCGTTTCACCTGTACATTGCGTTTACATAAGGACTTGCTGGCGACTGGCAGTCACACAAGCCCGTGCCTAAATTTTCCTGGATAGGAAATGCATTTTTGTGGAGGTATTCCCAATCTGATAAGTGAAACGTGAAAAAATGTGGCTGAAATTGCTGGCGGGTGTGTCCCTCATCGTGACGTCATGGGGGATGACGATGGCGCCGGGAAACAGCGGTCACGGTAGGATGGACGTTGAAATTTCACTGTTACACAATAATTTTGTCAATATTACGTATTTTTCATTTGTATTTTGTTAATACAGTAATTCTATTTTTCATTTTACAACCAACCGGAATTTCGTGTGCATAGACCCGCTTCGAAAGATGAAAACTTTTTCAATTTTTCAATTATTAACGTCATTTCGAATGGAGAAAATGAACGGATTAAATAAAGAAATATTTACACAAAATTATGATGTGCCATAACATGTTCTGGCGCACTGCAGTGACCCTAAATAAATTAAAATTATCTGCGTTTTGATTAATTTTTTGCAAGATTAACTTCTTGAAAAGCTGCAGAATAAATTTTTTATATATATTTTGGATGCATAAAATGATCTTAATTAAAATTGGTGGTTTATTTAAACAACAGTGATGTTCGTCACGAAATTTGCAAATTTCCTGACATGTATAGGTGACCTTAGTATTAGAACAAATTATTTTCTAATATTTTGATTATTTCGTGCTTTATATATGGCTTTAATAAAAAGAAACATAATTATCTTTAAGTTTCAGTGTTCATTTTAAATAAATAAAAGCAAGGCAACGCTGTGTTAAATTTGGTCCAATATGTAGCCCACGGGAACAACGGCGGCCAGGACATGAGCCAGGAGCAAAAGAGCTTTATGGTGCGCTCCTTGACTGCATTAGAACTGCCACCGGGATTGAAGGCTTGTGAGATTGACGCGCATTGCGATGGCAAACAGCGCTGTGATTCCACGGTGAAGCAGTGCATACAGAAAGAATCCCCGGAATTCCCGCTGCACTTGCTGGACGGTGTGTAACTATATGAGAAAGGTACAGAGAGGCCAGTAATTTACTGGAATTTTTTGTAGTGAGTTGCGAGACGCATTATCAGTGCCCGTTCCTGTACCGTTGTGCCAATGCCACGTGTACGTACGCCTTCTTCCGGGCATGCCGGAGTAGTGCGGATTGTGCGCAGGCCACCGGGTGGGATTACGATTGCCGGGAGCGGAGTGACCAGTTCCCCGGACGGCTGTGCTATCGAAGTAGGTCCAATCTTTTCTGGCTACGATCAACTACTAGTAATTTATATATATATATATATATATATATATATATATATATATATATATATATATATATATATATATATATATATATATATATATATATATATATATATATATATATACCAGTAATTTTATATATATATATACCCCCGGCATTTTGGAAGCACATCTGTGTATGCAAGTACAGTGCATTTAACGAGTACGTTCGTGTATTGCACTTGTATCTGTACAACTACAATACACACTGGATGATACGTATAATTTACAAGTTATATTTACCTGTAAGTGCCGTTTTCGTCAGTGCAGGCTTAAAGAAAGTTGCCCCGTACAAGTACTAACATGGCCCAAATTCGAATACATACGCGAAAACGTTCGCTTCCGCGCGCTAAATTTTGGAATTATTTTTAATTAAATTTGAAAAAAATGTTAGAATCTGGTGCGGTATAAAACGAAACTTCATGTTTATGTAAGTTATGTGTGTTTAATTTTTGTGCAATGTTTGCGGAAGATTCGTCCATATAGTGAAATTCGGGAAATTCGTTATAATTAAGAAAAAATCAACAATTATAACTCGCCAACCGCATGTACATGTTGTGTGCATGAATGATTTTCACGCCAGTGTATACAGATTACGTGGGTTACATATGTAATATCCATAAAATAATGCGAAAAAGTGTTTTTGAGTGCGCGAAAACGAAAGATCCGTGCATGTACCCGAATTCAGTACCATGTACTGGGTCAATTTCTTGAAAAATTGTTTTATATGTTGCCGAATAAATTTTTTCATCTATATATTTTTGTTTTATTCAAATTAAACTGCACCTTTTGTTACGGCTACGTGTTATGTTACTATTACAGTGGTAGCACCTTTAATAAGTATCATGTCACAAGTACAAACTTAGTACTAGAAAACATTTATAACCGAAACACTTCCTCAATATGCCATCCTGATCGGAAATTGTACCCATTACACAAATCGCATTCGCCCGTTGTATCTGGATAGAGAGTCGCTGTCTAAAACACTCTTTCGCACGTTTCTGGCCTGTGGCGGTGGCGATGCCGCTTTACATGAATTAAATGAGTAACTTGCCTGTTGGTTAAATAAAACATCAACAATACAAGTCTACAACTACCTACCTAATACAAATTTAATAAATTTTGTATAATACCTCCATAGAGGTCATGGAAGACTGTAAAGGTAACTACGTACAGCTGGTAGCAGTACATAATACTGTAATTATAAAAATGTCATGTGCAGCTACTTGTAATGGCCAATAACATCGATATACTGTATCTGCATAGAGTGTCTGATGGATCGGGACTGTTACGACTGCAACGGCAGTACGTGCCGCTATCCGGAGTATCTGCAGAAGATCATCGCCTGCTGCGACGGATACTGCAGTAAGAAGATTGCCTGTGATGACTTCCGCTGACCAACTGAAGAACGATTTCCGGTACTGACCAGAATCCCGTACCGGCCTGTTTGTACGGCTGTATACATGCATATTGTGATAAACACAGAAGCAAAAATAATTTCCACGCTTGTACCGCCTTCGTTACCGGCATTAAGATCAAAGATCAGGAAATCGGTGCTGCTGTACTTCGGCCATGTGATGCATACTTTCTTTTTTTTAGCATTCCGTTATTTAATAATTTTAATCGAGAATATGGAACACACTATGCATATTTTCTAGCATTAACAGAATAAATTTATTAACACGGTTATTTATGCGGTAACGATTACATAATATTAAGAATGGTAAGAAGATATTTATCGGGAAATTTGTGTGGTTGACTGGTGCATGAGAAAGCTGTGATGGCCATCGCCGAATTCCACGTGCTGCTGAATGCATATGCACGGCACTTCCGGTGGCTCTCCCTGACTCATCTCCTGAGTCAAGCGGTCATTGCTGCCAACTGGCTTTAATACTTCCGCCGTTTAATGTGCATACACTATATACACTACAGTACATGCTGTTTAATGTACGAGTTAAATACATTCTTGGATGTGTTGGCATGAAATTCGATGTATTATTCACCGATTTTATCCCGAACCGATACGATGCCTGCAGAATCACATGGTATTATCATGCAACAACGCTATACATGTACAGGCATACAAACATTCGCGATACTACATGCTTAAACGTCCAATAATGGTTAAAAACACACCCTGTAAACAGCCGCAATAATATTCTGTCTATTTTGGATTTGTTTATTATTCGTCCCATCCAGCCGTGTGACTGTTATCCGGCGCCGAACGATCACCCATTTTGCGCTATACTGCGCCACGATTATCATATACCGGCGCTAAATCAGGAAGACGGTGTTTATTTATCGGGATATTCTGGGAGTATATGTCGCTGCGGCGTTCGTACGCCTGCCCACCCACATTCTGGCTGCGACCGTATATTATCGTTGACCCCAGACGCGTTCGGCTGGTGCGGCGGTTGTTACTCAACCGGAAGTGGACTAGTGCTGCAGTGCACCGCGTCGGGCTCGCTGGCGCTTGACCTGGACGTGCGCCGCGGTTGTTTGTGCAAAGACATTTCCACTACACAACACTGTATACGCAGAATGCCGCGATCGCGGTGTCCATAAACGGTATCGGCGTGTGACCGAGTGCCTATCGGATTACTGGAGCCAGCTAATTTGCGTACTGGCCATATCGCGTCAATTAAGCAGCACTTTTTTCCCGCCATTGGAACACCGTGCATTCGACTTTATATAACATGCAATCGCCGTCTGATCAGGCTGGTTAACGTCGGGAATCCATAGAATTTACACTCTCTATAGAGATTTAATAAGTGATTCGTATTGTTTTTGCGGAAGGCGAGCGCGATTAATTGCGCGTAATGCGATGGCTGACTGGCGTATCACGGATCCGACATTGTCGCTGTTGATCTGCGCTGTTCTTTGTTGCCTAATAAGACTGACATTCGTCAGCGGCACACCACTTCCGGCGGCGGAGGAAGCCGTCAATGGCAAGGCAACCGGCAGCAATGTACGTATATAATTAGAGCCGCACACACAGGCAAGTACTAGGTACAATTACATATGTGCCGCAGCATCATAATAATTACTTACGTTAATTTCTACAGTGCAGTGTAGAGACTTATGTGCACAGTGCAATACACGTGTTACACGTGTATAGTGTATACGGATTGAGGTACTGATGCCCCAGTTTTAAAATTAATTTGATCATGTGGCCAATCGCTTCTGAAGTTATTGTTGGGTTTCAAATATCAATTATAAATTGACTCATATTGCAGGTTAGACGCAAATTCATAGTGGATTACAGTATTACATTTGCATGCCTAATAAAAACAGTAGTTTCTGGCCGGCGATCGCTTAATTCGCCTTATGTGCATACATAAGTGCTCTTATAATATTTTGTTTGCAAATCTACTCGTTTAACAACTTTGCTTAATAAGCACGCCATTCTTCTGATCACCGGTCGATAGAATATTCATTTGCGAAGTACACTTAATTATTTTTTTTGCATTTTGCTTACCGGGACACTAAGAATGCAGTGGTCACAGCTACTGTTATGATTTTTGTACGCTATTGGCAGGGTAACGGCAACAACGGTAACGGTCACGAAGACCATTGGTCGTCGCTAACGGAGACGCAGCAGTCTTTTTTACTGCACGCCTACTTCACCAGCGCGATGCCGCAGGAGATCAAGAGCTGTGAACGCATCGAAGAATGCCCCGTCGGCACACGCTGCGACAAAACCTGGAAGATCTGCGTCCCCAAGGAGTCACCGCATTTCCCGTCCACAGGTACGGCAACTAACCATCGGCTTATGCATCTCTCCTGTGCGTATCCGTACGCGTATGCAGCAGCTGGAATTTGTATGCAAATTCCAACTGCTGCATACGCGCACGTACCGGGTACGTACATATTTACGGGTACGTACGTATCTGCATTACTGTGCGCGATTTATATGCGCTGCGCTTACAGCGGTCAAAGGGCTGTTGGACGGGCTTGTACAATTATGATAAAGATAATAAACCGTACATTGTAAACCGTATACGTATATTATGTATTTCGCATTTACCAGAGATTAGGAGAATTATATTTAGGAGTAAGCGTTTGCCCCCAACGAGTTGTAATTGTTGGGTCTCATTTTTTGTGCTTTTCAAGTTTTCATCATGATGTTTCCCTAGTTTCTTGCCTCACTGTCCTGTCATTCTTCATTTGTTTTGGTACTTGGTTTGTACTTGTACTGCGATACTTATTAAAGGATAGCAAACAAATGCTAATTTTTGCCTACTGGTATTAAATTTTGGTATCGCTGACATTCGCTGTATAGATGGAATGTGCGGGAAGCACAGCGACTGCAAGCCGATGTACCACTGCGCCAATAGCAAGTGCCTACTGACCGGTCCACTGGCCTGCAAGGCGCTGGACGAATGCTTGACGATCCCCGGCATGGACTTCCACTGCGTGGAGATACCGGAGCAGCTGCCGGGCAAACGATGCTGGCGCAGTACGTACATTGTACATCCCATATTATCTAGTATTGACATTAAAAACCTTACGGAAATTTTATGGCGATCGCCCCCAAGGGGTGGATGGGCAGGTGCCAAGAGGGGCTGTATGTTTAAACCTGGTTTTCACTACACAGAAATGTTTATTGTAGGCCAGCAGCATGAATGTCTTCGAATATTTAATTTTCAGTGTGTTATAGATACTGCGCGACATGCAGTTTGTCCTTTGTACTGCCTATACAATAGAGCACCGGCAATCGGCAACAGCGAATAATATGCATAACGTACTGTACCGTCGGTACCGATACATACGTACCTACTGACCGATAATTTCGTATAATTCACGAAAACCATGCAGCCCCGTGCCACTCTGCCACTCTACAATAGCGTAGCGCCAGTAAACTGCGCTATTGTATTTGTAGAACGACACTGTGCAATCGTAAATTTACGGTAAATTTTAACTTCTTAGTTTCTTACACGCCATTCCATGATAATGTTTCTATCATTTTCTTATCGTTACACACAATACAAGCGCTAGGGCGCGCCCCTTTGAGTTTCAGATATGAAATTTCGATTTAACAATAAAATTAAGAATGTGGAAATATGTTGCCTATTTTGTGCAAATATTTCGTATAATATTATTTGAAATCGTAGAATTAGTAAATTATAGAAATATTGGCCCCGCTGCGCGGGGCCAGCTTTGGAAACATTTTGAAATGTTCAGAAATTTTTAATAATGAATAACTCCCAATACTCTAGTACTGTTGTTGCAATAGCGGATTGTCATTATTGAAATATATTGTTATGACAATGAGAAATTCTTATAATTATGTACTCGAATACCAAGTATGCATGTACTTACCTGTTTATAAAAAGTGCTGAATAGTGAACGCACTTCGTCATTCTTAGTTAATATTAGATCTAGTACGTGCTGGTAGCGACTAGAGAGTAGTAATGTGTTAATAATGATCAACACGGGTAACTGTAACAATATAAAATGCAGACCAGCATTTCATCAAGCATATTATTTAATAATTCTTACGCATATTTTTTACTGGCATTTTAATAAAAAATTATTTAATCACATATTTCAATAAATTTAAACCTCGGCGCATAAGTATAAATTACCGCATGCCAAGAAAACTGACATCAACGAAGAAACTGTGATGCAGGATGCCAGAGCAGTCGAGACTGTATGGAATGCGAGGATCCCGTGCTCTTCCCTGACCTTTCGATAGCCCACTCTTGTCGCGTACCGCTGCCGTTTCGCAACTCGGTGGTGTGCCACGAGGGCTACTGCAAGAAGAAGCTGCCAGGGCAAGAATGAGCAAATACACAGCGGACAGACAACATAACATACATTATGGCGCATTAACAATGACCTTTAAGTGTTTGTATCTCTTGTTTGTAGGATGCACGTACCCGAGTTACGCCGCTCGGTTCAGTTCAAGTTTTTGATATAGCTACTCTGCGCTTATGACATATAATTTGTATTAATTTATAAAACATGAAAGCGAATTCTCGAATGCATATGTGAGCTTATTTATAAAAATAAGTGACCTTTATGTATCACCTAAGGTGTGTAGCACATGAAGGACAAATACTTTATAAATACTTTAATAATTACTCCACTGTACGTGCAACGTGTTCATGATTTTCGATATCTTTATTCTGATTATGTTTATATTGTTCCAGCATTAGCACATAATTATGAAACGCGCGCGTGTGCTTCTGTACTTGTACGAAAATACGTACTGTACGTATAAGTTGAACAAGATAACAATGTTGTGTCTACCGCATAATACTACTTACTATACAGCATGTTAACGACGAGATTATGGTGTAGCGTTAAAAAAAAAACGAAGAACCCAAAAATATTCTCATATTAGGCATTTATTATATATATAATGTCCATCAAAGTGCGAACGTGGACATATAACTTTAGTATTATAATTACGTACGGTAATTCTTATAAATTGCACTTAAAATTTCAAGCGTTTTCCAAAAATAATATCAGCGCATGAACCTGAAAATTCATAAAATCGATCAGCTAGAGTCGATATTGAGCGTAGTGCCTTCGCTGCCGCGTATACGTGGTTTATTGAAATTCTGACGCCGACCTCTTGCAGCGTCTTTGGTCTGAAGAAAAAGCCAAACGACGCACGCGCCAGCATACAACACAGGATTTACAAGTAAACCGCGGTGCTGTTGTTTGCATAATGCTTGTCAGTATTAAACCGGCAACATTGCAACAGGTAGTAAGGTACCGAGTTTACTCACCGGCGCACCAGCCATAATTGGTTCTGGATAAGTGAGTTTGAATTATGGTGTTCGGAAAAGGTGTTCGATACGCATGATTTGCTCCTCAAATTTATCACCACATTGTTATGTATCCACACATTTAAAATAATACTATTAGTTCGACGCCTGTAATTAAGTTTATATAAAATTAATGACCTTTATGACTGTGTCACTTGCATGCATCTGTACCATTGCAGTGATTGACCTAGTACCTGCTTGACATCTGCTTCGACAAGTATGTATTCAAACAGCGGCATTAAATTGAGCAATGATAATAACAGTAATAAATAATAAAATGGTTATACTGCTTGAATAGTTAAAAACGCATTAAATCACTAAACGACGTATTAAATAACTAAAATCCAAAAACAATATGTTTAGGTAAAGAATTAAATTTTCAAAAAACACATCTAAGCTAAAAACAGAATCAAATAAATTAAAATAAGTATGTAATTCGTTACAGTAGATAACAGTAAAATACACAGCCTAAATTTAAACTTACTTAAACGCTTACTAAACAAGAAAGCATCGCAAGTCTTTAATCCTACATTTAATAATCCTATATTATTAAATGTAAAGCTTTCTCCTGATATTTTATAAGCGCATGTACCGGGCAGTCAGAAAAATTATTCGAGAGTTGATTTGAATGCCGGTATGCTGATTATCGCCATATTATAAGCAGCCGGACTTTACGAGTTGGCAGGTAAAAGCCGGAAAGACGTTTTGAAATTTAGAAATCGACTTTGATCTTCAAGCTACAACTAGAAAAACGTAGAAGAGAAATTTGGTCGGCAGTTTCTAGAATTTTCTTTGTTGACGGCGGCAGAAATGACCGAGAACGTTCTTTGGCCTTTCGTAATTAAGCAGTAAACAGCTATTTAACACGTGATAGACTTTTTGATAGATGGGCAGTCTGCTAAAGCTGTCAGAAAATGCTATATGAGTGTTGCAGTTTAACACGTAATTCCGGCTTAAGAATAAAGAAACGTATGAATAAATCCATAAAATTGAGAAGGAGAACAATGCGGTGCTCAAAGGAAAACACGCTCACATTAAGTGATCAGTATCAACCCAACCGGCAACAGATGCCAATGCTGTTGACCAGCGTTTTGGCCTGGCTTGGCAAAGTTCGCTTAAGGCGATGATTCCGAATGCATTCGGTGCAGTACCACGTTTTTTCAGGTTTCACATTCTTCAGTTTGAACATTATTAGCACATTGCTATACGGTGGCGTGCAGTTACTGCGTTTTGCTCATCCACAAAGCGCGATTCAGTTTTTAATTGCTTTGCAGGCGTGTACTGAAAATTGGTATAAATAAATAATTATTATTTCTTTAATATCCGGATAAATCTTCCATTAGTAAAAGCTGCATATCTTCTATTGTATCGTCATCGTTTTATTATTGCGTGTTTTTTTACTGCGCTAACAGCCGTCGACGGAAATTCGTAATACTGCGATCACCACTTGGGAAAGTAAGTGACAGTTTATTTGTGCTACAGTAGAAACTGAAGAATTAATTATGAGGCTGCTGCAGTAAATAACCAAGCAAAGTACGGCAAAAGGTAACAATGATTATTCTAGAATTACGAATTACGGTAATTTATTCAGAAAAATAGTTGCTCGCATTGAAAACAATTTTTGATGGCCCCTGCACTGACAAGGATGTTTTTGTTGTATTCTTCCTAACTTTGTACTGTTATTTTTATCTCTCATTAATTTTTCAAAACAAATTTTAACTAAATATTATTTTTTCAGCAAATCGCTCAATTCTAATTTTAAGATGAGCGAAGATAAATTGCTGTTCACGATTTCTGATTCACGATGGCACAATTTTACATAGATTTGTCGTTAAATTAAATATGCTAACTCGTTAGTAAAGTGAAATAAATTAATATGATTAATTGAGAATCAATATCATTAAATAATTATGATTATTTGCCGCAATGTTTTATCTCTCGTAACTTGTTCCTAGTGGCTCGTTTAAAACTTAATGTGCGACGAAGTTGTGAAGTGTTGTGCGCTTATGCTGTATATGTATTACTCAAGTTGCATGGAAGGTTATGGGGTTGGTCCGGGTATTGCCGCTTTAGCCTGTAGACAGAAAAGAGTATTCTCCGTATTCCCAAGCTACCTTAATTAAGCTACGTAGCAATAAACAATTATTATTTTTTTAAAACCCAGACATATTTTCCATTAGTGAATAAAATCTGCATATATATTGCAGAGTACGTTGTATTATCACTGCAGAAAATTATGAGTATATTATACTCGCATTATTAAATTGGCATCGCTGTTGTTTCCTGTGGTGCAGCTGCAGAAACCTGACAAGCGCCAGACGAAGGACAGGCAATCACTAAACACTTACAGTCCCACGACACGCTGTTGTGTGGTAGAGGCGGCTACGATGGCCACTTCCGGCTGCGGAGATGATGCCATGGGCGCCGCAGATCACTTCCGGCCCCTTAATTAAAGCAGTCCTGGCGGGCGATGTGGCGCATTTCGCCACGTCTAGCCACAGCTGACACCACAGGGCGAGTAGATTGGCTAGGCTGACCACTTCCGGCCATCTGACTTCCTCCTAAAATGTGGTTATTATGTGGAGGCCTGGTTCGTGACAGCGGGAAGCCAGAGAGGCACAGACCGTCTTTGCGGTGCCGGTTCATTTTGATGCCGTAGTGACTGTTGTTCTACTAAATGGTCTTTCACGATGACATGTGCCATTGTCAGTACTTATGGTGCACCAAGAGGCCAGTGAGCAACACAGAGCCTATGGTTGCTTTCTCACAAATAAAAACGGCTGTGTAACGGTACCGCAGATGTTACCGGTTTCTACATCTGGTTAAAATTCAGTACACAATCCGGTAACAATAGTAACACACAAATGTGATCGAATACTATAAAATCACCAGAAGGTGCATTTTGATTGCAGATGAAGGATCCCCAGCGAGAAATTAAGGAAGCACTGGGAACGTATGAGCTGTCATATGAAAAGTTTCTAGAGCGCGTAAAGGAAACCGTGACGGATGAACAATGGACAGCAATCATGTTCGGGGTAGAAGCCGAGTGCAGCGTGGAGGAGATCCTACAGCATTTACACGCAAAGTACACACCCCTTTCGGACGGCACTTGGAAGAAATTTAACGAGATCAGTCCCCGATGGGACGTAATGTTTCGCTGGACCTGTACGCCTCTGGACGAGTTAAACTCCATTTTTGTACTAATGGAGCCGCTAATGCCATGCAAGACTTACGTCAGCCTTGGACTAGCCTCGGGCGTGACAGCCAAGGTGCAGGGCTCGAAGGGAGCGCTCGCTGAAGTGCCGACAGTGAGAAAACTGTGCCAAATTTTCCATTCGATAACACATCACAACGCCTCCTGGGACAGAAGGAGTGATCCTGTTATCTGCGATGCCGAATGCATCAAGGAAATGAACCTGCAGTTTGGTGACAAATTCGATCCAATCGAGTTAGCCGAGGGCGGCACTTTGCTGTTAAATATTGCATCAACACGATGTGACAAGAAGACTAACAGCGAAAGAGATTTGTGGGAAGCCTTTGGCAAATCGCTGCTGAAATACCTAGACGAGAGGTATCCGAATTTAATCCTTGTGCAATTGCATGGAAGGAAAAAATTCAACGCGTCGGAATTTTATACAACCGGGAGTGTTATCAAGCTCCCGGGCGGTAATAAACATTTGTCCCGCTTCACCAAAAACGATATCCAGATTATGGTCCGGTTACTTTTGGAGCTGTGGGATGAACTGGCAGCCGCAGTCCTGCAGCAAGAAGTGGATCGACAAGACGAAGAAGAAGCGGAACAGCAACGCTTGCAAAAGAAGCAGGACGACTGGAACTACGAAAACAAGTACGGCTCGGATGATGATAGTGCATTTGAGCGCGGTTATGATCGCTCTGATACAGACAGTTCTGATGGGTCTGACCAAGAGTCTGACCAAGAGTCTGACGCATCTAGCGCCTCTTGCTCGGACGCTACAGACGTCTCAGATGACGATGACGACGACAGCGGAAACTTGGCCATGGAAAAATCCGAATTTGTAGGTCAACTTATTGAAAATCAGCTAGAGAAAATCCGGGAGTCATCACCAGAGGGAGCGACTTTCGTTAATTACCACAAGATGAAAGAAGCTATGACCTTTTTAACGACGGCGACGACGACGACGATCCATGAAAAAAGTAAATTTTTGCTTAGCATGGTTGTGTCAGCATAATTAAAGTTTATTGTTGATAATACGCGTTATTATGTTTGTAGGAATACATGTATGTACATCGAGTGCAGATATGCTCACACCCGGTTGAGTTGGGTGGTTCACTTCCGATTCCACCGTACTATATTGCCGTGTCGAAACTGCCTTCCACCTGCCAAATACAAATGATGCACTGAACTGGGCATATTTATCAACATCATCATTAATTTATGGCACTGTGTTATAGATGCGGCATTAAGTCATACTTTGCTTTCAGTTAGCTGAACGGAGGAGAAGTTGATAAATTTTGTGAAATAATGCTCGTGCATAACATTGTTCAATGCGTGGTGATCACCATGAAAAGTACTATGTTATAAAATACTATGGTTTACTGTAATTATAATATTATAAATTTATTTTATGGTTTATTATGATGAATACGACTCGCAGGTCAATCTAGCGTGAATTGGACAGCAGTATACCACCAACAGCACTAGTAACCTGTAATATTACCTTGGAACATCTGCTACAGGAAACGTGTCGGAATTTGAACCAAAGTTTGCTAACGAACTCATGTTAGTTGATTTATTACTGCACACAAAGTTATCAGAAAGGAAAATAGTCAGAAAGATTACAGTAATACATGCAGAATACGTATCAGTGCAATTCCATTTTACGGGTCATTTTGCTTCTTCAAAGCGCATCGTGCCGTCTGACCCACGCCTTTTCACAGTTTTTTGGCCAGCTGCGCCTCCAGATCGACCTGCTTCTTCTGCGCCGCGATGGTCTCACTGACTAAATCCTGACGGAAGCCGACATCCCGCCCGTGCTGCTTCTCCACCTCCTTGGGGATCTTCTCGGCCTGTTGTTCGGCTTCCGTCCGGTACATCTCCGTCTTGGCTTTCAAAGCATGTTTCTGCCGCTCCTCCTTCTGGCGTGCTTCTTCTTCGCGATAGCCTCCTTTTCTTCTGACATTTGTTTCGGTCGCGGCGCGCCTTCTCAATTAATCAAGCACTGCTTGGGATTGACTTGGGTTTTTCGGCTTCCAGATGCAAGCACTACGGAGGTGACGAAATTCTCACGCACTAATATCAGCCTCAATCTGCTAAGTGTATCCACGGTATACTGTATTTTGTTCAGGCATTACAAACACATTCTGATGGAGCGAGTAGAATTTCGAAAAAATAATTAAATATTTTTATACAATTTTTGCACCCGCATGCGCAGGTTCGTATATGGACAGTAACAATTTCCCCATATGTAAGCTCTCAACTTTATGATCTGTTAACAAATGGGAGAAAGGTCACAGTTACCGACGCGGTGGAACTGTCAGTGTAGCCGATTCAACCAGAACGCACCCCCTCCCACCGTGAATTGTGGTGCCATGCCGAACGAAGAATCCGAACTACATTCTTGACGGTCGGCACACCTAACTTTGCGCCTTTATCAAGATCATACTTGCCTGACTGAAAGATATGGACGAGGTTTCCTGGATAGGCAAAACCATTTCTATTTTTCTTGCATCCCAGAGCGAATCCAGTGCTCTCACAATTATACCTGCTTGGTCTTAATGGCTCCATGAGAAGGAACGCAAGTCAAAATATCGACGCGACACTATGTGAGTGCATCCATCTGGACGGTTCCAGTGCGTCACTGAAACTGGCATTTGGAGAGGAGTTTGATCCTCATCCAACGCCGTTAGCGACAGGTGAAATTTTTCTGCTAAATGTTGCGTTGACGCGATGTGATGATTAGAACAACTGTGAGAAAATACTGTGGGAAGCGTTTACGAGGCGTTACTGACGCGGCTCAGTCGTGATCATCCCAATTTGATCCTTTTCCAGTTCTATGGAAGTTGTGAATTAGATGCGTCGTTGTACTATACAAGCGGGAAGTTGGTTAAAGGACGTTATGGACATGTAGGTTTATATAACAGCGACGATATGAAGTAATTCGCGCGTTCGATACTGGAGCTACAGGGTCAACTCCAGAAGGCCACGCCCATTTTAGTCCCACAGGAGAAATTTTCTTCGGTCGCGAGGAGTCTTGATAGCAACGAAGGTAATGCCGACCCGCTGGAGGCGTCTCCTTCTTGTATCCTCGAAAACAAAGAAAGACAGGAAAAAGAAACTACCACGCACGTGGAAAGTGCTGGCACAACTGGTGACAGCGACAGTAAGGGAAATCCGGACTCGACGACTTTCTCTCGTGTCCCGGACAAACCTACCCTAGCACGTCACAAGGAAACATGTATGGTACGGTTGACGCGAGCCCTAATCAAGTTGTCGCCGATTTAGCGGATTCACTGGCCAGTACTCACATAGACAACGTATCTCGACAACTCGATAATTATATAAAAACCAAAGAAATTTGGAACCGGTTTATTGGCCGCGCTTTATCAATTTAAAGCGGACGTTGATGACATTAAATTAATCATGCGCACGAGATCCTATATTCGTACATAATGCGCCGAGTGTCCAGAATTTCTGACTGAAAGTGTAGGCTTACACGTAGTTCTTTTCATTTTATTTAATTGACTTTACTCAGTACGTTTAACAAACACGGAAAAAGGAATCAGGAGGAGCTGCTTTCTCCCTTTCGCTTTACCTGTTTTTGTTTCATTCGATTGTTTCTTATGCAGCGAATTCGTTGGATCTGAGGCATGAGCTCTGTTTTTTATTACTTTGTCATTCCGATGTTGTGTTCTTTTACGTTTAACCATGCGTTCAATCCTACTCCATATTTATCTACGCTTACTACTGCTTTTATTTTATTCATCGTGACTTTATTCATCTTGCTATGTTACTTTATCTTAGACAATACATTAAATACAAACTGTAGGTGACTGCCTTATTTGCATGCGCCGGAGACGCAGTACAACTGAGCCGCTATGATTGAATAAAAAATAGTTATCGGTGATACGAGTAAGCGGAGTGACCATTTTCCATTAGCATTGAAACATCACGACTTTAATAATGGCGCATTGTTATGATGTTACCAAAGCACAGTTGCACGCATTCAGTTAAGTCTGTTCACTACAGACTCCACCGTGGTGCTGACTTGGTCCGCCATGCGGACCATCCCCGCATGGCTGACCACGTCAGCATCTCTTTTGAAAGCTGTTGGCAGCTCACATCCAGACAGCAAAAAGTGCTGCAAAGCGGTCACTCTCCTGAGCCAATGCATCTCGGCGGCTGCATTCAGCCTGACCGTGCTGCAGTTCCTCCCGCGCTCCGACCATGTCAGTTTCTTGTTAACCTGGCTGGCCGGCATGTCAACCCGCCTACCATGTATCGTTTACAAAAACCATAACAGGCCCAACCGAACTGCATTTGTAGCTCACTGTTCTCGCCTCTGAAACACCCCAGCTGCGTGCGCACTAGCAGGAACTGATACTGCATCCCACGTTTGAGTCGCGCGAACTGAACGTTGACCAACTCCAAACTTCAAATCATCATTCAGCGGGTGGTCCTCTGCTGCAGCGATGGCCGAACGCGCTTCGTGCACGCGCTCAATGACAACTTCCCACCCGCCACGGGGAACGTACTAGCAGAGGTCACGGCTTTGCATGCGCGCTGGATGCGCACTCTGTCCTATTCTGGGGATTTGCGGGCTATTCGCAACTATTGTTTCCTGTAAGTGTGTAATTTATTCCCACTGGGTACGGGCGCCATATGGAAAAACCGGATCTGCATCTGTTATGGGTGTAAGTTCAGCGGCTTCGATGAATATGGGGCAGTGCCCGCGTGGGAAGATGTGGACTTGCGACATGGGGATGTCTCCACGCTGAGCCGACTGGCGATGTACGGCATCAGCCATCAACGCACTCTTCCGCGTGTAATTCAAAGCGCTTTAAGGCCAGCTTCTGTCAATTCTGATACGTCGCGTGCATTCACGCACAGCATAAGGGTGGTTGTAACCAGTATGTGCGCTCACTGCGCTGCACTTGCTGTACAAGTACTGCACCTACCCGGGTAATCTTAGTGCTTCATACCGACCTTAAAGCTTACTGAACTGCATGTAAAGATACAGCTCAGCTTCTCAGGCTCTTTCGTTTTCTGTCAGACTCCGTCATAATTATACGCCCCGTATTTTCGCCCGTGAGTAGAAAAATTTGGTTTAGGCTAGCTTACCGGGTACAAGCCGAAATGATTAAGGTTTAATACTATAATATCTTGCAAAACTACCTTTTCAGAGCCTTGGGCTTCGACGGTTGGACCGCCTGGACCGGAAGCAACCCGCATGATGACAGTAGGTGGACAGAAGATTCAACAGGAAACCGGCGAAAAGCGGGCCACAGAATTCCTGCGCCAGCGGATCAGCATCAAAATCCAACGAGGCAATGCGGCATCTGTCATGGGAACGGCACCGATGGGTGCGAATTTAGATCAAATGTTCTTTGGGATTAGACCGCATGAGTCAGTTGATGCTGTATAATCAGTGAAGTCTCTTAAGACTGTGTAAGAAAGTATGTTTAAGAATAAAATATCCTGCACACAACTAGAAAGTTGATATAGACAAGTTTCTCGCGCGATGGCCAGTGTACTGCACCCGTACAGAAAATGTACTGCACTGTAATGTACTGTACAAAAAATTGCCCCAGACCGCCCGCGCTAGGCGTCAGCCTCTTTGACATCAACACAATTACTGCTCAGACTAGGTTGTAGTCGTCGCGTGTCCAGTTGGTTGGCAGAACGAACGGTGGTCCCGGCAGTCCTTTGGGGTCGCCCAGATAATCCGTGGCGTAGACTTGACAATTCTTGTATCCACATGGGGTCACTGCCCAGGCGTACTGCACAAAACTGGCCGATGCGTTGCCGGCACACGGCGTCGAGACGACAATTGTATTTCCCGCGGACAGGCTAGGCCGACTGGTGGTGTTATGCCAAATTCGGCAGTCTTTCCAGTTATCAGTGCGGAATATCGGCGTATCGCAACAAATCTGCCACAAAAAATTAATTTAGCTGCGTATTACTGCATGATGCAATTCAAGTGCAGAAAACGAATCAATAAATACAGTGTATGTGCGTATGGGTTCATCAAAAATTAACGTGACCGAGTTATCATAATTTACATGTACAGTATACAATGGAGAAAACGCCGGTCAAGGAAATCTGGTACCTCAAAATTGCTTGCAGCGTTCGGTGTGAAATTTATCTGCTGGTCATATTCGATACACAGAGAGGCATTATCCGGGCCCAGTTGTATGCGTTTCGGGAAAGGTCCTTGAAATGGGATGTGTCGGTAGTACAAGACCGACACAATACCGGCCAGCAAGCGCTGCGCGATCTCTTCTTTGTAGCGTGGCAGCTCCCTGATACAAACACAACCGGCAATGTAAGCTTGTGTACAGTATTATTGAAGGTCACGCAGCGCCTAGGTTCTCATATGTTCAACAAGTAGGTCTATTGGATAACGGAAGGTCACGGTACGTTGTGTCAGTAAACTCCGTCTTACGACTTAGATAAGCATTACTAACTGTCGCATACATTTTACAAGTTAAAGCTACGTTATGAATGATCAGTAAAATTACTAAGGCTTCAGTAGAAAAGCTCACGTGCGTGAACATTTACGGGACACTACAGTCGTCTTACGAGCCAAACGGTGACTCGGGGTCCGCCAGATCCATCGCTGAGGCCATGAAGACAAGTATCAGAGCTTCATTCGGCACCTGTCCATACTCGGCCGTCTGTTCCCACCGTATCTGAGCGGTGGCGCCCGGTACGTCTTCAGAATTCCTCGTACCCAGCTGCACAATGCCAAAGAATTCTGGTGTCCAACACCAAAAAATTCTGGTGTCCAACACCAAAAAATTCTGGTGTCCAACACCAAAAAATTCTGGTGTCCAACACCAAAAAATTCTGGTGTCCAACACCAAAAAACTCTGTTAAGAAACCCAAAACATACAACCAAAGTAATATACACAATACTTTACGAAACATAAAAATTGAAAAAGGGATCAGGCGCGACGGTATGGTATAAAAACAGCAATCAGAATCAGTAGAAAAATAGGAATAATAATGAATCAACGCTGCATGACAGCAGTAGTCAGAAAAACCGCCGCAAAGGGAAGCGCGATACCCCGGAAGAAATTGCCCCTCCATCCCTCCACCATGGCCTTGAACAGACAGCCGTAGGTGTCGGCATCCAGGGCGGCATCCGATTCGCCCTGATACCAGATAACGCTGGTGAAACGCAGTGTTTTTATCGGGGCAATCATGGCGTTCCACAGCACGGAATCCGTTCCCGGCTGCTGCATAGTTCCTGTACAATGCCCAATACTGTTTGGAGGAATCCAGCCGCGAATGGGAGAGGCTGCGTCTCGATAAGCCCCAATCAAGCCAATGGGAGCCTTTTGACCTATTTAAGTGAAGTAGTCGAGAATCGTTTCGGTTTTAGTAGAGATTTCTCCTAAAACGTACCGAATCGGCTGCGAATATCTTCAGACACGCGCCGGCCTGTCGCCCAGCACAGTGCAGAAAAGTCTTTTAACGAATCCGGAGTCGCTATAGTCCAGTTCTGAAGGATGCGTGGTTCCGGCAGCGCGCTGAAGGACGAATCTGGTGAGATTCTCATTAGTCGGATAAGGGGGAATTCCGAGGATGCCGCCAGTTCTTCCGAAGCATTGAACATCTGGTCAGTACATACGTTAATTACTTCGAGATTCATTAACTACCCGTAGCGCTTCATTACTTAGCATAAGTACTGACACTAACACTACTGTATTAATCTTGTCGCGTATATAAGATGCGTGCGATGTAGCACCTGAAAGCACGCACCTGCTCAGAGTCCACTGAGTAAAAAAACAGGTACTATTGTAGTATAGGGTATCGCATATCTTCCGGTAACTTCTAAATGTCAAATGCCTACAGTTTGGTTACGTACCCTTACGCTACGTACTCTCTACGAACAGCGACTGTCTGTTTTTATACAAAATACAGAGGACAATGAGCTCATGCTATTGTGATATTATTCTTTCACCGTTTGGTGAACTCGCACAAACCTGTCGCCAAATTGAGCATGTAAAGGAACAGGTAGAGCGATATTAACGCGAAGTTAGCGTTTGAACGATGGCCACTACGCTACGTCTATTGCAATGCCTAACTGCCTCCGCAGTTAGATTGTTCCTTACTGCACCGACCATTTTCTATCCACCTTCCGCCAAGCAGTTACATACAGTTATTCTCATTAAAATATCTGGCGTGCAGCAAGCCACCTGCCAGCGAAATGCTTGTTATGTGATTAACACCGCCACTGATTAAACAGCGCGGCGTGACGCGCCGTAGTATGGAGTTCAGGATGTCTTACCTTCGCAACCGGAAACGCCATGTTGGCCTCACCGACGCACAGAAATACGTCTCCAAAATAAACATCGCGCAATACGACATGACCAGTGTAGTTGCCTCGTTCGCTCTGATACACGTCGATGTCCCACGGTCCGGTCGGAATACCAGCCCACAAAGATTGTTTCCAGAGCCCTTCATCTGTATACGAGTCATTACTGATACCATTGTTGTGGAAATCGAACATAGCATACTGTTAAATACATAACTAGTTATTAACTACCAGTAAGAATAAGTTTAAATTGGGATAAGTTCTTCATTTGATTGGATTTACTGAGCGGTGTTCACTGTTGTCCATAACTACCATACTTCGAATGCTGCCTTATATGGGCCCTTATATTACTCTCCCTTATCTGGGCTCCCGAGCAATATGAGCAACCCTCTACATGGGCGGTTACGTTATTACTCACACTTTCGCAGCTGTTATCAGAGTTATGCCTGACTGAAATTTTTGATTTATTTAAAATACTTATTTTGCCAGTACTTTTGTAGCATTTAGTTTGTTTCAAAGTGCTCAGGTTGCATCAACGACAGATTCAAAATCTTTCTAAATTCAAAATCTTTCTAAACGTCGCCCGTAAAAATGCACTAAGAACCCCATGAAAAAATAATGTGACATGAAATTTCAGCATTTTTCAGTTTGTTCATTGACAAATCCGGTTGAAATTAATGAAAAATATTATTGTATAGATAATATATATAAATATAATTCGGATGTGAAATTTCGGAATTCTTTGGTGTGCTCACTTGTAAATCCGATTGAAAGAAGTAGAAAAGGGTTCTGCTATAAATCCGATAAATTTAATTTGACGGGTATTGCTAACAAGCCGGGAACCTAGATAAGGGAGAGTAATATAAGGGGAGTCCATATAAGGCAGCATTCGAAGTACTATTATTGCTCGTTCAAAAACAATATATGACAAAAATTGTTTCATCGCGGAGCCGCCATAGCACCACATATTTCCGCCCGACCACTCTTCACTACGGAACGTAGTGCGCAAATACGGGAAAAGCCACACTGGAGACAAGTGCTCTGCTCGAAGTTAGATAAAACATGTGCGATGTCCGGCATCCCGATGGGAGCCGCTGCACAGATAGGTGTTTCGGGTAGATTGACTTTCCCTAACCACAAAATTAATGTCCACATTAGGCCACGATGTTTAAAAAAAATTGGGAAAACTAAGACAGAATGGCCTGCAATACTTTTGCATTTCTTCTAGATCTGTCTCTTTTCATGATCGTTTGTTTTGTTGCTTCTTCCTTCCTTGCACATTGTTTTGACGTTCAAGTAGCAACCGCAAAATACAGAGTAAGTACTCGATCTTAGATTCTTAGTGCGATGACAGAAATCGGCTTTATAAAACTGCATTTATATATTGGTCTCACTAGTCATTAACTCACAATGCTCGGTGCTCGGCCTCAGTGAGGTACGTCGTGTTAGAAATACACAAAAGAATTTTAATTATCGTTTTGCGTTATGTTTATAGGAGAAAGCCTCAGTTAGATCCTCCGTATATGAAACTACAGAAAGAAAAATTTAATAATCATTTTGCGCACGTAGTACAGGAAAGCCCGAAACGTATGTCACGGGTTGCGGGGTTGCCCAGTTCGCTTACCATTGATGCCGGTCAGTAGAATATCACCCAGCAGTTCAATTTCAACTTCGGCACCTGGCTTTCCATACCCCCACAACACCGACCCAGGGATGTCTGCCTCCAGAACCATCCTGTCTTGAAAATAATTGGCCAGTCTGAAAGTGTGATCTGCAGCGAAGGTCCCCGCGTCGCCATTAGTCCTTAAAAGAACCGTGCCGACCGAAACCACATACAACAGTGTTGTGGTACACAGAATAAAGAACTGATAATCACAAGCATTAAAACCATTCATCGTGCAAGCAAAAGGATACTGAGGCGAACAAGGCAGGCAAAATTGAAAGTTTTTCGCTGATGCTTCGTTGCTATAGAAAGTTGATATAATAATTGTAGTAATGCAGTTAACGGTATATACGCAAAAGTAGGTTTTTATATTTTACACACGCTGCGGTTTGCTACATTACCAAAGATTCTAGAAATACCGGAATAACGCAACCGTGTATTTGGAATGCTTTCGCTACTGTTGTTTGCACACGGCTTGTCTTATTTAACTATTCAATTAAGACGTTAATTTTCTTTGAAGGCCAGTCCTGTGCACCATACCCTAAGGCCTGAGATACACTGCCCATTTACTCGGTTCGGTAGCGAATGATAATGGGTCGAATTTTGTATCCTGTTCTGTGTGACATGCTGGCCTTGGCGAGGGACAAGCAATACCTGGTAGCACATCAGAGAGCTTCCCTGCTCCCTAATTAATTGATCTGATGGTAAAGCAAGCTGAGGAGGTAGACAAGTTTAAAACCATGTACGTAAGAAAATGTTATAGCGACCGGTGTCCGGTAACTGTGGTACAGCTATTAACCGGTAAGCTACAGTTAATTTTTTTTAGATTTTTTTTCCAAATTTCAACCAAGCGATAACAATATTATGATTCAGTTACACTTAAACAAAACAACATTTTCCACAGTACCAATAACAGAAGCGGCATTTCCTCTTTGAATAGCTAAACAAATGTTCTGCTTTAAAAACTCATGGCTGCGAATCTCGCCTGTTTGTAATTCAACCCTCTTTCCGACTTCTTTAACCAGTTAATTTATAACAGTTAATTCCTTCAAAACTTGACAATTGTTATGGTACTAGTACCTTCAGGGTACCTGACAATTGTTAGCTGTACCAAGGCTGTACCCCCAGCGATATTACTGCTGCAAAGGGGTCACTCTCACCATCAGCCTTGTGTGCTGCAGTTCCTTCAGAGTTCCGACCATGTCGGTTTCTTGTTAGCCTTGCTGGCAGACATGCCAACCCGCCTGCAATTTATCGTTATCAAAAACCACACCAGTCACCAACCCAGCTACATTTGGAGCCCATCCCTATCGCCTCTAAAACATCCGGCCGCGCGCCGCTAGACTACTGCGCCGCTAGCATTCTGTTACCGGGCGGCTGAACAAAATGGCCGTCTGCTGTTATCGTTCGTTTCGCCACTCGTCGTACCGCTAACGACGTTTGAAAGACAATTTCAACTGCTACTGGATACAACAAAATTGTTTTAAAAAGTGATACCTCTTCACAAACATTTGTGTATGTAAATTGAAATTGGGTAGAAAAGTTTTGTGTCTCAGTTCCCAAAACCATGAATTCCGTGAGATTTTTCCCCGTAAAAAATACAAAAATTTTGTAAGTTTTATATAGTATAACTCTATTTTCAACAGCAAAAAAGTTGTTGACATGGTGCTTGTGCAACCGTGAGCAGTGGGACGGAAGGGGTACCTTTCAGCTTTGCGACTCTATCGAGAAGAACAGACTGGAAGGAACACCCTTGTCAAAGAACTTTGATCTGCTGAAGTTGACAAAGGATGCTGCTAAACATTGCACTGAAACATAGTGGAAATTCGAAGGCGATGCATTGGCGAAGAACCCGAGGGGCGAGCTTTTACCCGAACGCTATTACGTAATTATTAGGAGGAGCGTCTCAATTGGATTTTTATCCCGTTATATAAGTCCCCAGTGTTTGATAAGGGCACAAATATGAACGAGTGGCGTGGCTGTCCAAACACCTCATTCTAAGCGTCTCGGCTGTTATGACGCCGATGACTGCTGTAAAGCGGCACGTGCGATATTTGACCGACAGTAAACGATTAAGAAGACCGGCCGGTCCCGGGAGGGAGAAACGAGTGGGTCAGGGGCCGCCGGACAGAGTGGGAAAGGCACAGCCGACATAATGGGGACATCGAGGGCGAGCACATCAAAGGTCACGCTTGGACTGTTCAGGACAGCGTCAACACCGGGGACTACGACGGTGGCCGCATCAGTACTCAAACGATATTCTTAAATCATCTCAACTGGAATTGTTTACTCAGCGCATCCAGGGAGCAAACGACTGTTCAGTTTGGAAAAGGAAAGGGGCCACGAAGCAGCTGTGATTACGGTTATGTACCAGAATCGAAAAACACCGGTTTACTGTGCGGCCAAATTGCAGGCTTTATTTATTACGTCGTTCCGTACGAACGGTAGAAGAAACAAAAGTAAAATCAGGTTTAGAAATAGAATGGGTAGCTTCCGATAATATGTCTCAGTGCCTAGTTACGCTGCGTTCATGGCAAGCTGGGCCAGCTTGCAGAGAAGGTAGTCACTAGTCACACATCGTGAACCGCTTAGACAACATTTATCATCTTTAATACCAACGACCCGGCTAATCAGAACCGTAATTTGTGCACTTTAGCAACAAATCGGCGGCATGCATAAATAAAGGCCGCCTATTTCTACTGTCGGCTGAGGCTTTACAATCAGTATATAATTACTGTGAGAGAAAAAAAATTAAGACTTTTGTACCACCAGTCTGAATAAAATTTGAGTAAGAGTGCTTATTGGTTATTATACACGGTATGTTATACTAGGTATTAAGGTAATTATAATTATAACGTCTATTACAATATCATGCCGGTTTTGCTGCATCACCTGTATACTGTATATAGCAGAAAATCAGTGCAAAGAGTTTACAGCAACTACTGGCAGCATACAGAGAACATAGTCAAATAACTTCCGGCGAGGTTTCCGGTTCTACTGGAAAAGTTTTAATTTCTACACTAGCAGGCAGCATGTTCGCAGTAATTGCAGCCGTTACGCCGTACATCGTGCCTGTGTGGCGCTAATACAATTCAGGCACGGCCGACCGGAAATAACGCGCACACAGTTAGTGCATTACTAGCAAAACGTTGTACAAAACGGATTCGGTAGCAGACTTCAACAGTCCCTCCGGCCACGTATGACCTGTATGACGCATAACTTCACCTCGTGTACAGATACTGCATCAGCGGAACGGCGCAGTTGAGCGACGGCGTTGGAGGCCGGCAAAAGCTGACGTAATACGAGTAATATTACAGTCATTCTGGGGATTCATGAATGCGCATTTCCGGGTGACAACAGCCTGCCGGCGGACGGATGTTCAAAAACTCTTCGCGAGCGTATATTATGAGCAATCGCCGGCACCGCATCGCGCATCTAATTGTCTGGTTTCAGTGGGCTCGTAGCCATACTAATTTTACCGGGATTTGCTTTTTGCATGCACATTTTTTTTGTGGCAGATATAAATTTAAGTTCATTATCACCACCCGCAGCTTCGCTATCAGGTACAGAATAGCATTAAGTGCTTAATATATGTGTTAAATTCTGCCAATGGCTCAGTTATCCGAGGAGGAATTTATCGCCCAGGTGAAAGCAACGGTCCATGAATCATGGAGCTGGATGTGGGCTCCGAACAGTGCCAAGGGAATCGCAACAGAATTCCAAGCCATCATGAAGTATCTCCATAAAACGTACAAGCCCATGGCCATGAAAAATGGGCAAGGGCAATGGAAAATAATAATGACACCAGTCCAGGCTGGGACACAATGTTTCAGTGGACACATTGTCCGTACGAAAGTATTACGGCAATTTTCATTATGATGGAGCCATTAAAGCCAAGCCATCCCAGAGCCAAGAGCACAGGATTTGCCGGCGGATGTACGTGGACAGAGTCTTACGGGCATATTTTTCAGCCAAACCCCAAACCGACCGGCGATAAATCAGACAAAGACAAGATATTTGGCGTTCCGGCTGCCAAAAATTTATACCGCATTCTCCATTCGGCGTGGGGCAATCATGGAGGACAGAATGACACTTTCGTGTCCTGCAACTGCATCGAGCAGGACAGACTTGGCGGGACAAGAATTTCCAAGCATTTTAATTTGCGACCGCTGGCCGAAGCGGGCTGCTTGATGCTAAATGCCGCGCTGACACGCAGTGAGAAGGATACTAATGCGCGCAATGCTGACGAGCAACCGTGGCACGCTTTTACCCAAGCGCTTTTGTTAAAGCTTAACGAGGACCGTCCCAATCTGGTCCTGGTCCCTTTGTATCGGTATGGTCAATTTGATGCGGAGAAGTTGTACACGAGAGGGGTGGTGGTGGCCGCACCTCTGAAACACATTAGCCGTTATACGGATGACGACTGCGACGCAGTTGCACGTGCGCTAAGGAATTTGCCGCAGACGATCCAGAGCACCAGCGGACGCCGGGAGGCAGAAGCCAGTGGAGCCGGCAGCGGCCAGGGTACCAGTCGCGCCGATACCGTGGCACCGAAGGCCTCCACATCAAAGGGCACCCCTCCATTGTTCAGGGCAGCGTCATCAACGCCCAAATCACTACAAGCGTCGCCCCGGATAATGAGAACTGAGTCCGCACCGGTTGCAAGCGCAGCGTCGACGTCGACGCCGCTGATGCCGAATGCCCCACTCCTCACGCCCCAAGAGAGAGCACTGCATACGTCGGTAGTTGAGCCGTTCGGCCGTTTGCGCATCAAGGACGCACCGGTCGATACAGAGGAACAGCAGCGTAATCATACAAAGACCAGGGACGCTGTGCAGCGTCATTTATTTGGGGCTAACTGAGTAAAATATGGACTGCTAGATTTCTAGCTACGCTAGGCGTCACTGCAACGAAAAGGCCGGTGAGCGTTCTTGTGTTTTATTTTACCTGCGGTACAACGTAATTGGAAACAATATATCAAAACATCAGCATTTTTCGCGTTCTTCGATTTTGTACATCAGCGTTCTTCGATTTTGTACAAGGTTGCTTCCGCATCGTTGTCTGCTGCAGACTGCAGTGAGTCCAATATGGCGATAAAGCCATTTCCACTACATTTTTATACGCTTTTCCTTGTTTTCATTATTGTTTGTATTAGCGTTTGGTATTAACTGCTTTCTTAATTTTTATTTTTATAATTTAAGTTCATCATTTCGCATTCGCTGGTAAGGAGGATGTGCGGCTCGCCATTGTAAAAGGAAATGCTGCTGCTGTGTTCGGCACTTTACCCACTCAAAACAAACTACAGTAACTGGTTGCGCAGATTTCGTTGTTTGTTTTTTAGTATTATTGTACCTGTTTAAATCAATATTTCTAGATAAAAAGGTAAACGTCATATGCTGCAATAAATGATTTTTGTCTGTATAATTAGCATTGACCGGCAAGATTTGATCGCCATACGCTAGAGTAGTTCACGATAGAGAAGCACTTGGATCAACTGTGCGGTGTACCTGATTGTAAAGACATACACACATTCACATAGTTACCATAAAAATGCACATAGCACATGATAGAGGAATATATTAGAATAATTATTGTTATTAGTATTTACAGTACGTAAGCACTGTATCAGTAAACATTATTTATTCAGTTTAGTTTGTTCACTTCCGACTCCACCGTGGTGCTGCCAGAGACGGCGTGGCCGATCGCAGTGTCGAAGTTGACTTCCACCTGTAAATCGAAATTTTTCGTTTTACAAAAACTTCCGAGCTGATGCAATACTGGAGATACAAGATGCAAACCTGGAAATTTTGAAAAACTTTTCAAAAATATAGACTTAAATATTAAATATTTTTTATACTGAATTCTACTAACTGAAACCTACTCATATAACAAAATATCTACAGAGTATATAATTGAAAATTAAATAAGCACATTATAAATAAAGCATTAAATATGCATGTATGCATACTACATGTCTGCGTATGTAGTTTTGATAAAGTTTTCAGAATCGCCAGGTTTTCAGGGCATTTACAGATTTACGTTAATTTATGTACATATCGGTATATATACCGATATGTACATATATATATATATATATATATATATATATATATATATATATATATATATATATATATATATATATATATATATATATATATATATATATTATTTAATATGAACAAGCTCATCATCCGGACGGACGGACATCGTGCTCATCATCCGGACGGGCTTGTATATGCCCCGATATAAGGCCTATCGCATACATGATACACGGAGTACTCGTGCACATGCCAGTATACTTACATTGCTGGTCATCTTGCTCTTCTCCAGAGCCTCGCGCGCCGCCTGCCCCTCGCGCTCCAACTGCTTCTTGGCCATCTGCGCCTCCAGATCGACCTGCTTCTTCTGCGCCGCGATGGTCTCACTGACCAGCTCCTGACGGAAGCCGACATCCCGCTCGTGCTGCTTCTCCATCTCCTTGCGGATCTTCTCGGCCTGCTGCTCGGCCTCCTTCCGGTAGGCCTCCGTCTTGGCCTCCAACGCGTGCTTCTGGCGCTCCGCAATGGCCTCCTTCTCCTTCTGGTACTTCTCCTGGTCGCGGCGGGCCTCCTCCGTCAGGTGCTCGTTAGGCAGGACGGTGACCCTTTCCGATTCACCGGACGCCCGTACCGCCGAGGCGGCGAAACCCTCACCCACCAGTGTCTGTCCCAGACCGGCTGGAAATTAATTACACGGGTTTATATTCGCTGCGTATTTACCAACATCCATTAATGATCAATACACAAATTTCATCAAAATTGCATTTGACATTTAATCAGAACTACTAATCATTTTTATGAAACATTTAGTTTAGCCGTGTTTTTTTACATTGTTTAGCCCATATTACAAAATCATTGCTGGTTGAAGCAAATTATCAATTTAGAAATTGATAACATTTATTTATTTATTGTTATTAAATCATTGTGCATAATTCTGTGGACCTTGTGGTTATAACTTCGTAATATCTAATATATTACTAATTAACACAATAGTAACCGCTTGCAAATGTCCTCCTATGCTGTTTTCTCGCAATACGTAAATATACATGTAAATAAACCAATAGGTAATTTATTTATATGTATTCAAAAATTACGCAATTAGTTATTAATGCAACTTTAATAAAATTATTTTTTTATACTAAGGTTTTGTTCAGCAGTGTGTTGTGTTATTAAATTTAGTAAAGGTCACAGGTTACCGATGCCAGTGACGGTTAGCGGATCAGGGACATTCAGAACGGGCGCCTTGGCTTCCGCGTGGGTGTAGCTGGTGGTGTGGACCTCCTTCTCGCCCGACGCCATATGGGTGTCCTCCTTGGCGCCCGACGTGTGCGAGTAGCATTCGTAGTTGTGGGCGTGGTGATGCTGAGACATTCTCTGGCTTTCGGTTTTTCTGTACTGTCTGGTTAACCTTAGAGCACTTGCTGTTACTCGTTTTAGAAGGCGTGCTTAGAATGTGTCGACAAAATCAATTCAGAAAATACTGTATGCAATGCTTTGTTCCCACCCTGCTGTATGTAATGTGCAAGACACACAGGTAAACTTGAAAAATTTGTAGATAGTTGCGGTTACTAAGTAACAAAACCTGCAAGTCACAATACTGGGTGATACAGCAGTCTTACTATCACACTAAGGAAGTTAGTATTATAAAATCGTATCACTTCAGGCACGCATCAGGTGCCGTGCTTGTGTCAGTACTTACGTAAAATTTGTTTACTAATAAATTATGAAGCTGCCATTTGCTAGCAATAATTTATTTAAGAATAAAAAATTAATTATTAATATGTAGGCACGTATATGTACCAGTAATAGAGCACACTAAGTATAAACTGACTACAGATTGTTTTTTTAATGTTTAAATTTTAACTGTAAAGTAGTGTGCCCGCGCTTGCACTATTTGTTGTTTTGGGGGCTATTGCCCAATAAAGTTATTAACTGACTACAGCCGCATTAAACTGCCTGATTATGATTATTACATAAAATATTATTTCAATGTCGCCAGCGGTACCGACTCTGCGACTACCGATAGCTTCGGCATTTGCAAAAATGAAGGCAATGCCGGCTCATAACGGAAAGATTCTCGGATGTCAAAAAAGTAAATGCTGCAGCTCCCCGTAAACTGGTAAATTACAGTGATTGCCGAGCTTCGGCCTGCATGCATCATGTTACGTCCTGTTCTGCCTCATTCGCCATGTTGGCCTCCCAGTTGACTTTTCCTCTCTGTGTTTTAGATGCACTCCCATTTGCTTTATTGGCATCAGCCAATACTGTACATCAGCCAATACCAATACTTTAAGTGAAACTAACTCCTGATATTGTTATCGTGCTATTGAAATTAAAGAGTACCGCCTGCAATCTTTAAATACTGTACAGTGTACAAGCTTGTCCGGTAATTTCTGCCGGTTCAATACAGCGAAATACAATACACAAATTTGCGTGTTACGCCAAACTCCATGCTACGGCGCGCCACGCCACACTGTTTTAATACGTAACATGCATCTGGCTGGCTGGTGGCCTGGTGCATGCCAGTTAATTTAATGAGAATAACAGTAACTGCCTGGCGCAAGGTGGCTAAAAAACCGTCGGTGTAGTAATGGACAATCTGACTGCGGAGCGCATTTAGGCAATCTAATAAGCGCAGTGACGTGGCTATGGTTTTAAGCGCAAATTTTGCGCTAGCTGTACCTTTACGACAGAAATTACCGGACAGGCTTGTACACAGTACACTCACAGGCGGATACGCGAGGCTTACCTTGTATTGCAGGTATAGGAGCCCACCGTAGTCTGATGTTATCGTACTCGTATATACATACAAGAAACCGCTGCGGCTTCGCCTCCACATTTTTTGTGATCAACGGCCGCTTTGAACAAATAGTAGTTGTTCTAAAACTTCTTTGAAAAGGAGTCTAGCTCGGTCACTCACTCACCTAGCAATTCTGAGAAAAGCTGCGGCACTTTAGCAAAACGCTAGCTCGACATCGTGTGGGTTCGACACGGTGTCTGTTCGCCGAAATGTCGGCTGGCAAAATGACGGATCACCGTCAGATTTTTCGAGCCAATGCTTTTCATGGGTAAACTACCTGCCTTATACAACGACCAATAAGGTTTATATCAATAAATGTTTTGTACAAGCGCCTCTCGAGGATTTTTAAACCGTTATAAACGGTATATTAGAGATGCGTAAGTTGGAAGCAAACATGGAGTTTAGTTTTTCTCTCGTTCGTAAGTTTCTATAAGTGCATTCAGGAACTTTGAGCCAGTATCATACAGCCAAAATTTTACTAGTAATTTGAAATTTTTTTTAGCACTGAGGGTTAAGAAAGGATATAAAAAAATGTCGAGCGTACAGTGCACACGTGGCAGAAAAATCAATAGCAGGAAAGCTGTTGTGAACAGTGAATATATTCATTCTTAGGAGAAGTTAACCGCTAACTACGTATTGCGTTTGCAACCGCATTGCTGTAAAGCATGATTCGGCATTCTAATGTAAATACAGTAGTAGCACTGTAATATTAACAACCCGGTCAACCCGATAATAAACTATTACTAAATAATAGTAAAATAACTAAATAAATTATTTAAAAAAATAAGTAAGCCTGATAAATAGGATGCGCATGGTTAAAATCATGCCTTGCGTGACAATACCACGACCATGGCCTTTTGCACAATCCACTCGTGTAGACCGGCATGCGGCCGGAACCAGCATTCTGCCGTACCCGTGCCGCTGACAGCGCTGATATTGGGTACATCCGCTTGCACGACGAACGGACTGCGGATTGCACGATTCACCTCCAATGCCCCGTTTTTCTTCCCATCGACGAGCGGACCATGGGGCCGGAGTAGCCCGTACGGTGCTTCGTCCGGCCAGTACAGCAACCGGCCGTTGTGACGGAACATAACATGGTTCTGCAGGAGGTCATTCTTTATGACTTGCGGTGACAGCGGCAGGCGCAATGCACAACTGATGATCAGGGTGTCCCCTTCGGTAACCCGCTGATCCGGCATCGGGGTCTGGAACACCTGGGTGGCGCGGGTAACCCGCGGCAGCAGCGTGTAGCGTTTGATGGGGAGGGAGTCGACGGTGTTGACGCAGGCGACCGATCCGCTGGACAGGAAAGAGATATGACTGATGCGGAAGAGCATCAGCGTGTCCACGTGACTGAAGCTGTACTCCTGGCCATCCTGCTCCGGCACCGGCTGGCCGCGTTCAAAGACAACACGGTCCTGGTGCAGCCAGGACACCGCGTTCGACGGCGTCCCCGGCGGCAGCACACAGCTGAACGTCACATTGCCACCCAGGTGTGGACGCTGCAGTGCTTCTGGATCGTAGGCCGGCCACGGCAGCGCGCCGGCTGTTCCTGGACTATGGTCAAAAGGCAGGACCACCAGGTCGTCCACCTGATGGCGTAGACCTTCCGCAATTATGTCATCCACTACAACAAATGTTTCGCATTTAATAGTACTGTGTACATTGGCGAGTGTCGCCATCACTATCGCCATTGGGCAAAAGTTTGGAACAGCACACAGGTGAAAAACGTTCAGAAGAGTTTGCGCTAAAGTTTATCTCTGGAGATGCAGCGGGGAAACGCGGCATCAGCTTTGGGAACAATGGAAGGAGCAGAAAAGTTCAATGAAGTTTTAATGTTGTAAAAAACTGATGTTTTCCAATATTGCGTAAAGCGTTGTACCTCGGGTAAATAAAGGCTGGGCGAGCTTCGCTCAGTAAAAACACTCAAAGGATGAATGTGTCCAAATTAACATGAGATGGGACTGTATACACAAAACACTCATAGCATTACCACACATTATTTCCAAGTTAGACGTGGAAACAAAAAACAAGTAGAGCGACTCTCCCTGCAATAATTTATGGATGGCGTCAGTCACATAGATGGCTTCGATAGCATTATATGGCGCATGACGCAGCACATTACCTGGAACACTTTACACTGGTACAACTTACATCGCCCTTTTTGGGAGGGACTGCAGCATCCACAGAGCGAAATGACTGCCCAGAGCAGAACCATATACCGGGTGGCCATTACGATCAGGATCATACGATGACCATGAATACGTGGTTATAAAAACTTCATAACCAATCAGGACCGATTAACAAGGGGCTTTTCATCTCTGCCCCTTAGTTCCCTAGCAAGGGAACAGCACCTGCTGATTTTCAATAATTGGTTTTTTCCACCAGCTTCTTTGAAAATTATTGGTATGCGTTGTCTAGACAACAATCGGTTCGTGCACATTCTGGCCAAGTTTAGTGACAGCCGACAGGTAAACTTACAATTTTGCGTTTTGTTTGGAAATTATGGTACGTGACTCGTGAGTGACTGGTACATGAAGAAGTATGGCCCGAGTGGTCGCGGAATATGATGGCATGACCTTAGTTCCTGTGCGTAATGGTTAAGCGGCTGTTTGGGACGCAACATGCTGGGATACGGTGGCCGCGTCTCACGTGCACGCTAGCTCGATGAAAGCCGGGAGCGTGGCGCAACTGACTGAAAACAGCAAGCGGTAGAAGTACTGTAGCGGCGGTCACAAGTTAGACCACAGAGTGTGGTGCACGGAAATTTGCATAAGTACTGCCCGGTGCACAAGGCAGCGTGTGTAAATTTCGTTGAGAGAATGGGATATCTTTTGTATCCGCTGGCGGTCGAGACGTGAGGAACTTTTGGTAAGCGAAGCGAAGGTCTTCTGTGTTAAGCCAAACGGGACCTTTTATCGGTCAAGTCGGTCACGCACTATTCTGTCCGTTGGTCACACACGGGCAAATTAAAATTACCGCAATTAGCATAAGACTAACGGGATTTATAACAGTTGCATGATAGCATCCGAGGTTTTGTTCGTACATGTTACGCCGAGGCCTATAGGTTATATGGACCCATGGTAGCAATAATATGCGCTTTTTTAGAACCCTCCGTCACCGTGAGGCGAAAAAAAGCGAAACGAGTGAAAAACTTTTGCGACATTGCAGTGGTTATAAGTCACTTATAACATACATTACCGCGTTTGAATCGGTTCATCTGTTCGCGCAAAAGCTTCTGTCCTCTGCCTATCCTGTACATTTATTTAGGTACTTACTGAATAATTATGGTAGTCAAACTTTAATTTAGGTATTTAGGTGCTTACGATTAATGTAGCACATTAATTAATTATGATAGTGTATGTACATACGAGTACATTATTAAAGAATAACTAGATCGCGTAAATATATTTTGTACGTCGACAATAACTGCTACATTAGAGGAAATTTTCTTGTTATAGCGGGATATAGTCAGCAGTTATTGTAGCAGTTATGTTTGTTACTTGAGATATACAGGGAAGAAAGTGTTGTTTAAGTATTGTACTGTAGTTTTGCAGTCCATTGAACTTTTTTGCTTTTCATCTGTTTTAGAACTGCGCATAATGCACAATCTTTCGAAAATATTGCACATTACATTAAATTCTAGCAGTGAAAAATTGTCGTTCAATAAAATTAATTACCCGTGCAACTGCTTAATTAACTGCATGATAATTAACAGAATGATAATGATAATATTTTTAATAGGCAATAAATAGCCATCAAGAAAACAAAAAATGGTAGCGCGGGCACGCTACTTCAGTTTAAATTTAAACATTAGAAAAACAACTAAAATCTCTGTCTCTCCCTCTACCCGAGCTGTTATCCGAGCTGCAATAATGACTAGCTAATTGACTGACCTTTAGCGGGAATTGCTAATCGGAGCGCTTGGTGAGATAGACCACCACCTGGTAGAAGGCGAACGTAGATGATCAGTTTCGGAGTGCAGCGCTGTTCAAACAGCCGGTGAGAGTGGAAAATGCGGTGCAGCTGATGCAGCGTCTTCCCAGTGATCCCATGGAAATCGGAAATCGGAAATACTTATCCCATGGACGCGGAAGCTGCCGTAAAGATGCCGGCCGCAAGGTAGTCGTTAAGCGGTCTTGATTGTACCGGTTGAAAAGTGCACTGCAATGCACCATGGTAAACACTAAGCACATGCAAGAAAACCGGCTTGGAAAGTTTTGTAAGTAAGCTGGAAAATGATTTCCAGCGAAGTGCCGAGGAATCAACAAATACTTCGGTAGAAATTGTTAGTAAACCCCTCCGGGCGACGCAGCGAACGCCAGCACCTACCATAGCTTGCGTGATCAGCGGAAAACGGTGTGGTCTGTCTTAACCGTGATTTCCAAATGTTGCACATAATAAACGGCACACGGTATTTTGTCAACAGCCGTTAACGATGGAAAAATTGACAGCTATACATACAGCCACCATGGACGTCTTTCGTACAAGGAATTACAGTAATAAGTAACTTTAATCAGTATGTTTTACAAAAGGCAACGCACGATCTACATGTACTAGTATATGAAAAATCCATTCCAATTAACGTGAGATGAACAGTTCCCAAAATACTCTGAGCATTACCACGCTGAATCAGGAGACTTAAACGTTGAAACGTACAAGGAACTGCACAGCGTTTATCAGCGCGCTATTGTTACTGGCGCATTGTTTATCGATCAGGTATTCATGGATTCAGCACCGTACAGAACAATAAATTATCCCACAAAACCAAAAAAATAGATTAACGTATACTCTATACCACAGAAGAATCTTGTCATTAGTATCTTTTGTTATAAATCTTGTCTTTAGTAGCACTGAGTTCGTACTTACATGTGATGTGTGAGTACATGTGATACTTATTAAAGGTCGTTATACGATTATATTGCATAAAACCCAAGTGTTGCCCTACCGTATAAAACGAAATAATACTGTGGAACCCATAATTTATTTGTAAAAGCAACTACATGGCCGCTCGATTTGCCGAATTTGGGTGAGCATAATTCGTTCTTGTAAGTGAGTATTGTGGTGTATTGTTGCTAAGCAGACAGATTATGAAGTTGTGTTACAATTGCAATGTTTACAATCAGAATGATTCTGGCGAGCTGGCGTACTGTACAAGTCATATTAATTATTAAAGTGTATTACTTAATACATGACATCTGGCGTGAAAGGATAGTCGTATTCCACAAACCATGTCTACTGAAAAGAAAGCGCAGAATCTGATACGGTTTAACCCGGACCAGCTACCATGGACATCATGGAAGTCGTTGTTAAAGAACTATTTTGCCCTTGCGGAAATAGCCGCCACGAAACAGAAAGAAGTGCTGCTGAACAGTCTGGAAGTCCGAGCCTTCCAAGACCTTGTCAGCGCCTGTCGACCAAAGGAGCCTACGGAGCTGTCGTACGATGAGCTTATCAAGAAGCTGGACGATACGTACATAAAGGTCACCTACCAAACGACTGAATGGGCCTCGTTTTTCTCTACTCGACAGAAATCCAGCCAATCGCTAGTGGCTTTCTCTAACGAACTACGGGATAAAACTTACACATGTAAGTTTCCTGGGACGTTGTTGGAGGATTTACTCAGCTCAGTGTTTGTGGCTGGAGTGTACAGCGATACCACGAGGCGCCATCTCATGTCGCAAGAGCTTAAGTCCTTCGACGAGACACTGCAGATCGCAAAACGGTTTGAGACTGGCCAGGAAGAGGCCAAGGTCAACAACAACCTCCAAGAAGACATCGTGAAGGCGACCTCATCCCGTCGAAGCTTCAAGCCAAATGGTGGTGCCAAAGCCAAGCGAGCTCCAAACAGCGGTGGCGGCAAAGCGTGCTATCGGTGTGGAAACACGAACCACGACCAAGAGCAATGTCGGTTCAAGGACCAGAACTGTCGCAATTGTGGCAAGGCCGGCCATATTGCGCGGGTCTGCAAGTCCAAACAGGCAAGCGGATATCAAGGAGGGCAACGCGGTAGCGGGAGCAGCCGGACAGGAGCCGTGTACGACATTCTGCACACTAGCTCGCCAGACGGAAACCCGATGCAGATGTGCATCAAGGTCAACGGACGGTCAGTAACTTTTGAACTGGACACCGGATCCGGGAAGACCATTGCATCAAGGCAAATGTGGCAATCAGTGGGATCACCTAAACTGTCCCCATACAAAGGATTGCTGCGCAGTTTCACTGGCCACACAATACGAGTACTAGGCGTGTGCAAGGTGAACGCAGAGCACCGGAACAGCACAGCCAGTGACCTTGAGATGATAGTGGCTGATAAGGGCGGCGGGATCTTGGGAAGAGACTGGATCCGCGCGCTAAACATGGGCGACCTGAAGTTCAGCGAATTGTCAACGTCAGCCGTTCACACGGTGGCGGAACCGGACACGCTGGAAAGTATCCTCGCGCAGAACAAGGAACTGTTCCGGGATGAGCTAGGATGCTGCCGGACATTTCAAGCGCATCTATACCTGAAGCCAGGCGCCATACCGAAGTTCTGCAAACCACGCCCAGTGCCGTTCGCGCTCAGACAACCAGTGGAAGAAGACTTGGAGCGTTTGGTACGACTGGGAGTGTTGGTCAAGGTCGATCGGGCAAAGTGGGCCGCACCAATTGTGATAGTCCGTAGAGTGAAACGGAAAGTGCGAACATGTGCCGACTTGAGCACAGGGCTAAACGACGCGCTGGATATACAGAGATATCCGCTGCCTCTGCCCGATGAACTGTTTGCAGTACTGAACGGAGGCGAAGAATTTACGACAATAGACATGTCTGATGCGTACCATCAAGTTCCGCTGGATGAGGAAAGCAGCTGGTTGGTGGTGATCAATACGCACCGTGGTCTATTCCGCTACACACGACTGCCATTCGGTGTGGCGGCAGCACCCAGCATATTCCAGCAACTGATGGAAAGTATGCTTAGTGGTATCGATTACCTGGCGATATTCCAAGATGATGTCATCGTCACGGGACGGAACCGGAAGGAGCATCTCGGAAATGTGACGCAAACACTAACGCGCATGAGGGAACAAGGATTCACACTGAAGGCAGAGAAGTGTCACTTTCTCCAAGCCTCAGTGGAGTATCTCGGATTCGTGGTGGATAAGCACGGGCGCCACGTATCCGTCAGCAAGGTACAGGCCATACTGGATATGCCGGCACCGGAAGACGTTCAGCAGCTCCGGTCATTCTTAGGAATGATCAACCACTACAGCCGATTCATCGCTCAGCTAGCAACGAAAACTTACTGTATGAATTCGTTGCTGAAAGCGGATGTCGATTGGGCGTGGTCACGGGAGTGTGAATCTGCCTTCCAAGGCCTGAAGAAAGAGCTGGCGGAGGCAACGATGCTGGTCCACTACGATCCAGCAAAGCCACTGATACTAGCAGCTGATGCATCACAGTATGGCATTGGCGCAGTGATCAGCCACCGCGGCCCGGAGGTGAAGACCGCCCCATTGCGCATGCGTCGAAAACACTGACCGAAACGGAGCAGCGGTACGCCCAGATTGAAAAAGAGGCGCTGGCTCTGGTCTTCGGAGTGAAGAAATTTGACCAGTATCTGGCCGGACGCGAGTTCGTATTACTCACCGACCATAAGCCACTGGTCACGATATTCGGAAGTAAAGCCGGAATCCCGATCGTGTCAGCAAACAGACTGCAGCGATGGGCAGTGGCACTGATGGGATACAGCTTCCGGATTGAATACCGGTCAACAGCGGACTTCGGGCAAGCTGATGGACTCAGTAGGTTGCCGCTGCACTCCAAAGACATGTTCGATGTCAACGATTGGGGAATGAGTGAAGTGGTGCACCAAATCGACGTTGAGCAGTTGTCCGAAACACCTGTCGACGCACGGAAGATTGCGTCAGCGACCGGTAAAGATCCGCTTCTTGCGCGCTGCAGACATCTGGTACTGTCCGGATGGCCAGATAAGGCTCCAGCAGATATCCAGCCATACTACCAGCGCCGATTTCAGTTGTCGGTGGTCAGTGGTTGCGTGGTTTGGGGAGCAAGGACAGTGATTCCAACCGCCCTCAGGACGCAGCTACTGAATTATCTGCATCAGACCCATGCAGGTGTAGTCAGGATGAAGGCGGAAGCGCGCAGTCACTTCTGGTGGCCAGGAATGGACGGCGACATTGAACGCCTGTCTCAGAACTGTCCACAGTGCAGCCTGGCATCAAAGAGACACCAAAAGTCCCCTGCAGCAATGGCCGATAGCGGAGCGTGCGTGGGAACGTGTCCACATGGATTTCGCGGGACCGTTTCGTAACGAAATGTTCCTGATCATCGTGGACAGTTTCTCCAAATGGCCAGAGGTGATCAGAATGAGGCGCACCCAGTCAGCGGATGTCATTGCCGTAATGGAAAACCTGTGCGTGCGCTATGGGTATCCCAGACAGTTGGTAACGGACAATGGGCCGCAGTTTACCTCGGCGGAATTCAGTGATTACTGTCAACGTAACGGAATCAAGCACCTGCGCACGGCTCCAGGACATCCGCAGTCAAACGGGCAGGCGGAGCGGTATGTCGGTTCGTTCAAAGACGCCATGACAAAGATGTTGGCTGCCGGGAAAACCGATCTCGACGAAGCCATACGGCAGTACCTGCTTCGCTACCGTACGACACCGCAGTCAACAACCGGAAGTCCACCGGATGAACTGTTTCTCAACCGACGGCTGCGAACAGCACTGGATCGCATTCATCCAGATGTGAATGAGAAGCGAGTCGCAAACCAGGCTCGTTATAAAGAGCAGTTCGATCAGCACACGAAGGCGAAGGAGTTTAGCCCTGGTCAGAAGGTCATCGTTCGCGATTACCGCCATGGGCCGAAAACAAACTGGACAGCTGGGAAACTAATCAGCAGGAAAGGTCAACGTCAGTGGATAGTCACAGTTGATGGTGATCAGTGGGTCAGGCATGAAGACCAGATCAAACTCAGACACTGGAGAAGCGACAACGAAGAGCCAAATGATGTAACCGCACTGCCAGAAATCCCAAAACAACTGGCAGAAACGACATCGAGCGCGAGTATGAAAACTGCTGAACCAGAAGTACCAGCAGCAGTAACTGTGAAGCCAGAACCTGAGATTCCAGCTGTACCGGAAGCGATAACGAATCCGCAACCGCTACCACAAGCGACAAATGCGGAACAGCCAGCATTACGCCAGTCTACAAGAGTGACGAAGGTTCCCGATCGATATGGATATGAAAAGGGAAAAATGTAGCGAAAAAAGTTTTTTGTAACGGAGAGAGGAGATGTGGTGTATTGTTGCTAAGCAGACAGATTATGAAGTTGTGTTACAATTGCAATGTTTACAATCAGAATGATTCTGGCGAGCTGGCGTACTGTACAAGTCATATTAATTATTAAAGTGTATTACTTAATACATGACAAGTATTGTACCATACATAAGCGCATCCGCATAAAAAGTGAGCAGATACCCGAGTAGCTTGGCACTTGGCCGACGCCGTGGTCGTGCCTAACAAATGCATCTGACAAACATAAACGCCTAGCCGGTGATCCGGTGTTTTCCCTATTCTGGTCAACGCAATCATTGCTGATTTGGGCGACCTTACAACCTTTTCCAGTCTATACTGTGCAACAGCTCCCTGGAAGCAGTAATGTAAGCAACTGAGATAACAGCATCGCCGGTCAAAAATGCATCGATCAAAAAGCGCCGCGGCGGAAAGCGTAAGGGGTTTCTTCAGCGTCATATAAGCTGCAACGATGGACTCAGGATCCACAGGTACCGGTCCTTCATATCAGAAGAAACCGTGCCAAGCAACTCATGAAGCCTGTTCTCCCGCCAGCAAAATACCGCAGTTAGCCGGATCATTGTCGTTCAAGCCGGTTGCAACTTAGCAGATGTGTGGTGGTTTAGAGCAGCGGAGCAGGTGCTATAAGTTACTTATTATTCGAATCGTCTTAAATTGCTGTCATTACCAAGTAAGAAAACATCAGCAAATTTGTTTGGCAGCACAAATGCGCGATGCGCAAAGAGCAAAGTATGACATTTGTCTGCCGCTAGCGACTAGTTTAATCAAATGTGAAACGGAAATCAGACTAGTGCAGATCAATGTTATGGATAATGGAGACATGGTGTTACCTAGTAGCTAGTATTTTGATGACTATAGTCTCTTAGCTAAGAGCAAATTCACACAAAAGATTGCTGCAGCCAGAATTCGGAGCGATTAAGACGCAATGGCAGTATATAATAACAGGCTTAAAGACAGCGTACACCGTACAGAATGTATAGTTACCACGTCTCACTTCTTCATTAAATTTTCTTGCTCAGTCGCTCTGAACAATGAGCGAAGTGAACTTTATATGCGATTGTTCGAATTCCTCGGCCACTGCACGGCTATCGACGCCAAGCTGTGAAGACGATTTCTGGATCGACGTGCTTCAGGACACAGTCTCTGGCGGCATTGGCGCTGTCATTGGGGCCATTATAACTGCCGTTCCGTGGTGTGCCTATCACATCTACAAATGGTGCCAACAACGCAAAGAACGGCAGAATCATGGTTATGAGCCCGAAGCGGCTGGTGCGAATGCAAATAATGAAGCGGTTCCACTCCACGACCTCACCGACAGGGAGTAGCACCCTTTGCCTTAACAGCACCGTTCAGCACAGCACAAGTCCCTGGCCCGTTAACCGACGCGAAACCCAGGCAACCGGGTAACTACATATACACCACCCGGCAAAATTTCTCTCAAGAGTGAGTCAATTACACCACGGTATTTAAAAGGCAGAGGGAAATTATCCCAGTTTTGTTTAGATCAATTAATCGTTTTACAGCCTTTACATTTAGCCATCTTCGTGCTGCAGGGTGGCAGGTTTTCGCTTGGTAAAAATTGTTTGACATCTTTTCTCTGTACAGATACTCTATATCACATGTACGGATGTTACTTTAAATAAAACTGTTAGCATTTAAAATAAACTGTTAGCAGAACTGCATGAGAACTAGCAGGGTGGCTTATATACTCTGTTGTTTCTTCGGTCTCGGTTAATAAAAACATTTAAATGTAAGAATTTAGGCAGGTGTTCATTTTTCCAGGTGTATTTACTGTAGAAGCTGTATGTCGAGGCAAGATATACTATGTCAAGAACTTACTATAGGTAGAGGACTGGGAAGCGACTCTGCAACGGTCGACTACGTCATCACTGTCGCATACAGAATGCACTGGTGTGCTATTGCTTACCATAGGCCCACAGATTTTATTGTCCCTTTTTAAAGATATTCTCAGTTCCTTTCTCCTCTAAAGCTTTCTGATATTTTAACAGATCATATTGAATTTAGAAACCCAAACATGAGGGGCTAGAAATAGAAGAGAAAAGAAATATGCTGAGAAAACTGACAAAAACCGTAAAAAACGCGCATCTGTCACCATGGCAGGCGCCTTCCCGTGTATGCGAGAGTGATGACGTCAAACGGTAGGTTACCAGTCCTCCTCACACTATAGTAAGTACTTGACTATGTATATTGCATTATGGGTAATATCACAATTCAGTTGATTCGGGTAATGATAGTTAGTGATATTGTTCTAGTTGCTGGATAGTAGTGGACTGGTTACAGTATTGGTGTCGGTGATGGTGGTGATAGTCGAACGGGAACTGGTTAAATGGTTAGTTACTGGTTAAATGGTTGGTTATATAAATTTGCAGTTTTTCCCGTTCTGCAGCAGTTTTTTTGTTTACTTCGGTCTAACAGTGCTAAAAGCGGTGCACTTCCCTAGTGAACCGTATTTTTATATTTCCTAAATTTGGTAAATTCCGTAAGTTCAAAGTTCAAACTGTTGGTTTGTTTCTTAATGGATTAACAACTACTCAAAGTTGGCTCAAATGACGTTTTGTTTCACTATACGTAGCTTTATTGTTTGCAAGTACTAATGTCGTAATAATGCGTAACATTACGCACTGTAACTGTCATATGGATAATGACCGCGTAGGACTTTTTCTAAATGCTAATATATTATTTAGAAAACATGCCATCAGTTTGAAAGACTTTTACTACGTTTTAACTTTTATTTAACACACATACACAGACACACGAAACTTAGCGTCACTGAGTTATTTTAATACGACCCACGAAGGGCAGCGAAAATAAACGTAATAATTATTTTTACTATATTTAATCATTTGCGGTGTCGCTAAAAGCACCGACCGCGCCGGCAAACACATTTTAACAACAGCTGAAAATCAGGTACTGTCGACTGATGAGCGTGAAATACAGTATCGTGCACACAATGACAATACAGGCTTAATTAGATGCCCTTAGGGACAGGCAATGTATCCGGAGAAGACAAACAGTCCGGAGCGGTTGTGGCGAACATCGAAGAGGAATGGCCGGTCGAAGACCAGATGAACCTTTTCCTTGCTGCTGGGGCTCTTGCTGACCTGCTTCGGTCCGTAATCGTGCGACTGGTGGGGATGGTCACGACCGTCGGTCTTGCCGCCGTAGACATCCGGTGGGGAGGTCAGTTTCAGCGAGCCCTTCTGGTCCACAAACGTCCCGTCCTCGTCCACTTCTGTCAACAGCAAAAGGGCGTTTGAACGCACAGATTTACGTACTCAAGTACCGGGTGGCTGAACAAAATGGCGGTCTGTTTTACCAGAGCGCGCTGGGTCTGCCAGATGCTTGACTGACATCGTTTTTATTTCATTCGAAAGAGCAATGTTTTCAGCATATGTAAGTGAAATTAAACTGACAATATACAAACGTTTGACTTTTTTTATTAATTGTTTCGAAAAAGTAGGCAGGATTGCGGTTGGCCAGGAAACGAATATTCGAATTTACCCATTTTTAAACAAAAATTGCTGCTGTTCGGTTAAGGACATTTATGTACCTCACGTTACTATTTCGGATAGAGGGGTTGTTTGTAGTTTTTCTACTGTAGGGATCAGCAAAATTTCAGCAACTGCGTTTGGCCAATACAAGGAATAATCTAGCGTCCGAACGAGTAACTCTCATGAAATTCGCAAGCAGGGTTTTTGAAAGCTAATTGCTGGTCACTGTTTAAAGGGCTTATCTAGTTCGGTCTTATTCCTGCAAGGGCAATGTGCTAGCTACATATAAAACTTAAACCGGCATTTTTTGCTGCATCCTCTCGTGCAGCCAAAAATTTAAAAAAAATGCCCATACAAATCAAATTAAAAATCGGCATTTTTTAGAAAAGTCAAAAAGTGCGCTGCGGAATAACTCGTTGAGCGCATGCAGCATGTCCAGAACTTTTTTACTACTGAAAGAAGGCAAATTTTTCTAGACGAAATGGTTGAAAATATTCAAAACGTCCTTGCGGGAAAGAAATGCCGTGAGATTCTAAGTTTTGGGAGCTGGCCAAAATATATTTCGACATGACTTTAGTTGACACCATTTAAAACGAGTACCGCTAATGTTTTTTGTAAACGTTTTGCTGTTTTAAATAGCCAATAAAATTGTCTATCTAACGATTCCAAGGAGTTAACGGTGGGACGAGAGGTTTTCGAGCGACACATTAAAAACGGAGCCCGCCATTTTGTTCAGCCACCCGGTATATACGTTCTACCACCCAAATTAATGTGTAGCAATTATTTTTGTCTAACAAGACTATTATTTTTAATTAAGCATTAATACGTCGAGCCAGCCATTTTAATAGATACTTCGTATTTAAGCGGAAATTACTTTGTAATACAATACGGCGAAGAATAAATTTACATGTATATTGACATAATTGGGATTATGTTGTATGACTTTACTGTGCGTTTGTACGAGTGTTCCCGGTTGTACTAGCGATGACGTATGATCCGGTAGCCTCCGTTCTTATCGGTAGCCTCCGATCAGAAGCTGCGCTTCGTCGTCGGCTAGCATTCAGTAGTTACGGTGTGACTGAGTTGGAGTGAACATCAATAAGATTAAAACGAGTAACATCATCTTAGTCCTGTTGGTGTTTGTGCTGTGAGTGACCTTCGTTTAGGGAAAGCAGTAGTGTGTACCTAGGCGGAAGTTACTGTGTGGTATTCCTGTAGTGTGGTGAGAGTGTGGTTTGTGGCACCTGTTGTCTGCGGAAGTAGGCAACAGAACCAACACCAATCTCCAGAGTTCCTTCTCTGCTGACTGCGGTCAGGTTGGTCATAGTACACGCGGTGCGTGTATTATGTCAATATATTTGTATATAGATATACATGTGGATTTAATTTACAAGTAAATATTTAAACAAAATATAAATTATTTAACTACATGTAAATATTTAATATCTGGTTAAATTTACTTGTAAATATTGTATAGTTTTCTTAATACACTTGTACAAGCAGAATGCCATTCTCACTTAAGCTCAAAATGTCAGCTGGCTAGAACAAATAAAATAACTCTTCCAGTACTTTAGAACAAGCAACAGCACCGAAAACGGAAGCCGCATTTCCGCGCTGAATCACTACACTTATACGCTGCCACAAAAACCAAATATTTATATACAGAATATTTATATATATGTAAATATTTATATATAGATATAGGTATCATATACATTTGGATTCTGTACTGACCAATAGCGGCCTTGTGGAAGCCTTCACCGACCCTAACCGGTTCATTATTTCCACTCAGCTGCTCGTAACCGGCGTCGTCCTTAATGGTATCCTGGCAGCCGAGTTCCTTCAGCAGCGAATGAATCCCGAAGGTGCACTGCACGAAGAATTTGGGCAGCGCCAGCTGGACGGTGCGCATGCGTTTATGCATGTTGAAATCCCGGCGGTCTTCCACGGTGAGGAAGCGCGTCATATCGTCCACGGATTTATGGCGCAGTTTGTTGTTATAGTGGCTGCCGTCGCCGTGGCGGTTGAAGTCGCAGGGCATAACCAGGATGAGGGAGGCGCTGTTCTCGTAGTACGGCAGCTCCAGCATGCAGCACTCCTTCGACATGTCCTCGTAATACGGGAATTCGTAGGTTAGTGTCATGAACTTGGCTTGTTGCAGAGCGCCGGTCTCCGTGTAGAAACTGCCCCAGTATGTCAGATTGCGGTCGAACGGCACCTGGCACGACAGAGAAATTTTTCATTAGTATCAAGGTGCGTGGACGATTTTTCGCACGAACAAATTTCAGAAAATGGTTTCTGGATCAGAAAGATTCGCTTAATATTATTACATTGAGAAGATTTGGCTGCAAAAAAAGTACAAGATAAATGGCTGTCTCGTGTACTTCTTGAAAATACACATATCAACCGGAAATAATCACTTTACCAGCGCCAGCTTACGCTCGATGTACACTGTACTTTAACGTCAACGTTTGGTGTAAAATTCTTCACAAATATATGCACCTAAAATGATCTGTTGTAGACAGAAGTCAAAGTACAAATTAAATCATCTGGATACAAGAGTCATCAATATAATTATGCGAAATAATATATGGGGGAGCGCGGCGGCGAAGTTTTCGTGTTTGCTCGCGAAGATAGTGCCATTTACGTACCGGGTCACTTCTTTTAAAAAATGTAAAAAAGAAATCTCGATAATTTGGAATTTATTGTAAGCTGTCTGAAATACTTAAGGTGAAAGTTTAAACTGATAAAATTAATGCGAGTACTGATTATAATATTGCTGCTGCCTCGAATTGGGCTCTTGTCCTGAATGTGTGCGGACGTTAAACCATTACAACCCCAACCTTGAAGGAGAAGGCATCACTCAAAAGTGGGGTCTACTGTGAGCAGATTTACTTTTCAAGAAAGCAAACACCCAAATCCAAACAAAATACGTACATCGATTAAGTGCTGTATATACAAAATGAGTACCTGCCAGTGGGCGGTGTAGAACGCCGCATTGGCCACGAAAGCACGCAGTCCGGTATAGTCGGCGTCGACCATCTCCAGCGGGACTTCCGGGTCCAGTTCCGTCTGGTCTACCTCGCCCAGAGAACGCTCCAGATCGAGCAGCAGCCGGCGCGGATCGCCGGTGTTCAGGTCGACGAATTCGTGCTCAACATGCAGGTACTTGCTGATGTCCTGCAGGTATTCGGGACTGGTCTCCAGAGCCTTGTGCAGCAGGAGCTTGTGGAGGAAGTACATGTGGAAAGGGGCCCGGAATTTCTGCTCGAGTTCCTCCGTGCCGCCGGGATACACGCTGACGCGACGCCGTTTGGTCAGCGGATCTTTAGACAACTGCATCATGGCTTCCCTACAAAATACCGACCGTTAAATTAGACATGGAACTTTATAATGTTATCACCTGTACGCTTTTCGATTTTTAAAATAAATTTTAAAATTTCTGAAATCCATTTTAAACTTGAAAAATTTTCTATAACAACCTGCATATTTATGTGCGTTTATGTGCACAATAATATACAAATGTACAACAGAGCGATACATAGTGAGACTTTTGGTACGTACAACTGAATGCGTTTACACTTTTGGTAATTTTCTTATACAGTAATAACATATATTTCCCCAGCTGGATGTACAGAGTACGTATGTTGTGCGCTCAACCTTTTACGCCAATATATCTATAGACTATATATACCAATCGCTGTCAGAAAAAAAATGCAAAAAAGCATTTATGAGTGCGCGAAAGTGAAATTTTTCGTACATGTCCTCGAATTGGGTATAATTTACCGGGATAATTTCGTTTCGGGTCTACAAGCTTGTCTCAAAGTGGGGCTATGAAGCATGAACGATTGTCACCGCATTATGTCTACCATTATGACAAATTCTGGCCTCAAAACATAATAGTACCTTTTGAGGTTATATCTAAAAAGATATTACATATTTACAGTATCTTTTTTTTATAAAGGGCAAGATTTAATACTTTAGAAATTATATTGATAGTTCATAATTTAGATCGATATCTGGCATGCATCAGCCATGCCAAATGCATGGACAGCAATGTCACAGCATAAATAGTGTGGCGGTGCGCGCCGTACTATGCAGTTAGGGCGTTACCCGTGACTCTGGGTTTACCACTGTGTTAATGCGATAGAAATTACGAGACAAACTTATACTTTCTTTATCTATCAGGGCTCCTGCCTAACCTGCACGTTTCGGCTAGAGCCTGGAGCGATTTCAATTTGATTGTTTCGGCGTTTGTGAAGGACCAAAATTCCTGACCACAACACTGGCTGAGAAAAGCCGTCGCATATTATGGCGGCCCAACGAAGTGCCCCGAGGGTGCGGTGCGAACATATAGCCGGCACTGCATTGTTCAGCCGAAATCAGCGGTGAGTGGTTGTATAAAAACGGTTACATAAGGATCGGCTGTAACAATCAAGTTCAAGGCTACCAGCAGCAGCATTGTAATGACGCGCCCATCTTTTTGTTTGTATTCTTCGGTAGGAAGAAAGTGGGAAGAAAGGCGGATACAGAATGCGCATCAACAAGAACAGAATTAAAAATTTATGGTAGAAACTTGCACAGTGCATAGGTCGGTAGACTCGGTACTGTCCTTCTTTTTAAATTTTTGAAGGACGCTGCGAGATTTTGCAAGTATCCGCCACATAAATTTCTCCGTTATTGCACACACAAAAAAGCAGGAACAAATCCATAAAAGTACGGTAAAAATCGTAGTAATGAAGTAAGTATTGCTTGACAAAAAGTGCTGAATTCACCGCGTGAAATATTCCTATAATTAAACCTTTTCTAGGCTTGGGCAAAATATTGGATGGGCGTAGCTTTGTCACTTTTGTACGTATATCATTAATTTTATCGATTACGTACGTACAATTAATTTTAAATTTTATATTACTATTATTATAATTATTATTACTAAATGTAAATGGAGAGAGACTTTAATGGGTTGTTCACAACAATTTAAGTCAAACACAACATCACGCATTACATCACTCACTTAATTAATCACGTAATCTAACGTATAATGTATATAAGGAATAATTTATATAACATATATATATATATAATGTGTGTAATGTATGATGTATTTAATGTATGTATAAAGTTATGTATAAATTTTGTTCAGTTCTTTAATCGGTGCACTGTATAGACGCGCGCATTTACCGGAAGGCCATGAGGACGTCCCGTTTTTTGCCGTGTCCCTGGAAGAGCTCCTGAAATCCCAGTTTGGCTTCCATTTTATTGCGGCAGATCTCGTTGGCCGCATGATAATAAACGCCGGCCACGCCGGTCAGAAACGAGAAGGGACACAGCACTACATTATCGATGGCACCATCGCCGCGCTCCTCCACGATGATATCCCGCGCCCCTCGCACCAACCGGTAGGCCATCTCGTTGGCCGGCTTCCGTAGATGCTCCATGATCTCGGGATAGGTAATCTCTACACCAGCGTTTTCTGCACAATCACAACAACAAATGCTAGTGATCGACTGCAAAATTAACGGACAAATAATAGCAATCGCTAGTCAGAGTAACGGCGACGTTTGTCTTAACCAGCGACAAATGCTTGTGCACACTGCCGAAGTGCAGCTGTACTTTGTCAGCAGTCGCCGGAGGACGCACGGAATGCAGTAATGGATCAAAAGGATTTGCCGGTTCCATCGGCATATCCTGTGGCAAAAAAAGCCACATTTGTCTTTTATCGAACTTTTAGCAGCTCATGCTTCTGCGCGCTTATATGTTAAGAATACTAGACCTATAATATGCGTGTCGCACTCTTTTTTATTAGGCCACCACCTAATAAAATATAGAAATTTACATATCAAAATAAACAAGTAAAACAATTTTTATCTTCCCCTGCGGCATTTTAATGTTGCAGGCGCACTAGATTTGGATAGAAATGCACGTTAAACTACATCTGCAGGATAGAAGTACTCGGATAAAATTCACTTGTACGTATCATGTCCGGCCACAGCCATGGTGCACAAATCAACACACTGGCGCAGATTTACACCAATTAAAATGTTTACGTATTTGTACGCACTGATTGTGCGCGTACATTGCGTTTACCATCCGGAAACGCTGCTTACATTACCTAAGGCGTAATTTGGTACCATGTTCTCTCAATATAACTCGTACAAGCCCATCCGGAAACAAAAGCACAAGTGTAAGCGGGAAGATTAGAAAGCGTTGGCTTAAGCCATTAGACAACTACGCCACGTTACGCCAATATTAAATTGACAGCACCGGTGTAAAAAAATTTAAAAAAATGCCTTCGGCATCAACATTCTTCATCATCAATATTCCTTAACTGTGATTACTCAACTTTTAACGTATATTCCCGGGTTTTAGTAGGATTTGGCCAGTCTCCTCTGTATCTCTTGTTATGTCGTTTTAATTTTCTTATTGAGTAATCTAGACTTAATAAGGAAATTTCTAGAATTTTTTTAATATGGATGTGTACCTGAATATGGATACTGTACATATAAAGCGGTGAGCGCCAAGCTTGCAATAGCTAGTCCACTCTGGTTTAGTCCACTGGAAGTCATCTAGCAGTCACTTGAATTTTGTTATATGATTGATCTTAATTTATTTAAATCTCAATAACAAAATGGAATCTCAACACCGTGCCCAACGAATGATTCACAATATTATCATCTAACTGCTAACAAAAAAATAAAAGCTATATATAGTGCGTCTCATCGCGACATGACACACCGATTAATAACAATCCCAGTGATAATCAACTTTAGAAAAATCCCGTTTCTCCAGATCTTCCGGTCGGATAAAGAAATTCGCCACTCCCCCGTCGCCCCATAAGATGCCGTTCGGTCCGTCACTGTCTAACTGGAACAAGAGCTCATAGCCGCGGAGCTCCGCACTGCCACTCCGGGGATCGTCCTGCGTGAAGCAGGGATACCCGCCAATCTGGTGTCCACCTGCCTGCAGAAACACACGAACCGCATCGCTGTCATACGTCTCCTCATCATCCCCAAAGATCTCCTCCCGACGGTAATCACAGCGCGTCATGTACTGCTGGAACGGCTGGAACTCCATCCTCAACGCGTCGTATTTCTCCAGCGGCCAGTGTAGCGGGGACTCTGTCCCGGACACCACATCCACGATAGTCTCATCGTCAATGCGGAATGGCATCTCGGTCTGCAGTTGCGAGGCGTCTTCGATGACGCCCGGGAAATACAGGACGCGATACGAATTTTGCTCAGTATTGGTGTTCCAAGGCTTTCCCATGTAGCTGTCCGTGGGATCGATGAAGAACTGGAGGGTTCCCTTGTCCGGATAGCCCGGGAGACGCGGTGTTTCGGCGAAGTTAATTTGCGCCAGTAAGCGTAATGGCTGGCCCGCAGAGCTGCGGGGATATTCCGCTGATTTAGGGAGGTACGGTGTTCCGCCTACTTTGCTCTGCCAAGGCTGCAGGTTTGCATCCGGGTGTAGTTCGATGTTTATGGCGTCCTTCATTGTCGCACGAATCTTATCAGCGAAGGGAGCCAGTTCGGGCGGAATCACGGGCAATGTCCGGGAAGCCATGGGAATGATGGGACTGGGGTTGGGGTGTACGGTGATTTTATGATACTGTTGTGTTTTCTTCCATCTTCTTCACATCATAATCAAATAGAAACTCGATTTTTACAGTCTATGGGTAGAGAGGCTAATATAGATCACAGAAACATAGCAAACGCGAATGCAGAACGATGCATTGTCAAAGCGATTAACCTGTAAATACAGAATTCACAATTGGTTTTTGAGTCGAGAAAAGTATAAGTACTTAATTATAAAAGCACAAGACTTTTTACGTATGCACAAACAGCGCACTCAGTCAGACTGCCGAGTGCAGACTCTGAGGGCCCGTTCACGCGTACACCTATCTATCTTAATTGCTTAGTGGGATGTGAGTTCAACCGGGGACAACCACCTAATTGCATTAGGTCCCAAAATTGCGTTCACGCAGCATACCTATGCTAACGTTAATTACCTAGCTCTTAATTGATAGATAGCAATGCGCGGCCTGAACAGTGCTTTCCTATCGAAAGGTACCTTTTCGTTTGCTCCGTAGGCACAATGGTTAAGACATATAGGAACCACTTGAGGTTCCTATGTGTATGGACATATACGCATTTCTGGTTAAAATGCTTTCAGAATGATTATGTGATGACCTAAAAAGATGTTTTGATTCAGGATATGACAACTTGCTCCGTTAATTACCATTGCAAAGTATTACCGTACTTTATCATGTAAAGCACATACAACCTATTTGCGTAAAGATCACATTTTAAACGAAGGCATGCATTTGCTTTAGACTTGTAAAGGCAAAACTGCAACAAGCGCACGGACACAGTTTGAATGCGCGCGATCTTTGTTTATAATTATTTTTTTAAAAACGAATTCTTTTAGCGGATTAATCCAATTAATCATTAGTTCGAGTCCGTTAGCTGGCAGACACAATGTATACGCTGTAAACATTTAACTGGGAAAGAGTTTTAATGAAGGAAATATCGCTGGGTGCCGTACTTACTGGTAAGTATTATTATTTGTGGTTGCACTTTGCAGGTAATAAATTTATCGCTTATGACAAATAGCTGTTGCCGGTTGGTGATGACAGTTGAAATAAAATAAAAGTTTTGTGATGTAATATTAGTTAATTTATTGAAGCATTGCCCATTTTACACTGCTTTGTAAATTGACTGTGGTGTGCAGTTCATATTCTTCTGCCAGTGTCACTGCAAATTTACTGTAATGGAATTCAATCACTTAATATTGCACGAAAATAATAATTATTATTATAAAGCGCTTACTACCTCTGCACGGCACGTAGGCACCCGCCCGCTGTATCGGCAACTGGCAACCGCCCACGGTAGCAGTAGGCAGCGATATAGGCACCCGCCCGCTGTAACGGTAGCAAATAGCCTCCCTGGGCGGCTGAGCGCTGCATAATGGCAAGCCGATATCAGGCGCATGGCAAGCCGAGATATTTAGCAATAAGCCCAACTGGATAAACTCGTGTCAGTTATATAGATTCGTAATTTCGTACATCCCTACGCCCTTATTTTTTGGAAATAATCTCCTAATTCGAGATTTAGTTTTCGATACTTTTGATAGTTTTATAAAATCCAGCGTTTTCAAAGATTCCTACCTGCAATTTGAAAAAAGTTTTGGTCTCCCGAAGGTTTCTAAAAACATTTCAAACTTCCAGTACTTAGCGTTTTCAGTTCATAGAAATTTTCAGTACCAAATTCAAGAAAACGTAGTAAATTTTGTCTGTATGCTGTCTAAAGTATCTGTATGTCTAAATATTTAAAAGCCGGCCCGTGTACCGTATTCATTTACGTAGCGGCTCTGTGATACTAGTGGCAGTTAATGCTTCGCATTTTTTATAACTACTGTACTAAATCTTTGATCTTCGTAAACATTAGAAGTGAAAAAAATAATTACCGTTCTGCGATTTTGCCGTTTTAATTTCGCGTTTCACTTAGATACGTAGATAGGCGACATGTGTTCACGCAGACCTAGCTGACTATCGGAAGCCCCTAAACAATAACTTTTATTGCACCTATTCAAAGGTGACTGTGTGAACGCAATTCTGCTCCCTATTTAGGTATCTATTTAGAAAAGCGTGCCGCGTTCACGCATACTGCTAAGAAACCGGCCGTTTTGGGCGGTGTCTCAACAGAAAAACTGATAGATAGAAGTCAGCGTGAATCCGGCCTGAGACTGCAGGCAGTGACAGGCTGCAAGTGCAAGCACGTGGCGGCGGGGAATAATAAACCCTGGGATGTACTGGAAATCATAAGTACTCGTACTGTATTTATATCATGAGTAAAAGTATAATTATTTTAATGCAACACGTAAGTACATTGTATATTTTAACTGCATGTCGTTTCATAATAGGCGATTGACTCCAAGCGCAAAACAGTCAACAGTCTACGTAATAAATGAAAATTTAACATTTAACTATCAAAACAAACAAGCCAGACAGACATAATCTTTATCTTCCTTCCGGCACTGTGCTGTTGCAGGCGCAAAGGATTTTGAAAGTGCTTGGAAGAAGTGCTTGGATAAAATTAATGTATCTCTCTCTTATAATATTGTGCGGCCACACTAGCCGTGGTGCTCAAATCTATACGCTGGCGTAGATTTACAGCAATTAAAATGTTTATGTATGCACTGATTGTGCGCGTACAGCGGGTTTACCATCCGAAAACGCTGCGTACACTAGCTATTAGGCTTAGGGCGGTACGGTGTTTTTACAATAATACAGTACTGTATATCTACATATATCAGTGTATGAAAGTACCCGTATATCAGCCGCCGCAGCAATACCACCGAGTAAATTTGGTTACAGTATCTGTATGTGGGAGGCCGGGTAAAGGTCAACCACGTGCTGTATAGTCAGCGAATGACTCGAGACCAGCAAAAGTCAGTGCCTGTACCTGGATAATATTTAGGTGCATGTTCGTGCTTAAATATTCGAGGCTGTTCGGTAATGATAATATCTATATTTAAAGCAAAGTCTGCCTCGGTTTACTTTTTTAACATAGCTTAGGCCTCTTGGGCATGTGTTTTTTTAACCCAGTTCATTACAGCCTTCCAGGCAGAAAACCAATACAGATAGATATGACTTTCTAAATATACTTACACGTATAGTACTTTCAAAAAGCCTATCGACAAATCGAGCATACAGGTAAGTATGTGCCGTAAATACCGCTGCAGTTACAAATTCGTGAGACAATTGTCCGTACGTTAGGTCGTATAATTCTTCATTTGTTGTTAATTTTTTAATACCTCTATTGCAGAGGACCTCAGTTTTCTTTCAGAAAGCAGTCAATCTGTACTGCTGGCGTTTTAAGGGAAGTGGCCCGGTGCATGGCACCAAAGTCGTGTACACGCACGAAATCTTTTACTTTCGCGCACTCCCAAGTCCTTTTTTTCTTGTTCTATGACATTCTGTAGCCAGATGACTTATATACACTAGCATGAAAACTGCTAGTGCGCGCAACATCCGGTTCGGGAGTTATGGCCGTTGGAAAGTTCCAAAAAAATTCAATGCATTCAGATGTACCAAAAGTCTCATTATGGACCGATCTTCTTCAAATTTTGCATGTAAATGCACATGGCCATGAAGATCGTTTTTGCACCGATCCAGACTTCCATGATTTTTAAAATTTGAAACACGTGCTAGAGCAGTGGATCGGTATAAAACCGATCTTCATGGTTATGCGCATTCACATGCAAAATGAGAGAGATCGGTACGTCCACAATAGACTTTTGGTACGAACGTACACCTGAATGCAGTTAAACTTTTTGGAATTTTCTAACGGCCGTAACTCCCGAGCAATAGGTTGCGCGCACAAACGGTTTTCACGCCAGTGTATACAAATCTTCTGGCTACAGAATGTCATAAACCGAAACAAAAATGCGTTTAGGAGTGCGCGAAAGCGAAAGTTCTCGTGCATGTACATGAATTTGATACCATGTACCGGGCCACTTCCCTTAATAATATTAGAAGCTTCAACCCCCAGTTGTGTCTGTCTCAACTCCCAGTTGTATTTGACAGTTAATCCAGTTTGTCTGAATTTGACTGCCCTTGAAGTCTTGAACTGAGCGTCCCCATAGCGGAATATATGCGGACAGACCCAGTACTGGCCGTAACTGGCGAAGCCATGGGGATGCCATTTCCGGTGTACAGAAACCGCGGTGGCTTGTGGGCTACCATTATGATGCTCCTGATGTTAGCAAAAAGTAAGCTGCTGCTGCTTTTTCATCCGTACACAGAATGTTGCGCCTACAGATAATCAAGTGTAGATTATCACAGTCGCTTCTTGTTTACTCCGCATGCTGTGGACACTGTACAGAACATGCCAGCATGTTGTGTTAATGAGACAACTGTCTGTACAGTACTTCTTTATTTACCCGTAGCAATTAATAATTTTTTAATACTATATGTATTGGGACATGTGCAATTTAATGTCATTGCGATAATTGTAGTGCAGTCTCCATTATTCTAATGCTAATTGCGCTCTTCGTTATCTGTATATTTTAACATGTTCAGTTTGTCGACATTATTATGTGTGCACCATTCGCATTAGGTACATTGTATGTGCATACTTTTACAAGAGCTACACCGGCTACACACTTATGTACGAACGGTGCAACACAGTTAACACTGATGTGTCGACGGTGTAGGCTCGCTTCAAATAGACTGCTACGTGTGTTCTTCCGTGAGCCAAAGCGATTTGTCGTGTGAGGACCCCTTCAATCCCATCACCGTGCCTCCGGACGATCACCTAGACGCCGGCCTAAATGCCACCCATCTCAACGGTTCCCTTTTGCATCTGCAGCGTGCCTGTCACGTGCACGCCAGCCGCAGGAGGACCGTCCCTCCCGTTGCCGCCACCGCCTGTTTGAAGCTGCACGGTTCCTTCTGTAAGCATATCACTACTACAAGCGTATGTGAAATAATATTTGAATATGTGAAAAATATGTGAAAAAATTGTGTTGCTCATAACGCGAAATAAAAATTTTTACACAGGGAAAAAAATACTATAAGCGGGTATACTGCAGTCCAACATAATTAGATTTTAAGGGATGTGTGCCGCTAGCCACATAAAACAGCCGCGAAACCATGCATGCATGGCGTGTTGATGTTATATATAACGGAAGTTGCACACGATATAACGTACTCGATGACCATCCACACGCAGTCATGTACTATGACATATTAACACCTCACTTATCGCTGGGTGTACGACGACGGTGAACCCAGGTCAGTAATCCCTTGTTAATCAGATGCTGTTGCAGCGGACACAGGGGAAACTGTGATGGTGCGTGCGTGTGCCCTGGACCACGGCAGTCCGTCGTCGGACAAGGAAACCACCCGGCAGAAGCACTGCGGCGACTCCTTGTTCAACGACCGCCCGTGGCGCGGCTGCACCTATACCTGCTTCACCGACGGCTGCAACGGGATGCCGCTGGACTGAACGCCGCGCCGGTGTGTCTTTGTGGTCTTCGGGTGCTGCAGCGGCGCACAGACATGTACACTTCTCCTCGCCATCACCCATATCTGGAAATTTCAGTGCCGGCTGCTAGTCTGCGCGATTTCACTGGGAAATCAGCCGAATTAAAAACAATACGAAAACAAAACTCGTACTGTAGAGCTGTTAGCTCCAAAGAATGCCCAACATTCAGTAGCGGGTCACTGTTTGAATTTCAATCAGTTTAACTACCAGTGCATGCCTACGAGGTAATGTGATTATGTGAACCATGGCTATTGTCAAATAAACTGCATTTTCAACACTTACCGGCATTTAAATCAATTAAATGGTCAAACCGTCAACTACAAATACATACAGATAGATACGTTCGTATACGTATGTAAGTATTATGCCAACCGAATAACGAAAATAATATTTAAAATCTGAGAGTAATCGTATTATAGCTGAAGTTCCATCGTGACGTCACAGGTACGCTCCATTTTCTGCTCCAGAGTGACAGAGAGCTGGCGAAATCTCTCCTGTACGGTAGCTTCGCTAAGGCGTAGTAAATGGAGCGGACATCGTGGCTGCGACGGTATATATCGTGAAACCAGTCAGATGCCCATGTACCGATGTACGTATTCGTAGGGGATCACTACGGCGAATGTTTTCCTGAATTTTATCCGTGGACTGTTCTGGCAACATTCTCGCTTTTAAGGATATCATTCATATAAAAAAAAAACTTTCTTCCCTTTATATACCGGTACATATTATTTACGTATAAAGAGTCCAGAGATTTTGGTCGGATATACATGTACAAGCAATTGTTCCGTGTTAATTTTGTTATAGCCACTGCACCACGTCTACCACAATGGCGAATGTTCTTCTCTCAAGATTTTAATTATACAGGCGAAAAGCTAACATTTTGTAATTTATATCGATAGTTTAAATTTAGATGGATATTTGACATGCATCGATCGGCCATTCTAAATGCATGTAGAGCGTAAATAAGTAGTCGTGGGGCGCCGCAGTAAAGAGTTTGGCGTAACTCGTGAATTTGTACTTAATTGTCGCTGAGTTAATGCGATAGAAACTGCGCGACAAGCTTGTACATGTTCTGATTATATTGTGAAATTGTCTCAGTTTTCTCCGACAAACCATATAAGAATAGCTGTGCGAAAAAAAGGCAAGCGCGGTTGTCACTAAATACGCATTAAAAGGTGAAGCAAATTAAAAAACCGCTGATCTCAATCCTTCGTCATAATATTAAAGGCCAAGTGCTCCATGTACAGTCGTAATACAGCGTAAATTCAATTGCAGAATGCAAATCAGAATAGTGGCTTAGAGAGAAAATTCTAATCACCAGAGCAATGACTAATTATTAGTGCGACATGAAGTGCAGTGGATGTTGACCGTTGTGCGCTATTTTTTGTAACTGGCACCAGCCGGATTCGGCGCCGCACTGAGCCGGCGGGGCGCGGCCGCCGCGTTGTGAGGATGCTGCTTGGTGCCGGATGAGGATGGGACGAGTTGCGAATAGGAGCGGTGCATTCGCGGCCCGGCGCCCATGTTCCACGCGTCATCTACAGAAACGCCGGTTCGTATTGTGAAAACATATTCTGTCTCTATTATCAAGCGGTCTAGCATATGTACTCGTACATATTTAAAATAACGATGGACCGGCAATAGTTTTATTCATAATTCTACGGAAACACTGTGGAGATGTATATAGTATGTATCTACCTAATCTGCGGTACCAAATTTAGACCAATTTTCTCTGTGATTAGGCCGCCTCTGTCGACTGTCGAGTGATGCTTAATGAGTGATAGTTTCCGAAGCTTTTGTTAAAAGTACTCGTGTTGTAATTTGTAATACAACGTCATAAAAAATGTACCAGTGAAATCTGCGGTATGTGTATGCTTGCTTAATCTACCGCCAAATAATGCAATTAAAACCGAGAGGAACTGTCGAAAAACGATTTTTTAGTCAACGAAATCATTCGAAGTGCACAAAAGGATAAAATCACAATGAGAAACAAATTACCTAATAGCCTAAATAATAGAAAGTTTTTGCCTAAATTCCCAAACGACAAAAGAAAATAAATTAGATAATTAAAAAACCCATGGATATAGAGAACAAAACCAGGTATTTTGCAATGTCTTCGCAGTGGCAGAGAATGGACGTCTATAGTGGCAAATAAATAAGCTAAAACGGGCAAATAAATAAATTATAATCAGTTAGTACTGTAACGGCTAATAAATAATTCATTTAATGGAGAATAAATAATTTCTTTTTAATCTAAAAAAACCAAAAAAAACGCACAGTAATACTTGAGCGAAATTACCACCATCAGAATCGGCAGAAACCCGACCAAATAAAATAAATTATTACCAATTAAAAACTGATGAGTATCTGCGTGATAAATAAATAAGAAACAAATACCGCAATAGACGCAATCAACAAAAATGATTTTTATTTCCTTCAAGCAGCGCAAGCGTGCACACCCGCCGGGCATCAACCCACCAAATCAAAAAATCAAGACAACAAATCATCTCCCCAAAGCTGCGCAGCCAAGCTAAACCGATAAAATAAAAAAAAAATACACAAAAATCGAACGCAACCCGGGATCACATGCCAAACGCCATAAAAATTACTTTCATGTGCCTGTGTGCCTCTCATCAGAACAACCGCTTCTCGTACGAGTGCAGCCCATGCACGCCACCTTCGTATTGCGCCGCGGGGGAGCGGCGTTCAAACCGCAGCTGGCCGTTGTCCGCCCAGCGGCGGAACTCCTCCACGGAGCGCGCGCCGACATCCTGCAGGCCGTAGCGCACCCCGTTGGTTAAATACGGGAGGAACTTGTGGATGGAGCCCTTGTCCATGACGCTGCCGGAGACGCCCTGGGCCACCTTGATGTTGACGTGGTTGCCCATGAGGTAGCGGTCGCCGCCGGTGCCGGACTTCTGCTCCATGGCGTCCAGCGAGCCCATGCCGCGGTACTTCTTCAGACGGACGCCCTCGTGGAAGAAGTACTCCCCGGGGGTCTCGCTCGTCCCGGCCAGTAGGCCGCCCATCATCACTGCAACGCATTACACACATGCTCACATTAGGAAATTAGGAATGATTTTCCAAGAATTTTCTTGAATGTTTCTAATTTTTTTTTATTTGTTCTTCCGATTTTTTCTCTTAATTAATAAAGCAGTGAGTAAGGTAATACACACATACTACCGTTACAGATTACTTCGTTATTGGGTCTGCAGAATTTTCTGGAATTGTTTTTAATCTGAAACGGATTTTGGAAAGATCCAGATTGCTTTTCATTTATATTTCCAATTTTCAAAGAGTGTTTACAGATAATAAATTAATGAGTAAATTAGTAAATGTTTTAAATGTTTTTTTACTTTATTTGTCGGATTTTTTTTTAAAAAAACTTTACCATGGTTACTAAGTTATTGAATAAACGTAAAAAAAGAAAAATCAATCAAATAAACAATTCACTAAGGCAGCGTATCATTTTTAGTCAACCGGTCAGACGCAGTCTGTTACAACACGGAGGTTTCTCGGGTGAATGTTCAGCAGAGGGAGACCGTTACGTCATCATGTCGGACGTTGGGAAAAATATTCATACCACAATAACACTGCCCAATGACTTGTTTACTAGGTCAACAACAGTACTGTTCCACATGCGACATGGACAGCAACCACTGCACTACGATAACACCACATTTGTGTTACCTTTAATATTCGGACAAGAAAAGGCTCTCATGTTATAACTGCATTCTATGCGTGTAGAGATCGCCCGCCAGGTAGTGCGAGTAATTAATTTCCTTACCACAGGATGCGCCCAGCGACAGCGCCTTCATAATGTGCCCGATGGAGGAGATGCCGCCGTCGGCGATGATGGGGACGCCGTGGCCGGCGGCGTACTTGGCCACGTTGTACACGGCGGTGCCCTGCGCACGGCCCACGGCCATCACTGTTCAACCAGGAACATTTCATCATTAATCAATGGACAATCAAATAAATTAACAATTTATCAGCCAGTACCTTCTTGAGTAATACAGATGGATCCGCTGCCCATGCCCACACGCAGCGCATCCGCGCCGGCCGCGATCAGGTTGGCCGCTTGCGCCTGCGTCACCACTATTCAACAGAAGAAATTCGATCAACTGACCATAAGTATAATTCTATAAATGCGCTACTTAACGCTACCGCATTAAAAGGGATAATCTTAAATAATTCAGAAATTATCGACAAATTAAATATGTATTACTGGACAAAACTTATCAATAAATCATCAACCAGTCAGAAACAGTCTGCACAACATGAGATTTCTTGGGTGATTTCTGCAGAGGGAGACCGTTACTTCATCATACCGGACGCCAGCAAAAACACGTTTTTACTGTTCTTGTTCTAACTAAATTGAATAACTATATTTATTACAAGATTTCAATTAAAATTCATTCTATTTTATCACAACCATAATTTATTATACTCGTCATTTCTCGGCTTATTTCCGTTCATAAGAAAATAAAACTATTTAAAATATTACAATTTAATGCAAAATAAATATTTTAACTCTTGACCATCCATAAAACAAATCGAAAAAATCGCAAAAAGAAATCGTATGAAAATCGAAAAAATCATAGAAAAATCGTAAAAAGAAACCGAAAAAACTCGTAAAAAGAAATCAGAAAAATTGTAAATTAATCTGGCTTACCGTTGCCAGCAATGACCTGGAGCTGCGGGTAGGTCTGCTTGATGTACTTGAGCATGGATATTTGATAAATAGAGTTGCCCTGCGACGAGTCGATCACCACGCAGTCCAGCCCGGCGTCCACCAGCAGCTTCAGCCGCTCCTTGTCGCTGTCGCGCGTCCCGATGGCCGCGCCGACACGCAACTGTCCCGTCTCGTCCAGCGTGGCGAAGGGATAGTTCCCACGCTTCTTCAAATCCGTCCGCGCCATAATCGACACCAGGGTGCGTTTGTCGTCCACGATGGGCAGCTTGCCCTTCTTACTCTGCCGCAACTTATCCTGAGCGTCCCGCAACGACACCCCTACCGAATTAGGAACTATTAGCGATATAAAACGATGGGAAATGTTTTCAACTGAATTAGTTAATAAAAACATTAATAAAAAAAAACCGGTCAGAAATAGTCCAGACAACACGGAGATTTCTTGGGTGATTGTTCAGCAGAGGGAGACCATTACGACATCAAACCGGTGCACCAAATCGGCGGAAACGTTATGGAAATGTTGCAGTTTATAATGTTGTACTTTTCGGATAAACTTATTATTTTCCAGCTTACTTAAGGAACCAATGTGTCCCGTTTTCACTGAATACTGTAACTGAATTTGCTTTGTTAAATTACCATACAGTATGTTAATTTTTAATGCTCGGAATATTATTTCAAATCAAACTTATTCAAATCAATCCATATTATTTCCCTAGAAAGAAACTACTGTAATCAATTTTTATCGTTTTTAATTTCAGTTATATATTAAAAATTTTCCTTTAATTAAATGGAGGAATTAATCCCTCTTTATAACTTTTTAATTAATTAAATTTGAAGTTTCTCCTTTTATTTTCTGGAATACGAATGAATTTAATTTTTGACGTCTTCAGTTTTATTCAAACTTCCTCCAGCAATAAAAGAATTTCTTTTTTATCATTTTTAATTCAATTAAATGTGAAATTTTCACGTTTATTAATCGGAGATTGATTAAACTGCAGTCTTAACGTTCTCCAATTTTTTCTAAATTTCAATTTCCCGTTTTATTTCTATGTGAACTACAGGAGAGGGTATTTTACCGTAGTTCGCAATAACCAGATCGTCGAATTTCGTCATGACGTCGCGGAGTTTGGTGGTCTGGTGGGATCCCTCGGGAATGAAGTCGATGTCGCGGCTGGTAACGATGCCGAGGAGTTCGCTGCCCAGATTGCCGTCAGTGGTGACGGGGACGCCGGAGAAGCCGCGCTGCCGCTTAATGTCCAGCACGGCCGACACCGTCTCGTCGGGGGACATCACCAGGGGATTGATGATGAAGCCCTGCTGCCAGCGCTTCACCTTGAACACCTCGTTGGCCTGGAATTCCGCCGTGCAGTTGTGGTGTATTATCCCGATCCCGCCGTTCAACTGCACACATATTCGACCATCTTTTCACACAGCTCTACACTGATTCCGACTAAACTATGATTTAATTTATTTTCTAACAAACATTTATTGATTTTATTTGCCACTGCATTTTAGTTTACACAAATCGTCAACCGGTCAGAAACTGTCTACACAACACGGGATTTCTTGGGTGATTGTTCAGCAGAGGGAGACCATCACTTCATCACACCGGTTCGTCAAACTCAAATATGTATTTTACTAACTTGCAGTATATTTATATTCACAACTTTATTCCATTTGTTTTTACCAGTTTTTATTTAGCATTTTTTTCCAAATTTAATTTATTTTTTTAATTTTTTCGTTTTATTCCAGCTTTACGTGTGACTGCGAATTTTATTATACTCCGTTTTAAATATATTTAAATTACCTGACTTTAAATAAATTTAAATTTCCTGTTTCATTATTTGATGAATAAATCACTATTTTATATTTATTTTGTTAATGTTACCTCTTCGAAAATCGGGCGGAAATGTATTAATTTAATTAGTCTTTCAATAATAACGGGAAAATTCTGCACCGCGTTAACACGGCCTGGAACTGTTCGGCATCGAAGATAACCTAATCATGCACGAGCATTTTGTTGACAGATTCGACCGCGGACAGGCAAAGCTTATCTGACTGCCGGGTCGCAAGCGCAGCCAACACAATCGCGTCTCTACTCTTCCCCGTTTCCGCTAATTACGACGTATCAGATAAGGCTCTATCAGCGGATAACGGCACTCACAATCACTCTAACACCCGCAACAAGAAAGTGAGGCAAAAAGGCGCAAAGATTTCTACGAACGACTCAATTTGCCACCCAAAATGATGCCTCTGTGCCTCTTTCTACGCGGCATTATAACTGCAACCATGAAAAGGCAAAACAACAAGCAAACAAGCTTAATTCGAAAACAACGAATAGGAACAAAAATATACTCAAAAAATTTATTTAAAAACTCGATCTGTTTAGTTAATAAACCGATTTTATTATTTATTTATTGAATCAATTCATTTTTAAATTTTATCTGTTAAAAGTAATTGTTGAAGTAATTTTTTTAAAATAATAAGAAAATTTTTTTAAATTTTCACATTTTTCAGACTTTAAAATTCATAAGCGGCCTAAGCAAACCTACGCAGATCCTAAGCCGTACGTATGGTTCCATAATTAAAAATAAATATTTCATTATTCCGCATCGATTCTGGATCTATTTTACAATGGATAAGGTATTTCCTGGGACCTGAAGAATTACTAGATTCCAGAAGATTTATTTTTATCAGCGTACCGCCATGGCGATGGCCATTTCTGACTCGGTGACGGTGTCCATGGGCGAGGAGACCAGCGGGGTGTTGAGCGTAATACGGCGCGTCAGCGGGCTCTTGGTCTCCACGATCTCGGCGGCGAAGTCGATGAAGCCGGGCAGCAGGATGAAGTCGTTGTAGGTCAGGCCTTCGCCGCGCTGGATCAGCTCTTCGCGACTCAGTCCGCAGGGAGCCACACGGCTGCCTTCGTTCGGGGAGGGACCGTTCCGCTGCGCATCACCCGCGGCGGCCATCGTTGCAATTCAAAATCACCAATCACCTATGAAAATCTTGCTGGAGAAGGCAACAGATCCAACCAGGGAAAGGGAACTGGAATGATTGGAATCCGTGCAAACTGGTCGATCAAATTTTAAATCGATGGATTTTCATCGGCAATCGGCAGGTGAGGGGATTTGTGGTGAGCCGATCGGCGCAGATAGCAGCTGCTCAGCCTGCTGCGATGCGCAGCCAGCGCCCGATTGGTGGATGCGGTGGAGCTCCGCCTTAGGTGTTAAATTGGGCCAATAAGGCTTTTGATTTTTAAATCTCGCTGCGCCGCGTGTTGTATGCACATGCTGAGTAAACGTACGCGTGCATCGAACGGCGCTCCGTGTGTACATGCGTACGCACTGAACATCAGCAGCGATGTATTAAACCCCGCCCTTGCTCTTCATTCAGGCCAATCAGATTCAATTTCCCGCTGCGCTTCGCTTGTACGTGCGCGCGCCGGTAAGCGTGAGTTGAACGGCAGCCGGAAGAACCAGTCGTCTTACTTGACAAAAATTTCCAGTTGAACGTCGACGCGCTGACTCATGTTTTCTCCTCATATTTCGCAAAAATCAATAAACATTTCTGCATTATTTTTTCCCCGCTGTTTTCCTACATGTAATATTTCTCCTTTGAGTTTTTAAATTTTACAAATTGTGTATCCCACGGCAAAACGGATGGAAGTCAGATTGACTGGTTCGCGAAGTGGTGCAGAAGAAATCTGAGGTGAGTTCGTGCTGTTTGACTGGTGAAGCTGCCTGCTGGGTAGTGTTTACCTGGTTGCCCTTGCATGTTTTGCGCATAATTTCCAGTTGACTGACATGCGCTTCCACGCGAATACATAAAGTAAAGTTTAATGCTGCTTTTTGTGGTTGAAATCTTGAGGACCTTGTTGAAGCGATGAGATGTTCGCGGATTTTCGTGTTTAACCTGTTTGACGATATTTTCATTTTTAAAAATTCCTTTATGGTCTTTGGATTATTTCTGAAATTCGGTATTTATACATTCCTTAATTTGCTGTACAAAAAATTAAATGTAATGTCGTGTATGTAATGTATAAAAATTACCGTTTCTGACACGAAATGAATTTTTATTTCGGAATTTCGCATTTTTCGCATTTATTTTTCTTTGATTTTGTATTTGTCTGTATTTTCTCATCGTCTTTGGATTATTTTTAAAATAGCGAATTTATGCGAGTTTTAGATCGAGAATTACCTGTTTTAGATCTGGAGATTTATTTTTTTTGCTGAATTTTTCATTTTTTTGAGTACGAAATCTTCATTCACCGTTTTAGTTTATTAAATTATTTAAATATTTTATTTTTGTCGGTATGTTAATTATTCTAGAATCTAGACGGATTGTGATTATTTTTGAGGTGTGAGGTGAGCTTTGAGGCGATGAAATGGAGATCATTGGATGCTGTTTTGTTGGAAATTTGGGAATTCTCCATTTAATTTTGACGTTCTGTTCTTATATGTTTATTTAATTTATTTTAATTTTGCCGGTGTGTTACGGTGTGAGTGTATTACGGTGTGAGGAGAGCGCGCTGAAACGGGGATGATTTGCTGGGTATTCTGGGAAACTCAATGATTTGTTGATAGTCGCGCTAATATTAGTGGGCGCATCGGGAAATCCTGCGGGTATGAGTGTGCGTGCGTTGTTTTGATAAGCCCCGATCTCAACATGTAAGACACAACAGCGGGCTGCTTGTTGATGAATAATGTAGGCCAAAGTCCTGTCTGGATTACACTGGCGACCGCTGCATTTACAGCGATAATCGCTTTATACGCCGTCCTAATGGGTGTTGTGTCTGCGGGCGGTGTTCAGTACGCCGGGTATTTTTCCTGATTAAAATCTGCCTGCTTTCCGGTGGAGCTGGAAATAATTGCGGCATTACACAGCGGAAATCCCACCGATTAATTGAACGAAAAAATCTGGAAAAATCCAACATACCGTATGTCTTTTAATGGAAATTATTTTCATCAGCAATTTTTTATGATTTATGATGTTTTTCATAATTATTTTGTAATGTTTTTGTAATTTTCTAGTGATTTATAATATTATTTTAATAATTTGTAATATTAATTTTAAGTCTCTGATTAATTTTGTAATGTTTTTTTTAATAATTTTTGGGGTAATATAATTTATTTTTCCGATTTAGATCGGCATGGTTTCCGGGTAAAGCTGGAAATAATTGCTGCATTAGACAGCGGAAATCTTACAGAAATAATTGAACGAAAAAATTCCACGCTTCGTCTTTTGTAGAAAATATTTCCTCAGCAATTTTTTTAATGATGTATAGTATTTTCTTTATGAGAAATGTAGGCTTGGCGCGTTCGGTTTGTTTATTTATTCAACCCCAGAATAAAACTAAGTAGAACAATTTTTTATAAATACTCCGCTGAATGTACAGCCGCATTTATAGCGTTCTTGGATGCCGTGTGCGCTGATGTTTGCTTAGCGCAGTGTGGCCAGCAGATGCGGGGAATATATTGAATATTCGCGCAGCGGACTGTATGCGTGGGTTCTCATAATATTCCCAGGTGAGACGGGGTGACACTGCGGCATTTATTGATTTTATGGGAAACGCAGGTACTCTCTTGTCAGAGTTTCCGCTGCGCAGTGATGCAACCATGCCTTTTAGTCATTCGGGTGTTTGTTTTGCACACTCACGCGTTCCCTTCCTTCGCTCCGCGAGGGAGCCTGCTGTTTTTCTTGTCAGATGTTGTTGCGCTTGTGTCATGTGTTTGACATGTATCAGCATACTTCTCTCTGGATGTTTTTTCTGCGATCTGGAAGAAAGTTATTCCATCCTCCTTTGATTTTCCAATTTCATAAAATTTCTTTACCATTTTTCCTCTATTTTTTTTACAAATTTTCCAGCAGAATTTTAATGAGCACTGTCTTTATTAATTTTTATTTAATTTATATAATGATTTTTCTTTTATATAAATTTTTGATTATGTAGTTGAATGTCTTGGACATGCTTTAGTAAATGTTTCCTAAGCTTTTTGGGAGAAAACGAATTCTTTCCGAGTAAGTTTAACGCTGTGTGTCTACGTTTGTGTGGTCGTCTTATCGGCGGAATTTTATTCAGTTTTTATTTGCGAACCGTATTTGCAGTTACAGGACGATAATGCCCATGCCAAAGATAATAATTATATACGGCGATTTTGCTGGCAGAGAATAATCGTGAGGTGTTTCATGATGTTTGATCTGCGACTGTTTATTGTCGCGCTCCCGATTGCGACGTGATTATTGCTTATTTTATTTTATTCCCGTTAAATACGATATTTCTGACAAAAAGCCATAAATTCCATTAATTCTTATTTTATATCAATGAATAATATCTGGGAAATTTTAATTATCATCTTTTAGTGCACCTTTCTTTTAATTTTAATGTGATCAAGACAAAGCGGCAAAACTTTTCTTGCGCCATTTTTCAATCTAATCCGGACGAAAGTGTCTAAGTGTATCGCTTTGATTTTTAATTGGAATATAGTATTAAGTAGTGTTATATAAGAAGTGTTATGCAGTTGTGGGCTGATCGCAGAAGAGCTGTTAATTTGCCGGTAAATAGCTAGGTTAAGATGTATTATGTTACGGAAGCAAGTGCAGTGTTGTTTATATGCTGAGACGCGAGAATTACCTGATGGGCCTCAATTGGTTTGGCCCAGAGAAAAATATGAGTGCCAGCCAGATTTGCAAGAGATTGCCGAGCTGGGTGTTTTTGTAGAAATGAGTTTTGTACCTCGGTTCCACGTCAAGTAGCGCGCTCACAGCCTCACACGCCGCCTCACATCGCTGGCCCACGGTTTTCCCAGGCGCGTCTTTGCGGTGTTGTGTGTGCGTGTTGTGTTATTCCATACCGCAGTGGTTGAGTTGGTGTTCGGATTGCGTTCACAAATTATTTGTACAGTGACGCAGGTAAATTTTGGATTTTAATTCGTATTTGTTGAATTTTTTACGAATTTTCCGGGGAAATTTTAGCGAACACTGCTTTTAATTATTTTATTATTAGTGAATATCCTCTTTGCTCTTTTAGCTTTGCTGCAATTTTACATATTTCTTCTACAATTTAATATGATGGGATCGAGCTTGTACAGTTGTGCAAATAGATTTTGAATTTTGAACCAATTTGTTTTTAATTTCTGCGAATTTTCTGACATACTTCTGTTTTTCTTTGCTAATTTTTATTTTAATTTAGTATTTTGTGTATTTTAGAAGCATTTTATTCCAAGACACTCTTGAAGCTTTACTTTAAATTGTCTGAATAATTCTGAAATTTAACCTGTTTTTCGTGAATTTTTACGAATTCTTCAGCAACTGTTTAGCAGACATTTTCTTTAATAATTTTTATTATTTATTAGTAATTTTTTGTAAAAATTAAGAGCCGACATGCTAGTGCACTCCGTGAGCTTTGCTTTAAATTTTGCACAGTTTTTCGGAAATTTAAAACGATGGGATTCATGTTCGGAGAGTTGTGTGTCTGCTAAAAATTGCGCTTTTTTCGGCGTAATAATTTAGTGTGCTTAAGAGATTTATTACTAGTGCGCGGACAAAATAATAGGACGTCTTTGTCTTTTTTTCTAAACCGTCAACAGTTTATGGATAATTAAGGCGAACGCGTTATTCGATCCATTAGATCAAGCAGTTGCTCCATTGTTGGCGCGGTATTTATCTGCGTGGGTCGGATGTTTTAGAAAGAGGAAAAACAAACCAATTAAGTAAAAGTTAGAAATGCAAATGAACGGTCTAGACCGTTCGTCTTATGATTAGACGGATCGCCTTGGAGAGTGCTCGCAGCAGTTGGGTAAATATCGGTAGTGTGTTGCAGAAAGGCCGGTCTTTGGCATTTCAACGTGTACACTGGCCTTCGGTGGATGCTGTACATGTAGCGCATCTTCAGGTTGAGCTTGATCGCGCGTCTATTTTCCGCCTCACTTTCCGCGCGCGCGCATTCGCCGCTCACTTGATCATTTCTTGGCAGGTTCCGTAATTATTTTCGGCGATTTTTTATTCACTCGGCTTAATTGTGATGGGCAGCCACGCGTCGCTAATGTCGGACACACGGTCATTTAAAAATGAATTAGTGGAAAAATAATTCGAAGGCACGACAAAGAAATTTAGGAAGATTTAATTCAGCGTAGAAATTATTTGGAAAATTGGGCGGCTGTTTGTAGGTGTCGGTAATATTATGCGGGATTTATTCGGGATTTGGATCGGCCGGAAGCAGCTGATTTGATTTGGTATTTTTATTACTTTTTAATTGGGAAAAATGGATGGACCGACGAGTCCGTCGATTATGGGCGCGGAGAACCCGAAGTTCAGTACGCTGGAGCGCCGCCAAGGCCAGGCCATGTCGGATTCGGAGAGTATGGATCTGGGCCAGTCGCCCGGGGATCCCATGTCGGCCAGTATGATGTCAGCCCGCAAATCAAAAGGTACGCAATTATACTGTATTTTTATTGGATTATTGAATTTATTTTCGATGTAACATAATTACATAATTTATTTGTGGAAGTATTCAGTTTATTTTCACGTTTTGTATTTTTTTTATGATTCTATTACTCCGGGTTTTTTTAAATCTCAGGCTGTTTTAAAATTTGTGTTGAAAATATTTATTGTAAATTTTCATCTGATTTGCATTTATTTACCTTTAAATTCCTGTTTTTCTTTTGCCGATATTTGTTATAAATATTATTAAATTTTCCTTTATTTACAATTGAATTCTTGTTTTTCCTTTGCCGAAGAAGCTTCGCTGTTTTGCCTGATCGTCCAAATTGTGTAAAAGATTTCGGGGATCCTAGTTTCGCTTTCGTAAATTAATTTGTCTAATTTAAATACAATTCCTTAATTTAAAATCTGTTGTTCGTATTTTAGTTCCTAAAAAAATCCTGTTTTTCCTGGGGTTCACTGTTTTCGGATTACCGGCAGAAATTTCAAATGGGTAAACAGGTTTCGCGGGCCCAAATGTTGGTTTCGTAAATTAAATTATTTAATTAAAATTAACCTGCTTGATTGAAATCTGGTTTACGTATTTTAATATTTTAAAAATTAATTTCGTGTTTTTCTTTTATTTCGCTGTTTTCGCATGAGTGGCAGGATTAGACAAACAGGTTTCCGCGGGGCACTTGTTAATCTATTAGTGCGGAATGTCTTGTAACCGAGAGTCCTGAACAGCGTGTTGGGTATCGACTGGCTGCGGTGTTAACCTTGACAGATGATCTCCTTGTAATGATTTGCAACCAAGGTGCCCACCACAACAACACTTGGACGGTACTTGCGCGCTGGCTCAGCTGATTGCTAAACAGTGCTGAATCTGCGGGTTTTCTTTTTCCGCGATCGTTTAAGCGGAGAATAGGAGAGAATGTACCTCTTGACAATTGCATTCACGCGCTGTTTGCACAAAAATCTGCTGTAGTGTGCAAATCTTTTAATGATCCGTAATTTGTCCAAAGTGAATTGTCACTGGGAAGTCTCGATGTCCGTTAAACAACTGTGAAAGCAAATTGCGAAGGATTCGTAAAAAAAAACAGAAAAAATTAGCAGAGAAATTAATAATCAAATATTTAGTGAAAAACTTGCGTGAAAATAAAAAATATATTTTTTTCTGTAAAGATTATGGAATAGTGTAAAATTTGCAAGAGATAAGAACCAGACAGGGAAATTGTTAATAAAAATTTATATTAAGAATTGAAACAAAATTTAAAAAAAATATATTTAAAAATACAGAAGTGAAAATTAATTTAGAAAAATGTTAAAAAATACAAAAATTAGTTGCTTTGTTGTGTAGATGGGTTGTCGCGGGAGGAACGGATGAAGGTGGTCCGCGAGCGGCAGTTGGAGGAACACAAACGGCGTCTGGATGAGCTGCGTGCGGCACAGATGCAGGCCATGCGCGCCAAGAAGCAGCTGGACACGGAGCGCCGCCGGCGGGTCGAAGAGATGAAGAGCAAGGAGGAGCAGCGCCGCGCCGCCGTCGAGGAGCGCCGGCGACGCATCGAGGACGCCGAGCGGGTCAGTGGGCATATCTAGCTTAACTGTGACACAAATTAATTTTCGGACAGGTATTTTCTGATTTTTTTATAAATAAATTGTAAATATTTTCCAAATGTTTTAGCACGATTTGTTGAATTTTTTTTTCGAGTCACGGAACATTTGTTTTTTGCCATATCAGGTTTAGAAATTCTCGTCTGGTTCTCATCGGAAAAATTATTTTAAAATATCGGAAATATATTTGCCTGTAGACATTTTATTTTCGAATTTATTTTTCTCGGGGAAATTATTTTAAATTTATTTTGATCGGAGAAATTTTCGCACATTTTTAAACCGAATAATTTTTGCTGATTTAGCCATAGTTCCTGAAAGTTCCGTCAAATTCAGAAATTTCTAACCGGAAAAATTATTTTAAAATATATTTGAGCCGTAGACATTATTTTCCAATTTCTTTTAAACTGGCATATTATTTTAAAAAAATTATTTTAATCGGAAATATTCTCGTCAAATTTTGTGGGAATATTTGATCGTCTGGTTGGTTAATTATTCGTTAATATTAGTTATTTTCGGCATGGGCTGGTCACGCGGCTGCAGCGGTCCGAGATTGCGCCGAACAACGATGAGTCTATGAATTAATATTATCGAGATTATCTTGTCATTGATACGTCATGGCAGTTAATCGATAATATTCTACGGGATTACGGCGCACTGAAATGATGCGGCGGAGGTGACAGCGATGCACAGTGCGCTTGATAAAAAAATCTTAGCGGAACTGTCAGTGATAATTAGCGGCGATATTAGACCGGCGCGCGCTGCCGTGCCGAAAATAGGTCGGACATGACTGAATGACGCGGCCGGCGGAAAACAAACCCTCTCGCCGTCGGAGAATGATCAGCATTGATCGCTGGCGATGAGATGCAGTATTCAGATCAACGCGGGCTGGTCCACATGCCCGGCCGACATTCCACAGACACTGCCGCCGTTTCATCGAGTTAATCAGTTTTCCATTTGTCCGCATAATGGGCTACTGTGTACCTATGAAATGACCGCGTTGCGGGCGGTTTTTATCCACTTGACGGCCTCTCGAAAGGCAATTATTTCGTTTTGCAGTTGTCGACAGCGGTCCGCTTCACAAGTTTACTAGTTTTATGGCTTGAAAAATGGAAATAAAATGGGAAAAAAATTGTAACAATTTTATAAGTTAAATTGGATTAAATGAAATGAATTAAATGAAAGTAATTAAATTAAATGATGATTTTACAGTACAAAACATTAAAATTACTGTACCTGGATTATTTGGAATATTTTGTATTAAATAGTATTAGTGTTTTTACTGTTTTGTGTGAAATATGACCTTGTAATTTGTTTTCGAATTTTGGAACAAATTAGAGACAGTTCAGAATTTAAGTTAGAAATGTATGATAGATATATTATGGAACATTTGGATTTGAATTAAATTTTGGCTAGCGTTCAGAGATTGTTGTATTATTCTGATGATAAATCGCTGAATTATGATGTTAATTGTGTGAAATTTTGATAGAACCGACGCGAGGCTATTCTGCGCAAGCACGAGGAGATCTTTGAGCGCATCGAGCAGAAACGCCGGCAGCACGAAAGTCGGCGGGCCGCTTATGGAATTCAGCAGACCAACGGCGACAGCTTCAACGTGCATCCCTCGCGCCGCGCCATCTCCGTCGGCGTCTTGTCGGGACGCGGCAGTCTCATGTCGCGCAGCTACCACCAGAGCCATACTTTCTCACCCGGTACGTCTTTTATCACCAGTTTATTTTACAAATTATTCTGTTGATTTTATTTATTAATTTTCTCCGTGTCGTTGTGAGCTGTGATTTAATGAACAATTTATTACATAAATTAGGAAATAAGTTCATTATTAAATTGGTAATAAATTCTTATCGAAGGAATTAATTTTGAAAATAATAATATTGGTTTTTTGACAGGGTCCCTGCAGAGCGCCCGTTATCACACGTCGCCGAGCACGCCCAGCCGCGCCGGCGGTGATCGCTTGCTGGAGTCTGTCTCCGGGAATTCTTCAGAGATTTCTCCAGGTAAATCTCCGTTAAACTGTTCATTTGCTTCCAGTAACATGGTCGACGAACCGATCGCCAGTTTGCTGTGTGGCGTGCGCATAACAGTCAGTGAATTTTACGGTTAAACTATCGGAGTGCTTTTATTGGCCGTTTTATTTCCGTTTGCACAAGTTTATTAGCGTTGATATGTGGTTAATGTGGTCGTAAGTGCGGCGCGTCGATCGTGCTCTGTATTAACCGTTTCATTCGGTCGCCGCTGAGCAGTTTGTTTTAATTCCAGTATATATGTTTTTTTTATTGAATTCTAACCAGTATGCATTTTCCTGAATTTTTTTATACAATGCAAAATTAAATTTTTTTAAAATAATTTCTAACATAAAAATTTGAATTTTCTGCAGTTTACGTTACACTTTTAGTTTACTTCTAATCAACATCCGTAATTTAATAATTAATTCTGACTTAAATGGTCGAACTATCGTTGTTTGACCGGTAATTCTAATTTTAATCCTAAAATACATTTTTTTTATTTAATTCTCGCTGAATGCTTAATTGATTTCAGTCCAGTCGTAATTGTTAGTTTACCTTCAATCAGGTTTGGAATTTAATTCTCAGACTTTGCGATTCAATTTTTTTGTAATTAAGTTTTTAATATTTTTTTTATTTAAATTGTGTTGTTTGCATTGTTTGTACTTTGTAGTGCACACGGGACGTCACGGGAAGCACTTCCGCATCACCCACTCCCACCCGCCCCCCACCCAGCGCAACCGCGCCCCCGACCGCCCCCCGCGACCCCCCACCACCGCCCGGACACCCTCCAACCCGATGTCGGCGTCCTTCCACACGGACGGCTCCAAAACCGAGCGCGCCCCGCGGCGCCCCACCACGCTGATCACGCGCATCCGCGACGACAGCGACCTGCCCAAGCTGACCACCTCCCGCTCCACCGACACCTTCAAGGTCATGTCCAAACGCTCGCAGAGCGCCAGCAACGTCAACCGCAAAGCGGAGTCCTCCCCGGAGAAGGAGGTGGTCCCAGAGGATTCGGAGAAGGCGGGGAAGGGGAAGAAGATCATTTCGGAGGCGGAGGCCAAGGCGGCGTTGGCGGAGAAGCGGAGATTGGCGCGACTGAAGGTGGAAGCGGAGCGGAGGGACTTGGGGACCCCCAGTTCGCGCGGGGTGGATGAGTCGGTGTCGCCGTCGCACCCGGCGGAGGAGGAGGGGAAGGAGGAGATAAGGAAGAGTGGGCGGAGTCAGTCGATTGTTATGTTCGAGCAGGATGAGGCCCGGATGGAGGCGGCGCGGTCGGTTGAGGATCTGGTGGTGACGCCGCCTGCGGAGGCGGTTACGGCGACACCGCCCGCGGAGACGGTTACGGTGGTCAGCGAGGTAAATTATTTGTATTATTACGAGCAGTAATTGGGATAATTTTTTTATTATTTAATTGGTTTTTTTACCGCATTTAATCTTCTTTTTTACGGTATTTTTTTATTCAGATTCGGATTAGTATTTATTTATTATTCAGATTATTCGAATTTGGTTCTTTCGTAAAAATTCGTCAGCGCGGTAATTTATTTTTATTAGTTGAATTAATTTGGAATATTTTTGGATGATCTAAGATTTTTTTGTGAGGTTTTTGCTCGGATTTGTGTTGGTTGATTTCGAATATGATTCGGCTCATCGTAAAAATTCGTCAACGCCAAAACTGATGATTAATATTATTATTTAAATTTACATGGATTTATTATGTAAATTTTTTTCTCCGTAGGTGCAAGACGAGATGCCGGCGGAAGTTGTGGAAGAGAAACCCGCGGAAGAAGTCCAGCCTGTCGTTGAACAGATTACGGATGAACCGCCGATGATGATGACGATGGAAACGGAGACGGTTGTCCAGCCGGATGTGATTCCTAATCAGAAGGTATACTGTATGTTTATCCCTGAAAACAGCACATCAGTTACGAAGAAAAATTCTGTTTTTACGAAGAAAAATTCAAACTAATCCATATCAATTCGTTTGAATTTGTCTTCGTAAAAACTGGGATTTGACTGAAAATAGGTTGTTGGAATAAAGATGTCATTTATGGTTATATTTTTGAATAGTTTTAATTTAATTAAAATTACACGGAAATGCCACAAAAAAAGTTGTAATTTAATATGGTAAATTAAATACATGAATAAAATAAATAAAGTTTAGGAGAAAGTTTATTTATGGCGATTTTTGTATAATTGTAATTTAATTAAAATCACACAAAACTGCCACCAGAAAATTTTTATAGAAATACCGTACGGTTTTGGAACACAAGGTACATAAATCAGATTTAGAAACGAAACAGTTTATTTATGGCGATTGTTTTGAACAATTTTAATTGAATTGAAACTGCACAAAATACCGCCGGAAAATTCAAGAACCAGTATGATACATCGTATAAATTAAATCCTCAGAATAATGGTTATTTTGTGTTGCAGGTGGAGTCGCGTACCGCCACCCCACCGGCTGAGGAGGAAGTGGTCTCCCCACCCGTCGCGCCCCTCCCCACCGCCACCGTGGTGCGGGAGGACGACGACGCGGAACGGCTGCGACAGGAGACCGAGCGCCGTCGTCTGGAGATGGAGCAGCGCGAGGAGGAGGAGCGCATTCTCCGCCGACAGCGTCTGGAGGCCATCAAACGGCTGACCAAGGGCGCGGCGGCGCCCACCACCCCCGCCGAGCGTCTGGTGTCCCCGGCGGCGGAGAAGCCGAGCGCGACGGACGCCCTGGAGAACGCCCGCAAGTTATTGCAGCGCCGCGGGTTGGGCAGCGGCGCCGAGTCGCCCGTGACCACCCCCGGGGAGCCGGAGGAGGGCAAGGTCAATGGCATCGGGTAGGTGGCGCTGGCGGTGGATTTTGAATGTTTCGCAGCCGGTTGTTCTGGGAATGAATTTTCAAATGAATTTTTCTGACTTTATTATTGTAATGAATTATTTTCGTTTTTAAGGGCTAATTATCAGTTAATTCAGCGTTTTCTTTCGCATACGGTTGTAATACATACTATAGCAAGGTCAGGAATGAGTAGACTAACGATTAATTTTGCGGAATAAATGTTCACCTTTCCCAGCGCCTTTCCAGTTTTGGTCAATTTAGTTTCTGTTTCCTAAATTTTTAGGGGATTTCAGCTGCTTTAAATCCAGTATGCATCTTAAATAATTTCTTAGTTTTTCCTTGTTTATTACTCGTTATATTTGCAACATCAATTTTTTATTTAAATTTAAATTTGTGCTTACTTCTTTGCTTTTATTTTGTCGTATTTTTTGTTTACATTTATTCGTGTCGTCGTATTCGTTGTTTTTATTTTCGACTCCCTACAGCGGTTTCAGCGAGAATATTTATAACGAGAAATATTTTATTTTGTTGGTGTCTTTCTCTCTTTTTTATTTTAAAGATAAATGTCTACTTAAATTACGATTGTATTTATTGTTTCCTCGTTTTTTTTTTGTTGTACTTTTTTGAGGCTATTTATGACGGAAAATGTTGATTTGTTCCACGCTTATATTGTAGAAACCGTTTGCAAGCGATCATTTTGCCAGTTTTCTTGATTTGGTTAATTGATGGTTTTTCTTTGGCTGTTGTAGGACAAACGGCGTGAAGGACGCGTTATCCCTGGAGCTGGACCCCTTTGCGCCCAACGGCTGGACGCCGGTGCCGGACGAGCACCGCCATGCAGCCAATCACGTGACAATGGCCAACAGCGATCTGCTTCTCAATTTTGAGTGATTTCCCGCACGTTCACGGAATTTTCAAGGATTTTCGGACGGCGCACGGTCGCTTGAGTTTTTCAACGGTTTTCTGACGGTTTTATGGCGTTGAACGGAATGTTGTATGTACATGCGTTTTCATATAGCGTGTTCTGAATTATTACCGTTTTTTCTGTTTTTGCCGGATGCTTTCGTTAGAGCTGCTTTGATACTGACTGTGATAAGGGGCTGTATGTTTTATTCTCTACCCGAATTACGCTGCAAATAAAATGTGGGTTGAACGAATATGGGTTAAATATAAATAGAAAAACTTTATTGGAAAATGAAGCTATAAAAACGGATCAAATAAAAATGCGTTAAGTGAATGGGCTACATAAAAACAGAAAACCAAAAGTATTAAAATAGATTAAACAAAAGGAAATGAAAAATGAAAAAATTAAAGACATTAAAAATAGGTTAAATAAAAACATGAAAAAATATCAAAAAATAAAAATTCACATGAGAATAGGTTGAACAACTTGAATAAAAATTTAAAAATATGAAAAAATAGGAAAAAAAACAAAAAAGATTTTAAAAATTAGTTGAACAAATGGATTAGATAAAAGTAAAAAAAACAGAGAAATAAAAATTAAAATGAAAATGGGTTAAATGTGATAAATGTGGGTTGTACTGGTTTTCGTTCGTTGGTCGGTGCGCGTTTCGGTCTGTTGGCCTAAAAAGCGGTGCGCGTATATAACCGGCAGTTTGGCCCGGTGAATAAATGTTTCGACGGTTTATTGCGCGGATTACACGGACGGAATTTCTTCTGGGACATTTGGTCGGCATTAAATCGGGATTATTTGGTAAATTATTTCCGGATTTATTGGGGAATAATGGATTGGCTGCGGCGCGTGTGGTGGATGGTGGCGCTGGTGGTCGGTCTGCTGGCTGTCGCGGAGGCCGGTCGCGGCGTGGTGAAGAACGGCGAGGTGCACATCCAGAATCCGGTGGTCCAGGGCAGCAAAGATGGGGGGCGTGGCCATGTGAAAAAAGACGAGAAAATCCCGGTGGGTCATCAGCGCGGCAAGCCCTTTCCTGTTTAAACGCGCCAACGGAATGTCCCGGATTGCATACATTTTGGACGAACGATGCGCCCCTCTGACAGGACCGAAGTCGACCGGGAAAATGTTTGTAATTAATTTTTCTAGAATTTTGTATAATGTATGCCGAATTACTGGTGAACGTACTCTGTATTAAAGTGTTCTACAGTAGATTAAATAAATTTTCTTCTAGTGAACGGATCATAAATTGTTTAAATACTCGTAGTTTTAAAGTACTGTGCAGTCGCCGACAAAAATCTGTGGTGATAAACGGCATTATGATTTTGTGACATTTATTCTGTGCTCGAATTGTTAAGAATAACGAAGAAAAAATGATAATAACGCTGACATGATCAGCGACGATCGTTGACGTGCTTTCACTGAATATTGCTGACAGGTGTAGCGCAAAGAACGGTGTCGTCCGGTTAAGAAAATTAAAATGGCCACTGGCATTCGCTGGCTAAGGCCATCGCACATTGCATTCTTAAACTTAAACCGATTAATTGAAACCGGCTCCGTGTTTTTGTTGCTCGTACATAGATTTGTATCTCAGTCATGATTAGAATTAATGTGTTATGCACAATAAGTTGTATGTGCATAAAACATATCCAAAGGGCAAACTATATGCAAAACGGGTTGCTCTACAATCACAAAATTTCTATACATACTTTGTAGATGATCTATCATTAAGTTTTTCAGAATACTTGTATATGCTAACTGAGAACAATATCAGTGATTTGCACTCTGATTTGCAAAGGTCAATTGCCAAGTAAGGACGTGTATACAACATTTTCTTGGGAATTTGTGTACCTTCAGGAAACGGGAAAATGTTGGAGTAAAAAAAATGCAGCGAAAATGTTTGGTCATCGAGCGAATTCAAACTATTACTGGAATGATTAATTTTTCCCGTCGTAAACCCATTGGCAATATAAGCCGGCGTTTAATTAGGCGACGCGGCTGATTCACAAGATCAAGCACATGCAATAAATCAATATATATCTGCCGATCAATAAACGCTTCGCGTTCGGCTTATCTGAATACGGCGAAAGCCGCGGCACGAAATAGTGCACGCTGCACGAGGCATTCCACGAGACGATCTTCCATTCTTAATCCGCCGCCCCGTCGTCCTCCGGTGGGAGGCGGCATTCAGCGTGGCTCACCCCCCTGAATACGGCATTCACCCGGGCCCACCGCGCACCACCTATCCGCTCGTCCGCTTCCGGTCGGCGGTGGCACACGTGGGACCGTTATGAAGTTGGGCTGCGCTGAATTCCTCCGCGGATAAATGAATACCGGTTAATCTTTTATTATACTCGCCGTCTAAATATAACCACAAACGGGTGACCTTTCACTTTTTCCCCGATCCACGCTGGCACGTGTCCGCACCCGCTGTGCGCGCTGCGGTGGCGCACAATACCGCCTTTGCGGTGTCAAACACGGCTCGAAGAATCTGCTTCCCGAAATACACTTCCTGGTGGCCGCGCGCGTTGTCGGAATGTCGGTAGCGTTAATGACCATTGGGAAAAGGGAAGCATTAAGTAATGACAATTTTAAAATATAAAACAATGTATAAAATATATCAAAAAATATAAACATTTTACTTTTAAACATATCAAGTATATCAAAAAAGATCTATTAAGTATATTAAAAAATAATAATATCTCATTATTTTTCTTTTCTTTTTTTAGTACAAAACACTATTCGCAAAAACCAATAGTTTCTAATTTGTTTCATATCAAAATTCAAACATAAAAGATGGCCAAAAACTGCTTGGAATTTTGACTCCTGGTTAAAAGTCCATGACTGCCTTTTCAGGTAGGGATAACTGGGAAGAAATGTCGGACAAGAACATCCGCCGGCAAAGCTGCGGATTACGCAATCTCCGCACGGCGGCAACGTGCCGCGTGAATAGCATGGTGTGCGGGGCTTCTTGAACACGATCGGCGGATTAGCTTGTAATGTACTTACGTATTTATATGCTCCCTATACAGCGGCGCTACTTGTTGACCTTCACTGCGCCTTCCCATTTCTACCTTCTTAACATTTTCCCATTTAATTCCACGCGCCGCTTTCGTATGTGCGTAAGTGTTCCTTTTCTTCCCTGGAACAAACTTCAACACGACGCTCATTAAAAGGGGAAAATTTCGCCGACATTTAACGACCACCGACGCCGGGTCACTTTTACGCCGTATTTACCGGCCACTCGAGTTATTCGTGGCTAAAACGCCGAATCGACGGAAAAAGCGGGTTTTGTGCGATTCTATTTTTACCGGCATTTGCCGAGGCGGATATACACGCCGGACCCTTGTACACACGCGTTGGTGGCTGCGCCCGGTTTTCGGGATTTTCTCCGGCGGTGTCCACACCTAGTATACACGCGGCTTTTCGCCGGGGAAAATATCGCGGCGGATTAATCGGCTAATTGTTCCGTACGTACACGGTGCGACGGAGCGTATTAGCGCGCGTAATACCGTGTAAAAGACATAACCGGTAATCCACGCCATTCCTCACCTTTACGCCCCACCCATTCCCGCACACGCCGCACCGGCGCTATTCAACGGGACACGTGATACATCGTAATATACACATCGTATACATCTATATATGCAGCGTATACCAGCGCCGCGGGAAGAGAGCGACCCGCGTATTGTCTCGATTAGACTAGCTCTGCACGTATATATAACACCGCTGCATACATATCCGGCACAGTCTTTAATCAAACATATATAAAGCGCGGGTAATATTAATCCCGGGACAATAATGCACATTCCATGGCAATTGACGACCATATCAAGTGGACCGGTCCATATTTTTATTCAACGCTGCATCGGCAATTGAGAAGGGATCAGCGGGATGAGCGCCACTTGTCGCCCGGCAATTTGTTGATTTATTAGCACTTGTTCCGCTGGCGTTGGGATCACTCGTTTATAACACCGGCAGCCGGGAATTTTTGCGCAGTGTGTTGTTGTACGGATGACCTGATGTTCGGGGATTGTGAAAGTGTGGTTGGGAACACGTAACGGCCCACGCGTGTGTTGTGTGTTGGCGGTCAGTACACGCAGGTTTCACCGGCCCACGCTGCTGCACGGCGCACGGACGCGTCCAACCGCCCACTCCGACCGTTGTTGGCCCGGCGCGTTTCCGGTCACGTTGGGTAGTCTCAGCGGTGCTGCCATTGGCCTAGTTTCCGTTTGTCGCCGTTTACCGCTCCAGCATGCCGCGATTTTTCTGCCTCGTGCTCGTCGTCTGGTAAGGGATATCTTATATTTAAATAATTTAAATAAATAATAATGGGATACGCTGTAATAAATTGCGAATACCGTATTTCACCGATTTAAATAGAGCTTTCAATGGCCTCTATTTCAAGGAAAACATTTTTTTAAAGCGGGAATGTTGCAAAAGTATTTATTAGTAAGTTTTATTTTCGGGGTCGGCTTTTTAAAACGGGGAGGGTCATTAACTGATAAATAAGGGACTAACAATATAATTAATTGATAAATACGGCTTAAATTATTACTGCCGGTTACGGTATTTACCTAAAAAAACGGCTAAAAACGGAAATTCCAGTAGGCGGTCTGCAGTTCAAAAACTGAATAATAAGATCAAAAAACAGTGTGCAACAGGAACATATCCAATGGGCATGAATCGCCGGCACTGGGTTCAAGCAGACAAACGCTTGTTAGCCCAATATGCGTAAAACTGAAGCACCTAAGTTTTGTAGTCCTACACCTTGTGCAACTATTCTGTTTTTTATCAGCGAACAAATTTTTATTTTATATCTAACAAATTAATAAGTACTATGTGCGCTTATACGTAAATCAGTAAATACTCACATATCTTTATTTCATATCTAACAAAATATTAAAATCTATTAAATAACATATTGATTTTATTTTAATTATTTTGATGGAAATTATTTAGCAGCAAAACGAAATTTTTGGCTATTTTTTAGCGGGCTCATGGAAGCCCGCACATGCTCCGTGTATTTACCAAACGTGATGACACAATGCTGCTCACGTTTTGCCGGCTGCGTTTGACGGGCTTCGTGGGTGTGCTGCGCGGCTAGGGAATTTCTTTCTTAGTTAAGCGGTAAAACGTTAAGCGAACACTAATTACTCAATGAAAAACTCCGCTAAGAAATTGATCACGCTTAAAGAAGCGTGATGGGAAACTCCGAGAAACGTAAATCTGAACGTAGTGCGCCGGTGAGGGCGTTGTCTTGGTGGGGCTGTTGCGCCGAAGAGCAGCCGACACACGTGGTGGACAACACATCATTCTGACCTTTGCGTGATCAGGAATTACACCGGCGCTAATTAAAACCACGCGTTGCCGGCTCGCGGAAGGTCTGCGGCTGACTTCCGGTTCCCTCCCGCACCGGAAGGACGCCGACGTGGCCATACAATGTTGCTGTTTGACAAATCTCGGCTTCAAAGAATTTTTTTAAAATTAAAAAAATGAATTATAAACTTAAAATTTATTTTGAAAAAAGTCGCTTTGAATTTGAAAAAAGTCTCTTAATTCAGGTGTTCGCTGATGTTCATTTTCATCACTCTGTGCCTTGCACAAAAAGATTTACCGGTCGATTAGTGAACCGCATCCGCCGTACTGCATAGTGCATATGCACGTTTTCGCATTTTGCTGGGTTCTTCATCGATCCAAAAAACTAGCATGATGTCCTAGTATTATTGGGTCATCTTAATAACCAGAAACGGTGTAGCATATATATTTTGGGTACTTCATCTACTTCCGTTGGTCAGTGTAAAGGTCACCGGCCCCGCGCACCCTGTCCGCTCCCATATTGCTGCATATTTGCGAGACATGGTTCCACAATATTTGTCCCGCACAAACATACCAGCGTAACAACCACAACATACACGCCTGTGTGGGCATTTTCACGCCGCGGTATATATGCGTAGGTGCCGCGGCGTTATATGCCGTGTCAGCGCATCTTCCCTCGTTATGTATAGAAGTATACGTGTTGGTGTGCATGGCTGGGCACGTGGCCCGCAGGCATGTTGACAGGATTCCAACGGCTTCCTTCTCATATTTAACGCTATACGCCACACCCTGCTTACAGTAAGCGGATAGGCTTTTTCTGCGCCCCGATTTCCGGGCTTTACTTTAACCTAGTAATACGACGAAATTGGTTAAAACAGCGAAGGTTAAGGATAGATTTCCGGGATGGAAAGAGGCTGGTCTCGTTGTCTTCCCGGATCGATGAAGAACGCAGCAGAATGCGAAGACGTATGTGTGTGTGCTTCTTAACCGGTGTCCCCAGCGTCCACTTGCAGGGCACGCGGTCACACCGCCCAATATAGCCGGCTGAATGGGCGGCATTGTGGTGGGGGTGATGGGCATATTAGCGGTTAGCGAGGCGGTGCTGTCCCGCGGGATTCTGCCGGCGCCGCGCTGGGAGCAGCTGACACGAGGATGTGCGTGCAGCAACCGCGGCTGCTGACGCCATCCTGCGGCCGGCAGCGCAGAGGACGGTCTTCAATAAGATATGGAATATTCTTCGGGAAGGGCGCACCGACACGTGAGAGTAGTGATTCACGATGGTTCTGGTGACGTCATTGATGATGTGACCCTTGTGCATCGTGGTTACGAAATTTGTGGGCGTCGTGTAAATGCCAAACGGTTCTCCGCGACACGGCGAACGACCTCAACCATAAATTCTTTTTCCGCAACGCAGTTTTTTCCTAAGAAATCAAAAATTCAAGATATTCCGAGAACTCCCACGATTAACGAAAGTCCCGGCAGTGCACCACGCTTCTTGCAACGTTTTTTCTAAGAAATCTAAGAAACCTAAGAAAATTGTTAAACTCTCGGACTTCTCGAGAGCCCCGGAGTTATTTCAACAAACATATGTGTTTCATTACAGCGAGTGAATAATTGATTAATATTATGATATCAGAGTGGAAAAGTAGCCAGTAATATTTGAATTGTCGAGATTGTGGAAAGGGGAAACCGGTTCTGAATGAAACAGTATATCAGCATCGATGAGAATCACTTTAATGGACTTGACTGCAATGAACGAAATGAAATGAGTGGGCGGCGGTGTGTTGTGTGCTGTATTAAAACGGCACCGCATAAAGTACACGTACATATGCAAAGCTGGAGCAGATTGGTGCGATCACAGGTGTACGAAGCGGTGTAAACTGTAAAGCCGTTTCGTACATGAGCGCGCTGTGTCTCTCTCTTCTCTCTTTCCCTCTTTCTCTTTCTCTTTCTCTCTCTCTGTCTGTGTGTCTAAGACTCTAAGCGCGCGCTAGCGAACCAATAAGCCTTGTCGCCGGCGCTGTGCGCCGTGCACTCAACAAACAACAATCAGCGACTGCTCATTCCGTGCGACCAAGACACGTCGACATTCTTTCACACACACATACACACACACTGTCATAATAATAATGTACCTGTACATTGCATCACGGTGCGCAGTTATCCATTAATTGTCCATTGGATTATGCTCGGTGCTTGAAAGGACTAAGGACGGTGTGTTGTTGGTTGTGTTTAGGGGATGACGGCGCTCCTGGATCATCCATCGGCCGCGGCACTCCTGCATCTGCAGATCCCGCATGCCCATCCGCTGCGTCCGGCAGCGGCCAGTCAACTCAACTGCCACGCCGGACACTGGCGCACCAATAATCATCTGTACTACGACAAGGATCCCGGCTACGAGGGGGCGCCCCCGGAGGCGGTGGTGGGCGACAGCCATAGTACAGGTAAGACGCAAACCCAAGCACGGTCTGTTTCCACGCAAATGGAGCAGAATGCATTTTTAATGCCCGAGCACATCCAATTACGCGCGTACAATCCCCATTCCCGCGCGCGTTAATCCTCATCAGGGGGATTGCTTAAGACGTAAATTGCGCCAGAGGTGCGGGAGAGAAGAAAGAGAGGATAGGGGAAGGTGAGAGCGAGCGGGATAAGCTGTAATCTTTATTAATAGATGGGAGAGAAGGATGCAGCGGTGTGGTGTGTGCAGGCGGCTGGAAGAGGCCGGTTTATCCCGAAAAAGGGTCAGGCATTCGTCCGCAGTCAGGCGGAAAGAATAACCCGGCATCACGCGGTGCGGTGCGCGTACCCGCGCGCGATCCGGGGTGTTGAGGAGGAGGTGACCTTTCGTGGATTTTTCTGTTTTTGTCAGAAAATTAAGAAGGGAAACAATTCCCACAACTCGCCGTTCCCATAATCAGGGATTTAATCCAGGCAGAATTACGCTTTTCTTATTATAAATTAGCGTAAATGCAGCCAGAATTACGCTTTCCTTGCTCTACAATTACTGTAAATAAAGGCAGAATCACGCTTTTCTTATTAATTAATAGAAGCAGGATACCGCTTTTCTGGTTGTACAGTTATTATACATACAGGCAATTACGCCTTTTTTTATTATTTAATCACAGCAGAACTACGCTTTCATTTTTTAAGTAATCAAGCAAAAAAATAACGCTTTTCTTATTGTGCTTGTAATTTAAATAACGGCAGAATTGCTATACGCTTTTTTATAAATTAACCAAGGCAGAATTACGCTTTTCTTTTTTAAGTAATCAAGGCAGAATATCGCTTTCCTTATCGCCCAATTATTGTAAATGTATTCGCACATTGTTTTTTCCCTGACCTGTGGCGAAACTGCAGATATTTGTCGGTCTCTATCTAAAATTTTCGTGTATCGTTGAGAAGCCGATGAAACAATAAGCAGTACGGTGACCTTGGACGCATATCCCATTCTTCCCGATCGCGCTGACGTAGGTGCTTTTTCTTTTGAGGGATTAATTGGATTAATCATATTGTTTCGATTAGCAGCTGGTTATTTAAGAAATACACGGAGATCTTTGCCTTTTCGCTGATGAAAAGCGTAAAGGACGGCATTTCAATTTACAGAAAGCTCAATTAGCGTAATAGCGGCCTATGGCAAATAACTGGATACTCCCGTTATGTAATAACCTTAGCCGGCATGGACGTAATTTTTATTATCGGATTTTAAGACGAAAAATATCTTCAGAGCACTGATGTTGCGGTCAATAGTTGTTCCGAAACATGCGTTGTCTTGAAATAATGATTTATAACAAATAATCGATGCTCGAAATAATGTTTTATCTTTTCAAATAACTGATGTAAAGCACTGCACAGCCGCTCTTGACCTTTTTGAGTGTGCTCCAAATTTTGACGGTTTGAAGGCTGAAAATGCAGCTGAATCAGTTTAACTAATGATTAGCCCATTACATTTGCTGTAGGTTTTTTTATAAAATGCTAAAAATAAATAAAATATAGCTAAAAAACGTATAAACAGCTTATGAGTTTTGCTTATAAAGTTTGAGCTTATAAGTTTTTCGCTTATAGGGTTTTATAAAACAGCTTAAAAAACAGGTAAAAATACCGAAGAAATCAACGATTAAAATTGTCTGCGGATTTATTTAAAATGGCTTTCTCTTTTATTGGTTGATCACATCAGGTTAGCACAGTTTTATACTGATAGAGAACGTTGTGAATATTTGCAAGATGTATTTATGCATCGGCTGTTCGAGTGAAGGATCAACAGAACACCACTCGACTCATTGTATCAGCTCGGCATAAATTAGTGCGTAAGCAGAAATCTGAATGATACAAGGAAGCCTGTCGAAAGGAAGCTGGGCATTCATTCAGCGTGTTCTCCCGATCGGCGAATGTGCCGGAAGCGCCGTGGCAACACTTGCGCGCAGCTCAATTACCGGAAGGAAGTGTTAGCTGATTGTTTACCGGTGTGTACATGCATCTATGCCGGGATTGCGTTTCGGCGTGTTGTGGAGGCGTCGCGTGAAAGTGGGACACAGAGTTAAAGACTGTATTATACAGAGAAGGGTGCCTTTTGATCGGGATACGCGATGACTTGTTAATATCTGCAATTTGTCAGTCCGGCGTCCAGAAAAGCCGGGTGGTGTAGGTAGAGCGCTTGGCGGAAGAAGGGAATTAGCTGGGACGCACTCATCCCTAATTGTAGTAATTGCCCACTTAACTGCCCACCTACCGAGGCAAATGCCGGCGTGATATCAATGCAGTATAATTGCTGTATTCATTCATATTCAGCAGGATACATATTTATGATGTGCTTGTTGGGCCGGTGTCATTTAAAAGCCCTTTTAAACTCACTGCATTTTCGAGAAATCATTTTATACTACAAAAGATTTTAAAAAATTAAATGGGAAAATTGATGGTAGACTGCTGTAGTGCATTATAATCCTGTATAATTATTATCAATGCGCCGAAAGCTGCAAGTATTAATGTTCCGAGTAACGGAAATTTTTTATCGCCGAGAATTTAATAATAATCTTGATAATTATGTGGTGTTGATTATTATTGTTCGATTTTAGTAAACAAATAAAATACAGAGTAGAATTAGATAAATATGACAATAAGATATATTGTACATATAATAAATAAGTATAAAAATAAAATATACATGTAAATATGTATGCTAAATAAATGTATATACGTGTAAATTCATAAACGAGAATCGGCGCAGTGTGGAAAATTAATTAAAGTTACGAGAGGGTCATGGTGTATATTTATGTGCGTTTTTTGCGTAACTGTTTATGGGTAACGCGGCGCGTTACTGTACTGTAAATAGCCGACAGATCACCTGCGTGCCAAATAACGCGTATTTTTAGCCCGGGCCAATGCGTGTGCTCACTGCTCAGTGGCTATAAATGTGTGCATGTGGCCGATTGGCCCTGAAACAGTGTCGTGGGCGTGGGTGAGATGGATATTTATAGCCGCGCCATCCGCCACTCTCTCGGCTCTCTCTGACGATGCCCTCAAAATATCGCAAATGAGAAAAAAAACGCGGCATAGATTTCACCAGTAATTAATACTGCACACTGGGTGCATCGGCAACAGAGTGGATGCAGTTTGCGTTTGTCAGCAGCGAATTGAATTAACCGAAATCAGCGGCGGTCGATGTAGGGCACTAGGGCTTCAAGTTATATTGAATGTGTAAACGATACACCGAGTAAATTTGGCTTCCAGCATTCGATCGGTGTGTTTGTTTGTTTTTTTCCCAAAGTAATTATACGAAAACTGTCATGGAAATTTAATTTTGTAAATGCCAGATTAAAATCTAACAATTATATATTTCCATGGTATTAATTTCTTTTAAAAGTACCCAAAAACTTCGTTTTTTAAATTACAAATACAAAAATCATAACATTTTTAAAATAAAAGTACAAAAAATATCGGCGGGAATTCAAAAGAAAAAAATTATAACCTTTTTTAAATAAAAAAATTTATTGACGTTGAGAAAGCTTCGAAAGAAATTAAGGAAAAATTCTACGTGCTGTTTTTTATTGGAAAATAAGGATGACTGACGCGAAAGCGCTACAGAGTACGTATCACGCGGATGATTTTACTTATCAGCGCCTATTGGCGCGGGAATCCGCGGCCAAAACCCGCCCGGTATGAGTGTGTGGCAATGAAACACACTGTAACCGAAAACCGAGGGAGTCAAAAGTGTGTTGCTATTCCGGGGACGCGCAGAAACCGCGGCTAATTGTATCGGCATCGCCATAATTAGTTGTCGTTTGCGGCGCACAGGAAAAAACACGCAACATTGGCCGTGGCCCTGCACACACGCCAACGTAGTCGAGCGAGTAAGCGAACTATTTTTACATTCTCGAAAATATTCCAGCGCTCTAATTGCAAAAATTCTACACTGCAGACAGTTTTTCTTCCTTATGTATAGATACGAGTATAACATTCTCCGTGTTAAATCCCGATGACCTTTCGATTACGTGGGACTATTTTCTAATTACTGCGCATATTTTTTATGTGTTTATTCTTGATGACCTTTTGATTATCGGGTGTCTTTTTTAAATTTTTGTGTACAATTTTTACTTTTATTGTGACGGATGATCTTTTGATTACGGATTACGATGCTGGAGTTAGCGCTGTGCCGAGGTCAGTGGATAGAGCGTGAAAGGTCACCGCGCTCAAGTGGTATGTTTGTGTGGGTGTGCGGATGACACAGCAGGTAGCTGCTGCACGCTGCATTGCGACTGCAATGCGCAGTGATGCGGTAATTAGGCGTGGGACGAAGTGGTTGTGATAGCGGAGATGCTGCACACTGCATATCTGGAGGTGGATATGCAGTGGAGGTGGATGCGCTGAAAACGCGCTTCTCACCCATTCATTCACGCACACTGCTATCGGCACACCGTGTAGGCGGACGAGAGCGCCATCCGAGAGCGCGCGATACATGCAATCAAATCATCTATATGCATTTTTTTGCTGGCGTGGTGCAAACCGAATGAGGACATGTCAGCGAATATCGTGTTACCGGCAACCTGATTAGCTGTAGAGAATAATTACGCTGATAGCGGTGTGTTTCGAAAACAGGATAGTGCGGCAATGGTGTGTGTTGCAGGTGCGAATAAATCCCTGATCAGCCCGTTCGTGGAGACCAAACAGCTGTTCGGATGCGAGCGCGCCTGCCCGACCCTGTCCAGCAGCAGCTGCTCACCGCCGAACAGCGCCGGCGCGCCCATGTTCAATCCCCCGCACTCCAAAGCGCCCCCCTACCCCACACCCTCCCCCACCACCACCGCCACCCCCGGCCCCTACGACGACACCCCCCACCTGACCTTCCACCCCACCCCGCGCCCCGCCCAGCCCGCCGCCCTGTCCCCCTACCCTTTCCGGCCGCCTACCGCCAGGGCGGCGGCAGTCCGCACGACCAAAGCAGCCTCTTCCCGCACCAGCGCCCGGCCGGCGCCCGCGTCCGCGAGACCATCCACACCAAACAGCCCTGGGGCGCCGAGACCCATGACCATGCCCATGCCGTCATCCTGGAGCAGGCCACCATGATCTCCGTGGCGCAGTACCGGCGGGTGGCGGCCGGCCATGACCCGGCGGGAACCACCGCGTTGTTCGAGTACCCGGCTGTCCCGCATCCCGGGATGTCGGAAGCGGCCGGCGGACCCTCCAGCGATCTCCTGCAACTACGCACACACTCCGCGCATCACCTCCCCACCTCCGCCCGCACCGTTAAACTGGAGCCGAGGACCAGCCCGACGGAGATGCAGCACTACGGGGGCGGCGACTACATGCAGTCCCCGCAGCAGTCCATGCAGTCCGCGCACTACGGCTACGAATACCCGCCGTCGGCCTACCTCCCGCTGCCCGGCGGTGGCGTGGAGCAGACCTCCGAGATGCAGTTGTTTGTGGCGCCCCACGAGAGTATGCAGCACTTCGGAACCTATCAGCATGAAACCCACGCGGTGTACCCGGGGAATCCCCGGGGCGCCGGCAGTGGGATGACCTTTGGCGGTGCCAGCAATATGCCCATGAAGCCGGTGTACGGGATGGGCGGGATGCAGGCCGTGGGGGCACTGATGCCTCCCGGAGGCGGGGGTGCCGGTCCGGCCAATGTGCCCATGGGAATGCGGCGGGGATCGGCCGGACGACAGGCCAAGACGCCCAGTCAGGACCGGCCGTACGGATGCCCCATGGAGCACTGCGAACGGCGGTTCTCCCGGAGTGATGAGCTGACCCGACACCTCAGGATACACACCGGCCAAAAACCCTTTCAGGTATGGACATAATTACCAGTTTCATATTACCACATAAACATACATTACTTGGCTTATTTAAAACGTAGATCAAAAAGGTCACGAGATTCATAGCGACAGTGTTTATTAAACGTTCTTATATGAGGCATGTAATCAAATAAAAAAACCAATCATACAAATTATAATGATTAACTGACTCCAAAAAAATTAATGCTCATGAATGACGCTTGGTTTTAATTTCACGGTTAACTGTAAAATTGGTAATTTGTTGATTCTTGTGAAAGTTAATGATAAAATTTGTTTCGCTTTAGTAATTCCAAGATTTTTCATATTCGGGTTATACCGAATGTAGTTTGCCATTTTAAGAAATGTGGCGCTATCTATCATCAGATCATGCCGGGAATTTCCTTTAAAATATGGCGACCGAATAATAGCGCTGCTACGCATACTACAAAGTCTGGATTAAAATATTATTATGTCAGCGGCGTATAACCCACTATAACGGCCGTTTCTCTATCGGCACAATGGAAGGCCGATGTAAAATTAATTGAAAGCATCGCCGATATTCCGATGAGAACGGGACGCACACGTAACAGGTCGTAACACGGAATCCATGTGCCGGTTAGGCAATATCAGCCTGTGCATATTGCAATGAAATGCAACCATCCTCTTTTTCCCTTCCCATGCAACGCGCACATTACTGTCCGCGATGCGTTCTCACGCAGTGCACCGGCCCTGTCGCTGTCGCCGCATATGTTCCCGTGCTCATCAACTCGAGCGCTGCTCATTCAGTCGACTCGAGTGGCCGAATATGATTATCATTCTTTATTGCCACTCATAATGTACATCGCGCTCTGTACCTGTTGATATTCATAATCCATTTACCGGCTCAATGATCGCGCGCGCTACCCATGACACAATGCACAAGAAAACCGGTTTGGTCCACTTGTCATACTGTATCCGGCTTTAGTGACGGCGACAACAAGTCAACGACAACCTGACCTGTACATGCGGCCTGCACTTGTTTCGTACGGCTTTAAAATCAACGTATTGTACACCTGGTCGTATTTTCGTACAGATACAAACTGCCTTTTTGTACAACTGCGCAATTGACATGACTGCATCCGTAAAGCTGCACAAATCCGTACTCGTACGTCGGTTCAGTATAGCGTACTTACATACGCGTCAACTCAACACTGGACTGGTCAAGCAAGTGCAGCTTTAAAATTAATTTAAAGCCTGCTGCGCTGTCCAGTGCAGTTTCGTTTTGAAAATACGTACGACTGTATAATGGTCATACTGATAATCTCGTACAACTTCTCTAAAATCCCGGTTTGCGCTGCACTACCGCTGCAGCACAGCCAGCTTTTTTTACTAGCCAATAAAAACACCGTATTAACCGTCTGTCGCTAATTGCAGTGTCGCATCTGTCATCGTGCCTTCTCGCGCAGCGACCACCTGACCACCCACGTGCGGACGCACACCGGCGAGAAGCCCTTCAGCTGCGACATCTGCGGCCGGCGTTTCGCCCGCTCCGACGAGAAGAAGCGCCACACCAAGGTCCACATGAAGCACCCCAAGACGGCTGGATCCCTGGTGCCCACCGGCTCGTCCTCCTCGGGGCGGCAGCCGCGGACGTAACCAACCAGTGCACAGCAATGCTCCCAGTGCATTTTGCCCAATGCGTCACACGTCCAGGTGCTGTACTGTTTCACCACAATCGGATGCATGACTCAGCTGCTTCTTAGCCTGTAGCGTTACTTATTTTCTTGGACTATTTTCTAGAGTATTTGTATTTAAATTTTTGCACTGATTGGGAACTGAAATTATCTTAGCCAAAGGATGCTGCGTATTTGCCGTGGCGTCGTTAAATTTTGAAATAATAATTTTTTTCTAAATATTTGCCGACGATCCGATCCCGGTCTGTTTGTCTTGAGTCTGTGATGCTTTGGCAGTCGACACTCGACACCGTCCCCATGGTCTCTGCAATAAGTGCACACGACCTTTATGCTCCCATCCGCGGACGATCTGATCATCAGCATGTATGTTTGTATTCTCAATAAAATAAACTCCATCCCTGCACAGAGAATTACCTCTGTATTACCTGCTCGGTGCTCCCAGCCTCCCACTCGATAAAAGTATTTCTGCCAAAGGGGAATAAAATAATTTTTCTTTGTCGTTATTAAAACATTTATCTGGTTTGTGCGTAGCGTAAAATCCATGAATGCCACAATTCACAAAAAATTTTAAGACAGAAAAGTCCAAAGCAAGATGTTTTTTTACAAGAAATGTGTGGTGGTGGCAGAATAGTATCGGAATTGTTTAAACATAATTATGCTAGTAGTTCACAATATTTCTAAGCTTTTCTAAATGTTTCTATAATGTTGCATTTGCCATGTACAGATGTATTGTAAACTGGTGTATTGTACGTCTGTACGAGTGAGCATTTTCTAATGTTCCCAAAACTACCATTTTCAAACACGTTTTAGGTGTTCCTGAACGTTAAATCACGCAGTACATTATTTCAGGACATACTGTAATACACTTTATCCAGCCTCTTACCGATGCAGAACGTTTCCTGAACGCAAGCAGCAATATGTACTTTCTAAATAATTCTGAATATTTCTTTATATTTCTAAATATTTCTCATTCCCAAATAATATCTGTACTTCTATATCAAACGCTTTAATCAAGCAATGAATGTTAAATAGTGTCCCTATATATGTACAAAACATGCTCGTTCCTATGATTCTATGTACAAAAAGCAAACTGATACAAAATCTACAGCAGAGTGTTTAAGCGAAACTGTCCGGAAGTACGACAAATTTTCATCCCACAAACGTAATTATTTCCATCAATAAAAAAGCAGCAGTCGATGACTCGATGTTACAACAATACAAATCAACGGAATGCCACACCCGCCAGCCACAACCAACAAAAGCACGTTACACGGTATGTACACGGAAGACCAACTGCAGCCAAAACAAACTCCAGGAGATAAAATACATAGCCGAATGGTCGTCGTCTGAGCAGCCACAGAAGGACGGACGCGTGCGGCCGGCTACAGCAGGGAGGGCCCGCTGTAGTCCACGTGGTCCGTGGTGAAGGAGTCCGGACACGGGATCTCCTCCAGAATCACGTAGTCGCGGCCGTCCGCCTGCCGGGCTGCTGTCAGATCGTCCGGTGAGGCCGGTCCTTTTTCCTGGTAGAAACTAATTTCGCGATGACCCTAGTAACATGTTCACGTTTTTCTTAACGTCAGAAACACTTCTGCCATAAATTTTAATAGCCACTTTTGAAATAATTTCGAGCAAAATGAAACCTGCAACCAAAAAAATTACCTTGGTTCTTATCGGCGTCTGCCAGTACACGTAATAATATGCCTGCGAGGGTTACACTAATGAAAGTTCCAAATTACCTTATATTACTGTGATGCCAAGTCGAAACAGCACCCGCCCGTACAGTGAGTTACATGCTAAACGGATACGACTCACTGTAAAAAAAAGTTCTGTTTCGACTTGGCATCACAATACTTTATAAATGTTTTTCTGAAAACTATTCGCTTTCAGCCGCTGAAATGATTAAAATTAATTATTAATCATCAATTAATTAATTATCATTAACTATTCTTCGCTCATGTTCAACACTCTAAAAGCAACCCCTCGTCCAAAAATTCTCTGATTTAATTCTGTATTTTTTCGTTTAAAATGGTTTTAAGAACAGAACGTAAAATTGAGAGCACAACGTCATCACGTCGGCCGGGTTTTTTAAAGAGAATATTATCTTTGTTTAAAAATTTTATCACCTTGTTGCAGTCGTCATCGTCCGGATCACACTTCCTGAAGTCATACGGCGGCGCCAGGACGTCGAGGAAGATGGCCATCGTCGGCGTGTCGTTGGTGATCTCGTGGATGTCGTCGTTGTGCCGACTGAGCACCAACGGCGCACAGGCCGGGGTGACCACCTGCATCGGACCTTTCCTGGCCAGCAGACCGGCCGGGGTGTTGTCCGCACCGGGGCGGGAGGTTAAAGGGCCCACGGAGGAGTAGGTCTGCACGGTCAGCTGGCCGTGGAGGACGCGCAGGATCCCGTACATCTTGGGGTGGTTGTGCAGCGGCAGACGGGCGCCCGGTTTGACGATGAAGGCCGCCACCGTCATCACGTTGGCCGGATCCCTGCCAGGCACAGAAGATTCAGGTGGAGGGAGGAATTTTAATTTATTTCTAATTTCGGAAATTTAATAGCCGCTAGGCCGGTTTAACCGTAATACCAGGTGCCAGCAAACTATAAAAAAATCCAAGAATTTTGCTCCAGATGCCTGGCTGTACAGTGTGCACACAGGACCACACGGGCAAAAAAATTAAAGAACAATCAGTTTTTATCTGAACTCGGTTTTACGAATATGTACACTAACGATTTGGATGTTTTTCAATGTTTAAACTTCGATATTTTAGCTGGCACTGGCTGATGCCGAATAAATGCGAAATTCTGTTGTACAAAATTCAACCAGTTTTATTATTATCTGCGCAATATTATCTGACAAATTTTACAATTTATTAGATTAATTTAAGTGACCGTAGATAAATGCATGCAAGAACCAGGCACATGCATTTATTACAGTAACTTCGTGTAAATTACTTTACTGTAACTGATTTCTTTAATTTTGTAGATTAATATGTGAGACTGAATTATGCTTAAAAAAGTATATCAATTCATAGTTCATCTATAAGGATGTATCCTATTTCTTAAATTTCAGTTATTTTATAACTGAAATGATGTTTATGAAATTTCAGGGGATTAACACCCGTACTTATTAAAAATTTCACAAAGTCATGGGTGTAATTTTTCGTAAACAGCAAAACATAAAGATGCAGCTCAACAGCAACGTACTTGGCAGCCGGAGCGGGACTATTGGGAGGCGGATGGGGCTGCGGGGGTGCCGCCTTCTCCGTGGCCTCGGCATCCACGACCGACATATACAGGACGGGGGCGCGCCCCTTATCCCGCCAGGCCTCCAAGCGCCCCTCATCCAGCCCCAGGTCCCCCAGCTGCAGTTGCGCCAGGGAGGATTGCAGCGCCTGGAAGGCCGTGCGGAAGGCGGGGTTGTCGAGGGTCTGGAATGAAGGCGGGTGGGAGAAGAGCGCGTAGGCCTCCCACACCAGACGGCGCAGGGGGGTGTCGGGTCCGGGGGTGGTGGACATGCCGCCGAGGCTGGACAGGTATCTGTGGAGGGATACAAGACACGATAGTCCCGGTTAAATGGGGAATAAAAGGGGGGAGTGAGCCACGGACCTCCAGAGGGAGCGAAACATCCCGCGTGTGGGGAAAATACTACAGGATGCTGTAATGGTCTAGTGACTAGTGGTACTGCAGACTGACGATGGATTCGCAGTGTTGGGATAGCCTGGCAATAAGCAACAATAACAGATACGTTACTCTGGAAGATATACCACGGATAAAATGATAAAACTGAAAATTAATAAACAATTAAGTGTCACAATTCAAAAACACTGCGCCCGATACTGGAAGCAGTGGAACTCGATGATTATGCCATTATGGCAACTGCGAACTGTGTATATACCTTCGCTGCAGGCGGATTTAACGGATTTCAGATCCAACAAAGAACAGAACTGTCAAACAATGTTTCACTACGAGTAGTAACTTTCTCCAAATAAAAGTAACAAACGATAAACTCTCGGGAACATTAAAACAGGCAAACAGAAACGTAAGGTTTAAGAAAGCTGAAAGCACAACAAACACAAATGCTTTTTAAATGCTGTTTTGCAACTTTTGCCTTTGCGCAATGCTGCAGATGGCGACAGGTACGAGTACAGAATTTTCCATGTAAACGAATGCTGTTCCGCCATCCGCGAGCGGTTGCCAATGCCGATGGCACTAACTGTAACTATACAGTACTCACCAACTTCCGCTTTGTACTAGTATAATATCATCGCGTCGCGTTGACACAGGCCTGGGAAGTGCATTGCTTGGATTGCCTTGGAAAATGAACTCTGATGCACAGGAGATGATGAGCCATTTCCTTCAGAGTTCAGACTTCAGTGTAGCCCAGTATTATTGCTTTCCTTTTTAGCTATAACTTCCGTTTCACCAGAAAGCCCTTAGCTGAAAAATTTCAGTTGAAGGAAATTTTGGGACTTCCGGTGCTTGAAGCACTTGCAGCCGCTCGGTACGACGCAGCGTATTGCGAATTTCACCTGCAAACCGTTTTTGGAAATTATCATTGGTTTCCTTTTTGACTGGCCTTTCTCTGCACTACCGTACAAGAATTATTAAAGAACTATTAAAGAATCTGCACTTTACTTATTATTAAAGAACCTTCTCTGCACTTCTATTAAAGAATTTTTAGCAATCCTATAAGAAACCATAAGAAACCGTTCCAAGCTGTAAATGCGTCGCCATTTCCCTTCACGACGCTTAATTAGAAAAACGCGGCAAAAACTGAACAAAACAAATAAAAAATAGCTGTGTGAGCGCCAGTTTTTCACTCACACTATTACTTTTAGGAATGTTCCCAGCGTTGACCGTTTTTCAGACAGTTTAATAATGCGTAAGATGAACCCAACCAGGCAGACGGGTCAGAAAGACGTAATCCTTCGACACTTCTAATCGCCAGAGCAATATCTCATGCCAATCGCCGCGATTCACGTTAACCAAGCTGGTACAAACTACAAACTACCCAGCTGTTGCCGGTCTCTTTGGTTTATCACTTTATCATTAGCCGTACGCGTGCACTAGTATCTCCGCTTCGCCGGCATACTCACGGCCTGTATAACAGTGGAAATTGTAACAGCTTGCTTAATTAAGTAGATAGATGCAAGTGTTAAACATTCCGCAAACTGAGCGATATGTTATCAGCCATACAAGATACAACCAAGCACCAATGTTTGTGAATTCTACTGCGACGCCGTGCGCGCGAATACCGCACAGCAACACACTGTTATGATCCCTCGATTTACCTGCTAATTGGATATACCAGCCTCATTAGCAATCCTCTGCCGTATATTTTTGAACATTTTCCCAAAAAATTGGTATTTATTGTATGTAAATAAGAGCACAGTCGTTTAAGTCAATTTAAATATGTTATCATATTGCTGTCTGGATGTGTTCTACGGGCATTTTTATATAGCAGCAAATTATGTCGCTTGTGCTATGTAAGGCTCTGCAGTAACGCCGTCCTTCCTCTGGAATGATGAGCACGGGGCGGGCGCTGCAGGACGTGGACCGGGGCTGGGCGTGGGTGGTGCTGTTTGGCGGCTGCCTGACGCAGGCCATCGGCGACGGACTGCGCCAGACATCCGGCATCTTATTCTCCGAATTCATCGATAATCTCGGGCTGACACGCCCGCAGGCGGCCGCCGTCATCGCCGTTTTCAATGGCATGTTCATGATACCAGGCACGTTTCCTGCTCATAGACAGTAATCCCGGTGCCGAATTAACATGGAAAAGCTGCTTATATATTTTTAGCACCGCTTGTAAGTCTTGTGGCGCATAAAGTTGGACTCCGTGTTACAACTGTCGCCGGGGCTATTCTCTGCGCTGCCGGTTATCTCGGCAGTTCCTTCTGTCATTCGTTTTGGCCGCTGCTAATTACGTTCGGAGCTATGAATGGTCAGTAAGAGATTGCTATTCTAAGTTAAGATAAATTAACTAGGACATTGATTTATTTAGCTAGATCTGAATCAGAAGAAGAACTGTGATATAATTAATTATTCGCACTCAAAAAAAGGGGAAAACTAAACGCTTTAATAATTTCGTATATGTAGGTCATTTACAAATTAAATTAATTAATTTCAATTTGCTAAAAGAAATTACACAAAATGAAATTCGTTAACTTAAGTACATAAAAGGAAAAGCTATACGAAAAAGAAAACCCGGAAAATTAATTAACTAATTGCATTCGAAGATGATTCATTTAGGTTTGGGCAACTGCATGGTGTACATCCCGACGCTGGCGACGCTTCCACTGTGGTTCAACAAGTACCGCCAGCTGACGGCGGCCATCAACATGACCTGCGGCGCTCTGGGCATCTTCATCCTAGCGCCGCTGCTGCAGGCGCTGATCGATTCGTACACCTGGCGCGGCGCGGTCCTCGTGGTGGCCGGCATCGTGCTACAGGGGGCGCCCAGCGGCATGACCTTCTTCCCGGCGAAACTGCCGGAAACCGCCAACCAGAAGATGGCCAGTGTCGTTTCTGCGCGCAATGTCCTGCTGAAAAACCTGGCCTATTGGTTGCATGTAGTGCATGGTTTCCTTATTTTTGGTACGCACGACTTGCTATACTAATCACACAAACTACGCTCGCCAAAAGTTTCCACTCGGCTCCGATGACTGCATTCGTTAGCCAAGATGATTAATTCATACAACATAATATATTAAATTAATAATAATAATATTAAATGTCATTTTGTATTGCTCTGTATGCCCACTCAATTCCCCCCCGCTGCAAGAGCCATTTCCAATTGGTATAATTGAGTGAACCTATTCTAAAATTATCCTCATAGAACTTTCGTAACAATTTAATATGGCTCTTATGGGATATTTTAAATATTATTTGGTACTATCTTTAATTTATTCTTTCCAACGCGGAACCACGTAAAGCGATTATTGCAAAGTATGGCTGCGCTATTTATTCATATGCGATGGCTGTTACGCACAGGTGTTCCGCTCTTCCTCATCTTCATCGTGCGGCATGTGGTGAAGCACCGCGGTTTTACCCCGCAGGAGGCGGCCATGCTGGTCAGTGCCGTGGGTATCTCCAACTTTTTCGGCCGCTTCAGCGCCGTGGCCATCACGATGAACCGCTTCACCCGCGGCAAGAACGTGCGGATGGCCGCTTTTAACGCATCCTCCCTTGGAGCGGCCGTGTCGATCCTGTGTATCCCGTTGATCGGCGGCTTCTACGAGACCGTCGTGGTCTGCATCGTGGCCGGCTTCTTACAGGGCTGCAAACTCGGTACCATGCTCGGCGTCACTATGGATATCACCACGCCGGCACTCTTCCAGACCGGCTATGGTATCTTTCACGGAGTCGCTGGCATATCTATCCTTATTTTTCCGCCTTTTGCCGGTAAGCAGATAATACTGACTTTTACTTTGAACAGTATTACATTTAAGCGATGAAATTGTTATAAATACTTTAGCGAAATTTTATTATTTCGAAAGTCTTTCGTGACCTTTTGAAGTCATATATGGCTGTCTGTTAATTTTGTAGTTATCGATGCAACTTCTCTTTAACATTAATAAAGTAACAACAGCTTAGTTTTATTTGGAAAAAAAACGGTGCTTTGCAATTGCGTTAAAGATTGTTAATCTATCTGTCATCGTAAACTGACTGCGGTATATAGGTTACCTGGCGGAAAGAGCCGGCAACTACAATGCCTGTTTCTACTTGTCGGCCGTTGCTCTCTTCCTCTCCTTCCTCGTCGGGATGGCCGTGCATTATTTAATGTACCAAAAAGACAAGTTGCGCCAGACTTTTGAGGAGGGAACGGCCGCCGCCGGTGATTCGCCGAAGGAAGCGGAAACCGGCAAATTGTAATCAATAGCGTGCGACGAATGCGGAATGACAGACCTGCACGCGTAGAGAGCCCAGTTTCTCATTGTTTTTACGCTTATAAATGCACACCGTCTCGGAGAAGACAAAGAGCGCACCAATTAATAAAGCGTCCGGTGAGAAAATAAACTTTTTTGCATGTGCAAGGAGATTCAGCGTAACTGCGCAGTTCTGGCTGCTCTGCCATTTTTGCGCAACGGCAACAATACAATATTGTTATTGTTGTTGCTGTTACTTCTTACACTACTTCGAAGTATAGCAGAAAGCAGACATGCCGACCAATGCACGTTTTATTAAAAATTTATTCTTGAGACCGCGCTTTCTCTGTCAAACTCTTGAAAAGGCCGTCTCGGTACAATAGGAAAAGAGATTTTTATTGATTTATGAGTGTAGTTATTGACATCACCTCGCACATTGAATAACTTGCATGCACCATGCCATTTGTAAATCGCAACGCCAGGTCAAACTAGCGGTTTATTGCACCAGACATTCATTATCGTCGCCCTATGCCGCCCTTTTGGGGCGGTACCCTTATTTTGCAAACTTGAAGGAAGAGGGACGATTGTAACGAGGGATGCCGTCACTGCGAGAGGTACAGGAATTTGATAGTTTTGGTGAAACATAGGGTCACTCATCCCGTCATCCCTATCGATTCGTTCACCGATTTCATGTTGGGCCAACCGGCCAGACGAATTGGTATTAGGGGCGACGATTGCACACGAGCACGTAACGTCCAATGTAGACCTGCGTATCGCAAATAAGGACTAATGTAACTCCATCTTTGCTGTTGGCCTTTTGTGTAGATTCCGTGACAGGATCCAGGTCACACGGGATTGAATATTGAATATTGTCGAATATTGTCGCTGATTTGAATAGTATCTCCAAGGTCGTATTCACGGCACAACGCCCGCATTCTTCTCCTTTATCCGGCCGACAGTATGGGCTATGGTCTAGGTTTAGATGCATCCAGTTCTTACACTTAAAACAACGACTTTCGCAGACAGCGTTCAGGCCAAATCGTAGTGCGATAGTCGATGGCGGAGGGTCATAGTGCCGGTGATCTCACAGTGAGATGGGTGATCGGGGCTCCAACCAATACCGCGGCTCCGCCTCTGCCAGTGCCGCTAACCTTTAAAGGGTGATCAATACGTAGCGAAAATGTAATAATTATGAGAGTATCGGTTAACAATAACATCAAGTCATAACATCGTTTCCGTTCAGATAGGTGAAAGGCAAAGTGTACATCTTCCTTCTCGACCATGTCGCTAAATGTACCGAGTGCAGAAACTGCATTTCCTTGTTGAATTTCGATATTAATTCTTTGGCGTAAAAACTCTCCTGAGCGAGGGTTGCTCTGCTGTCGGCCGTCACTAATCTTTCCTGACAGCTCTTTAAAGAGAGAGTTTTTTCGTCTGTGGTCCGAATGTACCAGTAGTTTCAAATGCCAGCGGTTGGATGACGAACGCCGCTAACAATGCAACAACACGAGAAAGATCGCCATACGACTGCAACCGCACACGGGAATAACGAAATATTCCAGTTACTAGCTCCTTTTAAACCTTATTCAAGTGCGGGTCTGAATACGTGTGGTACAAGGGTTCTCTTGCCTACCTCCCAAAAGCTGTCGGGTTCACGGATTTCTCGTATTGCGGTTTTCCATCTCCGTCTACAGCGAGATTTCTTGCTTCAGGTTCGAGCGATGGTACAGCATCTTCATTCCTATAGTCGCGAATCACACGATCGTTAATACCGAAATCTCCAACTTTTTCGGCCGATTCAGCGCTGTTGCTATCACATGACGTGTACCGGTGGGATGGAACGTACACCTTGTACACATCTTTCTACTTGCACTTTGTACTTTTGTCGCTTTTCCTATATTTTATATCTTGTTTGTACATACTTGTTTTCCCTATAGATGTCTGGCTTATTTACTTCGGATGACGCGGATCTACGTTTGACCAATGCTGTTGTTTCTCAGCTGTTGTAGCCAATGGCTAGCTAAAACATCCTTGTTGGTTTCACGCCTACTAGATGCCTGCGCGCATCTCGAAGTCTATATAAGGCCAGCGGAATGTGTCAGTCGAATGAACTTGGAGATTTCTCGATTCTGTTCGGTTATCTCACAGGTTTTCCTATAAATCGCTGTTACTCGTAGTTGTTCTCGGACTACAGTAAAGTGGTACACAGGTATCTGCAGTTCACTCTCATTTATTCGTGATCAAAGGTCACTTCCTGATCGAGCTCGTGCTCTCAGTAAATCTTGTTTGCCTCTGCTTCCATCTGGAAATTCCTCTGCTTCCATCTGGCGTTAGCGTTGAGTAAAGGTCACGCTAAGGATTTCGGATTCGTCTCTTCTACTCTGTACGTCGACTGGATATTACCACATTGGATTCTTCAGGATCTTCAGGAATTCCAGAGCTTCCAGGATACGAGGAGTTTCCCACCGAGTTCTTCACTGTAGCAGATTGAGATCCTCAGAGTCGCTCTACCGATGTTGTCGTGGTCGGTAGCGGTATTGACGTGTGGGAGTAGGATCACACGCCTGGATGTACGTACGGATGCTGACTGTCCGCCTTCCACCTGCAACATAACGGATAATCTAGTCAATCAATGCTGTGATTTGCTGTTCTCTTTTACTAGCGATGTATATGATGTCATAACGCGAGGTCTATATAAGTTCATGTTGTTGCTAATATCGGTATCAGTAGTCTTGGATTACTTCTTGAGACTGCTTTCTAATTACAATTTATAATTTCCTTGCGTTGTGGACTATGTTTTCTGATGTACATTATCGATCTCGGATTATTGCATAGAATACAAGTTTGCTCGTGACACAATCGTCCTAGCTCTTTACCAATCCTCATAGAAACTGCGACCGGAAGTTGTAGCTGGAGTGTTTCTGCTTAGGGATTCCTGAGTTCTCGTGTTCCTGAGTCGTCGTCTTATTCCACCATAATTTAGCTGTTACAGTTTGAGATGAGAGTTGCCTACCGACTGACATTTACAGGCGTGGAAGAGTAAAGATTGTTCATGGAGCTCTAACCAGCGTGAACGCTTATACACGACAGTATCAAAAGGTCAGTCCTAGAACCTTACTTACCGTTTGTGTAGCAGGAAAGGTCGTCCGTTCGTCTTCAACCCACCGACCAACCCTCTGCCATACACGACACACATGAACCGCCTCACTCGCAGCAAGAACGTGAGGATGATCATTTGCAAAACGGGTTGTCTCTGGGAAAAGCCGCTTCTAACCTTCGCCTGTAATCAATTGACACCGAACTCAAAATAATCTATTATCAATAATTATTACTATGCGAGTACCGAAAATTTCTTCCATTCGTTTAAGATTTAAATGTATCTATATTTATTCCATTTATATTATATTTATTACTTTTGGAACTGTGTATTTTTAGCGGAACTCGAGGGAAACGTGACAAAAATATCAAGAGTTGCTGTAATCTGGGAACACTTACCTTACTTTTGACAGTGTTTTCAGTTCGGGCTCCATCTAAATTTTAATTATGTAGTAGCTGGTATCTGGTGCATGCGGCCTTTTGATAATAACTGACAAAATAGCTGATTAGACTTATTCAGATGCAAAACAACGCGTTTTAGTTCTCCTCGTACTTGCTGGCGCCAACCGGCGACCGCTAACTGACCGCGGTATGTGATTATCTGGCAGAGCGGGCCAGCAGCTACAATGCATGCTTCTACTTGTCAGCCGTTGCTTTCGTCCCATTTGAAATATTTCTAAAAACTGTTTTTTTTTGCTGTACGCACCACGCAGCATATTTTGTATTCTCATTCATGATTCCATACCTCGAAAACAACTGGTCGCGCGCTAGCGCGACCGATACTTGTGACGTACATATTATTATTATAACGTCAAAATTGGTTCCTCTAAAGGACAAAATTTTTCGTTATTCTGTTACTTTCAGTGCCGTGATTCACATTAAAATTTCTTTGACAAATCACAAATACCTAATTATACCAACTGAGTCACACATTGTTCTTGCAAATACGTATACCGCCGCTATAGTAAAAAACGCACGATCATTACAGTTTATCAGCATTAACTGTTATCAAAGCGATGCTGAACAAGTAGTGCGATTACGTTAACTGCATATCAGACCTAATTTTAATAACATTATAAATGTGCGTACTGCGTAGTGCGTGATCAAGTCAGTTGTAATAAAAAAGCACACATTTAGGAAGTCTGCATATGCTCGTGTACCGAGCTGAGACCTCGTACACACTGTAGCAGTAGTACTTGTACACGAATTCAGTTTTGCACGCGCCGATTTTGGCTTCTGTTATACAAGTACAACTAAATTCCACCTCAACTGTAGTTTAACTAAAATCTAAATTCCAGATGGCCACTGACCGCGCATTATTATAGAACAAAAGCGTACACGCTAGGACAATCGAGCTATCTTACTTAACGTGTAAGTTTATAGCGTCTGCCGAAAATTAGTATTACAGAAGTACGCTTGTACGTATATAGATATATTCTGATAATGTTGAAGTTAACAAATGCGCATAGAAATGATTACTCACACGTTTGTTAAGTCATTTACGAACTGTAATACTGAGTTACTGACCATTGTCAAAGAGAAACGAATTATCAGCTTTTCGCGATAAGCTGTTTTAAAACCACCTTGAGCTGTACTGCGTGCATACAATTGCACGGTAACACAAAATCAAATCTTGATTAAGTCATTACAAACGTGACTTCTCAACCCAAGCGCTAAAAGCAAAAACCAAAGCGTACGAGGTACATTGTGACTCTAGGCTTGACTCAGCATTCCCGTTTAAAAGATCGGCAAATACAGAGTGCACTTTTCGTATAGAAAATTCGGAGTTTTCCAAAATCCCTTAGCTCCTTTGTAAAAACAGTATTTCTTTGTGTACAACAGTACAGAGGTATAGGAGCAAAACCGGTTGCTTACGGTGTGAGCGATATTAGTGTTTGTAAATACGTATAAGCGGCTATCCACTCCCAACATGGGCAGTGGATACGTTTGGTTTCCGGTTACGAATGAGCCAATGTACAATCGGCGCTTGGCTGGATTTATGGCATTGTCACAGTTCACTCTGGGACTGACCATCCTTGCTGCTATGGGTGCTACAGGAGGGAGGTACCACATTTCTGGATATAACACATGATTGCAATTGTCGTGTTTATACTGTAGCTAGCAGCCGTTAATCGGTTACAAATTAGTCCGGACAGTTCAAGAATAAATTTATATAATCACCTTCGCTTTTGCAATTTTAAAACACCGAACAAATAATCGAGCCTCAGAAGCCGGAGTCGAAAACTTAAGCATGCTTTTTCGACGCTGCAGCAATCAATGAAAATATTGGAGTGCCGGAAGACGAAGAGATTATTGAAGCGTTTGCCATATTAACCGTTTGGACGCTGTTGATTTCTCTTATCGCGCTCTTTGGCTACGTCAAATCGTCCTATGTACAGATGGCACAGAGCCGTTTGGACGTTGGCCAGTCAGAGCGCTGGAAAAAGTACTTTCGCGGCTGGACCTGGATCCTGATCATCACAATGTTTATCAGCATAGGCAGTGTCATTCACAGCGGCATGGTCATGGAAGGCAGCGTACGTGGATACGGTCCACTCGCTGGTCCAGCGGGGATGGGCTGCGGATTGCTGATGGTGATCATAGAGGTCGTCGTACTGATTATAAAACTCGTTGTGGGTGAGAAGGGATCTGCGGCGTTCGCCAACCAAGAGCGCGAGACGCCCGTTCAACGCGGCGTAACACCGGGTGGTTACAGCGTACCCGCGGCTGCCCTGGAACACGGGACGACTGCTTTCACGCCGATCAATCGCTTGCCGCAGTTGCCTTATCCCCCCGCTACTTTGCCGTATCCACGAGAAGCCGCTTCGTTCACAGCTTGCATGGTTTATGAACCGAGAAATATGCTAACCACTGTGACTGAAAAAAACGATTCAGATTTACCGCCAAGTTACGAAGAAGTCATTAAAAAATAATAACTACTGATGTTTTTATGTGTAAGTGTGGATCTCTTTGTCGAAGTGTGATTTTTTCCTTTGAAGTTACGTACACGTGATTTTCTGGAAAGGCTTCTTTTCGCGCATGCTTTGGATAATATATTGGTAGTTAACGAAACCTAATAAGAACGCTAAACAAAAATTATATTCTTACTGTTTTACTCAGTTACAACTTGCACTTGTCGCCATGCTCGAATTCGTGGAATGTATTGCACGTTAGTGCACTGTATCTTCTGTCAAACAATTAAGTAACCCGGTTTTAATTCAAAACATAAATATTTAATGTGTTGCTTTGCGAATTGGATAATCGATACCGCGCTATGCAAATAGTGCACAACCATCGTGATTCATCACCAGTAACTGTTATCACTTATCAGCATGATACTGCACATTGCACAATTGCGGTTATTAACTACAGAGTACGTACTGCGTATCTGCTATGATGTCAGAATTTAATAGCGCTGCGGATGCTCAAGGCAACCGCTATAAAAAAGAAATCTACATACCACTTGGTGGGTACGTAACGAAATGAGTGGTGGTGAGCAACTGAAGTACCACGACTGCTTACTGCACATAGTGAGTGACCAATTTCCATTACTGTCCAATGCGCAGAGCGGACTGAGAGTTTGAGACTTCCAGTAAGCAAATTACCGTTATTTTCTTGAGTGCAAATCGTAATAAGTGGTGAAGAACTGAAGTAACACCACTGTTTACTGCATATACTGCCATATAATGATAGCAAATAGTGCACGCAATAATACTAAATATTAATCACAATCATTTATCACAATCCTCCGACGCGCTGAACGTGGAGAAAGAGGAGCAAGTAGTCTCGGTGGTGGTTCGATGGCTGGATCGTTCTGTCCCAGAGCGACTGCCGCACGCGGCGGAAATGGTGCGACACATTCGCGCGCCTTTGTTGACTTCCGAGCATGTGGCTTCCCTTCCCCATACTCCCGCTGGTCAGCAAGTTCAGCAAGCGGTTCACAAAGCGGACGGCACGTGCACGCTCCGTAGCTCCTATCGTGAGTTTCTATAATGCATAACACATAAGTTCTGCAGTAAAGTGCAGTCGATATATGTACACCGGCCGAATACATACATACATAACGACATTATTTGTTGCCGTCGAACCATGAGGTCAACAGACCATCTGACCAAAATTTCGTGGGCAAAACCTATCCGCAAGCTTGGGGATGAAACTGGGTTTGTCACCTGTCACTCAAATCATACGAAGCGACTGTTGGAAAACGTAGCCGCTGTCGATTACCGTATTCATGTACGGTTGACGGTTAATCAAATCTGAACTGGCGAAATTATTATTAAACTTTAAAGTGTCTGAGCTGTCAACCACATGAACGCAGTACCGAAGCGACTAATTCGCTGCTTGTATGCTTTTTTTATTATGCTTTTAAGACCATAGAACAACTGGACTGCGCTTCAAGCAATCATACTTTTGTGATGGGAAATGAATATTATTATCTGAAATTGTATTTCATGGGCTGAAAAGTGTTTCTGTGTATCGTTTGTTCTTCGGCCATATATACATTGTAGAGTTATGTGCGAATAATGTGGAGTGTCTGTCACGTTTTGAGAAAACGTATCTATTTATTTGCTACTCTCCAAGAACTAATCGTAAGTAATCTGTCTATGGATAACAAAGTGCAGTGTGCACGGAAGTACCCGTTGCAATGCACAATACAGGTATAAGTACATGCCGCCACACCTTCCTCAGTGTCAGAAACACGCTTATCAGCAAAATATTCGAGAACCAACTAATCTGTCTACGTATTATAAAGTATGCAACGAGCTTCGCTCAAAGATACCAATCAAATGAAGAATTTGTCCCAATTAACATGAGAAGGGACTGTGCACAACACACTCATAGCATTACCACGCATAATCTCTTATAAAGTGGACATAAGTATCCGTCGCCATGCACAATACGGGTAAATGCCGTCAAAGCTTTAATAACGCATGCTGTTTGTCCAGATTCTCGCGACCGACCTTACATTTTCATTAATGCGCGATCACAGCTACTTTAGAAGCGCTTTTTATTTCCTTCCCTTTTCCAACCTTTTCCTTTTTTATTTCCTTCCCTTCCCTGAGTAAATTTGAATTGAGACGCTTTAAGAGCATCGTTTTGGGCGGTTGTTTGCTCGATTAGCAGTTATCGAAACGTCATTTGTTAGGCATTGGAAGTTTGGAACGATGTGAATCATGTGACTGAACTCGCCTGTTAGCGGTTAATAAAATGCACGATTTCCCATTACAACTGCGCTACACAGCCTACACTTACGCAGGGCTAGTTACAGTACATAGAGCATGCCAAGCCGAGCAGTATGAATAACTCTTCCGCTTGGATACTTTGACAATGGTGCATTGCAGAGCCGGTGATTTTCTGTTTGGTGGACTCTAAGGAGCACGGTACGAGCAATCAGTCACAGCCGGCAGCCCGAATCTACTGCATGAATCCACTGACATTCAGCTGCCGGAGCGTTGCTTGTGCAGTTCCGCCCAGCGGCTGGAACCGTCGCGCGGCGTACGTGGTGAAGGAGGGCCGGCTGTTAATCTATGCTTTGGCGCAGGTCGATAATGATGCAAGTTCCTGTCATCTGTACGTTTACGATCCTAGCGTGGATCAGTGGACCGATCTGACGGTGCTGCCCGACTGTGATAAGCGAGCACTGCTGGCCGTCGTACAGGGTCAGGTGTACGTGGTGGGCAACGGTAGTATGGATGCGTACGATGATGAGCTTCACCTCAGCTGGTGAGCTTCACCTTCACCAGCTTCACGGGCAAAAGTGCGTGGTGAGTGTTAGAAATATTGAGTCGTGCAGTGCAAGTGTTCGAAATAAGGGTCAAGGCGAAGTATGTATTTAAAAGGGAACATTTTTTAATGTGACCTGGTAAAATATCCGTGGCAGTAGTTTGACATTGTTGCGGAAATGCTTATAATACCGGCGTTGTAATTTATTCGTCTGCTGCGTTTTGTGTTGATTATGGCAATGACGAAATAATTTTTGTATTATTTTTGCTGTTGTTGAACTACGAGTACAATGTATCTGTATAAGACAACGTTCACATCAGCGCTTGAAATAAAAATTTCGAAGTAGTTTTTCTCAGATCATGGATTTGAAAAGAATATTCTCTAAATTTTATTTTAAAGATAGAGGTGAACGTTTTACTTGAATAAACAGGACTCTGACTGATTGGTAAGAGCACAGTTTTGCTTTTGTAAAGTTGATGATTATCTAGTATTATTTTGATGCTCAGAGGAGATGAACATTGCGAGAGTGGAACCAGGGCTAGTGCTGCTGAACGGTAGACTGTACGCTGTATCCGGCGTATCTAGACACGTAAAAGATCTTAACAGCGTCGGGACGGAATGCTACAACACGACAACGGACAGCTGGACAGTGTCCGGCTCACTCTTCCCTTTCGTTCAGCGTGGCATGGAGTGTGCAGCAATGCAAGGGCACATTGCCTGGAGATGCATGCAGCGATCGAATGCTGCTGACGATTGCGGCTAGTGACTGACCGAAAGGCCTCCAGGATGACTATGGCTCCAGTTTCGGGGCTGTGTTTTCTTGAAAGGGCTTTCTCATTCTCCGAGTTTAACCGCTTCGTGATCTGGCTCGCTACGCGGCGCCGGCGCGCACCTCATAATTTCTTTCTTTGACTGTTCTCTTTTGATGCTAGCTTATAACTGCGAGCAAGTACAGGCGTCAGACTCGCTAACGAAAGTTTTTGGAATGCTATGTACTTTTGGTTTGAGGCGTACATACAGAGTAATGCCAATAATGAGTCAACATGTGAGTGAATGATGAACTATGGATTTTCTTTTTTTTTTCTTTTACTTAGTATTCTTTAATTTTTCTCACCGTATCGGTTGAGATTCTTTCTTTCGGTGGTGGAGGTTACATAAAAAGACTGGTACAATATACCAATGTGAAAGGAGCGCAAACACGATGGCCACCCTTTATCCCTTATTATGTAACATGACTGCGCTGTATATACTGTATATTAACTATGCAGCTGCAACAGGAACAACAACCATCGATGTAACAAGGTAAAAACCTTTAATACTTTCGGAAATGTGAACAGCTGTTTGCTTATTAGGCAACAAATCAACCAACAAGTACTAAGGCTACAGGCATTCTGCAGAAAAACATTTCAACACTGAAAAACAATGGAATCTCCAACAGTTCTTCGAAAAAATTCGCAAACGACTTGAAACTAACGTTACGAAGTTCCGATCTGATAGTGTTCGCTTATTAGGCAACAGAATCAATTAAAGAACATGCAATAATAATAAGTACTACGCTCGTTGTACGAGTACTAAGCAGGACGCACAATTAAAGCATAACAAGTAGTACTGTACTAATACTAAGTTAGTACTACAAGTTCATAATATTATCAAGTACGAAGTATGTACTGTACTTAACTGTTGATGTTTACCCGAGTGTGCCTTGCGGGTGAAAGTACCGATAATATTTATTATGATTGCACATTTCCTCGTACGGCGAGTGCATTTTCTGCAGATAAGGTGCTACTACGAGCAAGGCTACTGGATATTTCGGTTTTTTGTGACAATTGCAGTTATAGCACAGGCCCTAACAAATACCCCGCGGTTACTTTTAACATCAACCACAAAAGAAACATTTTTCCGAGCTTCCGTGGAAAAAACCAAAAACGTTCTTTCAAAAAAAAAAAACACTGAACGAGTCGTAAGTGCTTAACGTACCGGTTTGCCACATTCTCATATCTCGCATGTAACTCTCTGTAAAAAACCTGCATGCATGAAAAACGGTTTGCCCGGCGGTAATATATCTGTACTAGTAATCTTTCACCGGTTGCCAACGTAAATGACTATTTAAAGTAGCCACTGCTTGTCCATCGCACTGCTAAAATTTTCAATTAGCTCTTTTATATTCTTCCTTTGTGATTCAAAATGGCTACCAGAATAATTCTCTTTACTATCCTGGTTTTCGTCTCCTGCGTCTATGCCACACGCTTCGTAAGTGGGAATTGGGTCGATAGAGTTATGATGAACTGTGGTTTCCTACTTCTGTCCCTTATTGCAGAGAGTCAACAAGGGCTGTGTGGTCTTTCAACGAGGCGACGGCAAGAAATTCTCGCAATGCAGCGGCAAAGGTCTCGACGTCAGTCCGCCCCTCACCGTGTGGGGACGGTTGGAAGGCGGTAAAGATCTGACAACAAAAGCCGGCTGCAAAAAGGAATTCCACTGGCCTTCCAACTACGGTGAAGTCTTCTATGGAGCGGACAACTGTCTTTACGATGCCAAAAGTACGTTTGGCCCTTTACAGTAATAGGGCTGCGTTTAGCTCCAAGTGATGTTTAAAGAAGGGACGCACCTCATAAAGGTGCACTAAAGAGAACAACTGACTTAGTACCATTCTTTTTCAGGCAACCGAATTGATGGACAGTGTTGCGACGGTGGCGGCGGCGAGGACGTGCCTAACCCTTACCGATCTGGCTAGTCGCAACGTCCATCGAAGCCGCCTCGTGGATTCATCTACGGAGTGGTCGGTATGGTGAATGCCTGCAACTCTTCCACAGGAATACTACACTACTATCAAACGTGGATTTGTAGTTCACATCGTTCAATCGACGCGGGCTTCTTGTCAAGCGGTCGTAGAAATGTATATTAGCAATGTGATACGACGGTCGCTACATATTCTGTCTACATAATGCATTGTACAGTAATATATACTACCACTGAAACACAATTTTAATAAAAGATGACAAAGCGTGTTTGTGAATTGCTGCCCGTAATTAGTCTTATGCAGTTTCATGAGTCCACGTTCCAACGTATACCGCCAAAAAAGCCAGGAATGTTGGAAGAACTATATCGAAAGAAAAGCATGAAGATTTACCCATAGTGAACTGCAAGTTCCCATATTCGCGCACTTCGTAGTCAGTCTTGTGACTGCCCGCGTTGCTAAGGAAAAACCATAATGTACCGTAAATTCCCAGTTAAACGCGGCTTCTGTTTTTTCGTGACCTTCTAGAAGGGGCGTTTAAAACCGAAGTGTTCGGTTATTAGGCATCAATATAAACCCGGCGTCTACGAGCTTACCGTATTCGCACTGCCTGCTGCCTGCCGTACTATAGCTTCCAGTGTAAGTGTGCAACTCTACTTGAATAATTACCGGAATTTTCAAACTGAATTTTCTGAGACTTTGACTGCCATCTGAATTGCTGAATAATTAATAAACTGCTGAACCCATTTTCAATGCAACTAACCGAAAGTCAATCGCAAAGTACGTCTGTTTCTGCCAGTTTGCGTTATGAGTGCACCCGGATATATTTCAGGATGCACCAAATTTGCGGTTACGCTTCTGACTTGTCCTTCCATCTTTTGACCAGCGGAAAATTTTTACAGTGGCCTACCAATTAATATTAAAAAAAGCGTGCCAAAACAGCTGTTTACCATATTCTGTTCAAACTACCTACCTTTGTCATGGACAATATTCCATCGCATTTTTACCGGGGCCCGCGATGCAACCCCTACCAAGTCAGCTACGGGAACACGGCGCTGGTTAAACGTGACACTGGTGAATGGTGGCTGGGATACGTCTAGGATATTGATGGCGACCTCATGTTCATTGATTCTGACAGCACCGCGGCGGTCGCTGACTGGATCCATTCGCGGTACGTACGCGCGCAACGCTTTGTGCTGAGGACGGCGAGGTGTGGAGCTGGATCAATAAGCAAGTGGCCGCCACCGGCAGTTGTGCCGTGCAGGTGGCGCTGCGCAGGACCCCGAACGGACCGCATATTTTCCACCCGGCCTGCCTGCTGACGCGGATGACGGTTACAGGAGAGTTGGGCATGTTCTGCGCCCGACTGGATCATGTGGTCCCGCCCCAGTATGTGGTGGTGCATCCGTGCCAGATTGCCACTAAGCTGGAGCAGGCTGCGGATGGACCGCCTCGTTTAAGCAATGGTGGCCACTGCCAGCCCGGTCCAGCCCGACCAAGCTGGCAGTGGCAACCATTGACGCGCATTTTGACGCTGTGGTATAAGCGTGTTTTTTGTTGTAAAACATCGCCACCGCTGACACGCGTGAACGACCGCTCCGTGCAGCGGGGTGTTTGTCCTTTTGTCTTTAAAATGGCCCATGTGTGCCCCCTGGCAAACGTTACAAACGCAACAAGCGCAGATGATTTCGGACCCACTTCGTTGCTTCGCAATTTGCCGAAGGTGGTTGAGCGCTGTGCGAGATCCAGCTGATGGACTGTCAGAACGTCAAGGGTGTGCTTTCCAGTTAGCAGTCTGGATTTCGCAAGCCGCATAGGGCACGCAGCGAAACGCTCCTAATAGAAGTACGGTAGCTTTGTTTGTTTGTTTGTTTGTTTAATGAGCGTAAGATCTACGACAATCAGGGATGTCCTGCACGAGGTCATAAGCTACAGTAGCATGAGAGAAAAGGCTTACGCATCAGCGAAAGCCTCACATATTATAAAACATCGCAGATCTAGACAATAGTTCACAGCAAACAGCAATGATCAACATGAAGGAAGCGCTAATCCATTTTAAATCCGCCCATTTTACCGAATCCAGGCAAGAGTCGAAACGGTTAATCCGGTTGTATGAATTTTGGGTCAGTCTGATCGCATTCCACAAGTGCGCCATTAGAAAGGCGAAGCTCCGCTCGCTGATGAACTTCCGTTCGTGACGGTTCATCCGAGGCGCACGTATCCACGGTTCCACTGCGTAGAGATGTCCATCGAGAGACGTCATCTGACGCGTTCTGCCTGCAATACAAACAGCGGCAGCACCAAGTTTTTCACGAAGTTTAAAACGTTTCTCTCCATAAGGTGTAAGACGGAACACCACCTTGTACATCAGGAGCAGATATTTTCGGATACGACAAAATAACAGGGATTTGTAACCCGCTTTTTTGGCATCTCGGACTCGTACTCGGAGTACTCAAAATTGCAAGGTCCGAATCTGATAGTTTTTAAAAATCGGAATTGGCAGTTTTCTAACTGATCGATCATTGACTTCTGCTGACAGAAAGCTACGGAATCGCCACATTCTGCTATTGGTTTAAGGCGATATACTGGTTTATAAAATACCAATCTTTATGGCTTCAAAATTATTTTGTGCGCCTTGGTTCGGTCTGTTTTCACACTGTATAGGTTCATTTAAAAGCTTATAAATCGCGCTTTTTAACAGATACAGTTTCAAACACCATGCTCTTAGCACAAACGCGATAGAAATTATTTTGTTGTGTGGGCCCTAAAAAAATCTCAGCCCAGTAAAGTAAATCAGTGTTTTCGTGTTTTGAAAATGGTCCGCTGCTTCGGTGGACCAGTTCGAGCAGACGACCACGCTACCTGCAGGCTGCGCATGGCGTTCATGAAATTGCCGTCTGCGCACGGCTGTAACGGTACGCAGACACGTACCCCGCGTGCGGTTGGTCTGGGTCGACTGAAACTGTAATGGCAGCTACGTGAATCAAACCGTGCTGCTGCACTCCTGCGTCATTTTGGACCCCCGGTACATTTTGGTTTTAGGCAGATTTGAGTTTCTATTCTGTTCTTTGCTTTTCAAAATACCTCTCATTTTAAAGAGCATTTTTTTCTGTTCTAGAAAATGTAGTTACTGTAACTTCTCTGGGAATGATATAAAGCCAGTCTATCGCCTTAACAAGAGTATTATACAACTTTGTTCGAGCGGCGCTGTTTTGGTAAGGAAACTGAGCGTTAAGATAACGGATTCGTTTTTTCATGCGGGTAGCGAGACTTTCGCAGTTACGTTTCCAGTTTAGCGTGGAAACGCACAATGGATAATTGCATAATAACCGAAGTAGTCATCCTCGTCTTGAAGAAAGCGTATGACTCCGTGAACCACGAAAGATTGTTGTCGAAACTGCAGCGAACCGGAATTGAAAGCAGTGTGTTGAAGTGGTTTCATTCCTATTTAACCAGCCCCCAGGAGAGAATGAAGATCAGCAAAGACATGTCCCGCTGACTGCCGGTTATAGCAGGTGTACCGCAAAGAGCAAGGCTCGGTCCCGTTATTTTTAACATTATACAAGAACTACCTATTGCTAAAGGACATTAACGGGTGTGAAAGTGAAGCATTCGCGGATGACACAATCATGTACGCGAGCGGAAAAACGAAGGCGGAAGCGGCTGAGCGATTAAATGGCGGCATGGCAGTCGCATCACAGTGGTTTAATGAAAATCAGTTGGCATTGGATAGCAAAAGTGCATTGCGATGTGCGTATGTAGTGGAAGAAAGCAGACGGGAGTAGATCCACCGGTGGTATTAAACGATGAGCAGTTGACAGTCAAGCAGCAGGCGACGTACATACAATGTAGGACTAAATGGTCGCATAGCCCCATACCCAGCATTCTGTACGCAAGCGGTGCAGTGCACTTGTACGAAACGGATATTTTGAACTCAGTCGTACAGTGCACTGCGCTGCATTCGTACTGAATGTGGAGATGTTGGGTATGCGACCATTTGGTCCTAAGCTGTACCTCGGGGTCGAAGTGGACAAATCCAAATCCGTAGTAGGGTAAGCAATTCAAAAAAGTGAAACGGAACTTGAACTATGGCATTCAGAAGATAAAACGTTGTCAGACCGGACTCGGCATCCCCCAGCGAATTACCCTTTATGCCTTTACCACGCCTTTGTCCAGCCACACATAGTTTACTGTGCGTTGGAATGGTTAGCGCCGTTTTCGGGTGAGCAGGAGAAGCTGGTCCAGCGGCAGCACGCCGCCCTGCAGACTATTACCGGAAACAGGAACCATTACCCGGAAGGAGTGCACTGATGCCAGCGCGCGGCTGAGCATCGGGAAGACAATTTTGAATGTGACTGAAACAGTGGTTTGATAAAATCATGTCTAACGGGGGAGAGATGTGGCTCTGTCAACTTCTACTTGTCTTTTCCAAGTCTGAAAACCTCCTGTAGACGCGCTTTCTTGTGGTCCAGTTGTTCTCTGAATTTGTTAGAACTTTGCGAGATATTAAGTTTCTGTATTGTGATGATGACCAGACGTACGAGTGCCCCAGGGTTTGTCTGCTCCTGAATAAATAAACTAAATTAAAATATTACGATGAAGTCTTCTATGGGGCAAACAACTGCCTTTACGACAAGTACGTTTGCCCCATATCTATACAGCCTTTACAGCAACATCATTTAGCTCGACGCAGCATTTACAGGATTTAGCTCGAAGTCACATTTACAGAAGGGAAGCACCCCCTAACGGTACACTTAAAGAACCATTTTTCCACGCAACCGAATTGATGGACAGCTGCAAAGGTGGCGGCGGCGCAGAAGTGCTTTACCCTTACCGATCTGGCTAGCGGCAACGTTCGTGGATTCATATACGGAGTGGTCAGTATGGGGAGCGGCTGGAACTTTTCCATTTGAGTACTACTGTTGAACGCGGATTCAAAGTGCACAATGGCGGCTGTCAAATCGATGCGTTTCTTGTTAGGCTAGCGGTCGTAGAAATTTATATTATTATTCATTAGCAATGTGGTACGACGTTCTATTCCCACTGCATCCACAAAATAATACATTGTAAACTACCACTGGAAAACAATTTTTATAAAATATGGCGAAACATTTTGCGAAATGCTGCCCGTAATTTGGTCTTATGCAGTCTCGAAGTAGGCACAGAGTAATTATTAAGTGACACGCTATTCGTAGATTGCGTTTGTTATGTACGTATGTGTAGTGACGTACGTGTTGTCTGTTCGGTTACGTACGATTTGCGGTTCTTATCTAACGCATTTAATCGCTATGTGCATCGGAGATTCTGGTTGAACTAATCAGTCGGAAGTTTCTAACTTCAACTACATCTGTGAACTTGTTTCTAGCTGAACGGTCGGTGTGACTCTAAGTTAGGTGTGACTCTAAGTTAGTTAGGACTCATATCTTTCTGTTTTGTTCTGTTTACGTTCGTTCAGTTGGTAATTAAATATTTGGGAAGTTCCTGAGAGTTTCGGTTTCGGCAACTTTCGTCAGGCACGGACGGCAATCCGCTGTATTTAGCGGAATTTGGTAGTTGTACCACTTACGGAGTTTAGAGTAGATTCCCACTCTACCGATAGAGTAGGTTTGGTCATCTGTGCGGTCGTCGAGTACGACTTCCGCACAGCATGTCAGTACAATGCATTTTACTCTCTGTTTGCCCTGCTGAATGCAGAGTTATCTTAAATTACCGCAACAATCGTTGTGCAATAAGAAAAGAGCAAAAGCATAGATTAAATCCATTTTCACACAGCTAACATAATCTGTATTCAAACAAAAATCGAACGCTCTTTAAATAGCTGGTTCGAATTTTTTAAGTTCCTTTTATAACTGATATTTATACCCGTACCAATTCATTGGTCTTGCCTTTACGAAAATGTTCATAGCACGTGTCTATTTTGTGTAGAAACATTTGTTCATCGCGCTCCCAACTATTTTGGTTAGCCAGCTCGATGCCGGCCGTAAGCACAAATGCGTTGGCGTTGCTGTACATGTTTCTGTTCAGATAGGCATTAATTTCTCCATCCACACCGGAATTCGGCTTATAACTGCTCCAGCTCTGCGCATACTTATTGGCAGCTGTGGCATAGCTGAGGACGATTAGTGGAAGCGGGTATGGGGGCTTGCTGACCGTTTTGATTATTTCTTGATCATGTTCTCGAAAGCGGTTGCCGACAACCAGAACGACCAGGTCATATCCCCGTATCTGAAAGGCCTCGCAGAAGTCTTTCATGGGATACTTTACCTGTCCAAGCGACGGAAGTTCCGTCACTGTCAAATCTTCAGCCAACTGATACTGCACAAAATCAACAGACGGTTTTGGCACGCTTCCAGTATGTGTTTGTCCGTGCAGTGTCAACAGGTTTTGAATTAGACGTGATTTTTCCACATTTTCCCTTCCAACGACGGCAATGGTGAAAGTAATTTTTGATTTATGTTTGGCCAAGGAAGACTGCGGATCTGATGTCATACGGTTTGTTGGAGAACTTTTAAGGTTGGTCGAATAAGGCTCATCCGTTTCCATGGTTAACGCATCCTAAAAATGGCATGCATTATCTGATCGTTAACGAATACAGGTTTGTATGTGATGCTTGTTCATATATATGGAACGTTTCGTACCAAAGAAAAAAACTGGAACGTTTTTTTCCTTCTTGTAGTCACTGTAGTCATCTGTAGACAACCAGTAGACACCCTGTATACAACCTGTAAACACCCTAAGAAAACCTAAGAAACCACGAGACTACAGTATCTCTACAGTGGTGTCTACGGGCTGTCTACGGGTGACTACCGGTGTATACAGGCAGACTATCGAGCTGTATACAGCGGTAGACATCTGTAGACACGCTGTATACATCCTAAGAAACCTAGGTGACTACCGTTAGTTCTACAGGGAGTCTACAGCCTGTATACATATGTCTACTGTGACTACAAGGAGAGAAAAAACGATTCACTTTTTTTCTTTGGTACGAAGCGTGCCACAGGTGTTGTTCAAGTTGTGTAGCGTATCCGGTAGAGTATTTATTAATAAAATAATACCGGTCAGCTGGACAAGGAAACGACAACTGAATAACACAACTTAACAACAAGGATCACTTAATACAACACGTTGCAGTCGTTGCTAACCACTACGGTCCACTAGATACAACATTGACTTATGTAAATCAAAGACTGGGCGTTTGGTTAAGTTTGTTAAATTTGTGTAAAGCTTCTTTAATTTTGGGAATCTGACAAACAGCATACTTTGACCTTCTGTCCAACGGGAGCAGGGTCGGAGCGACAGGGGTTGCGCAACGGGCGCAGGCTGTGAATATATGAAATCTACTACACAGGCGCAGTGGGCGAATACGGAACCTCAAAACGGGCGCAACTGGCGCAGCCGATTTGCACACCCCTTACCCCACGGACCTCGCTATCGACCTGGGTAGATACGTAGAACAAAACAAGCGTATACGTATAATAAAAGGAACAAAACAATGTACATATCTAATACAAAACCAGTACGAGTGTTGCAACCAGCAACACGGTCACAAGCAATTCGACTCCTGATTTTCCTGATGTCACACATACAGAGTAGTAACCCCGAGCCACACCGCTGAGTGCAGCGAAACGGATTTTGGGTTAAATAAATATGGACTGTTCGCAGCACCGTTATCGTGATCAAAACTTTGAAACCATTAAACACTGACAATGACCGTGCTGTGGCACTACTGCTGCCCTTACGTGCTTTACAGCGATGGTCAACGTAAGATTTAACGAGTGTTACTGCTGATGTCGAATCTGTCATGATCGGCAAGGGCGTGGTTTGCCCAGGGGCAAATGATGTACGATATACCGTACAACTGATGTACCACTTAATTTAGGCAATAGCTACGTGAATACTACGCAAAAGTTTGAATTTTACCTAATTATATATGGCATACAAGGTGATAGCTAAAATGCTGACATAAAAGATACCTATAGTCTCTGTCTTCTCTCGTACTCAAAACAGCCGCATCATTTTCTTCAATAACAGCACGCCTTAAAACTCTGCTAACGAAAACAGTGAAACGTGCTCCTTCTGTACCGCATAACTTATGCAATTTATCTGACGCGGGAACTTGACCTCTGTCATGGGAACATCACCAGCATCGGCTAAATTAGACCAACTGTTCTGTGTGCTTCCGCGATCGGCTAAGGCTGTGTAATCAGCAGATATAAGGCTTTTATAAAAACTTAGGACTCCATCGTACCGCCAGTTGAAATGTACTGTAATTCGTAATGTAAATTGTGATTCGTATTACGCTTATTACTGTAAATGCCGTGAAAGCTGCGCATCTGAATATGCAACGAATACCAACGATGCTGCAGCGCCGGGAGATTGCAGTTCAATGGCTTTGGTTGGCTATCGAGTATCTCTACATCTATTGACTATCAACTGTCAATCTCCCCAAAAGATACTACTTTTTAATACTGCGCAGTTATAACATTGCGCTTTCCTGTACGAGTAGTTTACTGTTGTGGCACTACAGATTGTTTAGCATACCGTATACAGTGTTGATTCTCGTATTCCAGCTAATAAGTATATCATATATGGTTGAATGTTTTGCTCTAAATTTTCGTAATTAAGTTCAGTGACTTCAGTCCGTTTAAAACCTTATAAAAATATATCATAACAATTTTAACTGGGTTATCTGGCTAATGATGACTCTTGCAATGATGAAAAAAAATTATAATACGTCAGCAATTGCGCAACGCGAGCTCTTTAAAAACGGTACGAGTGCTTTCCTAGCAAATCTCTCGTAGCGCTACTTTATTCAAATAAAGTCAGCCAGCGTTTTTGCTCTAGCATGCTTTGTGACACTCACTTGGTGGTTCCGCTTGACCGAGCTTTGGGTTAGAGTGCCACTGCAAATAAATATTATTAGATTAACGTTCTTTGAGTTTCAGATTCGTAAAATCTGTTGTGGTTGTTTTACGATTAGTTAAATCGTAAATCCTTTCGAAGTTAAATAATCTACCGGTGTCTTCTGTACATATGTGTATTTGAGAACCGTGCCGGTGTCAACCAATGCGGCTTCATAGAAGTTACTATCTGTACCTACTGATCGAAAATTTTAAAGTTTACATACCTTGAAGGGCTTGTCGAACCCATTTCGCGGGACACTATTGCAGCAGCATAGCTTTTGAATTCTGTATCTTTTCCAAGCTGCATCATGTGGATCAGCATGCTCCTTTGATCATTAATGGTAACCCACTTGTCAAGGAAATGGTGCAGTAAATGTGCGCTGTTTTCTTCAACGCCATTGAATAGTCGCATTATATTCTCTCTAAGCCGCAGATTCAAATCAGTGGAGTTCTGGCTTTCGTTCATTGTTGACAACCCTGCTGCACTATCCATTTAAAAAAAGTTAAGCACAGAAATTTACAAGTGAAAGTTCTTGTAGCGTATTACAAGTAATTATTGTGACCGTGACTGCAGTATTCTGAATAATAAATACTGAATGTAAATTTCTGCTATTATCAATCGAAATGCGGGTTGGTCTTATCCATACTTCAGCACTACACACACGTAAAAGTGTAAACAAGGTGCAGTAGATAAGATTTGTTCAACCGCTAGCAATAATATAATTCAGTGAAAAAGGTGAGCAACAATTGTCCATAATCTCGGTGATACATAATGTGGGTTGGTTATTGCTTACCGGTTAGGCTCGGGAACGCAGCGACAGTCTGTACGTGCTCGTAATTATCTAAGGTTAGCGAACAGAGTTTATTTGTTTCCATTGTTGAGAAGCAGCAGGGGCGCAGCTGTTATGCTAACCTAAGTTAAGTATAATCTATAGTAAATCTATAGTTAAAGTATAATACTTATCAGTCTTCCAAGCTGACGACCTTATTTTTGCTAAGCTCCAAGTATAAAGTAAGACAGAACTGACACATAATCAGTTTAATTAGTTTCATAGCAGCAGCTACCTTCTACTACCTGTTGCATTAACAACCTTAGTGCCAAGTTAATAACACTGAGTGTTCTTGATAAAAATTCGTATTTTCGTTTTCACCGGCGCCGCTATGGGTAATCTGCTTGCTCCTGCCGCTGCACCGCCTCGACTCTCTTCAGCACATCGTAAAGAGCTACAGGACAAGCTGGGAATGGATTGCATGCAGTTTTACAACTTCGGGGTATGCGGGGAAGCGGGAACCGGGAAGTCGACCCTCGTTAATGCTGTCTGTGGTTACGAAGATAATGACCCGTCTGCAGCTGCTGTTGGACATATTGGAGGCGGAACAAAACATGCTCGCGCTTATAAACCAGCTAAATATCCACACGTGGCCATTTGGGATATGCCTGGCACAAACCACCAAGGCAATCCTATGGAAACGTACTTCTCGGATCAGAAACTATGCGCCTTTGATATGCTATTTATCGTCAGTAACACAACACGTTTTATGGAAATTGATGCGCAACTGGCTCAGCGTGCTCAACGCGCAAACGTTCCTGTTATATTTATTCGGACCCAAACTGATCTTACCATTACAAATGCCTACGAACGAGCTGTGAGATTGGCTCCGGCTGGGAGCGCAGTCGACAGACGAACCGTAACAAGAAACTTGCGAAAGGAACTGTACACGGAAATGGTAAAAGAACTGAGCAAAATCGGAATGGCTAATGTTTTGCTTTTCATTGTTTCTGCCTTCGCCTTTTACGAGCATTACGATCCAGAGCTATACCCGGAGCTAGACAAAGAGCAACTTCTTGAACGAATCGCAGCATTGGCGCAAACCCGGGGGCAAAAATAACATCGGCAGCCTTATTAGTATTCGTGCTATTGCTAAATGCATGAAGCGAACCCGACATGCATATAATTATTTCCCTCTGCCTTGAGTATTATTTAGCTTGCGTCTAATTGCAATGACTGCAACAAATTAATGGTAATGACTGCAACAAATTAGATAATATTTTTACCAGTTTGCCGCTGATATAGACTTAAGTGATTGCTAGATATAATTTCGACATATGTCAGTAAACACCGAAATCATAGAATCATTTAACAATAAACGGCAACGTGTGACTACTTCGATATTTTTAAGGTACTGCAGTGTTATGATAAAAATTCCGCAATAGATATACAAGTATTACACATCTCTTTGTTCTACGACTACGAGTACGAACAGTTCTCTCGAACACTGTGCATTTCCTTCAATAAATTACTTCCAATTGTAATTTTTTTCATTGTAATTTTATTCAGCAATAGCCAAAACAAGTACGTAAATACTTTCGCTGATGGACACTAATTATAATGATACAAATTTAAACATGGCAAAAATAACTAAAATCGTTATTCCTGGTCCTACGACGCACCTTTAGTGAATGTGACTTCCAATTTGCTTTATCAAGTGTCAGCGATAGATTTATAAGTAGAACCAAGTACTTACTATAGTGTGAGGAGGACTGGTAACCTACCGTTTGACGTCATCACTCTCGCATACACAGGAGGGCGGCTGCCATGGTGACAGATGCGCGCTTTTTACGGTTTTTGTCAGTTTTCTTAGCATATTTCTTTTCTCTTCTATTTCTAGCCCCTCATGTTTGGGTTTCTAAATTCAATATGATCTGTTAAAATATCAGAAAGCTTTAGAGGAGAAAGGAACTGAGAATATCTTTAAAAAGGGACAATAAAATCTGTGGGCCTATGGTAAGCAATAGCACACCAGTGCATTCTGTATGCGACAGTGATGACGTAGTCGACCGTTGCAGAGTCGCTTCCCAGTCCTCTACCTATAGTAAGTTCTTGGTAGAACTAAAATTAATAAACGGCTATCAACGGCCGAAGTCTCAAACATCGACGCAAAGTGTTTCAGTACAGCCAACTAATTATAGCTTCGCCTTGGCATTTTTCATTTCTGCAAGTAACTGATGCATTCTGTAGTGAATGGTCTTCAGAAGTTCAGATTACCTCTTGATCATGGCCGGCTTCTTACCGTGCCAAACTTGTATAATCAGGCTCGCAGAATTTACCAGACATTTAAAAAGGCCCTGATTAAAGCATTTGTAAAATTACATCAAGCACCCGAGATACTCCACTGGGATACGACTCGCGATTCAGATGATTTCGATACTGATTCTGAGACTGGGGGCCTACCGAATGTGGGCCTTAATCCGCGCCGAACGGAAGCGGAGTGCCGCAATCGCGAGCAATTTAATGATTGCGCAACAATCCGAATTAAATAGTCCAGGGCTACATATTTCCCTTTCCCTGTTTCGGGATTATAAATTAGCGAAAGTGGTCTGTTCAATTAAAAAAACTGACCACGAATTTATTTTACCCGATGATACTTATCTGTACGATGTACATGAAATTTCCAAATTTGAGAATGATATAAATTGCTATTTTGGCACAGCGGATGAACATGCAGTCATGCACGATGATGAGCAGCGGATGAACAGTGAATTTTTAAATGTCCATCCACTGTCGGGAGAGACCGCATATCTACTCCGTTTAACGGGGATTGGTAAGGTCATGCGGAGGAATATCGGGATATTTGGTGGTCTTATTAAAAGATCCCACTCGCGTTTTAAACTGCAGGCGATTTGCGAAGTCATATTTGCTGTAAATTGTCGTCTGAGTTGTTACGCTTATAAATGAGTTGTTGTTACGCTTATAAATGCGTTGGGTGGCATGAATACCGGAGGTAGCGCAATGTAAGCATAATCAACAGGACACGAAAGGTCAACTACATTTTAATGGGCACTTCCGGGAGTCTGTATACAGCGGAACTAGGAGAGTAATCTAGATTTGAAAATCCAACATAATAAAATGCTCTGCAGAGTACAAAGGACATTCCAAAAATAATTTTCCCTATTTTGTATCTCCCGGCATTAACGCATTCACCTAATATCATCCATATCGTTACAAACGTCCTTCATTAGCAAAATGTATAAAGAAATTATTTTGTTTAATTACAATCAAATGGGGAAGAAATGCCAAAAAAAACACCACAGGGTTTTCAAAGTTTTTCACGTGATTTTCCCGGACAGCTTTTGCTATTTTTCGCAATCTTTCTGCTCATTTTCCTTGATGCATAAAATATATTTTGATTAAGAATTCTTTTCTCTTACAAAATAAAGTTTTGAACAAAATGTCCCATTCAAACCACTTTTCTAGAAAAATAAGAACTGCTTGGGACTAGTTGTCAAAATCAGAAAGCATCGCAGCATCCAGACGGTAAAAATCAGAAAATTTCATGAAAAATTTTGCTGTTGTCGGTGGAATGCAAACTTTCTTGGTATCTAAGATGCGCACGACTGGCCATAAAATGTGCTTTTTATCGACGGGAAGCATCATGAATTTATGAAAGCGAAACGGCTGGAATAAGGGAGTTTCGGTGTCTTATGAAAAAAAAATGTTTACTTTTAATCCGGAGCTTTTCAAAATGTTCTGCCATCGCAGTAATATCAAGTACTAAATTTGCAGTTGACACTTTAATTTTTTTGTTGAAAACATTGCCTGGTCAGAATTGGCAATAAAAAGAATAATTTTCCAAAAAGGTGCTGAAAAAAGTGCAAAAGCAGCATTCACCATTCCGTTTTTCGTTTGGCAAGTTCTTCTTCGATTCTTTTGATTCTTATTTCTTTAGATGGTTTACATAATGGTTTATCCAGCAAAAATTATACCATTTGTGTATAACCTAAAATCGCAGGGAGACAGAATAGGGAAAATTATTTTTGGAATCTCCTTTGTATAAAGCCTTGAATATTAAAACGACATTAGGACGGTGATCTAACTATGACACCAGTCAGTACACTCATCTTACCAAGGAAAGATATCTCATCGTGGAAACTATGCTGGAAATCCGATGGTGGCGATCAAAACCATAATCTTAGCAGCCGATCCTGCAGAGTCTTCCGGGACAACCCCCCTTGACACATTGACTTCATGGTTCAAAAAAGCACGAAACTTCTCAGCCTTAGAAATGAAAATCTTGTTGCCTACCACAAAATTAGATTTTGCGAAGAACAAGAGGAAACAACTGTCGAAATAATGATGGAATACTGCAATGGTTATCGAACATTTCTTTGCCATTTACTAAATTTGCAATTCGAAGCTCAATAACTTTTTGTTTCAAGAGGCACTCTGAAAAGATTATTTGAAACTATAAGAACGAGCCAACGGAGCTGGGACGAACTACATTTTAAAGGTAAATCAACCATACTTATCCCGGAAATTGGATCCGGAAGAGCTCTGCGATGCGCTATTGAACTTGCCGACGGCTTAAGCTTCTTGCACAGCCATAATCTTGTGCACGAAGACATTAAGCCTGACAATATTTTGGTAAAGTATTCAGAAAGCGACTGGAAGCTGGTAATCGCCGATCTGGATGACTTGGTTCAACTAGCCAGCGGTGTCAATGACTTTTCGGGCATTTTGGGTACTGCGCCATATATGTCACCGGAAATGTTAAAAAAATATCTGTCACTGCCACACAAACCGCTGGGAAGAAAAACTGATATGT